CTGTCGATCAAATTCAAGGGCAATTAGAAAAGTGCAACGTTAGAAAAAGATTAGTTTATCATTGTGGCGCGACACACGGTCAGATCAACGGAGACTAACGATCCACGATAGGAGGATGATCTTTACGTAACCTTGAGTACGAAAAATCCAGATAATAGGCTATTTTAAAATCAAACTAATCTTCCTAATAAACTATATGAAAATAAAGATCTTGTAAACGCGCGATCGCTGCTGAGGAGCGTCGCAAACTCGAAACGAATTTCTGTTGCGCGCACCCTAAGAAAATTGATGTATCCGGTACAGATGCGACACGAATATTTCCGGATTACCGTCACTCGATTGGTCGACATTCCTTCGACTTGGTCGCGACGCTTTTCTCGTCCCTGATACCGCGCGACGCGAATTACGAACGAAGAATGCAGATTCTCGTTACATTTTTTGCTTTCTTTTGTTCGTAGAATGCAAATTTCTCCCGCGTTCCGGAATTTCCGTCGACCTTCGCTAACCCAGGCCACCGTTCGTTTCGACCCATATTACGATTCGTCAAACGGATGGAATCTAGCGCGGAATCCAACGTTCCGATATCGATCTTTGCAAACTCCATAGACGATAGACTATAGGAAAAAGTATATGCAAAACAAACGATACATATTTAATTACTAGACTGCGGATATTTATGCATTTATGCAAGAATATAAGAAATACTTAAAGTAAGATACGAATTATTATATCTAGGGGTTGAGACAACCCTCTACTAAAGCTCCAATTTCATTAATTTTATTAATAAAAGTATGAATTTGCATGAAGATCCGCAGTCTATTAATCACGTTTAGCCATTACACGATCATCCGCCGGTTACGTGACTCGTTTGCGTTACAGTTTCGTCCGTTTCGGTGTTTTACAGCGGACCGTCCTCGAAACAATCATATACGATAATAATAATATGTCGTAATATGCCTTTTGCGTGCAAGCAAATGAATCGAATTTGGCAATCGTCGGTGGAATTACTTTCACAATAACGTCATGTACGCGTGACCCGCGTCGAAACCACGACTGGAATAGTTAATAGCTTTCCTCGGTGCTTCTAGATACGCTCGTACGATCGAAAATCAAGCTGTAACAACGAGTCTACGAAATTTCTATCCTAGGAAAAAAAGTCACGCGAAGACTGTGCCGTGACCTGGCCAAATTAACCTGGAATCTTGGTTAATTATCATCGGCCATCTTCGAAGACCAAGCAAAGCGTAGAAAATTATACGCTCACTCGAATGTACGAAACAATTTTTTATTATAATATTGTGTCGCGACTTATTAGATGCTCGAAGAGGTTTCGGTGAACATTAAAGTCTGCTGTCCAGCAGCATCAATTTGTTAGATGTTTTAGTTTGAAAGATTTCGTCGCTTCCGACTCGAGCTGGCAGGCAGCTGTTGGGGAAAAAAGTGACACGCGAAACGTGCCATGGGGCAGGCAAAAGGGTTAATGGTCTCGTGTGTACACGGAAACGTCGCGTCGCGTCGGTTCACCTCGAGAGAGGGTTCGCAGGAAATAAGAGAGTTACGAGTCGGCATACCATTACGAAATTCCAAAAAGAAACGAAAGGGAGGATCCATCGAATCCTGATGCGTATTACGCAAACATTGAGATCAAAGGGAAGCTTTTCGTCGAATTTCGATCTTAGGCATTGCCATCGGAAGAATCTATACCATACACATAGGTGGTGGTCACGATCCATCGACAATCAACGTAGCAACTGCACGTTACTTGTTACAAGAAATTATTTCTTAATCCTTTTAGTGCCGAACGACGATATATCGTCACATAATCATTTTTGGTCATTACACATACCCTCAAAATCCTACGCATTTTCGAGAAAAAAATTCCTTACCGAAAATCTAATTAGGTGCCTAAATTCGACGAAAAAAAAAATTTCAAACCGTTCTGGAAAAATTATCTTCGGTTGCGGGGGTTAATTACAATCATTTTTTATCATTACACATACCCCCGAATTCCTACGCATTTTCGAGAAAAAAATTCCTTACCGAAAATCTAATTAGGTGCCTAAATTTGACGAAAAAAAAAATTTCAAATCGTTCTGGAAAAATTATTTTCGGTTGCGGGGGTCAATTGCAATCATTTTTGGTGAATACACATACCCCCGAAATCCTGCGCATTTTCGAGAAAAAAATTCAGAACGGGCTCCACTTTAAACGTTAATAACTTTTTAACAAATCCTCGTCATATTTTGAATTGATTATGCATTAAAAAATCATTCTTAGTTTGGTTTTTATGAGCTTTTTCTCTAACCATAACAAACTCGTCAAACTCGGCACTAAAAGGGTGAATAAAAATCGAAAAATAACGAAAAAATCGTATTCGCGGCGACCCGCCGCGAGAGAATATCTAGACCGAACGATAAGTCGAGGAAAAACCCGAGTGGACATTACATAAATTTTCCCGAAGGAAAACCCGTTCCTGGCAATCGTTCAGCGATCAACAGTTGCTCCATTTATTACAGAAAGACAGTTCTACATCAGCCCTTTCAACGACCGCGATATCGTCGCGCGTTGTCGGCGATTAATCTCGCTCGCGCGAAGAAAAATAAATCACGTCGCTTTAAAAGCACCGGCCCGCGTGCATCGTTGCAACCGTTGGAAAATATTTATAGAAAACCGCGGGTAGGCCGATGATGAGGCCTGGAAAATACTGTGCGCCTATATAAACCTTTCATTCATCCTCCGACGATTGTAAAACTTTATCGTTAATTACTACCACTGAAGCTCTTTGCGCTACAGCTACGGGGAATGTACATTAGTTGTATAGTAAATACATACTTATAGAATGAGAAAGGGTCGTCGATAGTAAAACCGAACCCACACGTTACAACTTCCGAAAGAATTACGACTCCTTGTAAGCAAACGCGACTGGATACTGTCTACGTATCCCTCGCAAACGAAACTTGTATTTCTCCAAGCAACAGCTAAGAAATAACTTGGGCAAATGCTGGTCACAACGAACGACGTATAATTCCAACGGATGCATACTTCCATGTGATTAGATTCTTGATCAAATTCCCGTTATGCTTCTCACTATCTGAAACAGCGTAGAACTTTGTATTAAACTCTTGAAAAATGGATTAGATCTGGGATTACAGACCTAATTCTCCCATAAACGACCAAAAAAGCAAGTCGTTTAATCGTGGAGACAGTGATAATCGAGAGACCGTCGACAGGTGACGAATACTTCCAAGAATAAAGGAACGCGATACGCGTGACGCAACCAGGAGCATCTCCCGAAGGCAAAAGGTATGAAGCATAATCCGTACAAGTACGATGACGCCGCGACCTACATACCTGGAGGCTGATTATCCTTCTTGACAGTCGATATTTTATAAAACACCGTTCAAGATCAACGAAAACGACAGAATTTATGCAGAGGCATTCTGCAGCTTCCCTCGAGGATCCCTATCGCTTCGAGATTTATCAAGAAACGGAACAACGCGAGAAGACAAATTTCCCGATTAATTTCTCAGACCTCGTAGAATCGCTGGCAATTATCAGCCAGTTGCTGGGCCAAACGTACACCTACAACTGACCATCTGCGATGAAAGTATTTATTATTATGCGAGGATTTCGTATATAAACTTTTTTGTCGAATAGTACGGTTCAGTTTTCGATATACATATGTATACCGCGTGTGTGATTTTATCGTATACCTTGATTTACGAACCTCCTTGTAAAATGGGCGTTTTATTGCCGCGCCACTTTTCCTATACTTATATTTTGCCACTCAATTTCAGTCGTAACACCGATTTTAACATAATTTTAATTTATGTCGTTTCTTGTAAACGTGTTACATCGCGACACTTAACGTCGTAACGTCGTGGGATGCTACTTGGAAACTGTTGGCGAAAAGACAAATTTTTAAAAGCGATCCGTGTAAATGCTTGGTCGTTCGACGTGTAATCGTGGGTAGAAAATTGTATTTTTATTTCAGACCTTTCGCCAAAATTTTGGCCATCCTCGGTGGCAATCGATGATAACCTCAATACCAACACGATACTTTTAGAGATAATCAAATCACGCAAGGTGTTCGGCAACAGGTGTCAGAAACCGCTCGCTTTACGCGACTTCTGAAATTTTTAGAAAATCATAAGGCATCCATTTTGTATGAAAAATATAAGACTATTGAATCTATAACCTCCTTCGTCCAAAGATCATGAGATCTACCCCTGGACGCATCGCTACCAGAGTGTATTACTCTCGAAATAACTAGCCCTCTGATCGTTATCAGAGTCATGAAAAAAACGAGTTCAAGAGTTCCTCCGGAGTCTAGGTGGCATAAGGAACTTTTCTCTTGGATCATACTTACCGATGGAATCTAATACGACTCCCCCAGGAAAAGCTTGGGCTTTAATACATACGGTGAACCACGTAACGTCGTCACCCTATATTATTCTGTTGTTCAAGCAATCCTACTTTTTAATAAGACACGATATTCCTTTCTTCCCAAAACAATTCCACGTTTTCTTCAATTTTCTGTGAAATTTATTATATTTTATTCAAATGGAATCGACAAATACGTAACACTGCGTGTCTTGCGAATCATGGTCGGTAATAGAGCCATTAGTACGCGTTTCATTGATACGTTGACAGGTATTGCGCGTGAGTAATGCATTACCGGCATTAAAAACTCGTATGAAAGAGAAGAAAACTGAACGATGCTGTCCATTCAAAGATAAATGTCCGTCATTAGCGTGCGACCGTTATTAAACCAACGTGCGACAAGATGATCGGCGAGTAGCGTGCAAACTGTCAATTTACGTATACCAGAGACAAGGAAATAAATAACGATGAAATTCGGATTCGCTGACCCAAATTTTTAACAAACTTTACATCGTTTCTGATCACGATTTTTTCCCGCGTAAACCAATAGTAGCGTTATCGAATGAAAAGACGTATCGTTCAAGCGCATTTGTTTGTAAACGGTTTTGGTTACTTACAGTTTCGTTAGATTCGCGACGGATGGAAGTACAACGGCATCGAGGGGCTCCAGGATGGATAGGAAACCAGCCCCGCGACAGGTGAACTCCCGTCCATCGGCAGTTACGTTGCATGTTTCCAGGACGGCCGGTCCGCGCGAGGATCCGGGTTGCTCTTCGGCGGAGCAAATCCGGCAGAGGAACATCGCCAGGATGACAACAGCAGCAGCGGTGCCGCGGCAGGACTGCGTGCACATGCCGGCCACCTTGAATAGTTTTTTTCCTTCCACCGGAGTCGCCGCGCCCAGGACACGTTTCACTTCACCGCATCGTATCAATCGCACATCGGTATCCCCGCGTCCTCTCGACCTTCGAGAAGACAATCTGCTTGTAATCGCTATTCCTCGACAACGGTCAACTATAGACGATGCGCGCGCCCACTCGATAAATGCATCCGTCGTCCGCGAGATACGTTTACCGACTGACAGTGCGGCTCGAGCTACGTGCTGCGCTCTGCGCCGATTTGCCCTCTCGCTCGCACCACCGACCCCCCGCCACCTGCTACGATCGTCGCCCGGAGCCAATCAACTTTCTCCGCTGAATCCGAGCATCTATGCCATCTATAACAGACCTGCGAATCCCAATTCTATAATATACATGTGTGTACAGCGATTCGTTTGATCTTTCTATCTTTCCTTTTAATTCGGCGATGATTAATTTCTTCTTTGATGGCGTCCGGTGATTTTCAACCGTCCGATAAGCGAATTCGAAGGCCATGCGTTCTTATCATTTTTCTTTCTTTTTCCGCTGTCGAATTGGTACTTGGTTTTGTTTTATGCTCGAGAAAGGACCACCTGGATCGATACAAATTTATAATTATTAATATTTCAGTTACCTACCATATATTTTTACTACAAATTAAAAGCATGCATTACGTTGAATAAAACTGCTACAAGTTTCAGATAAACTTACTGTTTTATTTTATACTTTCATCTTGACATTGAAAACGAAACTTTAATAAATAAATTAAATAAACGAGTAATAATAATTGAAAATAATTCTCGATTACACATACATGACGCGCCATCTAGCCTCGAAGCAACCAAGTACTTCTCGACAAACTTGGACGATCCGCCGTAGATGGCGGTGCAATCTTCCGTACGGCAGTACATTCTTTTTCGCTATAAAAATTAATTTTCACCCAAAATTTATTAACCTAATCCAGGCTGACGTTCATAATAATGTATATTACACTTAACGCGATATGAAACTATGTTTTATGTAATCCGAAAAACACAATGCACGCACAGCAATCACGTCTTATCAAAGAGTTTAAAATTGTATAAAGATAGCATAGCGTACTGTCTATAAGATGTATTCAAAATTGTTCTCGGTAATTTTTTTTTTAAATAGTTGTAGCAAAGACGAGATATGGAATAAACGTTACTACGTGCAACGTTATTTTCTGTCGCACGGATTGGGGCACAGACGAGGCATAGGATAGACTATGCATCTTGCAGAAGTTTATGTTACACGAACTGAAATATCGACTTGGTAAAAAAGCAACGGTTCGATAGCCAATTGACTAATTAAAATCAGTAAAGTTAATAAACGTAGAAAAGTATTTCCTCCTTTGCACGGTGTACAGAGTCGTTATCAACTATTTTAAATTTGTAGCCATTGGTGGTTATTGGAATAGTAAGTTTCGAAAAGTATATACCTTATATCTCGCGACACATCGGATTCTTCCATTTAAAGTGTCATCGGGTTTGCACTCGAGACAATTTCTCGTACTCCGGGCAATCTTCGCCGTTATCGACACGCGTGTCTGGACGTGGAGGAAAGCCCCGACGGAGGGCAGTATCAATCGTTCGCATTTGGCGGCGTACTGTTCGCCGAGCACCTACGTATACAGTCGCATAATGTGATTCAGTTTCACTAGCACTATTACGGGGTGAGATTCGCGAAGTGTGTGCCCGACGAGCATCTCTAGGAAAAGTGCGTCGCACGTAAGTGCGGGGCGTGATATGAAACAGTGAATCGAACCCGTGATTAAAATGGACAGGCGACGCTAGTCGCACGTCATGGGATTGTGAAAGGAATCGTGAACGTAGACGAAGGTGGCAGGAAGTGGGAAAAAGGGCCAGGGATACAACGCTCACGCCCGGTTGTCACGACGCCATGTTTCCCCAAAGTGGTCTACCGATGTCGAGTATCCTTTTGATGATACTCTGCTTTTTCGTACTTATCGCCGCCGGCCTTGACGAATCCGGTAAGTTTCGTGAACGTTCTCGCGAACAGACTCACGATCGGCTTGAACGCGACGATAGCTTCCTCCGCTCTTTCGCATCGAACGCCGCACGAACGATGCAACGGACGTTATACATAAGCGAGGTAGTTACTGATACACAATGTGCTGCTTGTCTGTCATTCGTCGTTCTTCCGTTTCTTCTTCTTCTGTTAAATACTTTCTACTTGAAACGAGTAACGAGACAACGGCACGAACGAAAAATCAAACAGGCCGATGGATGGAACAGGCGTGCGTAAACTTACCGCCGTACACGATTGATTAACAACAGAAAAAGATATCGAATGTCACCAGTGTACATATCTTGATCGTTTAAATCATTTATCATTCGATGCACCCTCGAGTTCTATCCTCTCCTCTATTACGCTGTCATTATTTATATTTGAATTTCACGGTCCATCAGTTCCTAGAAAGATGATAGAATTAATATATTGTTGCGTGTAATGTACATTCATCTTTGTCGTTTTATGGGTTCAGATCGATCGATGCAACTTTAAACGATAATATGATATACCTATATATGTATAATTTTTTACAAGATTATTCAAACTTTATTTGTTGTTGAATTTGTCATTCACTGAAATTTCTTTCCACTTGCAAGTCGATTTCCGCTACACAACACGTTTTGTACGTTCGTACAGAAGGAAGTAAATATGTTTGTTCCGGTACTTGATTCAATATAAACATTAAATTATACCAAATAATAATTTTCGATTACCAATTTTTAGAGTACGAGAAGTACTGATTTAAAAAATTTTGTTTTTAATTTAATTGGTACTAAAAATTAGAAAATATAAATTATTTTAATAGAAAGTTTAATAACTTAGAATGTATAGAGTGTAATCGAAAGAAGTACAATTTTTTAAGTACAAGTTAACAGTCTTTTTTAAAATTATGTACATGCTCTATTTTTAGGTATTAAATACTTGAATATTTGATATGTTTACGTTAATTTGTACCGCAAAGTACGATATCACGATATAATTTTTACGGAAAATAAAAATGCTACATTTGCTATGTGATTATCGTAAATTTACGAAATGTTATTTTTCTATTTTTCACAAACGAGTGATATATGTATATATATATATTTTTTTTTTTCTTTTTCGTCCACAACATAATCATATACTGTTATATGTAATTCAATAAAAATGACATCGTTCATTTAAACATCGATACTAATACGACAATACGCGTTATACTCGTTAAAGAATTTACAAGACGTATATGTATGTGTTTAACATTAAATATAAAAAAATACTTATAAAATAAAATGAAACGATTTAAAGGTTCATTGTTTTTTTTTCTTTCCCGCGCTGTATGTTAATTTACCCGCGTTAACTTTCAATTAATCGATAAATTTGAGATATATTAAACAACTTGCTAAAAGTTAAATGATAATTTTTTAATCGTGAAATACGTTTTAGCAAAATGTACTAAAGTTCTTTAGTTGTTTCGAGCATCAAGACAAAACTTAGCCAATTTATACAACTATGCTGCTGCAGTTTCAATGAATTAACGAGCTGACTACTTAGTTCATTTGCACGTTACATGGGCAAAAAGTTTCTTTTTTCTCCGAAATGTATACGAAAAATCCAAAAATAAAATAATTTTTACTAATCTTTTACTCTTATTCTTATTGAGATTTCTATTCGAAATATCGATAGTATGTTAAAAATTATTAATCGTATTTTGCTTAAAATTTCGATATAAGTTTATAATAAAAATATATTTTTTTACATGTTCATACATAGGTGTAGAGAAAATAGACACAGTCGAAAGAAAAAATGAAAATCCATCGACCTTAGAAATTACAGCGTCTCAAGATTTAGAAGGCATAGAGGCTGGCAGTACACCTTCGCTGATATGTAAATTGAACGTCCTGGGTCAAATATGGTGGACCAGTAATGGAAGAAACCTCACCACGATTAAGGATTATGAATCTGGGGGACGTTTGGATATTAAACAAGCTAGTAGAAACGATACAGGAGATTATAAATGCGTGGCACAAACTGTGGATGGAGAATTACTGGAGAAAGATGTTCATATCAGAGTTATTGGTAAATACATACAGATTATCGTAATTGTTATAAACATAAATATTTTATCATTTACACCCTTAACAAAGGATTGCTTTTACTCTAGAACCAGGTAGAGTAACAGCCGGAGAAGACATTAGGGCCAAAGTAATGGAGGCTGCTAACTTAACGTGTCACATGCATGGTTATCCATTGTCCCAATTTACTTGGTTAAAAGGGAACAATTCAGAAAGTACAGAACATTTAAAAGAACTTACTACTGTTACACAGATAAACGAAACATACACAATATTGACTTTAGAATTTACAAGTTTAACGCATAAAGATAATGGAACGTATATTTGCAAGGCACACGATTACAATGGCGAAATTAGCGCTTATAGGCACCTTTTTGTAATCGACGTACCAAAAGTCAGCATCGATTTTATGAAAGCTGTCGGTGCTGGAAGTATATTTTTAAACTGGACTGTAAACGACGGCAATGAACCGATTAAAAAGTATTTTATTCAACATATGAAGAATGGAACAGACCAGTATCACTATTACATTGAACAAATTGGCGGCGGTAATTCGAGTTACGTTTTGAAAGGTTTTGAAAGTGGTACCGCGTATCAAATTGCAATTAGTGCTACCAATGTTGTAGGTGAATCACACGTAAGATTCGATCCTCGTTGGATCACTACGCTCGAAAAAGGTTTGGAATGAAATATTTTCGTCGTACGTATTCTCGTTTTAGCCCAATGAATATCTTATTGCCAAAATCTGTTGCAGATCCTATATTTGTGCCAAAAGTTTCTGTTAATGGTGTCACTGAGAATTCAATTACAATAGGCTGGACAGTGCCACCGTCTGATTTAAAAGAACACGTTCATTATTACAATTTAATGGCTACTCACGGGGAACAGAAAAGGGAAGCAGTATATCCAGCGCAACCGTTCACTGTATACGCATTTGTTGATCTTGATCCTGCGACTACGTATAATTTTAGTATCGCTGCGTGCAGCGAATATACAAAAGAATGTGGAAACTGGAGCACCGAAGTGAATGGCACTACTCTAGACGGGGGTAAAATTAATAACCATAAACTTAATGGCACAAGCGTTCTAAAAAACTAAAAACTAATCACTTGGTCTTAATTGTAGTGGCCAACCCTCCTCAGAATCTATCCGTTAACTGTCGATTTGATAACATAAGTAGCTCTAGTTTTATCTCCATCACGTGGATCCATCCAGAAAAGCCAAACGGCGTTATTACTCGCTACAATATACAATTAACCGGCGTTGCTAAATTTAAAAATGATATGGGTCGTTTAGACATTGATAAGTGGGGACCACAAAATTGGAGCGTTTATAAAAGGAACAGTACGCATTTCAATCAAATACCGCCTAATACAAATTACACGGTACATATTTTGTCAAGTTTTTTCTAAAGATTAAGGCGTTTGTACATGGGGTTATAAATGACAATGTTTTTTTTAAAGGTCCGTGTACACGGTGTCACTAGATCGCGTACACCAGGAAAGGACGCTGTTGGCAATTGCACCACGCCAGTTACCATTCCAGACAGAGATAGCTTGAATATGCGAACATGGCGTAAAATCGAAAATCAAGGTAAACAGTTATTTAAACTGTACCTTCCACGTATTACGGAAAGGAACGGCCCTATTTGTTGCTATCGAGTTTATCTGGTTAAGTTAGCGCCACAGAAAAGCGTTACGGATTTACCACCACCCGAGGAAATTGGTGTATATTCGTATCATTACGCTCACAGTTCGCCTTCCGGGGGTGCTTACGTTGCCGAAACATTCGACAGCGATCGATTAATATCAGAGATTTTCCTCGGCGACGGCGAATCGTTCAACGGTAGCTCTATGTGCGACAAATGTATCGGAATTCGGCCAAAAGCAGCTCCGCCAGTATTACATTTTGTTCCTGAAATTCAAACAACTATAGCAACGCTAAACGCAACGCCTGCGACAACTATAACACCACCACCGACGACTACAACCTCTTCCCCGACAATAAGCATTACTACCCAAAAAATAGAGACAACGGTTCCGAGTATAATGAACGGCAACCATACTGAGAATGTAGCGAGAAGAAAACGAGAGAATATGGCCACTCAAAAGATAAAGAGCACCGACGGATCTTCCGAACTACCGTCGTACAACCCACAGGATGGCTCTTTGGATGAAAAATCTAATTACACCGGTTTCATCGAAGTTATTGGTATGCATAACATTTGTAATAAAATTCTTAGTATCCGCGTCTAAATTAGTAAACTGTGCAGCAAAATTTATTTCATAGTATTTGGAGCCCAGGAGGATCAACTTTTACCAGCCTACAGCAATTATTTCAATCCTCTTTACGGTGGATTGGATCCTGGGACTATAGCTTCGTCCGAAGTGACTACACTCAGCGTCATTCTACAAATATCGGTTGCTCTAATATTGATCATCATTATTCTTCTTATCGCGCTTTGCGTGTTGCACAGATACACGAAACGTGTGCAGCAAAGAGGCGAAGAAATCATTACACTAAGAAACAGTTTCAGGTAAAAAAAAAAAAGAAACGTTAAATAATTCATTTGAAAAAATGCTACTATACTTGAATACCTAATAAATGCCGTTTTCTGGTAGGCATCTGTGCAGAAGTCTCAGAGGAAGACATCAGCTTGTAGCCGCGAGTCCACCGGATATGCCCCCCATTCCTAGAAGCGAGCTGCTTCAGTCGTATCTCGAACGACACCGAGATTCCGATTACGGATTTCAACATGAATTCGAACTGCTGCCGGATAGATTTACAGACCGTACCACGAGAGCATCGGAAGCACGCGAGAATCTGTACAAAAATCGTTATCCGGATATAAAGTGTTACGATCAGACTAGAATACGATTAGCCCAGATGGATGGTATTTGCGGATCCGACTATATAAATGCTAACTTCGTGCTGGGTTACAAAGAGCGCAAGAAATTTATATGCGCTCAAGGCCCGATGGAGAATACTGTTTGCGATTACTGGAGAATGATTTGGGAACAACATCTCGAGCTGATACTCATGCTGACGAATCTCGAAGAGTACTCGAAAACGAAATGCGCGAAATATTGGCCGGACAAAGGAGAGACGAAAAACTTTGGAGACATCACCGTGGAACACATTCGGGAGAGGGCTTTCTCGGACTACGTTGTGCGCGAATTGAAAATGACACGACTCGGCGAAAGAGACGCGCGCACTATCGTTCAGTATCACTTCTTAGTTTGGAAAGACTTTATGGCGCCAGAACATCCCCACGCGATATTGAGATTCATAAAGAGAGTGAACGAAGCTTATTCGTTGGAGAAGGGACCAATATTGGTGCATTGTAGCGCGGGTGTAGGACGAACGGGAACGTTGGTCGCGTTGGACTCATTGTTGCAACAATTGGCTGAAGAAGGTCAAGTCTCGATATTCAACACGGTCTGCGATTTGAGACACCAACGGAACTTCTTAGTGCAATCGCTTAAACAGTATATTTTCATTTATCGCGCGTTAATGGAAATGGCGCAATACGGGGACACGGAGATTCCGGCTTCTCAGCTGAAAACTTCTGTTGCGAAATTGAGACAGAGGGACAATGGCAAAGAAAAATGTAGAATGGAAGAAGAGTATGATGTGAGTGAAGAATTTACATTAATAGATTTATTATGCAACTTATATATTGTGTTTGTAGAAAATCAACTCTGTGTTGGAAGATAGAAAATCATTCTCTGTAGGTGGAGGCGAAGAAAACAAAAGCAAGAATAGAAGCGAATTGATAATACCGTACGATAGAAATAGAGTTATTCTTACGCCTGTTCCGGGCAGAGAACATTCAACATACATAAATGCATCGTTTATCGAAGGCTATGACAATTCCGAATCGTTTGTCATAACCCAAGACCCTCTAGAGACCACTATAGCAGATTTCTGGCGAATGATTTCTGAACAATGCATTTCCACAATAGTAATGCTATCCGATGTAAGTAAATTTTTCCTCTTTTATTTTATTAATTCCTTTGGATCTCTTTGTTGCGTAAAAGTTGGATATATGGCACGCAACTCGCTTGTTACAAAAATTATTAATTTTTTTTTTTAAAAACGTTACACAGCATTTGAACAATTCATAAATATATTTTAAATATTATTAAGATTCGATAATTCCGTGCAAAGAGAAAGAGATAAGAACAGTCGGGTGAAAAATATTTCTGTGTCTCCGACTTTCGATAATAAATATCAGTATGTAAGTAATGTTTGAAACTAATTAGACTTTTGTAACGAGGCGAGTATCTGATACTCGTTTATTATCGTCGACAAACAATTGTTCCAAGGCGGGGGAGACGTAGCGTTAGTAAAATAGAAAACTTCATTTCAGCTAAACGAAGGTTCGCGAAAATGTCCACGATATTGGCCCGACGACGAAGCTGTGTACGACCACATAAGAGTTAGATACATTCAGAGCGAGAGTTGTCCATATTACACTCGTCGCGAGTTCTGTGTTTCTAATACGAAAACCGACGAGAATGTGGTTGTGACGCAGTATCAGTACCATGGGTGGCCGACGGTAGAGGGAGAAGTACCTGAAGTGACACGCGGTCTTATAGAACTTGTAAATCAAACGCTTACAAACGGTACTGAATCGAGCGGGTCATTGGTTGTTCATTGCAGCTACGGGTCCGATAGGAGTTCTATGTTCGTCGCTCTTAGTATATTGGTTCAACAGCTACGAACCGAGAAACGCGTAGACATTTTCACGACGACAAAGAAGTTGCGTTCTCAAAGACACGGCATGATCAGCGCCTTTGTACGTAACTTACGTTTGACGTTATAATAATTATTGCGGTACCCGTGACAATTAAATTTAATATTTGAATCAATGTTCCAGGCGCAATATGAATTTCTCCATCGTGCTATCGTCAACTATTCGGATCTTCATAATTTGGCCGACGACGAGCCAGCATCTTAATACCATGAAACGTACGATTGGAAAACCTAAATAATGTTTGGTGAACAACCGCGTAAAAACATTTCACGTACAAAAAGTGTTTGAAAACGTATAAATGCTCAAATGAACGTATATTGGGCCAACCAAAGAGATCACTAATGTATTGGTGAACGATCACAACATCCATGAACTTAGACTGACATGTATGTGCGCATAAGAAACTATAACCCCTTTGAGAATTGAACAGCTTATGCACGGACTGTCTAATTGTGCGTACCGAAGACATTTTACCTGTATGACACGGAATAAGCAGCAAATGGCACACATTTTCAAACCGGTAGGATAAAACTGAATGCACAATTGGTTCTATGGAAATTTTGCCAATTAAATTAACCATTGGTCGGTTAATTGTTACAAAGTGCAGAACAGTGATAACCTTCGTGATACCACGCCCTCGACAACTGTTGTAAAGCTATCCGAATAACTCGTTTTTATTGATAATATCGAGAACAAAAAAAAACAAAAAAAAACAAAAAAAAACACGAAATAGTGTATTAAAACTTCTTGTGATCGAAATGGAACATTCTATAAAAGCACTGACACAGCAAAGTAAGTGCTTTTTTTAATTAACAAATATGACTATTTGGTGAACTAGTGAAAAATCGAGCATGTTTATAAAACGTACGAACATTCTGACATGTGGACCATATAAGCTTATCGATTTAATATTTGATCGTGTTCTTTTTTATTGTAACAGTCGTATAATATATTCAAGCTCAATTTTGGAAATGCAAATTGCATTACTACTTTGAGATTATGATTTATAGAAACTGATTAATCTTTATGTTGCATATTTCTTTGAACGCGATCAAACATAGGCGGTAAAGTTCATATGGTTCAAGGCCGAATAAGAACTCTTGTATTCTTCCAAACATTTCTACCAACATGTGTTGTTATTCTACCGTTCAATGTGACAAGGAGAGGTCAAACGCTACTATGGTCTACCTTTCATTACAATATACTAATGATATCACGCACGTATGTGTGTAAGTTTATTTGTAAGATACGGTGTCATATACATATGTATAAGCGTGTGTTTCACACGCCTGCGCTAATTTTTCTTCTAAAGAAAGACTGATATTCTTATTCAGTTTAAACTGCGCGAAAAATATCTGTACCTTATTTGTATTACATCAGAACTGCTGCAAATCGTAATACACGGGAGAATCATTTTTTACTTTTTCATACATGATGAGAAAATTAGGGATATCTGTCTGTCTGTATGTGTGTGTGTGTGTGCGCGTGAGTGCGTGTATGAGGCATGCCCGTAAATGTGCTTTGTAAGACACCAACAAAATGTTGCACGTAATTGGAGGGCTTACGCGGCACAAAAGAAGCTACATTTTTACTTGAGAATACTAAGAGACATGGACGGTTCTCAGATTAATCAGATTCAATTTCTATTACCCAAGTTGAATCAAAATCAGTTGGACGCTCGAGGTCATTCGATAGTTAGACACAATTTTTTATTTTCACGACATATCGGCCTGCCCCTATTGCGTTGAAAGATATAACACAATAGAATAACTAAACGGTGGTGTAGTCTCCCAGTGACCTTGAACAATCATCTGCATCTGATCCAACTTGGTGCATTGAGTTTCAGAAATTTTTTTTTAAAGTAGTTCGTACAAATGCCTAACATTTTTTTAATAATTTTTCTAATAATTAAATGAAACTATTTCAGATGCAAGAACTGCCCGTAGCTCTCGGTATTCTATTTTGCAGTGAATTATATCGAAACGAAAAAATAAAACTAAGTTGATGCGATTAATGTAAACAAGGAAAGAAAAAAAAAAAATTAAACCTTTGGAATACGGAAATTATGGAAATCAGTAACATATTGTATTCCTTTGCACGCTCGTTCATTTCTAGTCAAGTTTTAATTCTGGCACGTGCGCTGCTAAGCCGTTCATTTACGGCAAGGGACAATCACATTAAATTTTACATCACATCGATCGGCAAACATTTTTTCTTTCCTTTTCTTTTCTTTTTTTTTTTTTTTTAATCAGTTTCATTCCATTCTGTGCTAATGCATATTCCCAACTCGATGTATATGTGTGTATAATCAGCTTATTACACGAGAACTAATTAGTTTGCTAGTTCGCGCTTCGATTATGTTGTAATCGATAGAATTCTAAGAGATCTATATTCTTCGTCTGTAACGATATCATTACTATCGCCTGTCGCTGTTGCTTATGTATTAATGAACGATGTGACAATATTTGTTTTTATACTCATGACACACTTGACACGTTTATAAGTGTCACGCATAAGTATGAAGTGCCTATGAATTTCCGCCTGCTTGAGTTCTAACATAAAGTTGCTATTTACGGAACGATATCTGGCATTAGTTTCTTTTTTTTTAAGTACATTTTAGTTATGACTTTATAAACGATTTCATTGGGCATATTTACAATCGCTAAGCAAGCATTCTTATAATCAAAAATATTTCACGCTACTTTTGTTCAAATTTTTGTATTTGTACATAGATATATGTATATGATTATTTCGATAGCACATGGCATTATGATATTATTTTTTTTATTTGCATTCACTCTGTTCATATTACATTGTTATTCCTATCATGGTGGAAATTCCTACACATTTTGTCTGATACCATACTCTCAACAAATCATGTAATGTAAACAAAATTTTCTGTAAGTTAAATTAACGCGCACAATACGCATACAAAAATCTAACAATTAATTTAATATTATCAACGATACGGACACATTATTGTATGTAGGAAAGACTAAACCATTTCTTTTCAAACAATCTCAGATCTTTCTTATATTTTCCGAAGCAAAATTTACAAGCACAGCGCCTTACCTGTAATGGACCTGTTTTAATTTATGTTGTTATGTTACTATCAGTGAGAAAATAAGTGATGTTTAAGTACAGAACAATAACTGTTATTTATAGAATCTGCGATTTTATTATATAATAAGAATTATACGCAGAATTAGTAATTGTGTTAAATTCTTATTTCATAAAGTTGAAAGGTAATTTTACGCGCATAAAAAATGGGTGACATAGAATGATAAATGTAACCGAGCATCGCTATAGCATACAATTTTTTAATTGTAATAGTTTTGTAATTAGTTACACATATCATTCTTGTTATGCATTCCGACCTTACAGTATGTGTATAAAGAAACATCGATCTTTTTTACAGCCAGTGTATGAATCAGAAGCATTAAAAGCATTGTTGTAAATTAATCTAAATGACAAAATTCTAATACAGTTTAATTGAAAGGAAAGATTCAAATAGAGAGCAAATATATTTCCATTTTTTTTTTTCAACTACACTGATATTTCAATTAGGGTAGTAACTTGTTATATTATTAGGTGCATATTGTGAAGGTATCTCAGATATAAGTTAAAGTTAATGACAATTTCGTATTAGCATTTTCTTGCAAAAGAGGAGATGTTACAATGGCACGCGTTATACAGTGCTATGTTAATGCGTTAACTTTCATTTAAATAAAAAAATTCATTAAAAATTTAATTAATCATGGATCTGAAATGAACTTTAACTCGTCTCAAGATAAATGGCTTTATATAACTGGCTAGGAACATGTAGTGCAAATTATAGTGGAGCATGCTCTGTAAGAACATGTGCGTGATGTCTGTTGTATGACTAAGAAGTTGGTAAAAATAAAAAGGAGACGGCGGTTTTACGATGGATAGTCATTCGAGTGAAATGTATTAAATACTCTTGTGCCCAGAGAAAAAGTGATTAATGGAGAATATTGTCACCCTCGCGTTAAAGATGTCATTTATGCTAAATGCATCTTCATGCAGATAGTACTGAGATGAACTATTGTAGAACTTTGTAAATTATGCAATTGCCGTGGCAATGAGTTAACGATATTGTGAATATGATTGTGCTGCATTTGACAAATAATTATAAAACACGAAACTGAAATAAATATGTTTACAGAAGAAATTTTCTATTTTAAGGGAAACGCCTTTGACCGTTATTCGACTAAGTAATTAGTTTGCTTTCTCTACCATAATCGTTGGAAATGTCAATTGCAGCAGCACAAACTTATTACACTTGGGAGAAAAAGGTAAGACTGGCCAAGCATAATAGAAAACTGAAAGATAAACGTCTTCGGTTTGCTAGCATATTTGCGTACGACGTTCTATTTTGCTTGGAGGTCGGAAAAATGCTTGCATTCAAATCTTTTTTACAATTTTGATACACGAGACGAATTTTGAAACGGTATTGAATAAGATCATCATCATGGGCATTTGATATGCTTATACGTATTTAATTTCCATAGTGCTTTAGCCATTACTTGTATTTTTCCATCTACAGAAACATATTTAAAAAAAATATCTCTTTTGTTGCGTCTAGTGCAACATGCGTAAAGTATTATTTTAAAATAAACTCTGGATGAATTGTTATATGGAACTAGTAATACATGTAGGTTTTGAATTCGAGATTTAACTAAAATCGATCTAACAGTTATGTTCAGATTCTAATGTATTTGTTCGATGCATACACCTAATAGATGTATTTTATGTCTAATATGTATAAATTCAGTGGCACCTACTAACGTTCCTGTGATATTCTATGCGACTGATGAGTTTAAGATGCGATTAATCGCGATCCTTAATTTTTTACAACTGGCGATAGAGGCCAGTTTTTTATATAATCAATCTTGTACTTTTATATGTAATTTCGATTTATCGCTAATTTCAGTAATCTCCGAAAACGATCTTTACATTTGATACGGATATACTTGGATTTTTAAAAGACTTTATCGAATATTCTCATCGTATAAATAATACGTGAAAATAGTCCGATACCCACCACCGTTGCATGTATTATGCACATTTACTCTTACGAACAGTGCTGCGATTAAAACTGACAGAGTTTGTTAAGTTTTATTACCGCTGATCGAACACATATACACATATAGCATCAGTCGGGTACACGAGGCGTCCGATTTAGCCTAATTGATTTGGATTTAAATATTTACACACTATCAAAATATGAATACTCTACGATTATTGACCGATAAGATACGTATGTATTACTCTTTCAGTGTAAATAGCGGATAGCGTTATGAAAGCGTTTTATAGCGATCATTTTTTAAACGATAGATACTCAAAGCAAAAGAAGAAGAAAAAAACAAATGACGTTTTTCTTAAAAACCACACATTGTATAAGGGTATTTAATTTTGGTCTGTAAGCAAGTAAAATGTATCTTGGAAAGGACGTTTAATTGAAAAGAATGAACATGCAACGGTCAAAGAGAAAGATACAATGTACTTTCCAAAATACGTCTAATTTTACAGACCAAAGAACATCACCCAGTATATATTTTATTTTCTATTTTTATCGATTAATACCTTGTCGTCGAAACGTGTTTACGGAGAAAAGGCGTCGATGATTTCGTAAAAGAATACTAGGTAAAAGTATTATCGAAAGTATTCTTTGATTAAATAATTAGTTGTGATTTCGCGTCGGGTTACAATGGCATTGCTTGCTCCGTAAATATAGCAATAAAATATTTTACATAGCCTATAGTTATCAACCTGTATAGACTTGTTAAATTAATGTTCAGAGAATAGTTTGCGTTTTTTTTTTATTTAACTGACGGTCCACTCGTGTCAAATAAACATTCTGAACGTTAATGCATGAATAATGTACCGTATTACCATGTACAAATACGTAGGTTCTGTTGTATACTGTATGTGAGGATGTGCTATAAATTCCCGTGGTTTCATTTCATTTTAATATATCATAAGGTATATATATATATATATATATATATATATTTATCGTCGAGATTAATTACTCTTAGCGCGATTAATAATGTTTTCAAACGATTTGTTTCGAACGATCGATTGTGCGTAAATCTGAACAGCTCACTTTCGATTGCATTTTTTTAATTTCCAATATACCAATAGGACAGTGGTCGCGTTATATCGCCGCCTGGTCGACTTCGACACGCGTTCTCCACATATGGGGAGGGATGCAGACTCTCGAGCAAAATGTAATCCGATTACATCCAATCACACGGTAATTACCATCTGATGGCAATGTAATCATAATCGTAAATGATTATACCGTGTAACAACCGTTCAATTACCGCGTGATTACAATTAAATTACAGTGCAATTAGATACACATATACATATGTATAATCGGATTACAATTACAGGGTGTTCGGCCATCCCTGGGAAAATAAGACGAAAATCAAGAATATCAATTTGTTGATGGATAAACATTTTGGCCCCTGAAATTTCCCATTAAAATTTTCCTCAGGGGTGGCACGAACATCCTGTATATTTGATTTTATTTTTATATTATAATGGTTGGGGGAAATTATGTAAATTAGCGGTTTGGGGGTAGCGTATGAGAATGATGAGGAACTCGGCCCATTTCTGAAAATCTTCCTCTCCTAGATAGTTAGCTAGCCTGCGGCGACATAACGTGACTTCGCTATACTCCGTTCAAACGATAAGATTAGAAAAAAGTACACCTCGGTCTATTTTTCACCGCGATCCGGTAATAAAAAATGAAACTATTTAAATTGGATGTATCAGGAAAACGGCTACAAACGGCATTCCATCTGGTACGCTTGGAACCGATACGATTTTCCAAGCTTTTGTATCTTTCGAGCAAAAACGAATTACACGAAAACCGTAAACGTTCTGAAACGAAGGCCTACCACCGCCGTCTCCGAAAACTTATTTGTTGGCTCTCGATAAACTAGACTTTAGACTTTTGTAAATTACTTTAAACGTTAAGACCGATATAGATCGAAGGAAAATTGCCGCGCGTTGCATTGCCACATTATGTTCGTATACATAGTATAATATAACGAAAGGAATTAAGATTAATTACGTGTAGCCTTAGATTTTGTATATTTACTTTGAGGAGGAACGTTATGCTAAAGATGAAGTGAACAAAAAAAAAAAAACAAATATATATACGTGTAACGACAATGATCATTTGCCGATCTCACGGGGCGCGATTTACGAACGTTACGGAACGATGATACGTAACCGCGCTGAACATCGAATCATCCTTTTTGTATGAAAACAACAAAATTGTAAAACGATATCGGTAACGGTGCACTCGATGTGAAAGGAAATACAAGACACAATAATGAGCCATACACGCGATTTGAGCTCTCCCCCTCCTCCACCCCTCAGCCCCCATTTATTCCTGCCGTTACTTCTTATCTCGACACGAAAGCTTACGGTACACCACGTTAATGTTCGCATGACGCAATTCTAACCATATAAATAAATTAACATTTTTCGTGCGTAATTCCTAGACCAGCCAAGAACCCCACAGATTTTTAACTCGACGTTGATTTTTTTTAACAGACCGCGAAATAATACGTGTATCGAATATCGAGTAATCGCGTACAATGATTGTCGTCAATCAGTGTTGAACATACTTTTATACAGATAACGAATAACGTCGATCGAATACATTTTTGTTTTAATATAAATTTATTCGATCGTAAACGAACGATGAAATAATATTTATTCGTTCGCTGTCGTAAACGTGTACGTAAACGGTATTTTTTATGTATTACGTACACGCGGATGTGTATGGTGTATATATGTGGTATTTGTGGAGTTTATGTGTATAGTATACATATGTATATGTGGTATTTTTGATGTCTATGTCTACGGTGCATATCTATAATGCGTTAATAAAATTGAGACTGGTAATAATAGCTAAATAATCACAGCGAACGAACATAATTAGGGAAAATCGTGGGTTGTCATCTAACGGATCTACGCGGATCCATTCAGCGAACCGCGATTCCTTGACCGTTTGTTGTATGCAAATCGTTCGCCATAAAGTTAAAGTCACCATTTGCATAATCAACAATAAACGTGAAATGCTACGAACAATAATCTTAAATTTCTCGATAGTAGATACATTTGTATAAATAAATTAGTAAGAATTAAGCATCACCAACGGAGTGTTATCGCATTATTTTGATTTTTAATTAGCCATTACGCGAAAAATGAATTAAATATTAGAAACAATAAGAATATTGTATATTCAATCCAATTACTTTGTGCGATGAATTTTTATTGATACGATACGCTAAAAGACCGGATGCGAGCATAACGTGTGCGCTTTGTCTATACCTATTTTTGCTGTGCAAGTTTCCTTTTAATGACGGAGCAACGGAGAAAAAAAAAAGAGAATCAGGTTTCTGGTACACATTTTGATCAAACGAAGTTAACGGTGAAGTAAATCGCACGTCTGAATACTTCCGAGCGAACGACTATGTCAACCTGAAAGCAACAACAGTATAACAAATTATCGTCTCATCGGTACAGATACGTATTTCCAGCGAACTGTTGATATTCACTTTACCGTTTCCATTTCGCGTACGAATCACGTAATAATCGTTTCTGTCGGCAAACCTTTGCGTAAAACCAGAACAATACGATTACAATACGGAATAAGAATCAAGTAGGAACCTTCCTTCTCAGTTGGGCATCAATGGTCTTTCAACAATTACGTATTTTGAAAAACTTACTCGTACGGTGTTTGTTCAAATGTGAACTCGGTTTTGGCCAAATCCATTACATTCCTGGTGAAATAAGTTTATCTCGAGATTCTCTGTTATCCTTAGAGCACTCGTACACCCTGAAATAATTAAACAAATGTTACGTGGTTGATATTGAGTGAACATTTTGCGCAAAGAATATAGAGATTTAAATACATACATACATTTTTATCAGACTATATTCTTCAAGGAACAATTGACTCCTGATTATAAATGAAATTTTATTTCACCTATAATTGTATGCATATTCAAATACCTAATGCTATTTTCGACGGTGTATTTTATCGCGAACGAGGCGCGCTAAAAATTCCAAGCTTCAACCGGAAATGCGAGGAAAAAAATATTTATGTCGCGTGTACGGGAAACATATGGCAAGTTTGCGGGTTTCTGGGTGTTCTTACATGTACGACTTAAGAGAATTTCTCGATGGTGGGGAATAAACTGACCGAGCGAGGATGTTCGTGCAGTTCATCCCTGGTAGTAGAATCGCGAATACGGTCTGATCCGAATCTTCAACATCTACGTCATACGAACTTTATAATACGAAATATTTAAAAGACGAACAAATATCTACCGTAACGCGAATCGCGTATTTCATAGAGAAAAAACAACGTGTACGTTTAACAATCAATTATTAGTAAAATACAGTAACTTATACCTAGTTAAACAGAAGATCAACGTCGCAACATGTAGATCACTGACCATCGATCATCAACAAACAATGTGATAACAGTGAACATGTTTGCAACGGCGGTTTTAAAAATTCCGTAACACAAATATGGAAAAATTCTTCCAAGGAACAACTCCATTATCGCGCCGACTAATGTGTATCCAATTTTCGATCGTATCTTTAATAACAAAATTCGTGAATTAAAATGCAAATATATTGTAAATACTGATAGATACAAAATGAACGCACCTCGAAAGATGAGATTGATTTGTATCGTTTTAATATTACTGAATCCAGCCGACGCGAAAACACAAACGAGTGGAGAATATCTTGAAAAAGTGATGATCGAGCTTCAAGACTTCAACGTTCCTCCCTCTGTCAATATACACGACAGACAATCGTCCAACAATGGCTACAACAATATGATTTATAAAGATAAAAGCAAACAGAGTTACGTGGTTCAGAGGATCAACATGAACTCGAGACAGAATATTCAAAAATATAAAAACCAGAGCTTCCCGTATTATAACGTTTTACCTAGTGATAAAATTGATCTAAATCGTGCTGGTTCGGAGAATAGTCTGCAATATTATCAGGTGAACGAAAATTATTATTATTTTTTCATTAAGGCACGAGAAAATGTTAAAAACAAATGATTTTTAGATGTGAAATTTATATTATTATGTATTACCTGTAGGACTAAAACGTTTTCGATTGTCTTTTCAGTCGAATGTTCCTAGTATTACGAAAATGCAGGAACCGGAAGTGCTCGGATTTACGCGGGCAGAGCTCGCGGCGATGTATAGAAATGCATTGGAAAAAGGATCGAAGATCAGTTTGTCTTCCCTAAGCAATGCATTATCTATAGGCGAGATGCCCCAAATCGCTGAAACTACCATGGAGTTTCCAGCCAAGCAGCCATTTTATCAATATTATTTCTTCCCATTAAAGACCTTCGTGTCAGAATTAAAAAAAGATCACGGTTATAAGACAATTGTAAGTAAACGACCATAGTTCATTCCTTAACGTTTCTGCATACAATATTCCTAGTCTTTAAAATGTTGTGTTTATTAAATATCGTAATACAGTATACGTAAAATCAAAGAAAATTCAAAACTAACCGTTACTCAAATTTTCTCAATGTCACGTTACCATCGTTCTTTGTAGCCTGCCCCTGCATTCGACAATACGGAAGCTGCACAAACTACTCAAACGCAGTTATCGAATCCTCTTTTCGTAGCTATAAGTACCTTTATTACCATGGCGATTGTATTCATGATGAGCGTTCTATTTTTACCGAAACTGACTCAATTCGATATACTGCATTCGCGAGAAATTCAAGACGACTTTTTTCACATATCGAACATCGTTATGAACGCTATCGATCGTTACGATCTCTTGGAGAAATTTAAGGAACACCACGTGGACTCTGTCAGATAGTGTACAGCATATGTAATTAAATAAATCCTTTGATAATACATGTAGCAGGATAAGGAGAAAAACAATTGTTAATAGAACAAAATGGTAATAATCGTTAATGAAAATTAATTAACATATTTATAATTATAATGCCTAGATTAAAACTTGTAAGGTTGAAATGGAAAAAAAATAGTCTATCGGAATATATTTGTAACATGTATTTAATTACATAATTTGTTATTATTTACTTAAATTTTAATAAAAACAACATTTAGCTAAACAAAACAATTTCAATTCGATAACATTATTATATACTAAACTTTATTCTTAAAAAATGTAACCTTTTACAATTTTTTTGTACATAAATATCAAAATTCGTACAAAGTTAATAACTAGAGATACGCTCAAAATAATACAAGATTAAACATTACTATAAACAACTACAAATATTGTGCATCTTTTTCTAATTCTGTTATCGTAGAGAAAATACGGATAAGTTATTTATTTTATCTATTTGGGGAATGTGTACTCACGTATGACGTATTAACGAGTTATCTAAATTTTTAATAAACAAGTTAGGTACTTTTTAAATTTTGCTACGTCTACTTCTACGTTTTGCAAAAGTATAGTTATATAAATTTGATGAATCGTACAATACGAAGAATATAAAGGAAGGCACACTTTGGAGTAATACCTGTAAGCTCGGTACTCATATTACATGTTATTTTCTCCTTCTATCAATCTGTCCAATTGGCTGTAGAAGGAGGAGCTTGTTCTGCTGCTTTTCGTTTTAGTACTTGACGTTGATGCTCGTATTCGAAATCTTCTTCGGTTAGATTTAATTTCCGAATCTGTAATGTTATGTTTGTTTAATAAAACGTGCATATAAAAAAATTATATATTTGTACAAGTGAAATATCCTACCTGGTAAACCAAAGTCTCTTCTTCCATAATATGCTGTGGAGGATTTCTTAATACTTGAAGGGTTTCATAAACTGTTGGACAACGCTTAACAAGAGATGTGCGACCTAAACTACCTTTTAACAATACTAGCCCAACTTTGAATATAACTTTAACCCCTTCGCAAAGAAACATATCCCACACTCGTAGAATACTTTCCCATGGCAGTGTTCGTGTATAAACGCATAAGAACCACTCTGTCATATACAAAATTGGTTCCATTTTTTGTTTTTTCTAAAATAATGCGCAACAATGAAATAAATATTCAGATTTCAAGTTGTACGTGCAGAAATTAATTTATACCAACCAGATGTTTGTAAGCGATAGGAGATACTCTTTTGAGCAAGGCAAATAAAATATCTCCATCGCGCAGTAATGTTTCCATCCCTTGACTATAGTAACCGATTAGGTATTTGTCACATATCGCAACAAGGCACCAAAATGCTTGTACCGCTGGCATGTGCATCAGCAAAAATGCAGCAATAGGTGCTTGAGCTTGACAATAGCCAACTTTGCTATTCAATATCGAATATGCTTTCAATACTTTAAACAATTCTTCCTGACCAGGTGCTTCTCCGATAAACATCACATGATGTGGAAATTGTCGATGTAGATCCTTTTTAATATCATCTATATATTTTGGATCGCCAGATCGTTCTACCAATTCTTCGAATAAATTTGGATTTGTGTCCATTAACAGTTGACCTCCACAGAGATTTAACCATGCACGAAGTCTAACGGAAGGTGGTATGCCCTTTCGACATCTTTCCCGAACTTTACGATAATTTGCATTCATGAAATAACTCCAATTGTTTAACATCTGTATCCATTTTCGTTCCCTTCGTAACATTACCTCAGGTGGTATTCCTTGTTTCCCAAGGCTAGTATGTCACATAAATGTCAATGCAAAAACACACATTTACTTGCTCGTACTGTATTTTAACATCAATTATTTTTTATAATATTACCTATCTGTGCTACAGTTTGAATCCTGAAGGAAACCATGTCGATCAATTTTTGACCCCTCGAACTTATCACTCTCAGCCTCTGCATCGCCATTATGCGATCCTGAGGACGCCATAGCATCTTTCTAATCGTCTAAAGTAGAAATATAAAATTGACCTTCATAATTTACAAACTAAACAATATTTATAAAAGGACAAAAAATGTTTCTCAACAGTACAAGAATAAAAAAATAAATATATATACATATATATATTTATGTTTTTCATTTCATGTAATAAGTAACACTATTTATACAATGTTATTTCCTTGCCACTGTGAGCATAAAAACATCACACATTAAAAAGTTAGTCAATGTTAGAAATCAATGCTTTTGAGATTTGAAAGATATGTACATGTCAAATCTTCTGTCACTTAATAAAATGAATGTTTAATTTCCGTTTTAATAATATTCATTATTTTGGTTATTATCTGAACATTGATCGGCATATTTTATGATCGCAGTTTTTATCACTTACAACATTAGAACATAACGAACGAGGTAGTATCTCTACGCGCCTCGCAATTGACAGTTGACAGTTGATTGCCAATGAAATCCAAAAAATTGTACGATCATATTTCAAGATATCAATGTTTCATACATCCTGTGATAAAGCACCGTTTTGTAACGCCTAAAAGATTCGTGCAACGAATACCAATCATTTGTACGTGTCAAGGAATAAACCTTCTTGATAACTAACATAAACTCAAAGCTGTATACATATTCGTACAATTATTTACTTTCACATCATGACATTAACAACGAGTGGGCGCACCATGAGAATCGACTATGCCTACCATCGGTGATGTGTAAAAAATTCATCGAAGAAACTGGACAGAACGTGCTGTACATCAACAAAAACCATGATATTTTACTTCTGTCGTATTTGACAATCACGCTCTTCATATCAGCTAAAATTGATTATTATATTTCAACGCAATGGAATTCTTTTTATTGCCAAACATAGTTCTCTGATACTTTCTTGTTAATTGGACAATTCCGTTCAATCATTCACGATTATCCAATAGAATAAGTGGACTATAGGTAAGATAACTGAGCTTTAAATAGTACAATGAACGCAACTATATTTACTTTTCCGAATCCCACTTCATTTGATCTTAATTTGCTTGAGAAAAAATAAAACAGTGATTAGTGGACACAAGACATTAAAAATATATTTGAAACCGATAGTTTTCCTTGGCAAAAGTAAATTTTATCATGAAAATAGAAACAATGTATAATCACATACAGTAATTCGTGCTGTCCAAGGGGAAAATCACCAAACTAAAAGTTCCCCACTGCGTAATTCAATTCCCTATAACAGAACAAGATGAAACACCATTAAGGCATTTACATGTTACGTTGTTCAAAAAATGCATACATGTATAAATAAAATACATGTGTATTGTATTTTATTAACACAATTATGTATACGTACTTAAATGTCGTTGATTTTGTACGCATTTTTCTTTAATATTTCTTACCGGCATACTTCGAGTTCTGTTATATGGTACTTGCAGTTCAATTGAAAAATACAGATACAATTAACAGTACTAATCGGCATTGAATAACAATATTTATGCCATCCGTAAGTTTTATCATTGAAAACTAATTGTTGAAAATAGAAATTACTTATGTATATTTGCAAATTTCTACAAGGAGTTTAATACATTTTTAACAGTACAGGTAATAAGGCTATGATACGTTTTATTAACAAAATAGGTGGATGAATAAAAATTATTTTGTAATAGTGCGAAAGCAACAAGAAAATGACAGAAAAAAAGAAAACATTACCTCCCAATGTATTAACGTAAGTTTTCCTGTACATACAAACATTTTAATATTTTCTAACAACTGTCACTAATGTCAAACGGTTTAAAAATACTTCAAAAATTGTTGTTTCACAGTGCAGAAGAACTACTACACCACAAAGGTATTAAGTACAATGCTTGGGACGAATATGAAAAGTCAGTTAAAACTCTTCCAAAGACTGGAAGGAAACAATTTGAACCAGATAATTCTTGGTTACAAAATATGCAAATTGAAAAGGGTATCAGATCTCGGAAAAATTTAATAGCCGTAGAAAGAGTGGATCGTATTTCGCAATTAGCCAGTGCCGAATGGTTGCCACTGGAGAAAAAGGCTAAAGTAAAGAAATTCTCTGGTCAAGATTGGAGTAGTTTTGGTCTGGAAAAGAACGGTGCCTTCTATTTAATACCAGAAGAAGCATTATTTCTTTTAGAAGCTGTATGTTACCATAATTTATAACCAGAATTGGATTGTTGTCTAACATGGCAGAGAAAAAGTAAGACACTATTTTGTTTTAGAACTGTTTGGAACTTACATGGAATGATGTACCATTATCCATTCAACAAGCTTATGAACTTTTAATTGATAATGTTGAGTGTTTAATAGAGGAGTATAGAGTTTATAGCCAATTAGTACGTTACGGCTATCGCATACAGCGCTTTGTTTACGATTCAGAGAAAAACATAAGAAGCGATGAAAGTGTTAGTATGAAACGTAAAGTGATTGTAGAACCAGAAAATGGCCTTTGGATGACCGATACTCAACAGCAAATTAAAAGTTATTCAGACACACATAATGGGAAATATATTGGTTGTCAAGAAGATACTGATTTAGATAGTGATGATTTTTGTGCCAAAACTTGTCAAGATGTACCAGATCGTGTTGATATATTGGAAGATGTATATAAAATTGTAGATGATCTTCTTTGTACCATAGAAAATATGGAAACTCAAAATGCAAATACAGATTCTGAAGATGACACAGTGGATTGTATAAAATTTGATACTAATTTGCAGGGAGAGAAAGGTAATCAAGATAAAAGGAAACGAAATTCTAAAGTGGAAATTATATCGGAAGAAACCTTATTAGGTACTATTAAAATTGTCACAGATCCTATGAATGATCAAACAAAAAAAAGTAATTCAATGGCAGATTGGCGATCGTCGCGTATACAACGGAATGTCAAGTTGTTACCCAAAAGAACTGACAAAGTATCGTTATCCAATGATATTGCTATACTTGATTCTAATACAAAAAGTTCTGAACATAGATTAAGTAAACATAAATCATCCTCACCGCCTAAAAAGGAATTGCAAAGCAAAAAGTCAAAACATGAAGTAAGACGTCTAATACTTATAATCATAATATTTGTAATGTTAAGATATCAAAATGAAGTATTACAATTATTGTCTTTTTGATTAGGTCATAGAACTTTCCGACGATGAAATTCAAGAAGTACCGCAGCTCATGACGCGAATGGGCATATTAAATTTAATTCCAAATATCGCGTCACAACCCACAATTACAGTGAACATTTCACGAGGTTACATACCACATAGTATAAAACCCTATAAAACTGTTTATCATTACGAAAATGCACAATTACGAAATTTACATCAAACAGATAAAAGACTACGACATGATAAAAATTTTAAAAATTCAAATAATGTAAGTCAGAATATTCTTCAGTGCAATAATACATCTGCGAACAATACTACCAGAACAAATACCAACGTTGCCACATATAATCAGAATTTAGCAACAAATGTACATAATATTTTTGCACAAAATTACTTCTCAATGGAACGTGGACACTATACAAACTTTAACGCTAATTACATGTACAATAATAGAATGCCATTTGCGTTTGGCCAGAATTCATATTGGCATCAAAGAAATACCACGTTTCAAAATGTGTTTGTTGCTCTTGAAAATCATAGTGCAGCTATTCACCAAAATAGATTTATGTCAGTACAAATGAACAATTTCTCAGTACCAAATGTGAGTAACAATACGACGAGAAGCTATTTTAGTCGAAACCAGTTGTACCATAATTTTCATCAAAATAGTTTATCGTCACAGAAATTTTATCAACATAGAATTGTAGAAAATACGTCAATTCATTGTAGTATAGGTGGAAATGTATCATACGCGGAACCCCGTCAAAAATATCATCCACGAAACCATTATAGAAATTCAAACACGTTATCGAATTATAACGATGAGGTTTATCAATCGTCATTCAAGACACTGCCAGGATTAACTTCGTGGTCAGAGTTAAAAACTAAATGGCGCGAAGAAAAAACAATCACTATTGATGATGAAGATATACAAAAAGACACGATCGAAGATTGCGACGAAGTGGAAGTGGTTAGACAATTACGGAGCCCGCTTGTTGGTCCAAAGAATGTAAATAATCTGGAGGAGGTCTTTAGTAAACTTAGAATAATCAAGTCCGCGCCTGAGAAGACTGTAAGAAGGAAGAAAAGTAAATACAAGATATCGTATAACGTTTATTCTAATACACAAATTTATAGAAAAGCAAAACCTGGCCCTCCACTTTACCGAGTAGTTGTAATAAGGTAACTAACTACTTGTTATTAATAGTATTATTTTTGTGTCGTTCGAAACTAAACGATTTTTCTTTTTATTATAGGCAAGATGATCCGTTTTTACAGCCAATTGAATTACACCGTTTATTACAAGACGCGAACAAATCGCCTATAGTATTGGCCTGTGTTTCAATGTCAATTTCTTACATTCAACCAGGATTTGTATCTGTACCTAATTTAACGTAATTAAAATAAAATATTTAATTATAATTATTCATTTTTTTCAATATATTAATTTAGGCAAATACTCGATAGAACCAATTTTCAGTTAATTCAAATATCTATTCACATTTTACATTGAATTACATACAGAAAGGATCAAATTATCTAACAAATAATATAAGATATCACACGTTAATACAATGGAGAACAAAACTTTTTGTTACAGGATAGGAATTTCAGGAGCAATGCATTACATTGTACACAAATAATGTGTATTTCATACTTTATTTATAAACATTTCAAGCAACATTCTCCGTTGTAGATATTAATTTCCAATTTTTTTTATTCTTACCGATTCTCGGCTTTTTCGTAACGTTTGTGGAATTATTTTCGATCTATAACCGGTTCTATAGTTTGCCCTCCGCATATCTGACCCCATCCAATCAAACGCCAATGTTTTTCGACACGACGCGATAACGCGATCTTTTCGTCGATTTCCGTACAGACAGGATTCGTCAGGCTAATTTTAGCTAAATCGGCACGAGTGGCTAATACACGTCCTCCGGTACTTAGCGACCCGATATTTACCAACAGCACTTCATTTCTCGATAATTTCGGTACCTATTGTCGAACAGTATTTATTGAACCGTTAATATCGATGAAATTCAATATCTTTGATATGATGGATCTTACCCGTGCTCCTTTTTTGTCACCCTCTGTTCTCACTCCTAATAACCGCTTAAGGAGATAATACGATATTTCAAGTTCAATAAATATTTTTGGTAAGGCCCCAACAGCTCCCAAAATTTGACCCACTAAACGATCCGCTCGACACAACGTTGGTTCAATTTTCGTCCCAACACCTTGGAATTTTATCGTATAAAGATAATATCTATTTTCTTTTCTCCTAAAATGTATTTTCTTTATACGTTCGTGACGGTGTACAAAATTACTTACCGATAAGACCACCCGGGACAGCAAACTGCAGTTCATTTTGTTCAGCGAATAACGATACTATCCGTGAAAATATAGGCCTGCAGGTAAACTTTCCTTCGCTGTCTTTCGATACTAATCCAGGTCGCACTTCAATTTCCATACCCACCTGCGAAATATACGTACAATAAATGTATTAAGCGCGGGTGTATAATACGAAGACGAATTAGAAAACTATATTCTTAACATACTTTTAATACTCCCCTTAAAATACTTCCTCCAGCAACGCCTCCTTTCAGATCATCTACTTCACAGCCAGGCTTATTTACGTCAAACGAACGAATTACAATTAATCTTGGCTCTGAAGTAAAATCTCTCAAAGGTACTGGAATCTTTTTTGTGATATACTCGCACAATACTTCGATATTGTATTTCAATTGTGCAGAAATTGGTATCACAGGTGCTCCTTCAGCCACTGTACCTGATTAGAAAACAAAAATACAATTTGTTCGTTAGCGCGCATTCAAGAAAATTGGGGGCAATAAACCAGACAATTATTATCAAAACTATAATACCTTGCACAAACTTCAAAATTTGTTCGTACTGCTCCTTTGCTTGAGCTTCTTTCACCAAGTCTATTTTATTTTGTAAAATTACGATGTGTTTCAATTTCATGATTTCAATGGCAGCCAAATGCTCCGACGTCTGTGGCTGAGGACACGATTCATTGCCAGCTATAATCGAATAATATTTTTTTATTATTAATATAGTCTGGATTGTAACGTTACAATATGTAAAATGTTACGAAAGGTATAAAAAAAAATTTACCAATTAAAAGTAAAGCTGCATCCATGACTGCTGCACCGTTTAACATGGTTGCCATAAGGATATCGTGTCCTGGGCAATCGACGAAAGACACATGGCGTACAAGCTCAAACCGTCCAGAACAAATTGGGCGCAAACAAGGAAATGAATCATCTTTACTTGAGCCTCCGGATATGTAACACCCTGGTCTTGGACATTTTTCGTTGTTGCATTTGTAAATCTTTGCATTTGCATACCCTAAAACAAAAAAATTCATAACGTTGGATACCTTTTTTCTAATTATATTTTAATGTACACTTCCTTGGCTTGATAAATAGTTACGATCGGATAACTGAAACGAATTCGAATTCTAGCGTTTCAATTATTCGAGGAAGGTCGAGTCTTTGTTCCATAAATTAACCATTTTATCTTGGGCTACAGTTGAGACCACGCACATATTTTTCGACGAAGAAATATAATATGATGAACTGAAAATAGGCAAGATATAGTAACAGCGAACAAATTTCATATTATAATCGAGAACGATAAGCGAAGCGCCTAAAATGTGTCATCATCATAGAGATGATATGAAAAATATACAAATCCTGTTTCATTTATTCAGAAAAAAATCGCTTCGGTTATTCAGGGATTAAAGATGAAATCCAGAATGAAAAGAGAGTACCTTAATACGATATTAACGTTCAGAAGCTCGATAGAAGAAGAATGAGACTTTGTATGAAAGAAATCAATATTATTGCATTAAAAGAACAACTATCGATGTAACAATTTACATTTATTTGTTGTGCATTACATGTACATAACGAAGCATCAAATGTTCCTATACACATAATTTTAAATAATTTAAAAATCAAAATATTTGTATTATAAGTAACCAAATTTTGAAACATTAATACGACAATTAAACACATCAGAATAATTTTTTAACGACAGTAATAAAAGCACTCAATTCTAATCTATTACAGGCTGATCGAGACATTTGCAACTTTTGAAGATCAATTTCGATAAAGCTATTAATTTATAAAAAATTAAAAAATTTTCGAAATTAATTTTTCTTAACTTCGTAAACATTCGTAAAATATTCGGGAATTGTTGAATCATTGAACATTGATAATTTTCAATATGGTTTAAATTGAACACTGTGAACTGAAATTTAAATGACTACACACACATACATGTATGAAAAACTTTAAATGCAAAATGTTGAAGTATTATCGAAATATACACAGTTACATAAGCCTTTTGTTTAGTTCTAAATAAGACACGTGTAGCGTCCTGCAATACCAAGCTAAATTGTACCATTTTGTCTTATTTTATTCAAAACTTATTTACTACATAATATTAATATAATGCGTATTATAGTTAGATACTCTAAAAAATTAGATGGTAATTTGACGTAATGATATAATATTATAGTTTCACAGAAACATTATTACAAAGGGCATAGTAGACTATAACAAATTCTCGATACGAAAATACGTACTAATGACAAAGAATGCTGATTAAAAAAAAAGAAGTTTTATAAATTCACCATTCACAGTCCTAACATTAGATGTAAAAATGGTATAAAACAAGCATAACAGTGTATAGCGACTCACACAATTGATCAGATAATTTGCGAATCTTAGAAAACTTCGCAATACGCGTCGGATAGACACGAAAGAACTTGAAAAATAGACAAGTAATGGCAACGAGCATATCACAATTATTTGGCACTCAAGTTTGGCAGTGACCGCATAATCATCATTTATGTATCTACACGTAGTAATATCATTTACATTTAAAAAGAAAAAGAAAGAGGGGGGCTGAAATATCATGCAGAAATAACAAACAATTCACAACAAAAAGGATTGAATAATATATAAAACTCCATTAAATATCTACAGGGTTTATTGTGTAGTTATAGCTATTTTTAAGCCTGGCTTGAAGAACTTTGAATTGTGAACCAACGAAAGACGACTTGGACAAATCTTGAAAAGAAACAGTGTAGAAATATTATAAATAGTGTGTTGAGACATTCAAGGGATAATGGAGTTTTAAAAATCAATCATAAAATTAAGAATATATAAAATATTCTAAACCTAAATTGTACAATACAATGAATGGAATTTTGTTTTTTTATTCTAATTTTTCCTTTTGTTTCTAAAATAAAAATGTACAAATTTAAAAATCATTCAATCAATTATGTTGGTCACTGTAACTGCACCTGTATTTATTGTTACGTTACTCTAAATGGTAACATTTCGTTTATTTAATAAAAATAATTGGTCTTTTCTCAAATCATTCTTATATAACTGCTTGTGAATATAAACAATCGATCTCCTTTATCTCAACATTAGTATAATGTATAGAGAGCCACAGTAATTGTTTATACTTAAGTGCATTCAATGATGAGCAAGTTAGCTTGTGTCTTAGCCAATGAACATATGTATTTGTGACATTAATTTCATGATAAACAGAAACTATGCAGAATTATAAAGTATCACCTCCTATTTGTCTCTGAACGATTCCTTTATCAATTACCTCAAACATATATATATATATATATATATGTATATATATGTACTCCTCAACATTCCAAGTAATATAATCTGTATTAGCATTCTTTCTTAAATACTCTGATCCGTGTATCTAATATAATTACATAATTCATTCAATACTTAAACTTATTACATAGAAAAAAATGATGTCTGATAAAAGTGAACAATAAATTACAATTGTCGACTTTCATTTCCTAGTAACAAACAAGTTCCTTAATCCTGGAAACAATAGATAGTTCTCAATAAGATTCTTAAAACAGTTAAAACTGAAGTCAGTAGTCACATAACATTATCTAATACTTATGTAATGTGTTTAAAACAAATATCGCCTACAATTCCGGGCACCGCATTTGCATAAAGTTTTATTATTTGACAAGTCGGATTCAGGTGTATCTGGTCGTATTTCAAACTCTTTTTGAGATTCCGTGGTAATGATATTTATATTTAAATTATTTGTCATAGATACATCTTGTCTTATAGAATTTTCGCTGTTTCTTGAGGTCTGGCACGTGTAATCAAAAGTAATCTCTTCGTTCTTCTTGATATCTCTGGTCGCGAATAAGGCGAGCTTAGGGAGATTAGGATCAAGACAATTGATCCAAACGGCATAAACCGCTAGGTTCGGGTCACAGGAATGATTAATGAAATGAGAAACGTTGCCATATACGGCAGCGTCGACGGTATAAGGACACTGATCTTCAGTCTCGTTATAATCTAAATCAAAGAGGTAAGTTCTACCGGCGGCGTCGTATTCTTTACCACGTTTCTCAGCTTCTTCATTTGTGATAACTTCCCCGACGTATTGAGTCACAAAAGATCCCTTTTTAATCGTTTGTAAAGTTTTTACGCCCCAGCCTCTATCATTGATAGTTCTAAAAATACAAAGCTTCATCTCGGTACCACGTTGCACCACTCGATTCATGCACCCGATGTCGCAAGTGCACCGTTTATTGCATTCATAAATCGGCGTCCCGGGTGAAACTCGTATCTTGCATGTTGTGGTATATGGGCAGTATCCGTCGTACTGAGTAAAACAACAATTTGTCTTGAAATTGCAAGTGTTACATTCGCAGCCAATAGGTGGATCATTGGGTATTACCACCCCTGCACCGGGTAAATATTCATCTATATAATAAAAATCTTTAGGCGCTTCTTCTAGGTCCACCACATTCTCCACCCGTATGAAGGGTTTCCCTTTGGTGATATTGTTAATTTCGTTTTCCCAGACATTCAACGAATTCAACTGCTTTTCTCTCGTGTCACAAATTGACATATAAAGAATACAATCTTTTACAGTCTTCATGTTACCAACTTTAGAGATCCCCTGCTGTTTTAAGAACTTTTTTATAGTAGAAAATAATTTAGTTTGTTCTTGAAAAATGGACGTCATCATTGTCCCCTTATATCTAAGTTTCCTTAAGAATTCATCGATGTCTTCATCGTTTGGATAAAAATTCACTTTTTCCTTGATACAATTGAGCAATCTCAATCCATCCGTCTCAAAGTCTTCTAATATATCCATACAATTTATTAAATTCGATACTGGTTCCCAGCTGTTGTACGCCGAGTTCCAATTCTTCCACTTGATTAAATAATTTAACTTCCCATCCTCTTCTCTTTTCTCAAGAATCTTTTCTACTTCCCATAAATTGTTTTCCGACGACAATGCATTTTTTCGATTTTTACTATCGTATTTCATATCCTTCAATATGATCCTTAATTCTTTTAACTTAACGTTTCCTAAATTGTACTGTAGTTGCAACTTCTCGATATCACTTTTATCATTAGTGCTAGTACTATTATTAATGTTTAATGTATTCAGTCTTTTACTTTTTACGCCAGTTTTTAGACTCTTAAAACGATGCAAGTCTTTTCTGTCTTCGTTCTCGTTTTTTATCTCTTTTCCGATTTTCTGATTGAAGGAGGCATTGCTGCTACATAAACTTCTTGTCGATGTATCATGGTCGTTAACATTTTCCGCGGAAGAAATTAATTTCTGTTCGTACTTCGGTTGTTTGGCGTGAGGTTGAATGTTTCCTGGAGAAGCTGGTCTTTTTTCATGTTTAGAAGACATACGATTTTCGCTCATCTTGCCAAGAGTGTCTTCTTGTTTCCCTTTGGTACCGTCCCCTGCACGAGCGTCTGTAATACCAAACATTTAAAAGATGTCATTCTTTTTCGTCACATTTTCCCATATTTCGTTTAATGTGTATTATCCTGCCTCCATTTTTTTTTTTTTTAGTATTAATGTATCACCTTATACTCTGAATATCCCTTAAATCCTCTTCGTTCTTCTCTTTCATTTACTAAGCAAGATGTACAAATTGTTTAATCATTATTGAACAATCGATATAATTCATAGAACTTTTATGCAAAAGAAGATTCCTTGCACAAACAGCTCCTCGTGAAGTTATATATTATTGTTTGAAATTTTCAACATTTGATTCAAAAATATTAAGTATACATTAATTGTTTTTATCTTGTTCGATTCATACAATATAATACGAATACGATACAGGTAACTCATCCTCAAAGATAAATAGAAACTACTTGACTAAAGCACACCTTAAAAATATTTTACCATCACGACTACATTTCTTTAAGGATGCTATAGATTCTTTTTCATTGCTTTTTAATAAATATTCCTCATAAGTTTAAAACTACTTTTATATATATACATATATGCTTCAACATGTTTGCTCTTTCTATTCGATTGAAATACCATGTGCCATAAACCATGCTATATTTATTTAGCATTACCAAACTTTATTTTTACAGATATAAAATAGAAAATTATTGCTGTTTTGTATACGCGATATTAATTTCTTACAAGTATAGATATGACACATGGTAATAAACATATAAAAAAGTATTACTTTCAGGAGTTTAACAAATAAAATTCAAATTAATTTCAATGCAAAAGAACTATCTTTATTATTTTTGAAACAAATACAATGGAATTACTTAATACATCGAATAACGATGTGCTATTATAAAAATTGGTGCAACAAATTCTTCAAGCGCAAGAAATATTGTAACGTAACGTAATTGAGAAATTTTCTAATATATGTAATAATACTTACCTTTATTCGAGTTTCACTTTATAATCTAAGAAACATTATACTTACATTCATAACTTCTTATTGAAAGACACTTTTTATTTTGGTCTCTTCGAAACTCTAATGATTTTAAAACAACATATTAAGGTATGCTTTAATCAATAGATTTCAGCTTTTTAATTTCATTAACAATATCTGCTTGCCTTAGAGTATTTCACTATATATTTATTAATGGCGTTCATTGTTTGTAACGATTAATAACAGCCATTAATCAAATTTATTATATGTTATGATTTATGATAATAACATTACCACTTGTAAATTGAAAATTTCAATTTACAAATAAAATCATTATTTGGTAATAAATGTGCTATTGGCGTCATATTTATACATCAGAATTATTTGACATTACTCGAATTTTACCGCCAGGTCTAACCCTACTTAATTTCCGAAACAATTTCTTGTACATATTAATAAACACATATTAATATGCAGCTATAAACTGATCGTAAAAGCATAATAATTACGGTCTATTTCAAACATTTGTTTGCTGTTACAAACAACATTTGTATAGAATTATAGAATAAAATTATTTGAAAGAAAATAACAGAACCATGTTATTATTATTACCTCAAGGAAACTAAACAAAATGTAGATTTTAAATCAAATTCCAGAATAAACGTGATTTTATAAGTTCTCAAACATTTCTTCAATTACGAAACGGACTTCGACACCCGCGATCCGAAAATGATTACTTTACAAAATGGCGACAATTTGTCATACCCAGCGCCACCTACACGACAGAAATAAACACAATCCTTTAAAACTTATTACAAAAATACAATTACAAATATCTAAATATAGAAAAATATGATTAATTGAAGTATTACAATATTTAAGTCACTTTCTATTTGATCATACTTTTATTTGGCATTCTTATAAATACTCAGCAAATTGGTTGCTAATCATATAAATAAAACCATCAGCCAAAAATAGATGATATGGAAATTAATGCGTTGAAATATTTTTAATAAATCATATTTAACATTTCTATAATTATTTTCATAACTATTATCGTTTCATTACTCATTTCATCATCAAAATAATATGTTGTTTCGAGGTTGATATAAAAATTTCAAACTACTTACCAAGTTTAATTGTAATGTTCCTTTCTAATTCATTTTTAAAACGAACAGTCTGTACTCCTGATATGGCTTTAACAATTGTGGATTTTCCATGCGCTACATGACCAATAGTACCTGTACAAAAATTTCTATTACATTTTACAATACATGTACCTATTCTTATGTTTTAATAAATTGTTTAATATTTGTCAAATAATTTTGTAGACAACACATATCGTAATTACCAATATTAATTGTTGCTTGTCTACTGATGACTTCGGGTGATAATGCAGTCAATGTACTAACATCCTGTATAATAAAGTAATTTTGTAAATTTGTATCTTGAAAGTTCTAACATTTATTATTTTATTAGTAATCGTACATTTAATAGCTACAATTATATTAATAATACATATTTTTATTTATGATTATAACAAATAGTTTTGTTTATGTTAAACGCTTAATAAGTCAAATGCAATGTTGATCCTTGGGAGCTAATAGTATGAAATTTAAAAAATAATACTTTGTGATTCATTTTGAAACATTTTAAACAAAAATGAGACTTCCCACTAGCCTATGGTTTAAACATAAACACATTTTTAGTGTTTACACGATGCCTAAATGGAAAATAAAACAAAGTTAGCTTCACATTTAATGCGTCAATAAAGTTTTAAGGATTCATAATTTGTTCGACATTATTTAATTATTCCATTAATTCGTAACATCAATTGTAAAACTGTAATTTGAAATAAAGATATAAAAATGTACTTATGGTAAATTATAAGTACGCCACACATTAATTCTATATAAAAGAACATCCTATCAAGTGAAAACTGGCTTGTTTTATTTACATATATTCTTTTTGGAAAATAAAACAAAATGGTACAAATTACAGAATTATATATATTAATTAAATTGATACAGATAGCACAATATAATTAAATGGTGATACCTATATAAAGTATTTTGAAGAATACATAACGTAATGTGACTGACTTATTATGAAGTAAGTTCACATGTCATTAATTATTAGAAAACAAAAAAAGTAATAATAAAAAAAATTTTCTGAACAGAGCATATATTTCGAATGCGATACTACCTTTTTTAAACTCGTATTCGTGACAATTTTCATTCAAATTGACACAAGCGAGGTATACTACAGTATGCTAACGATAGAAATTGAGGTTATGAGAAATATGACGAAAGCTTGACAGAATATGAAGACACATTGATACAAATAGTACTCACTAGCTTCGAAAGATCTTGTTTATAAAGATTTGGTTGACCGGTAGTCACCCCCAAGCGTTCTTCACCACCCATAATCACCAAGTCAGTACTTGTAACACGTAAACCACGCGAAGAACACTTCAAAAAAGGCAATACCTCATTTAAAAACAAGAATACAGAACAGACTACCAACGAATCCTAAGTAGAAATGAAGCCAAAGAGCGCAAATAGCGCCAAATGGAAACTTGTCGAACTAATACAAAAATGCATAAAACGTTTTATCACCAACAAAGAGACTTTAGGCAATTAATCTTTACATATACAGACCTTAAAAACTTTCACCAAAATGTGAAATCACAAATTATGTCTTTATTTCTTTTACATTCTTTACATGTATTACATAGTACTCTATGTAATCTATGACTTCTTCGTTGATTGCTATACAACCTACAACGTACAACGGCTGTTAGCAGCCAATGGCTGCCAACCGTTAGTTTTTGGCGGGCTTTAGTAAAGTGATAAGAACAGATGACAAATAATGGTTGAAACAATATGGTAATTAACATATATGTACAAATAAATTTATCCAATCGATGAATAAAATTATTAATTAGATAAATAATTAGTTTGTTGTATTTATTCGCAGTAATTTCTATCCATTTGTTTGTTAAATATTTGCAATTGTAATTACAAGCTTTAGTGAATTTTCATTATCTTGATCGAAATCGTTTAAAAAATGTCCAGTAATTTTATGTAAATATAAATACATTTTGAAACTGATCAAGTATTTACAAAGAGATACATAAAATAAGAACGTTATTATCGACTACGATCAATAAGACAGTGGTGTTAACAATTAATAAATAGTGAAATCATTATTTACTTAATTAGTAACCTTTGAAATTAAATATCTTTGTAAAATACAAATTTTGTCATACATAAAATTATAATAAAAGTAAAGGCAATTTACAAACTACACTGTAATGTGTACATCATACATATGTATAACAAGAAATCTACATTGTGACCTATGGACGCGCAAATATATGTTACATATATACGTGCTGAAGTAGACGGTAATTGATGAGGAAAATTGAAGTAATGTCATTTGTATTAAAAATCGTTAGAAGCTGATTGTTTTGGCTTTATATTATTAGCAAGATACTTATACATGTTAGACGAATTTACAGGCTAATGAGATTGTTGTAATCATTTTATCTTTAAAATGGAACAGTTCCCAGAATTTGTAGACTTACTGCTTGCAAGAAGAAAAGATTGTGATAGTTTATGGGTTTCTCGACCTATGATTCCATTGCTACCGCATAAGCTTTCGCCAGAATCCAAATATACCAGGAAACAAATGATTCAAGCTGTACTAAACAATGAAAAAGTTAAGTCGACGATAACATCTTTAGCTGCAATGTACAAACTAGACACAAATAAAGTCAGAAAAGAAGCTCATATGATGGTAAATGAAATGGCTGCTAAAGCACATTTGGCTACCGTTCGTTGGTTAGGTAAATCTTTAATTTTATATCATAAATTATAGTCCCATCTATTCGTCGAATTAATGTATTTGTCAAAAAGGAATAAAGGAAGGAAAGATGAGCATAAATTATAAATGAGTTTGGATTTTTAGGTATAATTATTACAAAAGTTGTCAAGAGAATCTTTTTGAGCATTTATATAAATGAAAGTGCAATACACAGACTAAAAAAGGAAATGCAGATTTCTCAAGTACAATACGTCTATGCACCTTCTCATAGAAGTTATTTGGATTTTATATTACTCTCGTACATTTTATTTTCCTATGATATGGCACTTCCAAATATCGCAAGTGGAATGGATTTTTATCAGATGTTTATAATAGGAGAATTATTAAGGAAAACTGGAGCTTTTTATATGCGACGTAGCTTTTCTACGGATTTATTATACAAAAAAGTATTTCAATCATATGTTATGTCTCTTATACAACACAGTGATAGAGCGATTGAATTTTTTATCGAAGGTACTCGAAGTAGAAGTTTAAAGAGTATAGTACCAAAGTTTGGTATGTAAGAAAGTACTAATTTCAACATAATCCTGTCATAAACACTGATCGGTAAAACTATAATACTAAAATGGTTTTACTTTCAGGCCTTCTTTCGACCATCTTAGAAAGTTTATTAGAGGGTGGTGTACCTGATATACATTTTATACCTATAAGTATAAATTATGAGCGACCACCGGAAGAATTATTATTTGTATATGAACTTCTTGGAGTGCCAAAACCAAAAGAATCAACAACCGGTCTCCTTCGATCTCTATCCATTTTACAAAAGCCTTATGCTTATGGTTGTGTCTATTTTAGCATTGGCGAACCTATTTCTGCGTGTCAATTTTTGAGTATGGAGCATCGTAAAGCAAGAGTATTATCACCATATACAAAATTATCGTCATCCGTCAATGAGAGATTGGGCTATTGTATAATAGATTCGCACAAGAAAAATACAATTCTTATGCCTTTCAATGTAGTTGCTTTATTATTCAATGAAAGAAGTCAAATATATCCCGATGATCCATACACATTGGACGTTTTAGTCGATGATTATTTGTGGTGTAAAAATCTTTTACATACATTCGATGCTACGATACATACAAACAGGTAAGGTTCGTTTGAAAAAGTAGTAGTACTATATATTTGTGTTATATTTGTTATAGACTAAATTTTATGTAGGCCAGTTGATATAAACAATACAAATACAAGTGAAATAAAAGAAGAAATATTAAATACTCTGAAGCCTCATGAAGAATTGCTTGTATTTGACGAGTCAAAACTTTTAAAACTCAGAGGAAGACACAGAGCAACAAAGTTAAAGAATAATATGTGTGTTAAAGGACATACCTTGTCAGAAAAAACTATGCAAATAGCTGTATCAGTTATTAATATTTCACTTTATTTAAATCCTACTTTATCTTTCCTTATAAAGCCAGCTATTGCCACAGTATTAATAGGAATGAAAGGTGTTGAAATCGGTAATGTTGAAATCATTTAATGCATTCATAATTCTTTTTTTTTATATGCATTAGAAGAGATAAATTTAGCATTTTTGTATTATTATATTATACATATATAGGAGCTGCTTTCAAACGATACATACTGCTAAGAACATTGCTTAGCACGGAATTTGCAATGCCTTTAATAGAAGACGAATCTGTAATAAAATCAGAATGGAACGAGACATTAAATCTCTTATTAAGTAAAAATTATATAAGTATTCAGAACAATACATATATACAAGGACAAAATACAAAAGTATTTTCACTTTTACATAATGTAATCTTGCCATTTATAGATGCAATATATATTACATGTCTTGTCTTGTTTGAGGTAAAAAAAAAGAACACGTATTTTCATTGCATTCTATACTTGTAACATTACAGATTTTCAAAGTGTGTATGGCTAATCATTTTTTTCAATTGCAGTGGGATGAATCAAAATCAAATTACATAACAATAAAAGTAGTTTTAATCGAAGCACAGAAGCGAGTAGAAAAAGCATTCCGTGAAGGAAGTACATGGGGAAAACATCCATATACGTTATCTCTTGATTTATTTAATACGACAATAAATAATCTTATAGCACAAGGTATTCTAGTACCAAATGAAAGGCCAAATACATACCAGGCTGATAAAATTCGATTGGAATCAATTCTTGTTCAATTGCAAAGTCTCTCGTTAAAACGACCAGTGGGCTCGTATTATAACATGATATTATCTGCGTTACTACCAGCTGTGCAAGCTAAATTGTAAAATTAGCCTCTGTAAAAAGAAACCTTAGAAGCATCTAGTATTATAAATCAAATTGAGCAAGCCAAGGAGTTCCTTGACTGTGAAAATTTTTAATGCAATTAGTGTTAGAGTTTGTCTAGTTGTTAGATGATTGTTTTTTTATTATAAATATTGATAAATTATTTATTACGATATAGTTATGTGATTATTAAAAATTACGGAAAAAGCTGTCTACGCCACTAAGTATTTTAACCATATCCTCGTCGAATGAGTTTATGGATTTCTTTCTTCTGCCAAGAAGCAGAGTAGGGCTAGTAGAAGGCGATGGTGAATTGTTCATATTTCTGAATAAAAGCTGGAAAAAATTAACACGTTAAAGAGTAAATACAAATCATTGTTCGTACTACTACACGTCACAAGTAATTCATTAATTAATTACCATAACTAATCGAACCAGGTATACCGCAAATGTAAGAAATGAAATAGCCATTAATGCACCTTCTATGGAGGGGAATCCTGTGGCATGTTCATGATAATCGTAATTATGATCATAATGATCAGCGCCTCTTTTCTCGCGATCGGCTGTTACAGTCTGTGCTAGTTGAGACTCTACAAAAAAGTTACTTGGCTGTATTCATGGACTATTGTTCATACATGATATTTCCTTACCTATTTCAGTCATTAATGTTTTTTTAAATGACCTTAAAAATATAATTTTTCCCTCGCTAGTTGTAGATTGCGATTTTAAAATGCGATGGACATTTTTAAGTATATCTACTGGCAAATACTTCAAAATATCCGCATCATTTAAAGTTAAAGTCTCGTTAAAATATCCTTCGTTCATGTTTTCTTCCTGAAAGGCGTATATAAAATATAACATAACATTTTTAAATTTAAGCTAATAGATATTATTTCTTTACCTCCGCCGTTGAGAATTGCGTTTTTTCATCATATTGTTGGGTAGTAGTTATAAACGCGTCTTCTTTATTCAAATGTTCATGAATCACAGGCTCGCTGATAGACTCTTTCAATTTAAAAGTGGATTCGTTACCCGCTATTTTTACCGCGGTAAAATCATTATGAGCTATATTATGATACTCGTAAGGAAACTGATTTTCCGTATATATGTGAGTAAATTTATCGAAATGATCCTGTTTCAAGGAAGGCATTCTACGAACGAAGAATGCAACGTTTCTAGTTAAAACATTTTTATATTTTTTATATTCTAGTATAGTAGTTTTATACTCACCTATATACCTTTTTTTCGTTGGAAAATTGTGGCATATCTATCCATTCTGCTAAACTAATTTTCCATAAGACTATTTCAAAATATAACGCACTTGTTAATATACTTGTTGATAACATTTTCATTAATTAAGTAACACAATCTTGTTTAAGAATTCGTTCACAAGAACATGAGCGTAATAATATCGAGACAATAGAAGCGTAAAATAAAAATTCATCCGTTGTACAAATTTAAATTAAGTAAGTAGGAGAATAGATTGTGAATCTCGTTTAAGTTATGCGACGACTAACTGGGAACATGCTCGGACACGTTATTATAACCCACCAGCAGGATGTTATTATTTCAAGCAGAAGTTCTGTTAGAATTAAGGAGGGCAAGACGAAAAATTACGCTTGTGTTGTAATTACATCAATTCACACAAATTTTTCTGGGAACTAGTATAGATATATTAAACTTATACACGTCACAGCGAAATTAAAAGAAATTATATACAGAATGTTATAAAGCTTAATATCATTGATAATTTCTTTATTCGCATTATTATAATAAGTACAATAATGATTTAACATTTCAATATTTTTTATGAAAATTTCTTAATTCCTCTTAAGATCTAAATCTGTTATAATTTATTACTGTCCTTTCTTTTAAGTACTTTTTGTTTGTTACTTAGTTTGAACAAAATGTATTGTTAGTTCTTGTAAAATTGAACATCTGCGTGAAAATTAAAAAATATATGGAACATATACAAATAACTGTCTCTACTTAAATTTAGTAATAAGTAAAATATAATATATATATTTATAGAACATTCTATAAAGGAAATGTTTCAAACATATGTTACGTATCAAATTATTACTGATACCATATTTCGTACGAATAAAATATTTTAAGTACAATAATACCTTTTGACATTGCACAAGTTTTTCTACACATAAGTAAAAGTATAATATGTATGTCTTGAAAATTTATTATAAAATATAACTTATGTTGTCTTCAAATCTAGACTTATATTAACAGTATTGACTGCTCCGATCTATCTCTTTAATTTTATGACGGTATATAATAAAATATTTTTGAATTCCAAAGATATATATTATAATAAACACATTATATGTAATTATTTTATAATAAGGACTGAATATAGGCCATGTATCGTACACGATGATTCGCTATTAAATGAATGAGTGTGTATGTTTTGTAAAAGTTTAATATAAAATAAAATAATCAATCGAATATTTTGTAATTAGAGGTTTTAAATAAATTATACATATGAGATTCCGTTAAACGACCAATTTATAATTAAAATAATATTTACGTTATAGAAAATATAAAAATATGATAAAAAAATTACGTTCAAAATGTCTGTGTACCACCGGGCAAAGTAATAATTCTCATTACAACATCAAATATTGCTACCCAAGAACAACTCAGTCTTTGTAAGATAATTGATTAAGTAAGAAGAGATTATGTTCTTTCTATATTTAACTATTAAATTTGAGATGAATTATTTGCATACAGTATGAATTTTTTGTTTTCTTATTATGTATGTAGTTAATCCTATCGTTATAATTCACTAATACTAGTACTTAGAAACATTGCAAAAACATTGCTATAATAAAAAATATTAATAACTATCATATTGATATTATAATTAACATGCTACTGATTTTTTTCATAATAAATTCTCTAGCCGCTTGTTATATATTTATTCAAATTTTAAAGTACGATATTGTGCAAAATATATTTCCAAATAGTAATAACAATTATCATTTCATAAATATTGAAACTGCGACTTGTCAACTAAAACAAGTAAATACAATAAAAGGAACGAACGCATTAAAAAAAATATAGTTTATTTGAGATTTCTTTCTCCGTTTTACGTTGATTCTGGAATGTTCTTTCTTTAGTTTTAAGAGTATAATAAAATTGTAAAAAAGTTATCGTTCAACAATAAAATGGAATAGTAAATATATCTAAAGTTACTTGATAAACAATAATTGATGAGTTCCAACAAATATTGTTCACTATATAGTTTAATACGTAATTTATCACAATAGCAATTATGTCAGCAACACTATATAGAACATCTTTTGGAATATTTATAATAAATTTCCAATTATTTGAAATGCACTTATTTAATCATTAACTTATCTTCCCTCTTATGATCAATAGAGATGAATGTTTGCGTAATGTATTATATAAAGTTTAAAGCATTACAAAACTACAGTTTGTCTATATTATGAGCGCTACAATCTTATTTAATATTTTATATCACACAAGAGTAAATTTATTGTTGTTTATAAGTTTTCTTATTGAATTATGTCATTGGAAAAACAGACTTTAGTTATAGACATCGAAGCTTTCAATTTCTAAAATCAGATATTTTTTTCGAGAGAATGCGAAGAGTAAATGTAATTTTATGTAGCATAACTTTATATAGAGAGATCTAATCTATAAAAATTTGAGCTTCAAGATAGCTCCTATAATAACTTCATTATTCTATTAATTCCAGAGAAATTCCAAAAGAGTTACTTGCCTTAAATTTAAGGAAAATGTGTGCAATTATAAAACATACTACAATTTTCTATATCAAGCTGAAAAATATGGTGTATCATTCATGCTAAGAAATTAGCACTTACAAACTACATGTGAAATATTATTATGCATTGTGAAGTGTATTAAAATGATGAAAGAGCGTAGATTAATTACTTGTCCCATAATAAGAGGAACAATTTTAGTAAACGTCACGACTGTGCTATATATGTGTATATATATGTATACTATCTTATGAAATGTCCCTTGTAATTTGTTACTATGATGAAAATTCACAGTATTAAAACATTGAAACATATTCAATCTCAGTATTAAAGTTCCTTCTTGAACTTTTATACATAACATTGCTGCTGCTGTTTTTTTACAATCTTTTGTTCAATTATCTTACATATTGCAGTCTGATTAAAATGTTTGTAACTAAGTAAAATTCTTACCTCCTATGTAAAATATTTTGGAAGATACGCTCATCAATGATGTGTTATTTATTATCAATAATCTAACATTTAAAATGAAAGATAAAATTGTACTCCCTTTTATGAACTTGTTCAAGTCAGGCACGAATAAGACGCCGTAATGTGGCTCGAGCAGAGTGAGCCCAACTTTTATGTATTGACAAATTATTTGGCAATGTTTCGATGTTTATAATAGGCGAAGAGTTCTGTCATGTGCGCTGATTACTATATGCCTGCCACCGAGCATCATCGCTTTCGTGAGTCAAATAACGATATCCCACTTTTGCCTCCAATTCTTGTAAATCGCACCACGTTTGATAATCCTAAGAAATATAAAAACATAGTTAAAATCAGTCCTCTAATTCGATTCTATGAATACATACTTGTAGCCACGTGTGTTGTAAACTCTTATCAACAGTATAACGTTTTCTTTGCTTTACTTGTAACAAATTATTAATTAAGTCAATCGCTGGAAAAGAGAAATACATCAAACAATTTTTTAGCATTAAAAAATATTAAAAGAAGTTTATTTTGGATCGTTAAATTACACACCATCGGATGAGATTTCTTGCCAAGGAGTAGGTGGATACATGAAGGCAGCATTTTGAATTTGTTCATTAATATCTTCTTCCTCATTGAATGGGAATGTACCGCTTAGAGATACATAAATAATCACACCAACACTCCACATATCCAAAGATCGATTGTAACCTTTATTTCTTAAAACTTCAGGTGCTAAATACGCTGGAGTACCAACGACACTTCTTCTGAAGCTTTTCTCTCCTATAATTCTTGCGAAACCAAAGTCACATAGTTTTACTTGCGTGAACTCACTGTCACTACTCAGCAACACGTTCTCTGGCTTTAAATCACAATGTACTATATTTTTGCTATGCAAATGTTTCAGTGCTACCAATATCTGTGTAATTAAAAATTTGGTTACTCTTTCGCTAAGACGGCCAAGTTCTGAACTCAATATCATTTCTAACATGTCGCCTTTTAATTTTTCCATAACAACAAATATTCGTTCTGGAGTTTCGAACATCCGTTCTAAATTAACAACTCCGCTATGTGAAAGATTCTGCAGAATAGCAACTTCGTTTTTAAGTTGTGCTTCCTGTTTGGTAGGAAAACGCAACTTATCGATAACTTTTATGGCAACTGCTCTACCACTTTTACGATGAACACCACCATATACTATACCAAATTGACCAGAGCCCAATACTTCATCCGGATAGATCTCATATAATTGAGACATATCTGTAATATTTTCCTCTGGTTCTGTAGACTGTTTCTGATCTAAAATAATAATAAGTTTCAGATAAAATTATTGCGTGTACACATAATAACAAAAATAAAAATACATACTGCTTGATACAGTAGTTACAGGCATAAGTGCTTGTCTAATACTAGTTTCCCATGATCTAGCTATATGAGCTCCAATACCACTCTCCGGAGAAGAAACTTGACTACAATTATCCCCGTATAAAGTATCTTCTCCAACATAATAATCAATATTGGCAGTTTTTAACTCAAAACAATGCATTGTACCTAAAATATAAACATTCTAAATATTTTTAATATAAGGAGAGTTGAAATAATTATTAAATACGTACTTGAATGAGATGTCTTAGCAGCTTCAATGGATATTATTTCAACTAATGGAATTTCTTTGTAATATTTGGAACTACTATCACTTTGAAACAATGTTATGGCTTTTGTGTCAAGCCGCCAATAATGTTTCCTCTTCTGCAAATATTTAAATTCAATTTTGTATTTATTTTTAATATAATTATTTTTATATGCGTGGATTAATTATTCACCATTGGATCACGGTTTGTAAAATGCACCATCCAACCTTCTTTCAACACTTTTGAACCACGTCGTTTTGTGTGTTTTACACTTTGCACTATACGCATTAAAGGAATATTATTGCTTGGTGTGGAACTGCAACTATTAAAAAAAAAGTTACACGTAATAATGATATTACTGATAATAAAATATAATTTACCTCGATGGTCTTGACTTTTGAAATTCATCGTAAATAATATCATCACTGCTTGGAACTTGATCCTATAAAAATAATCTAAATAAATATTATTTATTATTAAATATCTTTAAAAATTAATTTATTATCAATAATTATATAACGTAAAGATTTTCTATTATAAAAATATTTGTACAGTGTACTCCTCTGTCGCTTTTGATTCGTCTCTCGTAAACGAGGAATGTTGAGGGGGTGATGGAGATTCAGCATCACTATCACCATCACCTTCTTCATTTCTACCATCGCATTTACCTTCTGGTTCACTGCCAACGCCACTATCTGGATATTCGTTACCTACATAAACATTTTCTTTAAAACCGTTTCCATTAATTAGAACTAGACAATGAAATATAAACAAACAAAACCTGTATTGTCGCGTGGATTTTCTCCAGTACAGTCTTTAGGTATTTTTTCAATGCATTTCTTGTGTGCATTGTACTGACAATCTTTGCACTGTAGGCCTTGCTTAAATAAACCTTTTAGCAACTTTTTACAGTGTCCACATACAGTTGGCCTAGTATATGTGTGCACTACAAATGTATGTGGAATCTTTATACGTGCTGCAAGTTCTCGTTCTACCCAAACTGGTCTTCCTCCAAGCGAAGGAGAACGGGTTTGTTTCGGAGCCATTATACTTGGTATTGTCTGAATACAGGAGATTATTATTTTAATACATCAAACTAACAATAAATAATTATAAATTACATATTATATAAAATTTTACCAAAGTACTATTATTTTGGCTCACGTTCGGTGTATTATTTGTACTATGATTATCATCGCTGATGCTAGTCAAACTACTAGTAGATCCTTGACTCGGTGATCTCGGTACATTCAGCATTGCCGAACTACGCCGTCTTTGACTGGCATCATGTGAGCAATTATTAGGAATTTTAATAACACATCTTTTATGGTAATTCATTCCACAACCTGAAAATTAAAATATATTAAAATTAAGGTATCAATTTGCACGATACAATTTTAATTAACCGAAACAACAACATCACTGTATTTTATATTACATTTACCTTCACATTTTAGACCTTGTCGAACAAGACCAAATAACATTTCTCCACAAAAATCGCAGAATGTTGGAACTTTATACGAATGAACAGTTAAAGCATGAGGACGAATGGGAACTTCTTCATTTGGCACTTGTGCTAGAATAAAACCAAATTACCGCTTACTTTATAAATAAACTTTTCTATCTTTGTTTTTTATTTATGTTATGGCATTTATATTATACAATATAAACACAAAATTTACCAGTTAAAACAATTTCCACCAATGCCTCGTCTACAACTTCTGTTGCATTTGTGATAAGTTGTAGAATATTAGTAGAATTGTAATCATGCTTAAACAAAAGCAATCGTTCGAACAAATGATTTAAACCGTGCTCTGGACATTTAGCATTTATAAAGTCACAGGCGAATTCTTTGAGGGTCTTAAGAGTTAATGTGCTGCTGTCGACCGTAATAGTGTCACGAGTTAAACCAAATTGAAACAAAAATGTTACTTCTGGTCCCTCCATGTTATCTATATTATTATCTGTAATTCATAAATGTATTAATAAATCAGCATACAATGTATGTACTTAACGTAACATATGAAGATTCATTTTTTAATAATAAAACAATAATATTTTAAATACAACCGTTACGATTTCATTTTTCACACGGAACATATAATTGTTATTTTTGTCGCAAATTATACGTACGCTAACAACAAATAACAAATTAATAACGTTAAACTACTTTGTGAAGATGGAAGTTTTCAAAATTTGTAATGCACTCGAACCATATGAATTTTCAGTACGCAAGGAAAGAAAAAAAAAAAAAACAGTAGCACCTACGGCGACCGATATAGTCTGAGCGTTTTGTTTAAATGAAAATTATCGTACGTACATTCAAGTTAATCGACAAAAGATGCTGTTATCAAGGTAGCCGTTTCTTTTTCCGATCAAATTAATATCGATAGAATATAATTAACGTGATAACAGATCCCACAAGTGTCACCGAGGAGCGTCAAATCCATGCCTGACACACATTCGTTGATGACATTTTACAGTTATCTCCAGGTGACCGACCCACCTTCGCGTATACTTCTGTCTGTTATTCTTATATACCGGACTGCTTACGTATGTAGGTGTAGATTAAATTAAACGAATCAACGTTTCACATCGTTTAAGATACCGTTCGACATTTATCTAAAAACAATTACATATAAACCGTGCGAAAATTTAAAACGAATCAATGAATCGACTCTTTTATATACATATGTACATATCATGTATCCTACAAAAATCTAGTACTGCATACTTGTTACCGCGGATTATTAAGAAGAGGATTCACATTACGCTGCGATTAATCCAATCAAAAGCAAAGAAAAATAACTGCATAGGGAAAAGCGACGAAGAAAGTGGGAAGTAGAATATTTGAGTTTACATTTAAATTTAGACTCGATATTGAATTTTTTATTCATTCGAATTAGAACCACTAATTTAGTAGATAAGAATGTATATATATATATGTTACTTATATCTTCTTGAATGTATATATTAATTATTTTTTAATAACCCAATATTATTATAATATTAAAAATTAATTCAAGTACTTGAAAATTCTAAGAATTGATTTCTGTTGTAAAAATTGATTGGATATCTTAGCCTTTCGTGCAATTAATGATATTGTACAGAAAACTCGTCATACATATATCTATTCAAAACTGGACACGATCAGACAGGATCCGGTGTAATCGAGCACATGGATAGGCGATTTTAACCTACGTGGATGAACATATTTATGAATTTCAGTATTTAAACTGAATTTTTACGTATAAAAATGATTTATAAGCTTACAATTAATCCAAGAAACCCTCCAACAGGTAAGTTACGTTATAATATATGCGGATTTCAAAATTTATGGTGACATTAAATTGTTTTAATAATAATTTTTTAAACAGATATTGAAAACATTTGCTGATTAAAATGAAACATACAATATTGCTTTTCTTACAAGCGATTTTGATTCTACCTTATTTCTTTGCACATGTATATCAACAACAATGAATATCTATCGTGGAATGTATTTTGAATAGTTAAGAAAATGAGTACATATGTTAGGAAGTCTGATGTAAATTTAAATAAAATGTCGTGTTCGAATGATGACACCTGAAACATCCTGTATTTCAAGGATTATTAATGTACTTTAAATATATAATAATATTAATAGATGTGTTTTTAATTCATACAGATGCACTGATAGTAGCAGAAGTAGTTAAATCTCGAAATAAAGAAACAATCGAGGTAGTTTGGTGCAATGATTGGAAAGGCAATGGAAATGTCCAGTTAACGGATAGCCAAGGTAATGTGCTAGGCGAAAGGAGCAATGATGTTGGTCGTTACTTTGCTAGAACTACACATACAGATCTTTATGGTAAGTTTATATATATTTAATATATTTAATTTCATGCGTATCAATCATAATTTATCATTTGTTTCTATTATATACTTAACTTAGGTGGTGTCAGTCCTCGTGAAAAAACCGAAGTTGATCATTGGTTGTCTTTTACAATTGGATTTTTAGAATCTCTTCCATTAAAGGAGAGTGCATTGCAATATTTAGATAATGCATTAATGACAACCACTTGGTTGGTCTCTAAAAAATTAACATTAGCCGATATCCATGTATTTTGTGCTCTTTTGGATAAGAAATTTTCTCCAAAGTTTGAGAAACAATTTGCCAACATAAGTAGATGGTATAAACAGATACTTTCATTGCCTGCTGTTGTAGAGGTATTGTCCTCGATTAAAAAGAACGCCAAAATGTCTGTTCCAAATGATTTGCAATCTGAAAAGATTGCCAAGAAACAAATTGGACAAAGAAAGCAAGAAGGGAAATTCATTGAGTTACCTGGAGCAGAAATGGGTAAAGTGAGTAATTAATTCATCTTGGTAACGGTACTTTTACATTTTGAAGAATATTTTTATAATTTTGTTTACTTTTATAACAGGTTGTAGTGCGTTTTCCACCAGAGGCAAGCGGTTACCTGCATATTGGTCATGCCAAGGCAGCTTTGTTGAACCAGTATTATGCGGAAGCATTTAAAGGGCAACTTATTATGAGATTCGATGATACAAATCCTGCAAAAGAAAATGTAGAATTTGAAAAAGCTATTCTAGAAGATTTAAAACTACTGCAAATCAAACCAGATCGATTTACACATTCTTCTGATTACTTTGATATAATGCTGGAGTACTGTACTAAATTAATAAAAGAAGGAAAAGCATATGTGGATGACACTCCCGCTGAAATAATGAAGGAACAACGTGATCAGAAATTGATGTCATCGAATAGAAATAATTGTAAGTTAAGAAACTAATATCTCTAAATATCCGAATGAAAAAGAAGCAACTAATTAGAAATGTATTGTGCATTTATTGTTTCAGCCGTTGAAAAAAATCTGAAAATATGGAATGAAATGCAACAGGGTACTTCCAAAGGTCAGGAATGTTGTGTAAGAGCAAAAATTGATTATGAATCAGCAAATGGATGTTTACGAGATCCAACAATTTATAGATGCAAACCAGAGCCACATCCTCGAACGGGAACAAAATACAAGTATCTATTAGATATCTAAAGCTTTGAAAGAATTAATAAATGCACAGATTTTCTACCAAATTTGATACAAAACATGTTCTTTTCTCTGTAGGGTGTATCCAACATATGATTTTGCTTGTCCTATCGTTGATGCCATTGAAAATGTTACACATACGTTACGTACAACAGAATATCACGACAGAGATGTTCAATTTTATTGGATAATCGATGCCCTGGGATTGAACCGTCCTTATATATGGGAATACTCTCGCTTGAACATGGTTAACACAGTTTTGTCTAAAAGAAAACTAACTTGGTTCGTTGATAAAGGTTTGGTCGATGGGTGGGATGATCCGCGTTTCCCAACAGTAAGAGGAATTTTAAGGAGAGGAATGACTGTCGAAGGATTAAAGCAGTTTATAATTGCTCAAGGTAGTTCACGGTCTGTCGTTTTTATGGAGTGGGACAAAATATGGGCATTTAATAAAAAAGTAATCGATCCCATTGCTACTAGGTATGCCATAACATGAAACATCAACATTTATATAAAAATATAAAAATCATTTGCATAACGTCGTTCTTTTAGGTATACTGCTATGGATTATGATAAACTTGTACCAGTATATATAGATAATGCGAAAGAAGGCTGGATGACTGTTCAGAATCATCCAAAAGATCCATTAAAAGGTACTAAACAAGTGTTAACAAGCTCATTATTGTACATAGAAAGAGATGATGCAGATATGCTAGTCGAAGGTCAAAATACAACCTTCATTAATTGGGGCAACATAATAATAAATAAAGTTGAAAAGGAGAACGGTGTTGTTAAGAAAGTGTTAGCACAATTAAATTTAGAGAATAATGATTATAAAAATACATTGAAAATCACATGGTTGGCAATGCCTTCTGATAAAACTGACAGTGATATTAATACGGTTAAACCAATCTCATGTTATGCTGTTTACTTTGATCATATTATAAATAAACCTGTTTTGGGAAAGAATGATGTTTTCACAGATTTTGTTGCAAAAAATACAAGAGTAAGTTTTCGCTTTTTACAGTGGTTATAAATGTACTATTATGTAATTTAAATTTATATTATAAAATCTATAAATATTTTAGACCGAGGTACAAATGCTTGGAGAAATGGAATTGAAATGTGTGAAAGAAGGAGAAATAATTCAATTACAAAGGAAAGGATTCTTTCGATGCGATGTGCCCTATGCGCCAGCCAGTCCATTTTCTTCTAGGGAACAGCCTTTAATTTTATTTCATATACCGGATGGGCATTCTGTAAACACAACAAAATCTGCATCGACGGATACTGCTACACCAATCATTTCTACGAAAGAGTCCTCTCAAAAAAATGTATGCACGATTTCATAATTTCATAATCGTAAATTAATGATATATGTGTGTTTCAATGTCTGTATTATTAATGTTATTATATTGTAGGATACGGTGCAAAATGCAAATCTACTGAATAAAAGTATTATTGATCAAGGCGAGAAAGTACGTAATTTAAAATCCAAAAAAGCAGATAAAGCTACAATTGCCGCAGAAGTAAAAATTCTTCTGAATTTAAAGGCTGATTATAAAACGTGTACTGGAACAGATTGGGTACCAGGAATGGCTTCAGATAATACGCCACAAACAACGTCCATAAATTCTGACAAAAAAAAATTATCCCAAGACACGCAGCAAGAAAGTAAAGTCAAAGAATTACAGCTAAAGATAAATCAAGAAATGCAACGTCTTTCTGATTTAATGGCAATATATAAAAGTAAGACAGGTGTCGATTGGGTAGAAACAGAAAATAAAAATGTATTGACAGAATTGAAAAAAGTAAAGAAAGTAGACACGAATTCATCGAGTACTGCTATGCCACCAGGACCTCAAGAAGCATCGGCTGATACAACAATTAATAGCGAACAAATATCTAAGGAAATAGAGAAACAAGGGAACAAAGTAAGGCAGATGAAAGCTTCGAAAGCAAAAAAAGATATAATTGATCAAGAAGTGAAGTTACTTTTAAAATTGAAAAGTGATTTCAAAGCTGCAACTGGCGAAGAATGGAAACCGTCTACTACTCCAGCAACTAATGTAAAGAAAGAAGAAATTAATGTCGATAAACTCTCAGAGAGCATACAGAAACAGGGAAATGAAGCATTAAGTGATAGGACATCTAAAAAGAAGAAAAAAGAAGATACTTCTAAGACTGGAAAACAGAAGAATGATTTGAACAAAGAAACAGTTAAAGCGAAAAGTGTAAAAGATTTAGATATTGAAAAAACTGGAACGAGATTAGGAATAGAAGCAAAGAAAGAAGAAAATTTCTTTAAATGGTATTCTCAAATTATTACTAAGAGCGGTATGATCGAATACTACGACGTGTCAGGCTGTTATATACTTCGTCCATGGAGTTTTGCTATATGGAAAATAATAAAGGAATACGTTGATAAAGAAATAACAGAATTAGGCGTCCAAGAATGTTATTTTCCTATTTTTGTTACACGTTCAGTGTTAGAGAAAGAACAAGCTCACATAGCGGATTTTGCACCTGAAGTCGCGTGGGTTACAAAGTGTGGAGAATCAGACTTGGCGGAACCTATTGCTATAAGACCGACATCGGAAACTGTAATGTACCCGGCCTATGCCAAATGGTTAAAATCAGGCGTCGAGTTACCTCTGAAACTTAATCAATGGAACAACATAGTGGTAGGTGTTAAATGAAATTGACCGAGGTACAGCAAGCGAAAGAATCGACTTGGGAGACCTGTCGTCACTTACCCCGACAGTTTGGATGCTTGGATGAGAACTGCGTTCAATAAAAGTAGTGGTGTGATGGAGAAAATAAGAGTTCACGTTCCTGGGGTATCTCTGTCCTTAACAGAGTCGATTTTTTCGTTTCTTGAACCTTGAACGTTAAATTTAAAAAGTTATTGGTTTGTGATTAAAAATACCAATATTATTACAGAGATGGGAATTCAAAGACCCTAAACCGTTCTTACGTACGAGAGAATTTTTATGGCAGGAAGGCCATACCGCATTTGCCACTAAAGCCGAGGCAGATGAAGAAGTAATGACAATTTTAAATCTGTACGCCAGAGTATACGAGGACTTGTTAGCAGTTCCTGTTGTTAAAGGTCGTAAAACTGAAAAAGAAAAGTTCGCCGGTGGCGATTACACCACCACGGTCGAGGCTTTTATCCCAACGAACGGTCGTGCGATACAAGGAGGAACCAGTCACCATCTTGGACAAAATTTTTCTAAAATGTTTAATATACAATTAGAGGGTGCCGTAGAAGGAGACGAGAAGACATTCGTCTATCAAAATTCATGGGGCTTAACGACTCGAACAATTGGAGTTATGATAATGGTATACATTCCTTTGTCTCGACATAAAAATATTCAGCATAAAAATATTTAAAAAGCTTTACATTTTACTCGTAGGTTCACGGAGATGATAAAGGTTTGGTACTACCACCAAATGTGGCTTCTATTCAAGCTATCATAGTACCGTGTGGTATCACAGCAAATACAACATCTCAAGAAAGAGAATTGTTGTTTAAGGAATGCAACGCATTATTTCAGGAATTGTCGACGGATAAGACGCTCAGAGTAAAAGCTGATTATCGTAAAAATCGTACACCAGGTTGGAAATTTAACGACTGGGAATTGAAAGGTGTACCTGTTAGAATCGAATTAGGTCCGAAAGACTTGTTAAAGAATCAGGTCACATTTGTACGCAGAGATACTTCTGAAAGAATTCAAGTCGATAGATTAAATGTGCTTACAGCGTTACGTACGGTACTGACTAATATACAATCAAGTCTATTTTCCAAGTATGTACTTTTATAAATAGGTTTTATGTACAATCGTTAATAATTAATAACGACTTGGTTCGTTGATATAAACGATTAATATTCTTTTCAACAGAGCAAAAATAAATTTAAACGAGCATATCAAATGTGTAGACAATTGGAATGACTTTTGTACAGAACTCAATAAGAAGAACATGCTGCTATCACCGTTTTGTGGAGACTGTTCATGCGAAGATAATATTAAAGCTGATAGCGCACGGTATCTAAAACAAATTTTTACATTAGTAATATTTACTGAAATGGTTTTACGACGCGTGTTTGTGTTTATATATGTATATGTCTATTTCTTTATATCTGTAGGGAGGAGACTGGAGAAGAACCTGAAGCATTGTCAATGGGTGCAAAAAGTCTTTGCATACCATTTGAACAACCAACCACATCAAAACCACTCGATACACAAAACTGCATTTATCCCAGTTGCCAGAACAAACCAAAATTTTATACGCTTTTTGGTCGTAGTTATTAGACTCCTTTAATGAAAAAAATTGAAAATAATTAACACACCGAAGATGACTTCAGAGAAGACAATTTTGGTATATAATTTCAGTGAAAAGTGTATTATATTTCTAATAAATATAATATATTCGCTTTCTTATTTATCCGTTGGTTTGCAACATTTTTTGTGTACTTCATAATTACCATTTAAATATATCTTTTGAACTTAAAAATTAATACTATATAAAGCTAGTCTTAAAGTTCTAGTTCTCGAAGTTTTTTCTTTATCGAATAACAAACAGGTTCCTTTCTAAAAGTTTACGTTAAAAGTCAAACTATTTTTCAAGTTCATTGTAAAACAATATTTTCTTTTTAAAACGTAAAACTCTTTAGACAAGTTCCAATACAGAATATGTGCAATCAATGTTTGTAAATTGAGTATTGAATTAGTAATTACAACTATTTTAAAAATGTATACAATATTCAAAAACATTGAGAATTAATTTATGATATATTTAATACTATAATTAATAAAGATAAATTTCATCGTCTTCACGAGCCTCTTCTCCCTGTACGCCGCAACAATTCCCGAGCAATTAAACTATTATCGAAACTGGAACAATATTTGCTGTACTTATGTAACAGTACCGGGCGTGGTAAGTAAGATTTCGACTGGAATCATAATACACGGAAAAAAGAAATATCCGTAACATATGCAGACGCGACCACCATAGCGTCAAAAATTCAAATTTCATTGTATATGGAATTGAATGTTTATTGTATGAGGATATACGGACAATTTTTTCCATTTACTATTGAAAAAGTACAATAACTAATTATAGTATTTTTCAAAATAATAATACAGTAAATTAATTACATTTATATATTCGCACGTGCGTTTTTACAAGTTAGACAAATAGTTTGTAATATTACAAAAATTGTAGATACTACGTACAAAAATTTTATGCTTATTATTATATGTTACTAGTTCTTATAAATGCAGTTTTTCCAATGACTTGTTTAGACTAATACTTTTAGAAATTTTAAATATATTTATTCTATATACATACATATTCATATTACGTTACCTATTTAAAATATATTGTTTTTCTAAATGACAACGCTGTAAATCACGTTTTTGATTATTAAACAACGATGAACTTTTATTATGTCTTGTGCCTTGTAGTACATTTTCTATAGTTATCGTATCTTCGATTTTTTTGTTATCTTCGTTTGTTTGATTTTTTAATTCTACTACTTTATTTATAGGCAAGCTTAATGTAAGATTCTCAAAACGGTTTGATTCATCTATTGCTGAACGTTTACCACGTTTCGTTGATATATTAATTCTTTCTGCTATATCACTGCGTTCCTTTAAACGACCTACTTCTTCGAGACATCGTTCGTCGCTCTTTTTTTTGCATGTAAAGAATAAATCTGGATTATCATCGATGAAGTGTTTTATCTTTTTTAAATCAATACTTATTTTGAAACATGTTTCGATCATATTTCTGGTCTTATTCTCCGTTTTACAGTTTATATGATCTTCAAAACGTAACGTACGTTGAACCAATTTCGTGGAATCAAAAGAATCGTTTCTTATACCTACTTTGACGCTACGCTTTCCGGCTATACTACTTGTTATATGATCAGTATTTAAACTTTGAATATTTTGCATTATATCGCTACTGTTTCTAAAATATTTTTCAGTAGAATGTGCAGTCGCGTATGACGTTACATTAATACGTTCTTCTACATCAAAAGTACTCTCAGCGTTGTCAATCATATTAACGTTATTAACTAAATTCTCTCGATTACGCCATTTATTATCCTCTTCGATTACCTTAGACGCGTTGTATGCAAAATGCGTTGAATTCCCATCTTCACTTTGATTATTACTATTTGTAGAGATAATTGAATTATTTGTAATTAAAGTTGTACTCGTAATTAAATTATCTGCAATACTTTTACAAGGTGCTATTATTGGATCTAGATTCTCTTTTGCATCGTCACGATAGTTTTCGGATTGATCATTAATAAGCGCACCGTACTTGCTCTTGTCTTTATTACAGAGAGGCGAAAGTCGATGTAAAATATCTTCCGATCGAAAATTTGAAGAAGTTTCACCTTGCATTTTGAGAACTTTTTGTTGAACAGCCTTTCGTATAGATGCATCAAATTTAGTGTTCTTTTTCGTATTTGTTGTACTTTCCATATTAATATTTACAGAGAACTTATTGTACAAAGTCATCTGCACACCAATTATAAAGCATATAAATTATCTGGTATAAATATCTCATATACACCTTATATAATCAATGATAATAAATATACATATATTCAATGAAAATATAGTGCTACCTGTAGATTATTCGTATTATATACACGAAACTTTAGGTCACGTAAACGTATGTATTCCGGTATTAATCGAGAGTAATTATATTCAGTGTTTCTGTTCCTTCTTTCGTAGAAAACATCGTTGTACGTGGCATTTGATGTCCTATGTATTGAAATGGTTGCCCTACAATTCATAGAAATTGTTTATATATTCGCAATGTACGATCAAAGTTTATAAATTACTTACCAAATATTTTATCCGTATGAGAATATAAAAAAAAGCGTACAATTTAATATATACAGATTGATCAATTTAGAATATATTCATGATACGAATAAATGTTACAGATAAATGTTGAACGGTTTTTACATGCTTAGTTGTGTTAAATATAATTTATAACACTTACATCTCCGTATCGTTTTCTGATTTCCGCTGATCCGATCTGTGTGGTTTATCCGATTGTGGCTGGAAGTGATCCAATTTGATACATTCTTCTGTATCGATTCTTGTAGCCTTTGCGAAGCTTTTATATCCTGATTTAGCAGCAGGACTGGTGCCTGCATCCCCGTCACACTGTTAGAATTCCAAGTTATACATTCAAGAAAAGGTACGGGGAAATGAACACGAATAGCATAAACAAGTATAGCTTAATAACAAACGTTTTCATAAAAAATGTCTAAGTCCTCTTTAGTAGAATAGATTACATAAATATAGTATTTGGCCTGGTCACTAAAAGCAATCACAAAGACTAATATTATTATATCAAAAGATTTATTTGTGTCGTTGAATTATTACAAGACCAAGATTCTTTTCTTTTTTTTTTTTTAATTCTTGAAGCCAAATATTGCTTATACAATTGCTTATACTAAAGAGGACCTAAGTTGTCATTAAAAATGTTTATTAGTAAACTATACTTGTTTGTGCTACACATATTTATGTTTGTTTCCATAATTTGACAAGTAATAGATATTATTTGTTAAACAAATTGGTGATACCAATATCCCCGTACCCTACTTTTCAAGAAATTAACCCTTAAACTGCAGTTCGTAACAATTGTGTTTACATTTATTTGTATTAATTAACTAAAGTACTAGAAATAAGTACAGTATCTTCTTCATGATATATTAGGTCATTCCATAAATAATATTTCATATATATTCAAGAAACAAATAAATTATATTTTGTTAACTCTTAATCGAAACGTATAGTTTCCTTTGCTTTCTACAATTTTTTGTAGACTACTACTTAATTTATTAATTTATTAAAAACTACATATGGAATAACTCAATAATACTATCTAACTAAAGTACATGAAAGTAAAAGAAATGGTGTATTACATAAAAAACGTGCATCTTAAGAGAGCAAACAATTTAAGGGTTAATAATTCTAATATTAATTTTACAACATTATTCATATTTACATATAATATATTGCACAGGGTACAGAGCAAAGTAATTAAAATTCAAACACTTCTATACCTTTTCGTGCAAATAATATATAAAAAATATTTCATATTAATGTTATTGCGTTCATTTTTAATATAAAATAGGCAAAACATATTACTTACATTTCTTGTGTATTTTTCAATTTTCCTATTTTTGGGTATTGTATTCGTTTTATCCGCATGTTCGTTACATGCATTTGTGATATTATTCTCGACTCTTTTTTTATATTCTGATGAATTTGTAGGTATATCACTTACATCACACGATATGCCCTTTCCCACCGTAGAGTGTTCTGTATTATAGGTATGTTCATTTACTGAATAATTATTCGTATTATAGGACTGTATCGTTTGTATGTGTGACCGATCTCTGTTTATCATATTAGATACAGTCGCAGAAGTTTCATTCTTTTTATTATTGTCAATTTGTAGATAATTTTTAGCAAACGTAGAGGTTGAAACATTATTTACAGACGCAACCGAGCTTTCAGTATTTATAGTATTTTTAAACAGAAGAGACTGTTGCTCTTCTTTTTGCGTATTGAGGTTTCTTCTTATTCTTTTAGACATCTCTTCGGGCGAAGTTGTTGGATTCATTGCAGTATAGTCAAATTTTCTTTTTAAATGCGATACCAAACAATCATTTCGTGAGAGTAAAGATTGAGATACTGAATTATTATTTAACAATTCATTACTATTCTCTGATCTCGAGCACTCAATATTGTTGTTCTTTTGCTTTTCCGTGGCAGGCGATACATTTTCAAATTCTTCAGGCGTCAAAGACATTACATTTGTAATTTTGATTTTCGAAAAAATGTCCATAGGTTTATGTTGAGTTTCTCGGTTCAGCTGTATCGTGTCATTTAAAATATCAGATTTTACAACACCTTGCGAAACGTGTTCCTTCGCAACATCTGCAGTAACATTTAAGTTACTCGTCAAGAAATTATTATCATAATTTTGCTTCAAATTATTTTCTTGTACTAATTTCCCTACTGTAAGTAGACCATAATTTCGTATTATACAATTTTCTTTTACTTCTGTGGTATTATTCTTAGATGAAGATAAATTCTTTGTTTCAGTTCCATTAACACTAGGGATAATTAGTGTATCGTCTAGCGAATTGTCATTAACAATCTATAAAATATATGTAAGCATCATTATGAACATATAAATACATGACACCATCGTTGTATTTTATATACTTAATAGAACAATTTAATTAACGGGGTATTTAAATGACCTTACATATTACCTCTATACTATCGTCGTTATCGCTATCAAGCATGATTACAGTATCATTTGATGTAGTTGATAATGACTTGGAATATTCAGTCAATAAATTAACAGGTTGAGTGCATTTGTGGAATATATCATCTTTTAATAATTCTGATTTAGTCATAGAAGTTCCTTTAGTACTTGTAGATTCTTCTGGATGCTTCAAATTTAACATTGTACCAATTTTTATACTAGTTCCCTGCTTATTACTGTTGTTCAATTGCATCCTGGTTAACAAAGAAATATATTTCTTTTATACATAAAGAACTTCAATATAATACACTTAAATTGTAGTCATTATGAAGTTATAATAACATTTGCAATTCTCTAGCTGCTTTAAGTTGTTGTTTTATTTTAAATGTCTGTGGACCAGGACGTTGTTTCATAGTAGACATATACGATGTAGAGCTAGGAACTGATACATTTGACGTAAGTGGTACAGGTGATTCTTTTCCAACAGAAATATCACTTTCACTATCTTCTGAGTCACAATCATTCCTAATCAAACAGTTTTAAATATATAATAATTTCCTATTATATCCAGACTTGAAAACTACTAATGTATTTACTGTTTCAATTTCCTATTAATATTTTAATAATCTTAATTATCTAAAATTAATTATCCAAAGTCGAAAATAATCAATACATACTGTAATGTACTTCCAGTTGAATTTGAATTGGTCGTTTCCACGGATTTACCTACAAAAAAGGAAAAATATAATAAAACGTTAACAGAAAATTAATTTCTAATTAAGTTTATCGGTAAGTTTTATTAATAAAAAATGTATTATTTATTTATTACTTACCTAGTATAGATATACAGTCTAAACATTCCCAAACAGGATTCGCCCATTTTAGCTGTCCACAAGCCATATGAATTCCTTGGGAACCACAATTTCGACAAAGTGCCAACTCCCACTTTCTATCCAAATATATGTTTAAAAATGTAATAAAAGAAATAAAAAAAACGTCCTGTTTAATCATATAGGATGCTTGTTTCTATATATAGCACAACTGGAAAGAGAACGATACTACATGAATTATGTTTTCAACTTATTTTTTATCCGTTACTACTTTCCAGTTGTACCACCAGTTACAGAACACCTTATACAAAACATAGAGCATATTTTCACTTACGCGTTAAAACTTGTATAGTTTCTACCTTTAGGACAGAGACATATTGGAGCATCACAACGATCATGTCTATGTAAAAGTTCCTGAAACGCATTTGGCTCAAGTTCCCAAGAAGCATCTCTGAACAAGAATTATCTTATTAATCATTGCTCTCGATTCATATAATATAAAATATAGAAAATTAATTTTTCACTTACTGACTAGGAACGAAAATACCAAACTCTAGCATTGCTTTTTGAAATGTTATCTTATCATTACACAAGGGACACTTAAAAAAATAACCAGCACTCACAGCAAGTTGCTAAAACAAAATGTTTGTACTTTTTCATATGCATCTTTATGTGCTTAAAAAAAAATCAAACAATTTACATTAGTTCCTTACTTGAACACATTTTCTATGAAACCATGCATTTTTTTTACAACATGGTGCCCATATGGTATTAACTATATCACCCGAATTTACGCTATCATAACAAATGTAACATTTCATATCACTGGTGTTTGCCAATTCGTTTTTTATCTGAGGATCTATTTTCTGTTTCGGTCTATGGTGTTTACAAAATGACCTAAAAGATTATAACACAATATTTACACATTTCTAAAAAACATTAAACTTTAAACAAAAGACGAATCGAAAACTATTTACCTAAATTCACCAAAGAACTGATTTAAGGTTCCAGCCCTTAGCCCACAAGGATAATGAAATATTCGTTTACATTTGGTATTACAACATCCTAAAGTAGCACCATTTTTTTTACAAAACGAACATACCTTAAAAAATAAAAACATACATTTCAATTATGATAATTTGAGTTTTCTTCTCCATTTTTCTAGTTATATTTACATAATTATTTACCAATCTTTTTCCTCTACGAAGTTCTTTACGTATATCTAATGCTAAAAACCCTAAAATGCCTTCGTTATCTCTCCCTTTTTGTTCCATGTTTGATGATAAAAGCTACAAATTGTTAAACATATTTAAAACACTCGTATACATGCCACAGTGTCTAAATTTTTATCTAAATATTTATTTATATGTAAATTGTGTTGTAAAGTTTATACCAAGCAATAATAATGGGTAACAATATCACCATGTGTGTAGATCTTTCCGAACTCTAGTTCATTGTCTTCCGATAACCCACAGAAACAGCAAACGCTACTGCTAGGTAATTTATTACGCCTCGACATTGTATCTACTAAAAAAATCCATCACATAATGAATTTACAATAAAATACATTAAGAACTAACACTTAATATTAATTAAATAAATTCAACATACATGTAAAGCATGATACAATATATAACATTGTGTTACGATAAGAATATCTGTGCGTTTGATTGGTAAAACAACAGTAGATATTCATAATACTAAACATGTGTAAATAAGTAAAACGATCATTATACGTACGAATTTTTTGAATGCTCTTTCGTAATGCCGTGATAGACTTTGACGGAAATTATATATTAAAATTATTGTATAAACTTTTTTCTGTATGAATACATGTTCAACAAAATTTCGATCGCAATGCTTATGTTCATATTGCGATTTGTAGAATGTCGGCGAAACGAATAGTCATAATGATGCTAATTAGATACGACATTTAACGTAATTAAAACAACATTTGTTTATGAATAACACAATCAGCTAATCTACATAGAAATGATAATTTCTAAATTTCAATAAGTTTGACGATGGAATCGCTTATTTATCACTTAATTAAAAGTCGTTATTTTCAAAATAACACTGCGCGGGAAAATCATTTATAAGAGATGACACCAAATGCAATTTCTAACAAAAATACATGTATTTTAATCATGATACAGATTTTGTATCCACATATTTTTCTAATTTAACGAGTAGAACTTCATTTAATTCAACCGATTAATTGAAGTTTCCAGCAAAAAGCATGAACAACTACTCCTCTTCTACGGGAAATCATAAACTACTGAATACCGATAGGTAACATAAACAAAATAGAATGATTCTAGTAATGACCTTTCCAAAAGTCAACACTAGAGGGCTAACAGTAGCAAAATTTAAGGTTAAATGATTCTAGGGGTTTTACTGATACCTTTGCAACTCCTCCAATAGAATGTTCGTTCAATGCAGAATATGAAACCGGACACTAGGCGTAGTGACGATAGACGGAACCTTCGGTGCACAGTCGACCGGGAACTCTTCGTTCCACCATCTTTCATTATGCCGGATCACGCGTAAATGAACTCGGTAGTTCTCGTACAGTTTCGGAGAGCCGACAAAGGCAAACTGATGCATGCCCTCTTTCTCGATTCTCCGAAGATGCCCGAAGTAACTTCGGAGAGTCGACAAAGACAAACTGATGCATGCCCTCTTTCTCGATTCTCCGAAGATGCCCGAAGTAACTTCGGAGAGTCGACAAAGACAAACTGATGCATGCGCCTCTTTCTCGATTCTCCGAAGATGCCCGAAGTAACTTCGGAGAGTCGACAAAGGCAAACTGATGCATGCCCTCTTTCTCGATTCTCCGAAGTTGCCCGAAGTAATTTCGGAGAGTCTCGTGGGAGTCGAGAGAGAAAGACGCTCACATTTGCTTTCTCGCTCTTGAACCAAATGTTGTTAACCTTACCTTACGGAACTATCGCTAATAACTAATTAATTAGAGCGTGGAGCGTTGTAAAATCGATCCTTGAGTGTTGTCAAGGGTCTATACTAGATTCTTCGATTCTAAAAGTTCAGATTTTAATCCCAGAAAAGGAGTAATCAAGGTAGCGCGTATCAGGAGTAGGAGGAGCGGGGGAATCTGTACTCCGGATACCTCCTCTAACATTCTGTGATCCTGGCACGATTTTAGCAGTACGAATCCCTGATATTAGATGTCGACACTATTTTAGACACTTTTTAGCGCAATATTAAAAAAACATATCGCTTCCAGTAATCGTTTATAACTTATTAATTACATGAAAAATATGTAGAAAAATATTTGGTTTAGTTATAAGGGATTATGAAACTTTAGAATTTGTAAAAAGTAGGAAATTATTGAGAAAAGTAGTGGGGAATGTAAATGAGGAACATGTATTAACTGGTAGCACAGGACCAGTGCCCAGAGGAAATTTAAATAGTAACAAAATTCGATTGCTCGAGATGTATTAGGCTTCGAGCTATATGCAAACCTCTATTGTTTTACGTTCCTTTCTTCTGTAAGGAGAGTTTCACCATTATAAACAATATTGTTCAAGTAAGGTATTTGAATGAGATCTCTTCGAGCTTGAGCTAAACGATATAAAACCGGGCAATCCAATGATTCGCATTTTGCATCCTCCAAGTAACCAGTACAAGACTGACAAATCTAAAAAAAAGATTTAAATAAACATACAAAAACTTATATCTATATTTATAAAAGTTGTACATATATTTACTGCATTAAGTCCGGAATGAGTTCGTTCCAGCCATCTCATTTTCTCATGCAGAATAGTCACTGTTTGACTTGAATTTGTCATACACTTGTTGCAGATATCCTTCTGCGTTTGATCTCCACAAACGACACACATGACGGAACTAAAAAATTGTCGAATAGTTGACTTTTGATTATCTGTAAACAGACTGACTGCTTTATCAAGCGTTTGTCGATGGGACATTTCCCTGTGCCTGGAACAAAGTGTAATTTCAATCTTTAGAATAATGCATTGTAAATTTAAAAAAAGAAAAATTCAGCATCCACTGTACCATGTATTGACATCAATCCCGACTAGGTTTAAACATCGATTAAGGGGTGGTATAATCACTTTCGTTATATAATATATAGAATTTGGATTCAAGCCCTCATCTAGAATCACTTCCATGGGAGTTCGCACACAGTGGATAAGCGGTTGATTTGGTGCGCCTGCTACTATAACGTATCGTACTCGTTCTCCTGTACGAGGTATTGCTCGAGGATCTTTCCGAATTAATCTTCGTGTTAATTCTAACGCGGGTACGCAAGCACTGGCTTTATAGCCTCGTAAACCACGAAATTCCTTTGCAAATGTTAAATCTTGAATTGATATTTTTTTGCGTAAAATTTTATCAAACTGCCTGGTGACATACAGCTTTAATAAGGAAAGATCTTTAGTATCGAATAAAATCTTCAATGATTTCTCGAGTATCTAACATGTAAAATAAGTACCATTAGTTATATTTTACAAAGGGACTTTAAATTATTCAACTTACTTTAGCCACAGCCGGGCAACCATCTCTACGGACAGTTTCAATACCCTTAGCTAAATATTCGGGTTCTTTTTGTTCGAGAAATTCATACATGTAACCACAATATCTCTTTTTAGTCTAAATATAAAAAAATTTCTTAAAATAACATTACATATTTTTACTAATCTATTAAATACTAATACAGTAAAGTAAGTTATTACTTGTAGTATGGATGGTTGTAGAATTTTTTCAAATTTAAGTTTTATAGGTGGAGGGTTAGCTGCAGTGACAGTATCAGCAATTTCCGCTCCGATAATAAATGCATCTTCTCTTGATTTTCCAGGCAAAAGGATAAATAACGAATCTGTATCTCCATAAACGACTTGTGCTCCCCATTTTGGCGTAGATTCTACAATTTTAATCGCTCGTTCTAATGTTTCTCTGCCTTTACTAACGACACTGTCTCCAACCTGTAATAATAATTATAATTAATTTTATACAGAGTGGAATAGAAATTCTGCGCATCTGAAATATTTCAATCACTTTTAAATAAACATACTTCGATACAGGGCATTCTTCCACTAAAATTAGCAGCCGTATAGCCATAAGTAACGTTTGCAATTAATTTCAGACCTAATTGTTGCGAATGAAGAACACGTTGCAACACACGATTTTTATTTCCATGGATTTTCATGGATTCTTTTACCATTAGCCGTGTATTTAAAATTTCTGTGAGCATACGCGGCAGTATTCCTAGTCGTACTTCTGGTTTGACAAAAGCTACCCCGCAAGGCGTGAAGTTTATTTTTCCTTGTAATTTTTCCGCGGTACTTTTTGTCACTTTTAACGTAGCTGCGCCAAACTCAAACGGTTCGTGGCTAGAAACAGAAAGAGGGAACTATTTGTACATTCATTTTGTTTCTAATGAGAAAGCTAACAATGTTAATACAATACTTACTGGCCAATATGTTCTATACGGCCTAAACAAGTAGAGAAACAATAATTATAAGCAATAATAATGCTTGGGTACAAGCTTTGAAAATCAAGAACTATCAATGGATCGGTATAAAATGCAGATTTTGGTTCCATGATAAGTGGTAGGGATTCAGGTGCTCGCATTTTAGCTCGTTGTTGCACGGATGGTGAGATAGGAATGTAATTCAATGGTTTTGCAAGTCTCAACATCATCGACTCGACTCGAAACTGAGAGCCTCGCGAGAAAACTTCGTAAAACTGTATTCCAAAAAGTCGTGCATGTTCACATGTTCGTCCTACGCATTTATAAAGTATGAAATAGATTGTAAAATTGTACGCAATGTCATTTAATGGAAACTTATCATATAATGAATAGTACGAACCAATAATATCAAGCTGTATCAATATTCTCAGCGTACCAACAACTCTCGTAACATAATGCATTATAACTCTCCATTGCATCGTTACATTTTTATGTTTCCACCACTCAGTTAAAGTTTGAAAAGTAGGACACGAAATTCTTTCATGTAAAACGTTATACATTATATTTTCAAATGTGTAATTCAATAACGCTATAAAAAACATGGATATGATTTCATAAGTTTGTAAATTTTTCATGCTTCTAAAACATATATACTTATTTTACCTATTTCATGTCGCATTATTCTCCAAACATCAAGAATAATTCGACCAGGTATTTTTGCATCATATAAATTGTCTTTGTCTGATGTTTGTCCTTTATACGTAGGAGTAACGTTTGAGATTCTCGAAATCTGCCATATGAAGTCATTAAATCCAATATTGGAAGCTCTCTGCAGAATGTAACCCCACGAAAGGGATTCTATCTCCCATCCGACTAAAATATCTGGATCACAGTGTCTAATCAATATTACAAGACTTTTTAATAAATCCTCTTCGCTCGATACGTATGATGTAGGGCATGTAGTACCAATTGAATAAATGGTTTTTAATTTTGAATTATCTGTACAAGAATTTACAACAATGGCACCTGAAACGATATTATTACTGTTAATCACGAATCTTAAAAACATTCTAAAATAATATTTTTATGTATACCATGTTCCATTTGTTCGGTATGTGAGGATAATGGGACATCGTTATGAATAGCATAGAATATTGCTTCGATCGAATCATGTTCTGGATCAGGAAGAAGTTTGTCACGTGAAACAACATGCACTTCCAAAGATAATAGTGTTAGATATTGATGCTGTAATAATTTAAATATGAAATATGAGGAATATTTAATATAGAAGTACTATTTCGTACAGGAGAGAAATTGAATTTCAAAGTGAATATTTACCACGGATAGCCCTCTGGCATTTTGAAAATTTTCGTCTGCGATGTTACCACTATGTTCTTTGACAGTGTATTCAATCTGCCCATACGAAACTCCAAAACGTTGCTGTGTATCATTATTTTTATATAACAATGGATTTTCAAGCATTTTTTGTAAAGAATGATTGGGAGTATCATTAGATTCTCTGGAACATTGTGAACTATTAGTAATTTTCAACTCTTCTCTTCTATCTTTATTATTATCAATGATCGTTCTATTAACTGTACTATGTTCTTCGATATCAACATGTTCTATTATATTTTTATCACAATTTGAGTCTGATAAATTTAATTTTGTCTTCTTGGCATTGTTTATAATACTTGAATTATTTTTTATTTCTGTACTTTTATTATTTCTTTTTAATAAATATTCTTTGGCCCGTAACCAAGTTTTAATGCTTTTTGCGGTCGGTGGATGAATAAGAGGCTGAATTGTTACTGAATTATATCCTGCAAGTACTCTTTTTATATCAAAAGACTTTATACTTGCTCCGGAAGGATAAAACTCATTTATTTTAATTCTACGCCAAAGTTTAATACCTGTAACTCTGTTCAAGCTAGATTTAAATGAAATCAAATCGTTAATGTTCTTTTTATTTGAATTTTCTTTTTGTTTTATAAGATCAATTTTATTACTAAAAAATGGTCCGCTTGATTTACATTTTGAAATGTCATATGTTTTCATGCTGTCTATAATTCTTTCTCTGCTTGGTGGATTAAATCTCGTAGTAATAGTCACTAATTTATCTTTTGTAATATCACCTACAGTTTCTACACACACAGAACTGAAATTGTTTAATTCTGATTCCAATTTCTTGTTAAGATACTGCGTATACATCATATTACAAATATTTTCTTCGTCTTCAAGGGGTATTTCAAATCTTTCTTCTTCGTTCTCTTCCGTTGAATCATGCGAAAGATTCTCTAAGTATAAATCTACATTACTTTTGGATACATTAAGTAACTTATGTTCACAATTTATTTTCTCGTCCTTCCTTGTGCACGTTATTACGGAACATTTATGATTAGCAAAACCATCGTTTTCAGATGATTTATTTGTTATTTTTTCTGCTAAAGACAAATGTTCAGAATGACTTTCATCAATATCATCCTTCATAGGATCGATTTCCTTTTCATTAATATTAAAAAAACTTAATCGTTTACGAACCTCTTTATTAGTTTTAGGTGTAAAATGTTGTACATACTTTGTTTCTAATGTATCATATTCCTTTTTCTCTGAATCAATAAACGCCTTATTTATATTTATACTACGTGCACTAAAAATTCACAAAAACCAAATGTTTAGTTAAACTTTTACAAAATAGAAATATTAAATTTAATACACTTACATATCGTTACATTTATCGAGGCACGGTTCGTTAATACTTTCACATCTGTTTCTTTCAGAGTACACTGAAAAATATGACACACATATATAATGCATGTCTAATTATAATAAAAGTACATTACGTACCTCGTATTGTCTCAGAAGGCAGACCATAAACGTTATCATAAGGCAAATTCATTTCTAATTGATGTCTATTCCGTTTTGGGGTAATACAAGTTGATTTTGAACTACATGGTTCATTTCTTGTAGAATAATTTTGTTCTAAATTTTTATTTGCTTTTGGAGATATTATCTTTATATTCAGCGGAGAATATTTCCTTGATAAAGAATGAGGACTTTGTAAGCCTCTTATTTTGGTTGGGGTGCACTGCGATTCATTTTGTAATAAATCTGAATTGATTTTATACCGTTTACTAGGAGACTCCAAACCAGAGTTTTCAACTCCCAGCCTCCGTTTTTTCAATGTAGGATTAACAACATTAACTTCATTTTTAGATTTTGTGCTCGACTTATAAGCACAAATGCGTTTTTCTTGTCTTTCAATGGTAACATCTTGATCTAATTCAGAATCAGAACTATCAACAGTATTACCATCAAATGCCGGTATATTGAAATGTAACTCGTTACAATAAATTTGTTTAGAATAATTTTCGTTAATATCCGCTGTACGCTTTAAACTTATACAATTAATTAATGATAATGCATGTTCTACCTCATCTACATCATAAACATCTAAATCTTGATGATCTAATTGAGACTCATTTAACATTTTCCCAGAATATGCATACGATACATTTTGTTCGATAACTTGCATTGATTTCCTTTGTTTCCTTTTATATTTATGTGTTTGTTTTTTACTCGATTCAATGAGCATTGTGCAACCACTTATTCCCTTCTGTTTTTCTAATTTATTAGTGACCAAATTTTTTGATAATTCTTTTCCACTTGTTAAAAGCAAATCATTTGAACCATCATATTGTGGAAAATCTGATAAAAATATCTCTTTAATATCATCTTCGAGCGTAATAGCTGTTTCTTTGCAATTTTCAACTTCAGCTATACTTGATTGACTAGGCGATTTAGTAACTGAATTCCACGAACTAAGACTATTTAAATCAAGGCTCGTAATATTTAGATCTTCAACTTCGTCTTCATTATCCTCTTTGATTTGATCGGTCAATATAGAATACTGAGAACCCAACATACTATCATCATCTACAATTTTTTCTTCTTCGCTCGATCCTGCTAAATTAACTAACATTTCCAATAAATGTATATCTTCAGCATCCACTATAAATAACATACGTTGCAATTTTAATAAAAAAAAAATTATTCATAATCCTGAGAAAGATTTATTTACTGTTTGATATTATTACTTACATATACTAGCCTCTATGCTTTTATCTAGAGATAAAGTTTGTTTCAATATATCAGAGTTATCAAAACTTAGGAGCTGGTTGTTCAAACCTATTTCTCTTTTATTTCCTTCATTTACTGTACATAATTTGAAATGATCTAACACGGACGAAGCATTAATTGAATTATCTTCATTTTCTACTTCTAGAGGATAACTGAGTGTATTTGATGTTACTGATGATGCAGTTTCATTGATCTGAACATAGAAGCAAATTAAAATAGATTAAAAGAATTCCTCGAGAATTTAAAATACCTGTTGCTATACCTGTGAAATAATTTGTAGCCTTTGTTCTAATCTTTTCTCTTGATAAATATCGTTATCTGTTACAGTATAAACTCTATTATTAGACTTTGAATATAATAGTTGTGATTCAGCATCTTGAAAACCTGCAGCTGCTCTTCTACATTTTTCATTGCTCCAAATTGCTGCAATACCAGGATTTAAATCTAAAGCATTTTTTATTTCTTGCCTATTGAGTATTTCAATTGCTTGCGCATCTACTTCCAATTTGCATGTACTCTGTCTAACGACAGATGTAGGCAAATACATTTGTGAATTGGATAAAGATGACAAGTTTTCATCCTGGAAATTTTCTTTTGATTCTGTGCATGTACGTTGTCTATGTTTAACGTTCGTTAAATTTATTAAACTCATACCATAAAGATTATAGTCTATCATAAATTGCAGAATAAAAGGAATATGAGCTTCGTATGGTTGCAAATTTTGATTAAGTACTGTGCCATTCTAAAATAAAATATTAATTACCATCATGAGACTCTCTTTAGCGAAGAACACTATACTTATCAATGCAAAGATTATTTACCTCTAAAAGATTAGCTGCTCGCTTAACCATTACTGGATTATAAAAGTAAATTTTTAAAAATAAATGTTCTTTCTCATGAAATCCGTAAATAGGACTGAAACAAACATTTCATATAATAAAATATATTAACATAGACAATGTATGTAATGTTCTCTTACATTCCAGAAACTCTTTGAACATTATAAACATGTTGAGTGCTAGACGTTGTTGATCCCAGAGATGCATTGATTGCAGAATCTATAGCTGTAGCTAATTTATACATGAAACTATCGATATTGTCTTTTATTGTACATGGCACATAAATGTATGGAAACACATTGTGTATATGTAAACACGTTTTTATTCCTAAATATAACGCAGAAAAAATATAATATTGTAATTACTTTTTACCAACGAATTCCGTTCAAATAATATTGCAATTTACCAAAAGGAGTAGAGCCAAATATTCTAATGACTGGAACTTGTCTAATGTCTGACCCACGAAAATGTGAAAATGTTATGTCCATATCAGGTATAGGAACCGATTGGTAACTATCTAACGTTACCAAACTAACAGAGAACATGCTTGATGTCTGTAAATAAAATATTTGTTTATACTTGGAAAGAAAAAACAAATAAAAATACTTTATTGGAAACTCATACTCCGTAGTTATGTTTTATGAATTTTAATATATTACGTACTTTTTAGTACTTCCTAACGATTCCTACATAGTCATATAGATAACACATGAAAGTCAAGGTTATGTTTACAGTTTACCACCAATATCACATTGCAAGTTATTACATATTGTAAATACACATATTTTATGTTTTATCACAGCCGACTCCAGTACTAGCTATGCTAAATGAGAAACAATAAAGTAAAATCTTTCTTCTTAAAACGTTTAAAATTACATCTACTATTAAGGTTATTACGATACGTTTTCATGTCCCAATAAACTGTCTCGACAGTGTACCGGTTTCTCGACTATATTGTATACAATTGAATATTATTATAATATTTAATTTTATTCATATTATTCACGAAATAATAAAATTTGTTGCCAGAAAATCAAAATTGTACGTCACTGCCTATATACTTTATACCTACAATTGTACATAAAATTCACTCGATACACAAGATGGCGGACACTTTTGGGACCAATATATATATATATAATGGAGATACAAATTCAAAGTTTATATTTATAACATTTTTTTATTTTATTACAATTCAACTTTCTTAAGTGTTTTGTTGTCTTTTTTGTATACTTGACAATATAAATTATATAAATGTATATTTATTTTATCATACAAAAGACATTTGAAATATTTAATTCTAATAATGATTTTGTAAATATAATCCATAAATAGATTATGTTAACATCAGGTATTTATTTGGTTGCCATTAGTACACATAATTTCTTAAGAATTTTACAAATTCAACACTGTATAAAATAGTCTCTCAGTTTTATGAATATATATATATATATGAAAAATATTTTGTGTATATGCATTTTTAGGCTGACAAAATGGCAACAACTCGGACTTGCAAACTGTGCCTGAGATTTTCCTCTTCACAAACACATTCGTTACATACAAAAATAGATGCATTCACGTATACAAGCAATAATAACGGCTCTAATTTATCAAATTAACTCAATTAATCGAAAGCCAGAATATTAACGATGCAAATACTTTCAATGTCGACTTAATAGTACAATAAATTAAACATATCCATTACAAAAGTCAAATATTTCGTACACGAAAATAATAAAATAATTGACAATTTTCTATTCTTTTTCATGAAAATATTACACGACGAAGTCATAAAATTTGAATAGTTAATTAAGAAATATAAACGATTCTTCTCTTCATTTTAAACACGCAAGCTTAAAAAATGGTACATGAACTTTTTTCACGAAAGGGATTAGACTTTTGCGATGAAAAACCAACCAAGAGACAATCCTCTTGTTCATGCTCCGTTATGTACTTCATAATATCCTCCACGGCTTTGCTGACTGTGATTCGCTTCAAAGCTGCTTCACGACGCAATTGCTCCGTAGTGTGACGTTGTTGTTGCAAATTCGTGATCACCATATCCATAACAATCGTGAACAACAGGATATTCTGTTAAACACTTCTAAAAAAATAAAACACTTTCTTTGAGTTTCCTTCTATCATTTTTTGGTAATTTATACTTTTAGAAATCTGATAATTGTAGAACCAAACTTACGGATTTTACTGCAACAGTTTACGTCAATATGTTATATCTTACAATACTTTATAAATAAATTCTATTCTTTCCAACAATTCTTAAATCATATCAACGTTTTACACAGTTTCACAGTGCGAGCCTATCCCTTAAGGCTGATTCTCGTAAAGCAATGTTTTTATAAATGACGCTAGTTCTTTTGCAGAAATATTACTATTTATTATTTTCTACAACAAATCTGTTATTTGAAAGAAAACAGAATTGTTTGCCACTTGTGGATAAATTTCTTTAATAAAGAAAAGTACACACGACATTTGTGATTTTGTACGTACTGTGGAAATAATGAAATTAGGAAAATTATAACACCTTCGTCCAATTCTTTAGTCCGGCTACGCCATCACTAGGGATAATCTGCGGTTTCCATGTATGTTTGATTATCTATGAAAATGAACCATCGATGTAGTAAAATTTTAATAATTATCGCCTGCAGGTGTCACTTTAATAGTTGGTTCTAAAGAAAGATCTCGATTCTTTATTATTTTTTGACGGAAAATTGAAGCAGCTATTCTACCCTATCCACATTCCACGGCTATCAATTGTGAGTCGCACGCCGGATAGAGATCTTTCAATTTTGTAAAAAAGATGGCTATGCACATACCAAAGGCACCGGGCATGGCCCAAATGCTCAAAGAAGGAGCCCTTGTAAGTTAAAAGTATCCTCAATAAAATGTTGCATACATAATTTACATGCCTTCTCATCATGTTATGAGACCATGGTCAAATAACGTTTTCTCGTTGAAATAAAGATGATACAACATTTCGCTGAACGTTACCTTTTATGGACACAATATATTCATCCCACACTTATATTTTTTATAACACGTTAAAAATATTTTAGATGAGTTGAAATTCCATGGTTCCCTCGTGTCTGGGATTATTTAGTATTTACTTTATTATTAGTATTAAAAATTTTAGTATTTAATTATTACAGAGCAATATACACAATATTTATATTACTATCTTTCAATTAGTATTTTTCAGGTTTGGAAGAAGCTGTGTATAGAAATATATCAGTATGCAAGCAATTCGCACAAACTGTAAGGACTGCTTATGGTCCAAATGGCATGAATAAAATGGTTATTAATCACATTGAAAAATTATTTGTTACTAATGATGCTGCAACAATCGTTAATGAATTGGAAGTTGAACATCCAGCTGCTAAATTGTTAGTCTTAACATCAAAAATGCAAGAAGCGGAAGTTGGTGATGGAACAAATTTTGTTATAATATTTGCTGGAGCTCTTTTAGAAGCTGCAGAGGAATTACTTCGTTTGGTAAAATTTTTAAATATAATCATTGACATTAATATTATAACAAGTTAACTTAATAGTTAATAGTTATCAATTGAGTACAAAGAATATAAAAGTATCTTTTGTAACAGGGGATTACTACATCTGAAATAGTTGAGGGATACGAAGCTTCGCTAGAAAGAACATTAGAAATATTACCAACATTAGTCTGTTACGAAGTAAAAGATTATCGAGACGAAAAAGCAGTGAAAGTTGGAATTAAAACATCTGTTATGAGTAAACAATATGGAAATGAAGATCATCTTACTTCTCTTATAACGCAAGCTTGTGTATCAATTTTACCAGAGAAAACTACTTTCAATGTAGACAATGTGCGTGTCTGTAAAATACTTGGAAGTGGCTTGTCTAGTTCTGAAGTTGTACAAGGAATGGTATTTAAACGACAAGTTGAAGGGGACGTTGCAAAAAAGGATAATGCCAAAATTGCTGTTTATACCTGCGCTGTAGACATTGTGCAAACTGAAACAAAAGGAACAGTATTGATAAAATCAGCCGAGGAATTGATGAAATTTTCTAGAGGAGAGGAATCCCTTCTGGAAACTCAAATCAAAACAATTGCTGACAGCGGAGTCAGCGTGATAGTTTCAGGAGGAAAGTTTGGTGATATGGCTTTACATTATATGAACAAATATAATTTAATGGCTGTTCGTATACCCAGCAAATTTGATATTAGAAGACTGTGTAAAACTGTTGGTGCTACTGCACTTCCAAAACTGGTAGATAATTTTATTTTATCTCTCTGCCTCGTTTATACTATTTATATCTCATTTTGTCTCTTCACACGATTATATTTATTTTAAGATTCCACCGACAAAAGACGAATTGGGATATGCAGATTCTGTATGCATTGATGAAATAGGAGAAACCATGATAGTAAAGTTTGTATTAAATGACAAAGAGAGCCGTATTAGTACTATAATTGTTAGAGGATCCACCGAAAATTACATAGATGATATTGAACGTGCTATCGATGATGGTGTTAATACGTTCAAAGGATTAACAAGAGATGGAAGATTTCTTCCTGGTGCAGGTGCCACTGAAATTGAACTAGCTTCACAACTTATTACGTATGCAGATACTCTACCAGGTTTAGAACAATACGCGGCACGTAGATTTGCAACTGCTTTAGAAATATTTCCAAAAACCATAGCTGAGAATAGTGGATGTCATGCTTCTGAACTTTTATCAAAACTTTATGCTGCACATAAGGAAGGCAAAAAGACTTATGGTTTTGATATTGATGTATGTATTTAATATTTATATCTAATTTTTTTGTTTTGTGTAATTTTGCATTAACGAACTTCTTTGTTGATCAAAATAATATGTATAACAAAAAATTTGTTCCAGCATAAGGGTGCAGCTCTTCTTGATACAGTTGAAGCTGAAATTTTAGACTTATACATAACAAAAGAGTGGGGTTTAAAATATGCTGTTGGTGTTGCATGTACTGTTCTTAAAATCGATCAAATTATTATGGCAAAACGTGCTGGAGGACCAAAAGTACCAGGTGGAGGTGTCCGTGACGACGACGAGTGATAATATATATGTCACTCAGCTATTCATTAATTCTTGTATTTAATTTATAATTTTGCATTACGTTGGCTTTCAGCGCATTAAACACACTGTCATACAAAAAAAAGTATTTGTAAAAATGTTAACATACTCGTCTTTGTATTATGTGTATAATGTTGTACTACTTTACATTTTTTAATGAAAACAAATTATCTATGAACAATATTGATATGTACATTATTTTATACTTTCCTTAAATCTTAAATCTACTTAAGTTTGATATATTAGAATATAATAAAATTCTAAATATTATATATAATATATATTTTCATTATTTTCACTACCATTGCATACAACATTTTAAAAGATAATGCTATGAATGAGACAAAAGTTGAATGAATGTATGTGAAGAACAATTGATAAATTATTAGACTTTATTTTTATATTATGCAATTTTAAGTACAATTGTGGATAGTGATTCTTTAGGAGTTTTTCAAATTTTGTTAAAAACATTAAATTTTGCACTTGATATTTTGAAATAGAGGTTAGTATTGTAGTCACTTAATAATTCGATCCTTTTTCTTATTAAGTATTGCATAATTGAAAAAAATAAAATTGTATCTATGTATTCGTATTTGGACATGATATCAAACAGTAATTTTTATCTATTGATATCTCAATAATGATTATTTCACTTAAGAATGATAAGGAGACTTATATAATTATAAAGAATACTAAATCGTTAAATAATCTCTTCGTTAAAACCAGTTATAATTGTGGCTTTGTCTGAAAAGGAGGATTAAATATGACTAATATAAAATTCGCCACCAATTTATCCTTTATGTTTCTGGAGTCACCATCAATCATAGAAAGATATCAATTGGCAAAAGAAGCTGGTTTTAAAGCTGTGGAAAGTGGATTCCCTTTTGGTTTTACCATTAAAGATGTATCAGAAGCAAAAAAAAACGCAGGCGTTGAACAAATTCTCATAAATGTTTTTACAGGTATTTAATAATTACAATTCTTAAAAAGCATTACAAGAAATTATTTAATGAATAACAACTTTTTTTTAAAATAATTCATTATAATAGGTGATGTATCAAAAGGAGAACTGGGATTTGCAGCAATACCTGGAGAAGAAGATAACTTCAAAAAGAGCATTGACTTGACAATAGAGTATGCAAAAGCTTTAAACTGCAAACGGTAAAAAGACTGTATACACAAACAAATGATCTTTTGATAATGTTTTAATGTTTAGTATATTTTTTTAATTTTTTTAATAGAATTCATATAATGTCCGGTAAAGTCGGTCAAGTAACACCTATTAACAATGCTGTTTATGAAAAAAATCTTCGGTATGCAGTTGAATGTTTTCAAAAAGAAGGAATTATTGGCCTTATTGAACCTATTAATAATATTACAGTTCCAAATTATTACATGAATAGTTTTCAAAAAGGTAACCACTTGTCGGAGAGTAAAAAGGATTTTTAGCAATATTAGTAATTATTATGCTTATTAATATAACATTTCTATATAGGCCTAGATGTGGTAAAAAGGATAAATAGTCCAAATTTGAAGTTGCAACTCGATGTTTTCCACCTACAACATATTTGTGGCAATATTACAAAAAATATAAAGGAACTTCTGCCCTACATAGGTACCTGTTGCATTTTAACTGTATAAAAACCTGGACAAATAATTTATATTGTAATTCATAGGTCATGTACAAATTGCTCAAGTTCCGGACAGACATGAACCCGATACTCCAGGAGAAGTAGATTATAAATACGTCCTTACCACCTTGGAAAAAGAAGGATATAGTGGATATGTTGGTTTGGAGTATCGTCCAAAGTCATCGTCTGTAGAAGGATTAAATTGGATACAAAAATATGGTTACAAATTATAATAAGAAATTTTAAACATTTGTTGAAAGTTTCCACCTATAATTAGTAAGTAATTATTTTATTTCTTATTATTACTTAAGAGAAGAATAAAGAACCTTTTACGAAAACTGCATACATTTTTGCATTACAATGTATGTCGTATGTTAACAATTTAATTATTATTATAAATGTTATATACATAACGGAAGAAATAAACAAAATTTCGTTTCGCAATAATACTCCTTGTTAATACATTGAAAAATTCCTTTGTGCTAATTATGTAAAACTGTTGCATCGATTAATTTTTATCTTTTGATTTATATCGGACACAAAAACAAACTATTACAAAAATGTTAAATGCTAAGAAATCTATAATAAGGCGGCGTACATTAAATTTATACAATTATATAATCATTTATGCTCTACTTATTATTCAATAAATTTATATATGTATATGTTGTTCTTTAATTAAACAATAGTTAATATTGAAATAGCAATATTTAATGGACTATCCTCATTATAGGCCTATAGGCTTCAGAAAAAATAATTCCATATTTTAAGTACAAAATTTTTAAATTGTACTTTATAAAATAGTTACAATAACATATTAGTATTAAATATATAAAAAAAATAAGTTTCTTGTTACAGCAATAAATTAGTATTGAAATAATGACGATTCACTTCAATAGATATCAAAGAACTGTTTTAGAAATCAATAATCACGTTAATACTTTAAATCTTTAAAATTTACATTTGTATTTTGGTTTCAATATAGACAAAATGCAATATACTATACAGTTGAAAGAATACTTCCAATATTGTACTATGTTGATAATTACATTACAATATTAATAATTTCTAATTATTTTTTAAAAGCCACAATACTTCTATCGTTTTCCAGTGTTCTTACTTCTTTATTATACATTTTATTAAATTCTTGACAGTAATTTGTTTTAATAGATATAACAATTTACATTTACCATCATATCAATTCTTTTTTTTTATATTCCAATAACATAAGTTTTTAAGACTAACTTAACATTTGCAAAAGAGGCTATTATGAATTACAATAATAATTACATATGCTATTATACGTATTAGTAACTGCACCATTAACAGTGTTGTACATACAAGAAATATTAAAAATGTTGTGCAAATTATTTTGCATTCTAATTATCCTAATAATTTCTTTAATACATAGAATATATAGAAGACTATGAAAGTTTCAATGTACAGTAGTGAATGTGATCTTAATATTAACCCTTTGCATTTGTAAGTAAAATATTGTATCCAGATAAGAATCTAAATATACAATAACAAATGTTATATAAGTAAATCTATAATGATAAAAATTTATTAAGAGATCTCGAAAGTAACTAATAAGTTACTTCATTAGTATTTGTTTCAAATCTTTGTAAAGGTAAAAAAAAAAAAAAGAAATAAAAAACACAAACAAGGTTTGATTGCAATAAAATGTCACAAATGCATAAGATTTACATAAAAACTTTGAAACTGAATTCTGTTAGTCAGCACCAAAGATATGTCTGCAATAAAGACGAAGAAATTATAATTGCTGCATCAAACAACTTCAGTTGTATCCACTAGCGGTTGGTTAGCATCTGCAGCAGAACCTATTATAGCAGTGCTGTAAAATATTATAGTATGATTGTATCAAACAAGCATTTATTATGTAAATATATTTATAACATTTCAGATAATCTTGAAATTTATGACTTTATGACTTTAGCAATAAGCAATTATGTACTAGTAATACTTGCGTTTCATTTGCACAAAAACAGTGTTAGATATTACTTATTGTAAGCTACAAAAACATGCAACAATACAAAACTCAATTTTGCCTTGTACGATTTTAAAAGTTTTTCTATGTACCATGACACAAACAAATTTGTATTTCTGCTATTTCATCCAATATATATCTTATAAAGAATTTTGTTGTACCAAAAATTAATTTTTCATAATTGGAGTAATGTTTTTCAACTATTTTGTATCTGTACTATACAACATTGACATTACCTATCCACTAATATTACATTTCTATACAAGTGTGAAGCTGATTTCCTAAATTTATCAATAAAATTATTTACACGTTAGAAACTATGTGTATTATAGTCAAAACATAATGAGAATTCCTAAATACATCTACTTTATTACTACTTGTTAAATGACAATAGATTATGCTCCTTCCTATTATCGTTAAACATAATAAATAAATAAAGTTACAGCGGGACATTCTAAAACAAAATTGTAGATTCTTTATTTTATGTATCAAGTATCAAATATTTTAAATAATGATTATTTATGATTTTATATTGTAATAATTCTAAGTATGTTAAAGTATGTAATAAATATAATATAAAAATGTGCAATAAATCTATAAATAATTTATTACTTTTATAGTAAATATGCATAAATTAATCTTACAGGACAAAACATATGTACCTACAAAAATAATTCTACATTCATGCACTGCAATCAGTTTTAATAAAACACAGATTAAGAATAAATTAAGTATTAATTGTATAGAAAACAATCCTTCGTATACTACAAATGCATAAAACGTTCTAACTTTACCAGTTTATTCTTCTTTTCTTATTACAGATTTATCTAACAATAGACAGTAGGCGTGGCCAAACACGCTGTATTATTTTTAAATATACTTTTAGTTGTAATTCTCTATTTATCTTTTTATTGTATAAATTACATGTTTGTACCAAGCATCATAAAAAATGTATATCCTTTATAAGCAATACTCTATTTTCAAATATACATGTAGTTGAGTTTTGACTGTTATATTGAAACATTGAGTTATTTTTTTTAGGAAAAAGATATATAATGGAGATTATACTTACATAAACTATGAGTTTATAATAAACTCTTTATCGATCGAATTTTTATAATCAGAATATTTTATGCTGTCAAAAAAAGAAAATTATTAAAGCAGTTAAAATTTGTTAGCAAATTAATCCTTGAAAACTATGTACATAGTAAATTTGTTATAATTTAAGACATTAATGATATCGATGTGCAAAATTTTAATAATGTCCATATCTGAAAACTTTTACTTTTAACAATATATGTATTTTTTTTGCCCATATGTACTTTAATTAAATCAATAAACATAGATAGTAATTTGTGCATATAATATTTAAAATACTCTATAAAATTACATTCCCCGTGTGACAATAATGGTAACTTATTAAGAAGAAAAATGATAGTTATAAGTAAAAGTTGATATGAGCGTGTAGAATTACTCAGAAAATTGAACAACATATTTTCTTCACGAATGTAACATAGAGAGTAATTGTGGCTAACATGAGTTTTGTACCAGAAATACTTTAATATGTATTTGGACAATATGTATAGACTAACGCACTGCCTCAACATAGGGATTCAGACTACACAATACCTGATTGCGACCCATAGGGAGGTGGAGAGTCAAGCTCGGTCTCATCACCCCACTGTTGGGTAGTATGCCCCAACAGAGTATGTGTGTCTTCATTGCACAGCCGTTCAGGAAAGTTTACCCCATCGCCAAAACTGTAACCCACACCCTACCTTCTACTTGATGTAATCCCATTCATACTCAGAGGTAGCGTAACTAATTGTATCTGAAAATCTATCTATACTAGAAAGTAGTATTTTGAACTTGGAATTTTACATTCTATTTTATTTATATAATATATTTTTCAAACAAAATTAGATGTTAATCTTTCAATATCGTACAATTATTTCTTTGTACATTTATTTCTAATTTATTGTTTTAAGATTAACAAACATCATAAAAGCTAACATTAAAATATAGTTACGCCACTTCTAACGGTTAAATTTAAATTATCAGTCTGTAAGAACCAGATGCACAATACCTCATAAAGTTGTAAGAAATTTATACCGATATATGTGATTTAATTAATGCACAATATGATGCATCTACAAAGAAAAACATGCATTAATAAATATCAATTTAAAATGAAACTAATACCTATTTCTTAAAGTCCATCTCAAATAATGATTATCTGCAGATTAAATACAAGGGTACAAATTTAATCTTATCGTAAACAGTAATATAAACAATACTCGTTTGAATAAAAAATATAACAATTATTAATTAAAATCGGAATGTATAAAATTTGAATAGAAATAACAATAAATGCAGATGTCATATAGGAATTACATTCTTTAATATACTAGTAAGTATATTGACTAGAATTTTCGGATTACTTATGAACACGTCTCGATAAATTACGAAATACATGTATGATTGATCAATAATCAATGATAGCAATAAAGTCCATATTTATAGTGCGCAAGTCATAATTTCATTAGTTTAATGTTATATCAAACAAAGATATCAATGTTAGTATTAATCCAACAAATTTTATAAGTGTAACAGCTACCCTTTATGATACAGTCGTGTATTAGGAAAGAAATAAAGACACAATGGAAATAAACAATCGCATGCATCCAGGAAGCAACATGTACGCATCTTCATTACTCTGGAACTCTACAAAATAAATGAAAAATGAAAAGTTTTTAAATGAAAGATGATAACATTCTATAAAATAAACATATGAATTTAAAGAAAAAAAAATATGAAGAAAATGTTTTGTTCGAAAAATTTTGTAATGGTAATTGGTGTATTGTTCGTTTAAATATGAACTGCCTTCTAATCGATAATACTAACGAGTTCCATAGTAAAGTTTATATGCAGCTTTACTTTAAACTTCTATAATGCTGACCTGTTTCGAGTACTTCCCATGGAGTCGTAAGTATTGGGTGGGCCCTGATGTTGCGCGCGTACTGGATAGGTGACACCATTTCCAAGACTAAAACACATTTAACGCACCCATCGCGATTTAACGGTAATGCAATTACTATTGTGTCGTTGTGTACTTATTTATGAAAGAATATGAGATAAACTAATGCAATATAATGAAAAATTAATTTAGATATATCTGATTTTTAAGGCAGTTTATACAATTTTATACGATACACATAGTTCTTTATTTTTACCATTTTCTTCACTTTTATATTTCATCTGTGAAATGATATCTTCGCAAAATCATACCAGCACATCTAGTCGATTGAAAGTGCATAAAAGAAAGAAAGAAACAATGCAATATGTGTGCACTACAAGGTTGAAATATCTCCATATTTTTATGTACTGTTCTCTATACATGATCACATTTAGTAATGAAAGATAATAGATCTTTTTTACAGTACGTGATGCCTAACATATATCAATTTACACTAAGTTCTACACTGTACTATGTACGCAAACGTGTACATATGCCAACATCCACTACATTAAAAAAGCATGTAGTATAAGTACTTTGATAATTGTAGTACTCCTTCACATTTATATTGTGCAAATGGTTCACAGTTTTATCAGATTTAAATTTCTTATACAATTAAAATAAAAATATAATATTAAATAAGTTTGAAATTTTCATATCATGTTAATGAACCTACCTAGTAAAAATAGGAAGGAACCACAATTTAGCATTATCACCAAATACTTCTTGGAAATTATTGTACTTCCCAAGACTAAAACCATCTTTATCCTTCCCTGTACGAAACATTGGTGCTGTAAATGCCTCTACAAATATATTACAATATTTAATAACAAGTATACAATAACCAAACTTTAAGTATTGTATAATATGTGAAAGAACTTTGAATATATAAACTCTTTTAATTACCTAATGTAGACCTATTATGTAAAACAAGGTAGCAATGGTATAGAAAAAGGGAATTTAGGCTAACTGCAAACATCAGTGCCACAAAGAATAAAAACAATAGATGAAATCTGCCCATTCCATCCAATTCTCCCTATATAATAAATATTCATATTTAAAAGTATAAAAAAAGTAGTAAACAATACTATTTTACAATATATAATGATATTTTAAGCGCAATTAAATTAATGACTAAGGAAACTTTTAAAATTTATTATGTAACGATTACATAATAAATTGTACTTACTTTCCAAAAACGTATGAAGTATTGTAAAGTTGTAGCAGTAATAAATATACAATAAAGAAGAGCATATGCCAAAAACAACATGAAGAATTTATAGTTGTGAAAGCCTACACAGTTGTTTACCCATGGGCAGTGATGATCCATTTTTAAAACACACGTTTTGCACACATTACAATGGTGTGCTCGATCTGGCTTAATTAACTGACATTTTTTACAGAAACGTATTACTAAAACAAGTAATTTATATAAAGTACATACATTTTCTCTGCATATAAGCGAATGAATCTATAGTGTACCTCCTTTAATAGTGAGATTTGTAACTGGAAGATCTTGTGCAAATCTTTCTAAGATCTGTCTCTGTACTTCTTCTGTTTCGGCTTGTTGAAATTTTTCCATTTCTGCATCTGGTATTCTAAACTATACAAAACACCATGCCATTAATATATTACTTACGTATAGACATTATAATAATTGTATATACAGAATCTTACCTTGTCTGGTACTTCTATTAAGTCTGTAAATACAGTTTGCCAATAGGACCACAAAAATAATAGAAATAGGATGTGATAGAAAAACAAGTAAAAGGCTATCAACAAATAAACATAACAGAATTAATGGTAAGTCAATACATTTTCATTTTTTAAAAATATGATTTAAAAATATTTATAAATATTATACATACCTTTCTGAATATAATTATCTATTGTATCTAAAAGAAGAAAAACAAAATATTAATTTTATACTATTAATTTTAATTCTAATTTTTCATTTCATCGTATCGATAAAAAATTTATTGATAAATATGAAACATTAATTCAAACAGAAAAATTACTTAAATATACTAATTATGTATGATAAAATAAAAAATTTTAAATATGATAAAAAAATCATTTATGAAAACTATTGTACATACACACATGTTTTGCAAGAAACTCCTCCTCTATTAAAATTTAAACTTAAACAAAAAAACATTTCATATCCAGCTACTTAATAAAAGATACTTCCGCACAATTCGTGTAAAGTATTGTATAGTACAATGTTTTTTTTTATGTTCCGTTCAAACTAGCTCGTTATAAACAAGGAATAAAGCGAAAATAACATAATATTAATTTTTCGAAATTATGTTGGTCGTTAAAGAATACTATAGTAACAATAATAATTAGTATTATTACTGTAACATATAGTCTGTAATCAAGGGGAAAATGTTCATTTGGAAATACTTACAAAAGCATAACTGCACCACATAAGCATAATACGACCACACGATAATTGTAAAGATGAAAATAACTGGTATCCAATTCAAGGTTTTCACGCACCACCAACAAGATTCGTTTTGCTTTCCCATTCTATTCACTGTCTTACAGATAAACATTTGTGCACGATTACACCGTTCACGTATACGTTATTTTTTCCATAATCTGACTGATGCACCATTGCAGACACCTTGCATAAAGCGCATAGACGCAATCGGAGATTCCTTCGGAACGAGAAACCATTGTACAATAAACAGCCGAATGTTACCCTTGTTATTATTTCCTTTTTGTTATCGCATTACAAATGTCGATACATATGTATCTATTTACGAGAAAATGCGAAACGCGAATAACTTTATTCCGAACGGAAACGATACTTTATCTTAGATTCCGTTTTCATACCGCACGCTATTCAAATTGATTACGTATAGGTATCTTTGTTTTAATTACTAGATACACAGTTTACAGACATAATAAGATTGAACTTTTGCGAAATATAACTTCATTGATTCTTATTTGAATCGATTAGTTACAGAGTTGGCTAGTAAGCGTGAAAAACTTTTAAATGCCATGGTTGTATCGAACTCATCGACAACCATTTTTTTTTATTTCTTCGTGTTACCACTATTAATTAGACATGAAAAGTTGTCTAAAAACAAAACACACTATTAATAAGCAAGACACACTATTTAAAAAATATGATTAAGAAATGCTTAAATGCTATATAACGAATAGGAACAGAGAAAATGTGGGTAACCTATTCTTTGCAAAAAAAAAAAAAGCATGATGCAGATCCGTATAACGTCACTTATTGGTCAGCATGAAATAGATAGTTTCATTACTAAATATGAAGTGACTGAATTACTATTTCTGGATACGAAACTAAACCAATTGTTTAAAGTTGGTAAGTTAGATATATAAGACATTATAATACATTAATTTCAAAATGTTACACTTTGTAAATAATGAATAACATGTTAAAAATTAATGAATTTATTAAAGTAGAATTATTGAAAATGTTAAAAGGAACTTAAATGTTATTATTTTAAATAGAAGACTATACCGTATAAAATATTCAATGTTACTATAGCACAAATTCTTATTTAAATATAATAAGTTCTACTAGCATTAATACATACAAATTAACAATATTATTACTTTATTGTTAGTATTTAAAATAACAAATTTATTTCCTTAACATTAATTCTTCTAAAATAATATAACAATACCTTTGAATACGTGTAATTATAGTTAGATATATAGTTTCCTTTATTACATTTAAATTATAATAAGCATCATAAAATAGAAAATTTTTTACTAGTTCAGTATCTTTCACTTACACTTTAAATATATTAACAACATACATACACATACACACAAAATGTGTTTCATTAAGTCTATTCACCTGAGAGTCTGTGTCGTTTAAAATAATATACGAAAATGTTATTTACAAAAATTGTCCATAATAGAATCATCCTTACTATATTATACATTATTTTTAAACCATACAATTTTTGTAAGTAAAGTTACGCATATTATTTGAAATAACAAAGATATTTAGGTAGACAGAGTCCATGAAATACACTGTATTTAACAGGTACAGCAGTTTTATAGATTTTTTTAATTGGAAGTACATCATTGTATAAATGATTATATTTTGGCATTACAAATTAAAAAAAAAAATACTAATATTTGCATTTATAATTTTTTAACTTAATTGTTGCATCTGTTTAATATTGAAACAAACATAGCTTTTCAATTAATACTGAATATAATGTAATGAATAAATACTAATATTGAATGTGTTACATGTGCATGCAATTTTAAGTTCCAGATGTTAATTGTTAATTATTCATTTTTTAATAATATAAAATTTTCTAAGATTTATGAAGATAGCCCCCTATGTTTTCTCTTCATCCTTGCATATGGACCTATCTCAGGATCCATAACAAAATCATACAAAACAGAGATCCAAGAAGTATGCTGTGGCAAAGTATCATAATATTCGGAAGCTATACGTTTTACCTGTAAAAAATATAAAAATATTAGAAATTTTAACCATTTTTAAATTGATTTATACTTACATCTGGTAATCTTGAACCAGGAACAGCAGGAAAATCATGATGTTCATTATGATATCCAACATTAAATGTAATCCAATTTAATGGACCATAGTAACTGTACGTTTCAAAACCTTTGGCATACATATAATGTTCTGATATAAAATGACCAGCTACAGGATGCAAACCCATTGCCATTACTGATCCAAAAAGTAAATAGACTAACACTTTTCCACCTATATGATTACATTAAATGTAAAAATATAGTATTGTTTATAAAATACAACAATTATATCATTGTTGTATTTTACTTTTTGTAATTATAATTTAATGAAGTTGAATTTCGTTTATTTAAAGTAATACAAAATAACTATTCTACTTTTAAACAGACTCACCTAAAAAGTACCATACCAATGCATCAAATGTGAGTTGTATCGCTAAATTTATAAATTCTATTAATGTGGGTGCTAGTGGATAAACAAAAAAAGGTCTAAATGCATAAAAAAATGGTTGCAAACATATCCAACAAAACTTTCCAAATGTTGTACAGAATAATTTGGCTTCCAATAATGTTGGTAAATCGGTATCTAATACTTCGTCTCCTTGATACTAGAAATTATTTATTAAAAAAATGATTAACTTGTTTAACAGAATATAACGAGCAGTTTATGTTTTACTTGTACTCACACGATGATGTATAAGGTGATACTTTTTAAAGCTACTAGATATAGGTATACCTATAGGTAAATTAGCAAAATACCCAAATAATCTATTGGCCCGAGGTCTAGAATGTCCGAAGGCAAGATTATGTGCTATTTCATGTATTGCTGGAATATAATACTTATATATTTAATATTTAACGGTAAAATGTTTATTATAAAATATGGAATAAAATATATAATTAAAATGAAGTATCTAATATAAGAAAATTATATGAATAAATGGTATTTACATAGAAATGAAAAAATGCAGTGAATTTATACTATGATACTATCAAGTATTTTATGTTAAATTATATTTATTGAGAAATTATTAGACTTGTTAGATAAGCAGTTGATTAATCAGATTTGAAATGACGTTATAATCAGCAATTACCGTTATACTCTGATAAGGGTCTTTGTTTGTAAAGCAGGCTTCTGTGGAATCATTGTTAAAAAGTTTCCTTCTGCTGATTATGATATTAGTCATATGTTATAATACTGATTAAGAATTTTGAGTTTAAATTGAATTATACAGAGTTTATGCTTACCTAACATAAGAGAATGATTAATTACACCTCCAAAACAGTATGCTAAAAGCAACATCATTGGATAGTTTAAATCTTTTACAATAAACATGGTTATTAATTGAATTAAAACCATTCCTGTGACTATCCATTTAAACATAGGATCATATCCAAACAATTTCGTTATTTGTGGATATTTCTCTGAAATGGAAGCGTATTTATTATGATATTACCAATGCAAAAATTTGTAATAATTTCGTAGAAACATGTGTACGTGACATTTCCATAAGTGGAAAGTGACCGGTGTCCTTAACTTTTCCGTATTATGTTACCGATACTTATTAGATAAAAATCTTACATTGCCAGCAAAATGAATGTTAAGGAATGGCAAATATACTATATTATTTATATTTTTACCTAAAATTATTTTACGACGTGATGCATGCGGTTCTTCCGTATAAACCCATTCGAAGTCGGTCTTCGTAACGTGTTGACCCATCTTCGCATGGAAAATTATTTATTAAATGTTTAAACACTCGCTAACTGTCAATCGAATGACATACAGGAACTACATTCATACAAACGATCATGCAAAACTTCAACTCTTTCATACCCGGCAGAACTGACAATAAGGAATGGGTTATCATTTAAGCACTGATTACAGTACGACCTATTACGCACTGAGTACAGTACGACCTATTGCACCTTTTTGCTGTTTTAAAAGAAAGTTACCAGCTTCAACGCCAATTAAAACTCCGTCTCGTTCAGACAGAGATCCAGATTGGTGCTGGATCTGGTAATTTTCTTTTAGAAGGAATATTACCTGTACTATATACGTTAATGCTATTTTTATATATGTTACAAAACATAGAAAAACAAAGTTCACGTACTTTATTACGTCTTGCTGAGCAGGCCTCATTCCATCTTGTTTCCACCTTTTGTAAACAGTGTTTACCGAGCACGACTTCTGTATGCACCCACCTTGAGAACATAATTACGCCCATTGCGCATACTGGTTGCGCACACGAAGAACAGAATCCGCCATCCAAAAGATGGAGGGAAATAAAGTGCCAATATTTCGTCTGCGTTGTAACGTCTTTCGTTTGTTTTTAGTCTCTTTTATTCTCTCTCATTCCGTTTTGCACTTCTTTTTGCAGAACAGAGTAAATCAGAGATGGTAGGGAGAGCATCGCTGATCTTCTACGGAATAAATACTGTACTATGTTTTATATACAATGTTATTTTACATACATATATTATTTTATATGCGAATAATAAATGTTTTATATATTTTTACTCGTAGCTATGCAAGATTTGTTGGTATAGATATATCTTTAGATTGATTGACTGGGTAATTATTTATTCAGATAATGATCAAGTCGATAGAGACCAGTTAACAGGAGGGTATATGAGAAGTAACACATATGAACACACATATGAATTCATAAATATAGTATTTTAGACCCTATGTAGACGGTGAATGTTGGATATTCTCAAATATGGCAGCCTCTGTATCGGCACAAAGCCATCCTATGCTTGTAAGGTCCGTACCGCATTCAGTATATAGAGATCAGTAAGCATATCCCACTTCAAACGCGGGATGAATTTAATATAAAAAAATGTAATATTATTGTAGAATTTGCGAGAACTGAGTGCTGTTCGTAGTCCTCTGGTGGGAAATTAGGGAGACGGCACTGCAATTACGCGTTATGTGACGATGTCACGTAACTAAATAGATCTATACATAAGCAGTTTTATGGAACCGGCATTATGTTTGGATGGCTCGTCCACTTCAAAAAGTGTCTACTCTAAAGAATGAATATCTATGCCAAAATCTTTTAGTGCTTTCGTTTTTTTTTTCTCTGTTTTTATGCAAAGTGAATATGTCAAAGACCGTGGTGATGTGCAGTTAGTGTTAAGTTAAAAGCAATTACAATTGCGAATTACAAGTGCGAGTATCGATGAATCGTTATGAATTATTAATAATCAGATGGTTATAGTTGGAATCACGACATGGCATCTCGCAGGTGAGGCACGTTTTTCTACTTGCATAAAAAATATGTAATTATCATAATTCACGGACGTTCGTTGAATAGGCCTACTTATTTATCAGTGTTAGCCGCGGATTAGTCAAACACACTCAGAGGTAAGGTATGCGCACTTAAATCGTTTAACACTGTTAAATCTTTGATATCCAAAAATGGATAGAATAATTCCAATTTCTGTGAACATCTGTCATACATATTTCCAAATATAAATACTTTATGTTCAGTTATTTTCATATAATGTTCGTACTGTAAAACGTAAGTTTCATATTGTTTACATGTTATTTCTAACAATGTTACACAACGAATTATACTACATTTTATGATAGTTTTTAAGTAATTATTAATGTTAGTACTTTTAATTAAAATAATATTACTGTTATAAATAAATTGTATATGGTTTAACGAATACCATAATTACGATTATATTTCCAAGTTATTGATTGCTATTAACTATTAATTAGGTATATGATAAATGCATACTGTGTCCACCCTGTTGTACCTATGGTATTTCATGTTGTATTCTGATTCTTGACATTTATAAAAACTAAATAATAATGATATGATTTGTTTATAAAATATTCTTTTGTTTAAATCAACATAGAGTTAGATAATTCGAATAAATTGTTTAACTCTATTTTGTATTGTAGAATTACTTTATTGATAGAATTTTGAAAAAGGCAGCAAGGAAAAATTTATAATCTTTTATACAATAACACGATAATATTTATTGCAGATGGTTTCATCCCAATATATCGGGTTTAGAAGCAGAGCATTTATTAATGGAACGAGGTTATGATAGTTCATTTTTGGCACGTCCAAGTTCATCTAATCCTGGTGATTTTACGTTATCCGTTAGGTAAGTGTATAATATATTACATAAATTAATTTTTTTATATATTTTTTCATGAAAATTATAATATCACATTATGTAACATTGGAAATTATTTCCAATCGATTTATTTCATTTTCAGACGAAATGGAGAAGTAACTCATATTAAAATACAGAATACAGGAGACTTTTATGATCTCTATGGTGGTGAAAAATTTGCAACTCTCTCAGAACTTGTACAGTTTTATATGGAAAACGGAGGACAGTTACGTGAAAAAAATGGAGAAATTATTGAACTAAAATATCCTTTAAACTGTGCAGATCCAACAACCGAAAGGTATTCATTTATGTGAAGCAAAATAATATGACATAGTCATTATTTTCATAATAAACATTATAATAAGTTTTGTTATGCATTGGTACTCTTTTTCTTGTTACTGTTACTTCAAATGCACGCATATAGCATGGTATGTGTTAATAGTAAAATATGGGTAAAGGTGGTTCCATGGCCATTTATCAGCTAAAGAAGCAGAACGTTTAATGCTGGAGCGAGGTAAAAATGGATCATTTCTGGTCCGTGAATCCCAAAGTAAACCTGGTGACTTTGTATTATCCGTGCGTACAGACGATCGTGTTACACATGTTATAATACGATCTCAGGTTAATTATATTTTATATTTTATCTTTATTATGTATTTATTAATTTATTACAACTTAAAATTGAAATCTACATCTTGTTACTGAAAAATTATAAATATTGTAGGATAATAAATATGATGTTGGTGGAGGTGATAAATTTGATAGTCTGAGTGATCTGATAGAACATTACAAACGTAATCCAATGGTCGAAACAAGTGGAAGTGTTGTCCATTTAAGGTAAGAAAACATAAACATTTATTAAGTTGCGATCTTTACTTATTGACTCACCTTATATGTATATGTAGTAGGATATATATTTTCTTATTATACGTTTATTTAATATTTTCAAGGCAACCTTTCAACGCTACTCGTATAAATGCCAGTGGTATTAAAAGCAGAGTGAGGCAATTACATAAAGAAAATGGTTGTTCAAATGGATGGTTGTGTTGGAATGGAGCTACAGGTAGTAACGAAGGTGGAGCCGGCCGTGGTAAAGGAAAGGCTGGGTTCTGGGAAGAATTTGAATCTCTACAGCAATTGGAATGTCGACACTTATTTTCAAGAAAAGAGGGTCTACGTCCTGAAAACCGTGCAAAGAATCGATATAAAAATATCTTACCATGTAAGAATCTTCCGGTTACAGTATTGAATTTCATTATGCCTGTGTATAAACTTTAATTGCTAAATTATCATTCTGCAGTCGATCACACAAGAGTGCGCTTGAAAGACGTTGATCCAAATATTCCTGGAGCTGACTATATCAATGCTAATTACATTAGGGTAAATCTAACTCGATGATTCAATATTTAACTTTGCACGTGCATATTGAAATTTGTTCATGTATAAATATTTATAGAACGAGGAGGGAGATGGGCAAACTAGTGGAGACAGTGGATCGTTTACTAAATGTTACATAGCAACGCAAGGTTGCCTCCCAAATACAATACCAGATTTCTGGTATATGGTATACCAAGAAAATACAAGAGTAATAGTTATGACCACCAAAGAAATGGAGAGGGGAAAGGTATGTTGTTCGAAAATATATATTCGCATTGAATTGTAAAAATATATATACATACATTCTAGAATAAATGCGCTCGTTATTGGCCAGAAGAGGGTGAAGTTGCAGAATATGGTGGCGAATGGAAAGTTCGTGCTTTGTCCCGTACTTCAACGGCAGATTACACATTACGGGAATTTTTGTTACATGGAAACAAGCCATGTTTCACAGAATCCAGAAGGATTTATCACTATCACTTTCAAGTACATCATTAGTATTATTTTTAATAACTCCTCGTGTTGTTAAGTAGAGTAAAACTGATTGCAACGACGATGTTCTTTTCAGGCATGGCCCGACCACGGTGTTCCATCAGATCCTGGATGTGTATTAAATTTTCTTCACGATGTTAACGCAAGACAAGAATCAATTGCTGGTTCTCTTGCTTCGGGTGGTCAAAATGTATCTAGTATAGGACCAATTCTTGTACATTGTAGTGCTGGAATTGGTAGGACTGGAACATTTATTGTTATTGATATGATTCTTGACCAAATCAAGCGGCATGGTAATTTTAATAAATTATATTTGTAATACTAATTTTGTTCTTCATTATGTTTTTCTCTTTTGTAAGATTTTGGGTATTCTGTTTACAGGGCTAGATTGTGAAATTGATATTCAAAGGACAATTCAAAGAGTCCGTTCTCAGAGATCGGGAATGGTTCAAACTGAAGCACAATATAAGTTTGTTTATCTTGCTGTGTTACACTATATTGAAACTGTATCACAACGAATGCAAGCAGAACAGGTAGTTACATGGAAATACTTTTCATATGTGTTTTTATAATCCCTATACGTGCATTTATTTTTAATTTATTATTACCTTTACAGATATCTCTTCATCTAGGAAGAGAATATACTAATATACGCTACAAAAGTGAAACAAATGCTACTACAAATATGGGCGATATACCGGTTCCTACATGTACTGCAACAACTCTTCCAACGTCAGCACACTTTACATTACCCACTCCTATTAATAGTTTGAGGCCAAAGTAACTATCGTTAACATCATTAATGATCGAGATTTTTCAAAAGCAATGAAGAGGCTTCGTTACTCTTATCACATGTGGTTTTCGACTTTGATATTATTTCTATAATGTGCTTTATTTGTAAAAATTTAATTTTCATTTTACTGAATTGTTTTTAATATTTTTCAAGATATGTATAATTGTAATGTATTTATACACAATGCATGGTCTTAATGTCTAAACTGTGAATATACTTACTGAGCTGCATTATTCATACAAACGTAAAAGATTATATAATTCCAATATTTCACGATATAATATTTAAAAGTAATCAGGCACATTCTACAAATTGTATTATAGAAAAATGAAAAATATTTTTATTGCAATTTAATCGCAGTGCTAAATAATATAAAACATTCTCGAATGCAAAAATCTTAGTAATAATTATGACAAATATAAGAGAGATATATAATTGCTTTCATATCATTATTTCGCTATCTATTAGAACTGTATGAGATCTCGAAACGCATAACAGGACAATTCTAAATATTCGAAACAAGATAATTGTAAATATTCAAGATAGGACAAACCTAATTGTCTGGTAGGATCTGATTTCTTTCGAGAATTCCCAATGTAAGCTTCCAAACTTCTCGGTTTTTGAGATGCTTGGAAGAAACGAAGTCTTGATTTGTATTTGGGTTTCGTTTCGTCTCGAATATTAAGGATAATATTTTTTTGTCTTGCTTTCTAGTGGGATCCCAAACAGATCTATTATCTATGCTCCATCGAATATTAATTAGATAACAGATTTATCTCAATAGTTATCATTTTTCATGCTTACTTCTAAGGAATATTGGGAAAGCTTCTTTACTACATAAAGATTTTCCTGGATATACAACGAATTTCCAGAATTATTCTAGGTTTCAGGTGTAATATTATATATTGTGCCTCAAAATATATTGATATTTGCTTTTATTGTGATTAACTGTACAAATTTGTTTAGTAATATTTAGGACTGACTTTTATATAGAATTTTTCTTTTAATATTTTTTTTTCTTCAAGGATGTGAAACATTTGTTATTTTTAAATTTTAATATGTTAAAGGCAGAATGTACAAGGGTGAGATACATACAATTTTACACATTATTAAGTCTACATGGACGATTTTTGTATCGCAATTAATGTTTGTTACTTTTTAGTAATTGTAATTAATTAAAGCATTAATATTAATATCGGAGTTCGTTCAATCGGTTGTAAAAAATATGTTATATTGAACAATGAAATTAAGAAGGTCAGAACCAACAGACATGAAAATTAAAGTTTAAGTCTATATGTACAAACGTTTACAGTTTCTTAATATTTTTCATTTATTTTTGTACAAATTGGAAATAATTTTTTACCACTATTTGGTTGTAAAATCAATTGTCACAAACTGCGCAACATTTACATTAGTAAAATATATCTGAAAAATACTAATAACCGAATGTTTGAAATAATGTGTAAGATTGGGGTACAGTTCATGTTTCATTTGTTTATATGAACATAAAATAAAAAATCAGATGTAAGTGATACTGTAGCGAATGTGAAAATTATATACATGAATATCATTATCGTTTAATTTATATGTACGCGATTGGTGATTATAACAAAACTTTGATCATAAAATATACATCTGAGTGGGTTCTGCCTTGCAAATTGAATCATAAATTTAACATTTTTAAAGATATTTTATTACATTATTATGAAACCAAATATTCAAACAATTGCTTTATTGATTGTATAATATATAGTTTTTAGAATTGTTAAAGTAAATCTGAAAATTATATTAATTTTTTTTTTACACGATATTATACAATTTTGACAGTTTTTTAAATGCTACTTATTTTGTCATTAAGAAAATAATTTTTTTTTTTTTATTTAATTAATATATCACAATCTCAAATTTTTAAATTTATCTATATTTTTATAATATATGATAATTTTTATTCTTTCCAACGTAGTAAGTATTGTAGTACTTTAGCGCATATATTTTTAAACACGAGATAAACAATGTTGCATTTATTATCAATTTTCACCTCGTTCGATATACTTTGCTTCTTTGAGAAACGTAACATGCAACCATTGGATATTATTGTACTTTATTACTATCAAAGACATGTGATAATAACTGTGGCATTAAAAGTTTTGTTATCAAATTCTATATTTGCATTGTCATGTAATATAATATTCACATTAATTATACTTTTAAGGCTTTAATTTTTATGCACATCTCAAATAATATATCTCATTAAGTATTAGAGATTTATATGTTCAAATGTAGATAACTTATGAATTTACCCTAATAATAATAAACATATGCATATAATATGAAACGAATATATAATAATTTATTCAACTCTTGAAGGCAATTAATCGTTAATGTGCAAAATTATTCTCTATCAAATATGTTTTGTTACTCTTTAAAATCTTGGTATATTAATTATAGCATTAAATACTTAATTATAAAAACAATGTAATAATAAACTGTTATTAGGAAGAAAAGATGTTATTCCCTTAATTAATTATTGTGGACCAATGGTGTTTCACAATAGGTATTCATTTGTTTTATATGAATATGATTATATTAATTAGTAGTTTAAACGTTATTAAATATTGTTCTTTTGCATTGCATGTTTTTATTACAAAATCTTATTGATAGATGGAAGAGTACGTTCACTATCCTGATACTTTTACTTATGTAAATTGTTCTCAAAACGACTGAGAAATAAGAAGCGTCGAATATGCTTCATTGATAAATGGCCAAGATTATTTTTCTTTATACATATACGGAGGGCTAAACACCTTTGCTTGTTTTTGTAAGAATGTATCTTACAAAACTACCGAACAATTTATATAAATAGAAATACATCTAATTAGGAAGTAATTTATATTAATATAAGTTTAGATCTAAGTTATCGAAGGTGTCTCAGAGGTTATGTCGTACGTAAATATTGTACGATATACATCGAGATCAATTTAAATAAGCAATTTCTTGATATTTGTAAAGAATTTTGAAAATATATGACTGAAATATTATCAATGTGAGGATTACATAATCGTTTGAAGCAAAACACATCGAAAAAATGCTAAATTTTCAAAGAGTTCAAAAGCTACATGCACCGTTCAAACGTTATGCATTTCATTTCGAGCCAAATATTAACAATCGAATTAATAATGTTCGTAACATAGTTAACAGTGTAACAAATTTTACACTACCACCGGACAGTATAATGAACGTTTTCGACAGAAATACAAAAATTCTTCAAAGAGAACGCGCTGCACAAGCTTCTGATACAAAACTGTACGACTACATTAAAGATGAAGTAGGTTACAGACTATCTGATAGAATATTTGATATAAAGAGAAAATTTAATAAAGTGCTAAACTTAGGATGTGCTCATGGTCATGTATCGAAACATATTTTGGCAGAATACGTAGAAGAGTTAATCCTGACCGATAGTTGTCCCAACATTTTAAACAAAGCTGAAACTATAGAAGGAATTAAAGTAACCCGAATACCTATGGACGAAGAAAATTTTTCATTCGAACCAAACAGTTTAGATTTAGTGATCAGTTCGTTGAATCTTCACTGGGTGAACGACTTACCGGGTTGTTTTAGAAATATCAACAACAGTTTAAAAAATGATGGGGTCTTCATGGCAGCTATATTTGGTGGAGATACGCTATACGAATTAAGGTAATCTAAGTTATACGAAAAGACATTTAATCGGATTTGATTACATTCTATTTGCTATGTTTCCTTATCAGGGGTTCCTTACAATTAGCAGAAATGGAGAGAGACGGTGGAATTTCAGCACATATTTCACCATTCGCACAAATTAGGGATGTTGGATCATTGTTAACAAGGGCTAATTTTACAATGTTAACAATTGATACAGATGAAATAGTTATTGGTTACCCAAGCATGTTCGAGTTGATGTGGGATTTAAAAGGTAATAGTTGAGATTTTAATGTAGTTAAATTTTAGTAAATATTTGGTAATATGCACTTTTTAGTTGATTTATATATCTAACTTTATAGGGATGGCTGAAAATAATGCAATACGAAATCGTAAGTTACGATTAAATAAAGATACTATGCTCGCAGCTGCTGTTATATATAACAAGCTTTATGGGAAAACGAAAGAAGATGGTACACCATTCGTACCTGCAACATTTCAAATAATTTATCTATTAGGTTGGAAGCCAGATCCGTCGCAACCAAAACCTTTAGAAAGGGGTACTGGACAAGTATCGCTTAAAGATCTACACAAATTAGATGAGATTATAAAAGAAACTAAGAAAGTTAAACTAGATGAAGATAAGTAATTGTAAACAATAATATTAATAAATATTTACATCAAATATAGAACAGAATATGTTTCTTATATAAATCATTTTGTTAATTTTTTTTACAACAGATTAGCAAATAAATCAATCTCAGTTAACAATTAAAAGAATACATCGTATAATATCTTAGTTAATTTTTTCCTTATGTACTATAGCACCTCTTTCTATAAGATCAGGGATTTCAACTGCCAACCATGGTCCTAACTAAAATATATAATTATTTTTAAATTATGGAAATAATTATTCAATGATTTATTATGAACAAAGAACCTTACTCCAAGTGCCATGGCATGAGCAATTCCAAACTTGGGCGCGTTTCGTGCCCATAAAGGCTTGAAATGATCGGTGAGACAAATTTTTCCACCTCTATACATTTTTGCAGTTTTACCATCTAATTCTGGCAACGCGATTTCAGGTGCCGTTACAGGATAGGTAACAGGTATCTAAACAAATCGAACGAACAAACAATATCACAAACTTTAAAGCTTTGCTTAATATAATAACAAAAAAGAGTTACTTGCATCAAATTCGACTTCAAATTCATATTTTAGCAAGTTGTGTATGTACCAACATTTGCCAAACCATCGTGTGCCTTCTTTATTAGATTCCAAACGAAACCAATCGTTGTCGTCTTTTTTGTTATTCGTTACATACTGGAAATTATATAAAGATTACTTTAACCGAATGTCACATTATTTATGGTAACATTAAAAACGATATTTTACGATGTTTACTGTAATGTCAACCATATGGAACGCATTGTTTACGAATATGATTTACTTTGATTAAAGCTTGATATTCTTCTTTTAATCTTTGCACCCATAATTCTTTATCTCTAGGACTCGCTTTTGTTTGTAACAATGGAATGTTACTTAGTGTCTTCTTCGTTGATTCATCTACCATTATAAACTTTTATACTAGGTTATATTATCACCGATGACAACAATGGATTGTAATTTGTATATATCGTTTTAAACTATAGGTTATTTACGAGTAGAAAGACTCTATTTCATTAAACTTTGTCCAGCGAAACGAAAAACTCGGATAAACAAAACCACGTGACATGCGAAAGAACTAAAATGGTGTCACAAATCGCATGTCGTCTAGATATAAATTACAAAAAAATGATACATATTATTAATTATATGTAATAATGGTAGTATTCCAGTGACAGAGTCAATACGTGACAAAATATAAAAATATGAAATAAAGTAATAGAAACAAAAATATACTCTAACCTAATGTTACCAGATTGTGAACTAGGTGCACTGGGAAGATGATGTTAGACGAAGCCCTCGGTGCACCGGGAAATGAAATTCCTTATATTTATATTAATGAAAAATAAAAATCACAGTACATATATTCCACACTTTTTATTTAAATTCTCCTCTACCTATCTCAGTAATTCCGTAATTTTTAAAGTTAAAAATATTATGCGACTTTAATTAAGTTATTCAACCATTTCTCTATACATTATTCAATGTAATTAATAAGTTATAAACAATTACTGGAAGCGATTATTATTTCAATATTGCGCCAAAATGTGCAAAGAAACGGTATCGCCATCTAACATCAGGAATTCGTACTGCTAAAGTGCATATATATATACGAGCTCACGTACGTGAATGATCTATCATTGTGTTAAAATCTGCAAAGAAACAGTGTCGCCATCTAATATCAGTGTTTCGAAGTCAAAAAATCGTCCCAGGATCACAGAATGTTAGTGGAGGTATCCGGAGTACAGCTACCCCCACTCCTCCTACTCCTGATACGCACTACCTTGATTATTCGTTAATTACTCCTTTCCTGGGATTAAAATAGGAACTTTTAGAATCGAAGAATGTAGTATAGACCCTTGGCTAGATTCAAGGATAGTTTTTAGAACGATTCCGCCAGTAATTAAGACGTTATTAACGAATATCGGAAGTCGTGACATTTACGGCTGTATCACCGTCTGCTTTAATCGATGAATTATCAATTTTTCAACCATAATACCCATATTTTGGCTATTAGAGAACCAAGTCGACATCCCTGGCAACATTCAGGGACCGATTTTGTAGCGCTCCATGCTCTAATTAATTAGTTATTAGCGATAGATCCCGAAGGTGTCGTGTGAAAAGGTTAAAAACCGTGACCCGACTTCCGATATTTGTTAATAACTATTTAATGAGGCATAGCATGGTCCTAAAAAGTATCCTCGAATGTTGCCAAGGGTCTAGACTATATTCTTAAACTCTAAAAGTTCATAATTTGTTCCCAGGAAAGGCGTAATTAGTAAATTAACGAGCAATAATTCATGACAAGCGGAGAACTATCGATTGTTGGATGGTGGCGCCAACTAGTGGCGAAAGCAGCGTACTATGGGCTTCTCGGCTTCGTAATGAATTGTTGCTCGTTAATTTACTAATTGCGCCTTTCCTGGGAACAAACTATGAACTTTTAGTGTTTAAGAATATAGTCTAGACCTTTGGCAAGATTTAAGAATACTTTTTAGGACCATGCTATGCCTCATTAAATAGTTATTAACGAATATCGGAAGTCGGCCCACTGTTTTTCACATTTTAACGCGACATCTCAGACATTTATCGCTAATAACTAATTAATTAGAGCATGGAGCGTTACAAAATCGGTCCTCGAATGTTGCCAGGGATGTCTACTTGGTTCCCTAATAGCCAAAATATGGCTATTATAGTTGAAAAATTGATAATTCATCGATTAAAGCAGACGGTGACACAGCCGTAAATGTTACGCCTTCAGATATTCGTTAATAACGTCTTAATTACTGGCGGAATGGTTCTAAAAACTATCCTTGAATCTAGCCAAGGGTCTATACTACATTCTTCAATTCTAAAAGTTCATATATTATTCCCAGAAAAGGAGTTATTAACGAATAATCAAGGTAGTGCGAATCAGGAGTAGGAGGAGTGGGGGTAGCTGTACTCCGGATACCTCCACTAACATTCTGTGATCCTGGGACGATTTTTTGACTTCGAAACACTGATATTAGATGGCGATACTGTTTCTTTGCAGATTTTAACACAATGATAGGTCATTCACGTACGTGAGCTCGTATATATATATGCATATTAGCAGTTCGAATTCCTGATATTAGATGGCGATACCGTTTCTTTGCACATTTTGGCGCAATATTGAAATAATAATCGCTTCCAGTAATTGTTTATAACTTATTAATTACATTGAATAATGTATAGAGAAATTATTGAATAATTTAATTAAAGTCGAATAATATTTTTAACTTTAAAAATTAAGGAATTACTGGGATAGGAAGAGGAGAATTTAAATAAAATGGATGGAATATATGTACTGTGATTTTTATTTTTCATCAATATAAATATAAGGAATGTTTTACACATTTCTATCTTTGTTAAATAAAAATATGCGTCGAAATCTTGATAGCATGTTTTATAAATAAATTATATTGATGAGTAATATGTAATAATTTGAACAACATTATTCTAAAACATATACACAACATTATAGGGGTTATTTATGCATCAGAAGTTATTTTTAATTAAACAGAAGTTACTGTAAATTATTATTTGATAGAAATGCCATACTTTCAATGTTGTTAATGTACTTGATTACTAATTTCTTCTAGTCTGCAGAGATTCATGGCATAATTTGATTTTGCATCTTGTTTTACTTTATATAAACATTCAAAACCCTTTCTTTCTTTCTCTCATTATTGAGCGACTATATCTTTATTCTAATTCTAATAATCTTCATGTTCAGTGTCCTCCTATAATGTTCTCTGTCAAATTCTGGTTTTTGATTATCTGCATCCGTGACCTAGGATGAGAATATATGATTTAACAATAATTCATTTTTTCAAGTACTCTATTTATTTCATAATAAAGTATACCCACTTCCTTTAATAGTTGCATGGCTTAGCAAGGTTACACACAGTTTCCTTTGCCGCTACATGAATTTCGCTAGCTCTTTGAGACAATTGAGCATGCTGTTGACATTCTACCTACAAAAATAATTGTATAAAATAACTGTTCTCTGAGATTTGTAAATGTATTAAAAATCTCACCCAAGCTTGACCGGCCCCTTCAAGTGCCTGTTGCTTTTTCAAAGCAATTATTTCGTCCTATGTAATGAATGATTTGTGTTGTATTAATTTAATAATGCACAATGGTTGAAACAAGATCAGAGAGTCTTAAAACGTAATTGACTTATGTGTACTTACATCCATAGGTCGAAAGGTAAGTAGAAATGGCTGGGCAGTCGGGAAATTGCGTTTCGAAATCGTATGCCATTGACGCGAGGTTGGATTTCATTTGTTTCGCGTGCAAGAAGTAATGGCTCACGTTTGTCGATTTGTCTTCTCTCTCGACTGCCTCGAGATGGTCCAAAGTGCATGTTGTGGATCTAGAAAGAGTATCTAGAGTGTCTAGCATCACTGATAATGAATTCCTGGTACACCCAGTGCCGGGACTGATAACACTTGCATAGCAATGGCTATGTAAATTGTACGGCAATGACAACAAGTTATCGAAAAATGTGAAAAGTATGGCGAAACAAATACGAATGGTACTGATCGACCTCAGTGGAACATTGCACATTGATAACACAGTGATCCCAGGTGCAGTGGAAGCTTTGAACAGGTACCTTCATTTATTTCGTAAAGATGATCGAATGCCTCGAGATCATCATGGTAAACATCGTATTGCGTCGTCTCCGCTTATTGGCGCGCTTCGAATCCAAGCAGATTAATTCAAAGTGTTAAAAGTTGGAAATAAATGTAACAAAGGCTTTCAATTTATGAATTCTTTTCTCTTTTCTGCCGGATCAGATGACTCGTTCGGTTTAAATGTTACATATCTTTTTTCTTAATTACTGCACAGACTTCGAGACGCCAACATACCATTGAAATTTGTTACGAACACAACGAAAGAGTCTAAGAATGTTCTGCACAACCGATTGACAAACCTCGGCTTCGCGATCAAGAGAGAAGAGATCTTTAGCTCGTTGGCTGCTGCAAGAAGATTAATCGCCTCCCGGAAATTGAATCCGATGTTGTTGATCGACCCTGCTGCCAGCGAAGATTTCGATGATTTGGTGAAGAGCAATGAGAGGGCAAACGCTGTAGTAGTCGGCCTGGCACCGAATAAATTTCATTACGATGCATTGAACGAGGCATTCAGGTACTTGCATTTTCTGGAAATTTTCGAACAAAGATAGACTCTTATTATATTTAATTTTAGATTATTATTGGACGGTGCACCGCTCATAGCGATTCACAAAGGACGATATTATAAACGACCTGATGGTTTGGCTCTTGGACCAGGCGCCTTTATCTCTGGTTTAGAATATTCCGCTAATGTCAAGGCGGAAGTTGTCGGCAAACCGACAGCGGAATTTTTCAGGGCTGCTTTGGAAGATGTACCACCGGAAGATGCGGTCATGATCGGCGATGTATGGAACAGAATTTCTATAAAATGTATTATTAACAATTATGCATGGTGTCATCAAATACCGTAAAGAAATGATTATAAAAAAAATTGAAATTTGTTACAAAAGAATAGTTCAGACTCTGTTAAACAAACTTTTTAACGTAGCTTATAATTCTTTGTACGAGACATTTTGTACTAATTTTGTTACTACAATTAAGTTTATGATTATTTAACCATAGTGATTTTCTTAGGATGTTAGAGATGACATAGCTGGTGCGCAAGCTGTTGGTATCAGGGGTGTATTAGTAAAAACGGGAAAGTACCTAAAAGGAGATGAAAATACAATCACGCCATCCCCTACAAAAGTATGCAACTCATTCGTGGAAGCCGTGGAACATATTCTTAGAATGGAAGTCTAGACATTTTTACTCTGTATTAGTATCTAGTTAGGACCGCACGTGTATAAGTTATTCTGTATTAAATTAGATGTTTTATTTAAATATTAATAGTTCCATAATGATTTACATGACCTGGAGTAGTTTCACAATATAAAGTAAACGGTAATTACAAAGAAATCGACGATGGTCACCGATGATCTGAAACATTACATACCGATAATTATTCCGTTCTATTAAACCATTGGAAAATAAGTTCTATGACATTCTGTATTGTTTATAACGAAGAATGGATAGAAACAGAGGACATTACAAACATTAAATGAATATCGTCTCATCGCATGATCAGCTGTAGAAAAAGTGTAGAAAATTTCATCTACTATGATGCAATGACATTACATTTTATATAAGTATGTTTATAAATTATAATCGAATCCAAATATTTCTAAATGCGAGACGATATTTTCTAGATTCTTATGTCGCTCTAAATACGGAAAGAATAATCGTTGTAAATCTGAATAGCTACTAATATGTGGCCTTAGATAATAAATATATTACAACTACTTCATTTAACGAGTTTTTCATTGAAAGCATGTTTACAGAAAAAAATTTAGTCTCTCTTTAAAAGGAATTGGTGCTCTGCAAGAATTTCTTTTAGTACAAAATTTGGCACCATTCTGTTCTTTTCTTTTTTTTTTGTTTTTTATATGCGGGACTAACAAACTTTTTACTTCGAAAAAGATTCACTGCCCGTTAATAAAAAGATAGGGTATATAATTAGTTTTGATTTTAAGTTATTCTCACATTTCAAAAGTGTAATTATAACTTCTTCTTTAAATGTTATACATTAATACTTCCATTAATGAACAATGTTATTTATTTAGTGAGGAAGGCTCAGTTATAATTTGTATGAATACTGTATGAAATGCATGTCACGTGTCTAAAACTAATATAATATTACCTACGCGTGAAATCGCTCAACACTAATAAATCTTCACGTCTCTCTATCGCATTATCCAAGTAATAGATAGGAATTTAATTTACAATACGAAAAAGAACTTAATGGAATTTTTTCACGCACAAGGAGCAAAAATAAATTATTAGAAAAATCTTATTTAATAATTAATGCTTAAAAACACGAGTGATCGACGAGCTTGTTGCGCCTGGTATTATAAAAATAAATGGTAAAATCTACGAATGAAAGTTATAAATGTATAACTAAACCACTGTACTTCGACGAAATATTTTCCTATGATTATGCATCGCAACGGTGTAACTTACAATTGGTATTATTTCAAAGGACCAATACAATCGGTTCATAATCGAAATGCCCTCTACAACTTATAATCTATGATCAGGCACATGTTGATTTCCTGTCGTAATAACGAGGGTCATTTTAAGAAAAATATATGTCAGTTAAAAAGAAATAATAAAATGCGAGAATAATTATACCACTAAATAGTTGCAAAAATATACATGTAATGCTGATATACAAACATAAAAATGAATAAAACTTAACTAAAAAAAACTCTACAGTATTTTTGGTAGCCACTTTTTACCTTAATCAACATGTCATTGGCTCGAGATAAATTGATCATTGAGGTCTAACAAACATATATATACGATCGAAGAAGAAAATTAAGTAGCGGTAAATTATTCCTTAACGTTAAAGATCGAATATAACAAAAACTTATTAAATAAATACACTTATAACATACAGTACGCAAGGCATTAAAATGTAACAATGGAATAATCTCTAGATTTGTTAAAAAATTGCTTCTGTCATTTTGATAACACAAAAATTACAACATTTAGGGCCGTATCGATAAAGAATAGTATATTCTATCTGTTTTTTTTTCTTCTTTGAATAGAAAAATCAAGCGTTCATCCCAATTTCATAGAATTGGTGTAAGACCAGTTTTCAATTTAATTTATACAGCCCGCCACCGCGATCAGGGGGACGTTTACTTACAGTCGCATTTGTATATACAATTTATAGGATTCTAGTAGAGTGAATATTTTAACATAAAACCAACTACATACTCTTCTTTTTTTATCTGTACAGTTGTCACCCAAGGTCAAATTCTGCCAGTGTAGCTATATACGTTCAACTGATAACTATACTGTATTTATATTTTTCTTCTCATATGAAACATCGTTATATATCTCATAAATACAAATTTAATTAATGCAAGTTCCACTAGAAACAGAATTTGACCTTATTACACACAAGACAGGTATACTGTTATCTCCTATATTATTAACAGGAAATATTCAACTGTTAATTTGGCTGCTCAAATGTAATTTGATTAATAGTAAATTGACATTTCCTTCTTCTCTTTATAGTTTGCATCCTTTGTGATAACAAGGCAGGTGTGTGGAGTACTACTAACGCACGTTATAGAATACATACATTTCATTTGTTCAATAAATACACGAGTTTCTTATTCGATTGAAAAATAAAGTAGTACTACTTATATAACTTACGAAATACGGCTAAGTGGAATTAACACAGAAAATTTGAGAAGCATCGTGTGAACATGGCATTTAGAGATAAACGAAATAAATAATTTCCTGGGCCATACGATCTGTCCCTTACTTTTTGTGCTTAACTTTTTTCACTGGTACTTTTCAAGTGGGAAGACGATAAATGGCTGACGGTAAGCATTTAATACTGTACACCCAGGTACGAAAAAACATATCTCTCTAAAAGTAGACTAACTGAAATTAGTATTTCACGTTGTAGGGATGAGTTTGGCCTCAGGATATAAATATACAAATATGAGCAATTTATGCTAATACTTCCACACGTTATTGCCTTCAAACGCATTCAGTTCCAAGTACTCTGTATGTAACCTGGCTTCTCTACTCGTCTTCCGTTGCAACGTCTAACGAAACGTCCATCGAAAATCGATTCAACATTTCGCGAAGAGGAGGTAGCGTAAGTTGCCACACTCTGCAACTAGTCCACATGTCTTCCGTTACTCTGAAATGTATTTGTTCTATGCAGCAAATTATCAGAAGACCCGAACAACGAGAAACAGAAATATACTTACCTTACCATAGTAAAAAACCAAGCACATGTCAGAGATCCTTGTTCTGATGTACTCAGCCCTAACTATTTTACAGGCCGATAATGCAGCGTCAAGTCTGCTGCATTTTTCCAGATGAAATGTTTCACCTAAGAAATGTAACGTTACAAACATAACTTGAGAAATTTGTAATTTTAAATAAATAATCGTGGATCGTTTATAAAATTTTAAATCTTACTGTTCTTAAATCCATGGAAGGATCTAGAACTTGATCATTGCATAAAAGTTCCACTTTTTCTTCGGCCAGCGAAGAGTTATCAGCGTTCGAATCTGTATTTGTCCTATCTCCTGCCGGGGAAACACCGGAAACCGTGTTCCCAGTACCCGCTACCGTGTTTCCAGCACCTGCTACCGAACCTGAGTCACTTCCTGCACCAAGCACTTTATCACAAACGTGTTCTGCCACTTTACGAATTTGTATAAAATCATTTGCGATTAGACGATCCCTTGAAATATAAAAGAATCATAAATTTTGAAATTAAAAGTATATTATTTGATGTAAAATCTGTAAAGGCATTTTATTTATTGACATACTTCTTTAGACTTTTTACACCAGACGTGGCATGTGGAAGAAGATAAAATGGTGTTTTAGTAAATTGTGGAAGATTTTTGTCCACAACAATGTTAACAACCCATGCTGGTACAGTTTCGTTTAATAAAGCTCCTTCTGTTTCTCCTGCGGCATCTCTGACTAATAATCTGTACAAAGTCCTTCCACCCACTTCGCTAAAACAAAATTTCAATCGATACGTTTAATGAATATATTTCTTTTCGAGCAAGTAGAAAGATACTGTGATTACACTTACTATTGTATTCACCATTAACATTTATAATTGTTACATACCTAAATATAACAGGCGTATGACTAGGTACTGAGAAGTATGGATTTCCTCCTTTTGTATGTATAGGACCATTGCTATCGTTACTAATACCTTCGTTTTCATCATCAGCGTGCAGCGGTCTCCACCAATGTTCAAGCAACGCTTGTAGCAAGAGATTTCCATAATTCACTGATAAAAGAAAAATGAATACTTAAATAACAGCGAAGAGAAAAACATTTGTATTAAGAAGAATATTACCTTTTGGATCAACCGCATCATTTTCGGCAAGACCAGTTTCTTTTGCAGAGACCCACGCGGAAAAGCAGTCACTCTCATCTTGGCCTAAATGAATGGTCAACATCTACAAAAACGCAAACATATATTATCTTTGATATTTTGCTTCTATGAAATTTTATTGGCTTTAAAGAATTGTAAGAATACAAACCCCTGTTTTAAGATCTACGTTGAACCAATTTGGAACATACACCATTTTATTTCTCTTCTTTATTTCCTGTTCAAAGTCTACCCTTCCTAAATCTTCCACTTTACATGCCTTTAATACATCGTACAATGCTACGTTCTCTTCTGTATCTTTTGTTAAAACGTGTCTTCGATCATTTAACACGCGGTAATGCCGTATTGCAGGACCACCCAAAATCTTTTGCGCAGGTTCTGTATTTCGTAAAACATTTGAAGTTACTCCGCTGGCAGAGTCACAGTAGTCTCCGATTCCAAAGTCTTGCCAATCCTTTTGACTTATCGACTGCAATTAGTTTTTAAACATTCAGTTATGTTTACAACCAATAGATATTTCATTTTATTTCAAATATAATAAATCCTTACCCAATTATTTATAGTAGATTCACTAGTTGCCACCCAAATACTAGACTGATCGGGTGTCATAGCCATTTTTAACACGGGTGCCTTTTCTTCGCATATAACGGTATATCTTTCAGGGTAACTTAATTCAGTCATTACAACTCTCTTATCTCTACCTCCCGATATCACATGGCTAAAAGTGTCAGTCGCCTAAAAATTATTTAGCGATTCTATAAGTCTGTTTCTTAATAAGGAGCATATGAAGTCAACAAAAAAATTACCAATAACGCCCAGACACCTTCTTTATGTACTCTAAAAGTTTGAATACACCTTTGTTGTCCCAATGACCAAAGTTTAATTGTTCCATCGGAACTAGCAGACAAACATTGAGTACCATCTCTATTCAATACTAACGCTTTAATATTATCCATATGACCACGAAGTTTCATCAATTTCGAACAATATCTTGGATCCCACACTCTTAAAACTTTTTCCGTGCTACCACTTACTATAATTGTCCCAGTCTGATCCATGGCAAGGCTATATATCGAGTCTTTATTTCCACTAAGGGATGATGCTGTAAAATATAAAAATATTATTTAAAGGATAATTTAACAGCAAAAGCAAGAGCAAGTAATTAATAATTGTTTTTACTTGTTACAGTGTTATTGCTCGCTGTAAGAGCAGTCAATGTATTAACATCCCACAGGAAGATCAATTTATCTAAACCTGCGCTTGCAACTTGCTCCCTATCTTTAGCATACGCTAGAGCTTTTACATAATCTTTGTGTGTCCGTAATGTGGACATGCAGAAACCTTTATGCGCATTCCAGACTTTTACCGTTGTATCAGAACTGGCTGATATTACTGCAAATTATTAAATTATTTATTTTTTCAGTCGTTATATCGCAATTAAACGAAAGCTTGAAACATAATTTGTTCAAATACATTCGTTCAATGTCATGACAGAAAAATACATACAATTTTTGCCACCACAACATAATACTATATCATTGACCCAATCTGTGTGATGTTCCATCGATTGAATATATGGTTCCTTCATATTTTTGCAATTCCATATCCTTATAATACTATCTCTACCTGCGGAATAAAGCCTATGCAAAGCTGGATCATACTGTAAAGAATTAACTCCTGCTCTGTGTCTTTTTTCCACTTCGTCTCTAATAACCATGGACACCTTTATCAAATACAGAAAACATAACATAATAAACATTTGTTTAGTTATATCGTTTTAACAAAATGCTTTCTTAAATTCATGAATGAAGATAATTATATATGTTTATTGATTTATACATCATGAGCTTTAACAAACACATTGACCAACATGGTCCAATTACCTCGTATCCAAAATGTTAATGTTTATAATGTAATTCATTAAAAAAAGTTGCAAAGCAAATAGCAAATACCATTTTTATACCTGTATTTTAATAATTAAGTAACTTTACTATGACAGTTTAAATATCAAAAGCTCTTTAGATGTCACTGTTTACAATTTTCGAGAATCTTACCCTTGGTTTAACTTTGAATAACATATTTAATCGTTAAATAATTCCTACATTAATTATTATAACTATTGTTTCATAGCCCGAGTGTCCAATTTGAAGCAATCGACAAGAATTGTTCGAATATCTCGATTGTTTATAATATTGTAAAAATATGAAGTATTAACAGGAAATTGAGCATCTTTCCGCGAAATTAATGCACATGCAAGAAATTCCTTTCCCGTTTGTATAGTATACGACTAACAATAAAATGTCAATGAACTCGCGTTACGCTTCAAAATTCAAACTTCGGAAAAATGGCATTTCACATACACCGACCAAATAGATCGATGGATCTCTGTTATTCAATACGCGTTTGATAGATTTTTTTTGTCAACGAACGTAGCAGCAGCGTTGCTCAAAATTCTACCATCCAGTACCGGTTCGACGAATAAGTTTCGTTTGGTTTTGCGAGAAATTGTGTGTTGAAACGGTAACTGGCACAAGGAAATCATTTTACGGGAGAAGAAAAAAATATTTCGAACAAGTACATACCTGAACTTTCTTTCGGGCGCTCTGCCCGCCTGTCTTATGAGCTGCCATTATATCGCGAACTGTTTCGTAGCCTCGCACGTAAAAATAATCAAGGAAAACATTCAGGGTGTACGATTATGCCGCGGCACATTCGCGTTGCAGTGCGTCAAAACCACGTAGTAGTTTCATTGCCAATCACTCGTCGTGCCTTGCGATATCGTGGAGAACTACGTTTCTCACGCTCGGAAAAAATAATCCAGTGCACATCACGCTGAACCTTAAACAGCTGTCAAACGTTTCTCGATAGCGGTTGTTCGAGCACATTCATGACGATTGGATTACAGACACACCATAGCGTTCCAATGCCGGTGTCAATAGGCCCGAACGTTACACGCGTAACGTTACATCACGTTTCTCGAGTGTCAGCCAACGGTCCGAGTCCATTGTTGTGATTGAATGTAATGCCGGATGTATCGTTGCTTGCACGATCGAGCGGTATGCTTCGCGATTTATTTCACCGGCGTAAAATGTTCACGAAACGTTCGGCAGATCTATGCGTAAAACGTACGGCGGCAACGCGAATTAAAAATAAATTTATGAATTTACAGAATTTGGTATCCGGACAATTACATTCGATATTTCGCGACCAATAGACGAACGAGATACAACCCGTAAGGTGTGGATCACCTATATCGACTGGCCAATGAAAAATAACAAATACGTTGCAGCACGATGCATTGTTCTTTGGAAATATCTTAATTGTTTATTCATTACGTGTTAATAAGATGTATTCGGTCGATCGGTGTAGATTGCTTATCTCGTTAAAAAGTTTAGGTATCTACATTAATAAATAATAATATAAAGACAAACGAACCTGTTCATGTACACAACAAAATAGTTATTGGGGTCTAGTCTAAAAAATGCTTCAAAACTAAAATCGGTCTGTTGTCTAGTAACACTGTTTAGTACCAATACTATACGAGCGCAGCGTTAAACTAAAAATTCTGCGAATCTTGTTCGAAGCTACTAAAGAGTATTAATCTATATATAAAATGGAATTACGGCAAGCTGATATTTTTTTAAATCTTTCACAACAGTAATGACATCACTGCTGCTTGTAGTAGAATTCGTACTCCTTATACTATATGTATACTCACTATTCGTTACAATTCTTGTTTCTCAAACTGTGAACTTCATGCTCCATGAAAGGCACATAGATTTTACTCGTAAACACTAAAACTTTGCCAGTAGAAGAAAACATACGATCGATGGAGTAACATGTATCACATTTATTCGATTTTTGAAAAATTATCGACCTTTTCCCAATTAAACATCCGTTTCTGAGTTTTCTTCTGGCGAATTCTGCGTGTAAAGCGACCGAAGATGTTCGAAAATTCATCGAAGCGCCATCTGGCGGGAATGTTCTTGACTAATTCCAGTCGAAAAGCAGCATCCGTCTCCGGTACGCCCATGAAAATAGTAAAGGTGTCCGTCAGTCGATTTTCGCCATTTTTCTAGTGTATAAACTTTTATCCGATTGTGGGAAAAACGTTCGTGAGCTGGTAGACGCGCAGCTAACCCGACGTATATGACGTCTCTGGCATATTTTGCGTCATGAATCAGTCACGAAATTTTACATCGTTGTTGAATCCAAGTTACTTACAAAACGCGCAACAAAATGCTGCGACTGCGAACGCGGCTGCTGCTGCGGCTGCAGCAGCTGCCGCGGTTAGCGCCGCGATTGCGAATGGAACACAAATAAATCCCAATTCTCCTAATTCCACGACAAACAACACTAGAAAACGAGAAGCGGAAAGTACGTTTCAAATTGGCCTCATTATACATTGATTTCATTCCATTGACGTATTGGGCGACCCGATTTCACGTACACAATTCGCTTAATCATACTGTTTCACATAACGAGACCTGTACACACCATTGGCTTTTACTTATCGCTTTTATGCGCGTAACATTTACACGTTGCATAGTGTTTAATAACTTGGCTGTTTTTATTTATTTTTAAATGTTAGAACGTGCGAGACCTAAATGTAATAGAAAACGTATTTATATTTCACGATCTAATTCCTAGTAACTAACTCACAAATATTCTAGACGATGGTAAGCAGGAAAAAGAGTCGAAAGAGGAACGTAGGAAGAGGAGGAAAACTAGATGGGGCGGTAGCGAACATGACAAAACTTTTATACCAGGCATGCCTACGGTTCTTCCAACAAACCTCACTCCTGAACAGGAGAAGGCTTACCTCTGTAAGTTTATTCTCTTTGTTCCTTTAATTGTTTCAATGTAATTATATTGTTATATATAAATATATATATATATATATATACACACGTATATGAGCAGGAAATGATTTAAGAATCTTGCTTCTGCGTATAAATTACTGAAACCTAATTTATAGTACTGTAAAAGATGTAAGTATGTATGTATAGTTCAGTTTATAATTGCCAGAGGTAATTGACCTTTTGGAAATTTTGAAAAATGGCTGGCAATATGGAATTGCCAATTTTGTCGAGTAACTAGTAGACTATTACCAAAATTTATAGAATTTTGTTTCACGGTAATTCATTAAGTAACCATATAGAGATAGATTTTTTTTTTATTTATGAGAAAAGGAATATGTGTATAAAATTTATGGGAACATTTACCTCAGGGAAATTTGCAGAATATTAGACATAAGCGAATACTCTACACTTTTGAAACATGCTTACATTATAGAATGTATATGGTTATGGCACATTGGCAATATCTAACTGTTGGGGTTTCCGCCCCCTCTAACCCGTTGGTTTACAGTTCAGCTGCAAATTGAGGAAATCAGCAGGAAGCTACGCACTGGAGATCTTGGAATTCCACTTAACCCTGAGGAAAGGTTTGAAAGAAACTTACATACCAAAAATGACCATTACATATCTACAATACCTATCTACTGACCATTCAGCAGCCCATAAATACAGGGGCCTTATGATATGGCTCTGATACAATTAGTGTGGGATACTGATGTCTGTTTGAAAAGATTGGGCTTGATTAAAGCCACCACGCAGCACAGAAGATGAATTTTGATAATATTGGTTTGCCCTAATCAATTTCTTTTACTAATTCATTTTTATTAAACACTGCTACAAGAGGAGCTCTCTGTTAGAAACTATAATTACGTATGAAATATCGATCACTTGGGGCAATAGATAAAATGCATGCTAGCGTAAATAATTGAATGTTAAAAAAACGTTTTCCGTTTGAATTTATTAGGCACACCATTTTCAAATTTAGTATCATCGATATACTTCTTTGCACACAAATAATTGCATAGCGTATGTTTGTAAATTTTTTATACAATTGGATCTCTGAATTAAAGTACAATTGTAGTAGCAGTGTTTAACATGCAGTGGGTATTCTAGTCCATATATTTTTTAAATAGTTATATTCTTGCACATATAGGGAAATTTTAAGGTGTTCCTATGCAGACTGTTTTATTCAAATTTTGATAGGCTCATTATCGTATCTCATGACCGTAAAGTATTTTAAATTCACGCTCCTAAGAGTAATAAAGTGATAAAGCAATAAAGTTCATGTATAGGGCACCTTTATAGATACTCTTCCTAATTAGGCTGCTGTGATTTGCACGGCATTTTAATTCTGTTGTTTAATTTTACAATGCCACAGGAACATATCTTCTTAAGAATTAACTACAATAGATTTTTACTCTTAATTACAACTTTAATGAGCAGATTTCAGGAAAATAATAAAATTGATAAAATTATAATTGCTAATATAAGCATAATATTATATAAAGATCAATTTTACGTTACTTTCAGGTTCAACTTAAATAAATACACATTAATTTCTCTAATAAATTAATTTACTCCAATAGGTTTAACTTTTCTGATTTTAGCTGGAACCATTATTTTATATTATTGTGTTTCATTAGTATTATACAGCATAGTAGGATATACAAGCTATTATTAACTAACCCAAAAAAATTGTTTCCTAATAATCACAGGATCTATCTTAGCAGCTGACATCATACCGATATCTGCCGTGCACAAACGCGCAGTATTCCAGTGGTTGCCTACTGAATAGACTTGTAGCAATGCTACATTTAACACTATATAATTTTTTATTCTTTGTTTCGATACTTTGGCACTGTTGGAAAACTATTAATATTGCTTCTTTTTACATGTATAATTGCAATCTATTGATACAAGGAAACCAACAGTTTCATTACTTGATTACTTGGACAAATATAACAGAATATTTGTATCTTTCTTTCAGCATTACCCAACTAGATTTAGAATTATCAAATATTTCCCTCATATATGAATAACAATTATTAGAATTCTATAATCTTTTTATTGCAAATTGTTCACTTTTTCGATCCAAGATTTTAAAAAATTATTATATATATATACACATGTGTGTATATATGTATACTTGGTAAATTATTTGATACAAACATTCATATTAAATTGATTAGATGAGAACGGTTTAAAAAAAGCTAAGACTTGCTTTTAAATGTTACGTTGCAAAGAATATTGATTTTCCAACATGGTCAGAACGTATCCCATTTATAAGAAGTATATGTTAAATAAAGAAATGACTAAAGCCTAATGAGTTTGCAAAGTCGATTAAAATATTGTCCCAATTTCCATTTTTCTGTTAATAATCAGCAGTTCTTTCCTCACTTAATCACACTTAATCATAGTAGGATCAGGTTGCTTGTATGCTAGTACCATCTTGAAGCAAACTTTGTATCTTGACGAGATCTTATTTTTTTATTTTGCAGATCTCCGTCCCCAGAACCCATTTACAGTAGCGATGGTAAACGGTTGAACACGAGAGAATATCGTACTAGACGTAAATTGGAAGAAGAACGTCACAATCTTATTCAGAAGATTCTCAAAATTAACCCGGAATTTAAACCACCGCCAGATTACAAGTAAATATTACACTCTCGTATACATACGTGATAAATGTGATACATGTTACATCTACCATTTATTATTTCCAGACCCCCGATAATACGAGTGCACGATAAAGTAATGATCCCTCAAGAGGAACATCCAGATATTAATTTCGTTGGTCTGCTTATTGGTCCCCGTGGAAATACATTAAAATGTAAGTAAACTTAACAAGATTATATTGTCTGTATCTAAAGTATTATTTTTATGATATTGCAGCAATGGAGAAGGAAACCGGAGCAAAGATTATAATCCGTGGCAAGGGTTCTGTAAAGGAAGGAAAAGTTGGAAGAAAAGACGGGCAGCCTTTGCCTGGCGAAGATGAACCTCTTCATGCCTATATTACCGCTAACAATCTGGACGCAGTAAAAAAGGCTGTCGAAAGAGTACGTTGCGTTCTTTACTACAATCGAGAGCATTTAACACGCGTATTTTAATTAAAAATGTTCGTTCAAAACAGATCCATGAAATTATACGACAAGGTGTGGAAGTACCTGAAGGACAAAATGATTTACGACGTAATCAACTTAGAGAACTGGCATTACTTAATGGAACATTGCGCGAAAATGACGGACCACGTTGCACCAATTGTGGCGCATCAGATCATAAATCATGGCTGGTTGGTATATTAATTTTTCAACTTGAACACACAGCTCGATAACCATCAGATCGTTTGCTTAATTTTTCTTTTTATCGATACAGTGCCCTGATAAACCGAACGTAACGAATAACATAGTATGTTCGAGTTGCGGAGGGGCTGGTCATATCGCGCGCGATTGTCGATCCAAAAGACCTGGACAAGGTGGGCCAGCTGCCGCAGGAATGGGAGGAATGGGGCCAGGTGGCGATAAAGCAAAAATAGACGAAGAATACATGTCCCTTATGGCAGAATTGGGTGAAGGCCCGCCACCTGATAGGTCCAAAAGCGGGCAGCCGCGTCAACCAAACCCGAATCCTAACTATCCTGGTCTCTTCGATAGGTGAATTTTGTTTTTCTCACATTCTTTAAAGCATACAAAACTAACTGGAATAAGCTACAAGTTCAAATAATTGTATTTTAGACAACAAGCACCTCGTGCTTTAATGGCTGCACCTGCACATCCGCCACCTCAGATGATGCAAGGTGGCCCGATGATGCCACCACCTGGAATGGCTCCACCGCCGTGGAGCCAAGGAGAAGTAAATAATATGAACGGTATGAACATGCAGTGGCAACCACCAGTCAGCATGCCCCCTCCCCCTGGTGTGATGCAACCACCTCCACCACCACCTGGTTCTACGTCTCAACCAAATATCCCACCGTTGATGCCTTGGATGGCTGGAAACAATCAACCACCGCCCCCCGGGCAAATGCCACCAACGCAAATCCCACCGCCAGGTATGGGTATCCCGCCATGGCAACAAGGACAACAAGGACCAATGCGTCCACCTCCACCCGGAACAGCCCCACCGCCAGGATTCCCAGGCTGGCAACCGCAACAAATGGGCGGATGGCCGCCGGCAGCCCCTGTTCCACCACCTCCTCAACAACAAACGCCGGCCCCGCCTGGCATCGATCTCAATACTTTGCCCACATTATTGGCGCAACCACCACCGCCACCCCCGCCAACTAGTTAGTGTAAAGAATTATCCGTGCATCTAATCGAATCTTCTTCATACGTACGATAGAGAAATAATATTAACGGTCGTGTCAGTAAATAGATTGTAATATCGAACCGAGGACAGTCGACTGTTATTTAGTTCGAACGACCCGAAAATTTTAAACGATTATTTCCTCCTACGCGGCTTTGTCTTTTATAAGTGGAAAGGGCTCGGCCAAGAATCAATTTGTCAGCCCACTTGACTGATCATACAATTTGTATAAAGAGAAAGAAAAAGGAATGGCTTTAGGTTTGCAACGTATCGTTACGACTTCGACTGCGTATTGTGCTCAGCAAAAAAAAAGAGAAAACATCTATTGTAGTTTTGGTTACCATTATTTTCGAACTAATTGTGTGTACCTACAGCTTTCTTATAAGTGTAAATGTAAGTGATACGCCAAACGCATTTTTATAATGCCCCCCCCCCCCCTCTCGTCCCCCCAACCCCCTTGAAGTACGATAATTTTTACTTACACGTTTCTCTAAACACAATATATCGTATATATTATAATTAGAATATAATTTACTTATATTCTGTGAGTAGTATGTATAATACTATGTACACCTTAGTGCATTTTCTGTCCTGTACAAGTATTTGTAATCAATTTCTGCTTCAGTGTATTACCTACCGTGGACGTGAATATTACATGATAAATTTTTGCAAACGAAAATACGTTTTGCTATTGAGCTTTGTATATAACTTTCTACAACGTGTAGAGTAACTGATTAACTTACGCGCGTCACAATCGTCACGATTGATTTTGTATTATTTTGATCGATATAAAAACGTGTGATTGTAAAAATGTTAGGTAATACGATGAAGCATCCAATTTTGTTTGCTTGTACACGCAATAGAGTTGTCAATTTTAACTATGACTTAGATTATTTATATGTTAGTAGAATTTGTGCAGTTTTTTCACTTCATGTTCACGGTCCACCAACTACCGAAACATAAGTATGATATTGCAAACGTCCAAGCGCAATAATTTCGTATTCACCGATTCACTATCACGAATAAGACAATTTGTTGGAACCGTAAATTATAAAGAATCTGCTTTATATGAAATAACATTAGTATTGTGTGTTATGTTAAGAATACAAGGAAATAGTTTGTGAGACTTTATGATAGCTGAATGTGTATGTTAACTACACAATAAAGGTACATACTATATTGAAAAATACTTCTTTTTTAATATATCTTTATGTATAAATGATATCGAGGTCATATAAGATCAAAAACGAAAGAAACATTTCGAGTATTCTATCTAAAAAAAATTGAAGATCACCTTCGTTCCTCGAAAAATAATGTGAACATGCGAAATTGGTATAAACTGTCCTATTTGCTATACAAAACTAAAATTTTTCTCTTCCATTTTTTTCCTCACCCCATAATAGTTTCAATGAGAGATTCTAGAGACCAAAATAAGACGAACTACGCACTTTCGAGAAAAAAATAACTTCTAAACGGATTGGAGAATTTTAATGCTTCAAAATAGGAACAAAAAAAGAAAAATAAAGAAGCTGATCACTAACACCCTTAACTGCGTTAGGAGATGGAGCATGGAAAAGAAAGGGTTTTCATCTCTATTCGGAATGTCTACACTTAATGGGAAATACAACAAAAAAAAGTGGTAAGTATAGCGGTGAGATGTAGGTTTTGTTAAAGTTGCTTACCCCCCTCCCTCTCTGCAAACAAAACATATCATAAGTCAACCAATCTTTGAATATTTCTATCATAAACTTTAAACGCTTTTTTCTTGAAATCGTATTTTTGAAACATGTTGACACGGTAACTCGAAAAATTAAAATTCAATATGTTTTAATGTCCATAACTCAATTCTTACAATACAGAATGCTTTCTGATTCGTCTATTTTTAGAGAAGCAGAAGTGCCCGTGATCATGTCAACATGTCAGGCATATTTTTTAAAACACCTCCGTAGATATATTTCAATAACTCCTACAATTGTTAATATTTTTTATTGAAAAAAAATTGTGAGTACTCTCAAAACATGTATCAATGTGTGACAGAGTCGTGGAAAATGTAATCCGATTATATTGACCAGGATACGATTTCGCGTAATCACACGGCAATTTCTGTCCAATTGTCTTCTAATGATAATTACAAATCTTTGAAGCGTGTAAAAACAATCTAATTACTTTGAAATTACCGCGTGATTACAATGCAATTACAGTGTAACTATGTATAGTTGTATGGCGGCGAATGTAATCTGATTAGATTTTGCTCGACTTTGGTGTTGAACTCTCTACACACGTGGCATCAGTTTCTCAGAATTGCCTAACGACTTGCACATCGTGTTACAACGTCGAGTAAATACTTATCACATTATCTCTTATACGTAGATACAAGTTTCAGAGAGTTCTATCCTCACCACATTTAAGCTTCTATACATATTCAGGATGAGTGAAACTAAGAATTGCTATTTAAAATATCTTGTAACTATTCATTTTTATTAAAAAACGTTTTAATGGACTTTGTTCTTTTTGAAGATCCTAGCAAGATGGATGGAATCTGTTTTTTTAATGTAACGTTTTCTAATCAAACTAATAGATAACAAGATTTATTTTAGATAACAGTTCTTATCGACTCATTCTGTGTATTAAAAAAAAAAATAGGATCAGAAAGGAAGAAACAACTCCATCCTGTATTGACGTTCGTTGCCACGCGTGGCTAAGGAACGAGGGAATCACATAACGATACGTAACAAGAAAGCAATAATAAGTTAATTCTAATTCTCTATCCTCTAAAAGTGAAGTACAACAAGGTGTCGCGATACTATGTATGGTCGAGACATAAAAAAAAAAAAGAAAAAAAAAAGAAAAGGAGAACGACGCACGAGTTTTAAAAGTCGGAACGCGATCATAAAAATGCCTTTTCGAGTCGTGACAGTATCTAAATGTACGGAGTAAGCACAATTTTCGGTCTCCATTTTCACGAAGTTGTAATCCCCTGAGGTCTTCCCGTCGGGACTCGAACGACAAAGTTTTCGAATCATACGCCGCTGATTATACCTAATAATACTTGGAAGTTTCTTAATACAAATTCATCTAAAAAAAAGTGAACCTTAGTAAACGTAGCCTTACAAGTTATTGCTTTTTAACGACACTCTATTTACAATTCCATCGGATCTCGATACGATAAAGCTGCTGGACCTCAAAGGATTAGAGTCGTAATCCCACGCAGGATCGGCTATTGGATGATCCCATAAATTTATTTTGGTACAAACGTTAGTGTAAATAGAAAACTTTCGTTAAAAAGAGTCAGATGTATGAAACACGTTACGAGTTTGAAGATGAATAGTGTATTACAACATCCATAGAATTGGAGCTAACTTATATCTATAAACGAGCAAAACTTGCTCATAGTCGTTTAAGAATAAGTTATTAGAACGAAATTCAACCTAAACATTGGATGATAACTATTCTAAATCGAGTATCTCCAAAACTATGGACACTGACGAAAATACTTCTTTCTCGAATAGTTACACGGTTCAGAAGGGACCATTTCGTAATGATTTCTTTCTTTATTAACTGCAATTGCATACGCTCGAATTGACTTTTTAAACTCGATTACCCTGGCTAATCTTTATACATCAACTACGACATAGTACTATAACTAAAAATAGACCTGATAAACGAGAGGTCTGGGAATTCACGTTTACTCAGACTTATTACTTATTTATAACATGCATGATACGCTTGTAAATTCAGCGATACCACTTTTAAATTAGATTCTACTATCTATTTGCGTTCTACCCAAAAATAGCGATCGAAGATCCTAAAATTGAATTTGCTTGATTAAAAAGTACGATCTCTAGGAATTATGGAAGCAAAAGAAGGGCATCACAGCCATAAAATGGCGTCTTCTGAATCGTGTAATCTTTGAATACCGCGTAAAATTATGTACGTTCTTGTGCAACAAACACAAACGAGTTATTCGTTTTGAAATACTCTCATCGTTCATGGGATTACCCGATAGTATTTAACGAACGTTCCTTATCGTATAGGTTTTATCGTCTATTTTGGAACACTTGCGCCCGCGGTGCACACATTTCCAACAATCTTACAAACGTACAAAAAGTTCCGGCGCGACATTGTTTCTCGATTAGGTGCGGTTTGCGACGGACGTCGTTTCGTTGTCGAGGGACTCGCGCGATTCTTTTTCAACGATGCAACCAAACTTAGATAATGGAACAAATCTGAGCGACGAAACGGGGGGGGAAGAACCCTCGATGAAAGAGCGTCGAATTTGTGCTCAGTCTGTACAACGATCAAAAGCATAAAAGAGCCGGTAAAAAAGGAACAAGAAACAAGAAGAAACAAAAAGATTTATGCTAATGACTATCCTAGTGTCATCGAGGAAAAAAAAAAAAGAGAGAAACGGAAAGCCATGGTGCATTAGAATTTTGTTTTGCGATCGAGAGCGCGCCTCGAAGGATCCAACGCAGGGATGGGCGATCGATTCATCGTCGGGTTTGGCTAAAAGCTACCCGCTAATCGGGTCGGAAGAGAATCACAGAGGCATCTTGTAAGATTAAACTATGCTCGCGAGTTGTCCTTCGGAAAGTGTCGTAGAACGAGATGCGTATCCGGTTCGTTCGTACTTCTTTCAGAAGGTTTCGCTGACGAATTAGGCCGTGTGTCGTCGTGGGAGGACACGGAAGATGAAATCCTTTCGGTGGTCGCGAGTAACTTACTGGCCATTCGACGAATACTGATTGAGAAAAAGAAAGGACGAAACGAAAGAGGAATGGAAATCCATAAATAATTGCTTTGTCGAAGAAGAGACTTGGATATTGCTATTAAATTCAAGCTAATGTTTCTACATATACGTGAAAAGACTTCCTAAACAAAAATCGATGATCAGTTCACCGAGGCGAGTCGCTGGATACAAAATATGCACGTGATATAGCGTGTGAGAGAAGCAACTGCCATAATATTTTTGTTTTTGAAAATAGAATTCGCAAATAATCGTGAAACACCTCGAAAGGATATAGTAAAAACGAAGAAATGCATATTGCGAAGAAAATATGATTTTTAATTTTGAACTGTACATGTTCTTTTTTTAAAAATATTATCATCGTCACTGACTCGACTCGGTGACCGGAAATTGGATATTCAATCCACTACACACCGTGACAGAACTACAGAGGCGATTCTAGTAGAATGGAGAACTAATAGATGACCAGTGAGCCTTCCTCCCAACTCTGCAGAAAAAAGCATAGTCACTAAGAGAGATACTACAATGCTACGTACTCGGAGCATCATCTTTGTACAAAAGCATCTATTGCAGATGATGTATAAAGCGACCTGATAACCAGAAGATCATGGACATTTAGATTCAGCTACTTTAGAGAGACGCTATAACGCTACAGAATTAAACTACTAAAGAACGGTAACGAACAGAGATTCTTTTAGTATAGAGAGACGTTGAAACCAAGGTCATTCGAAGCCTGAAACGTCTGCTGATCGCTGCAGGTACAATTTCAGATATTGTTCGAACGGAAATGAGCGCAGGAGAAACTTCCGGAAGCTTATAAACTAGAATACAAGGGCCAACTTGTTCAACTTTTACACGATAACCAAATCACGAATGATCGACCATTTGTATAAAACTTGGGCAAGTTCGTTGGTACAAGGTTAAGGGCGTATTGCGGTTTAGAATTGCCGAAAAGTGTTTTTATTTTTTATCTCTGGAATCATATTAGCCACGAGGATGCTTTTCCTTAAAGTTTCATTATTTTTTCTTCCAAAGAATAATGTGTACAGTCAAAGCATCGGCTAACGATTTTCTTTTTAAAAAACAACAAAAGAAGCCTAAAAAAATTGCACGTCTAAACCAGAATACGTCTTGATAAAAGAATTAATAGAGACAGAGAGCGGCGTAAAGGGGTTATGCAGGGAAATTGCCTGATCGCGCTAGTCTCGTCGCCCACCCCTGAGCCAAGGTATTGTCTTAACTGAACAATTTCGGCATCGCGAGCTTAACAATCTAGCTACTTAGGTAGGACGTCGCTTTGGCGGTGTCTCGGCGAACTCGTGACACGTCGACTCGCGTCACAAAGTGGACGAGGATTTGGCAAAATGGGAGCACACCGGGGGTACCAGAAACACCCTACGCGACAGTAGCCGAGTGGAACACGATCGTCGATAGAAATCTAACTCTTTCAGAGGGTAGAGGGGGCTGGCCCAATGATCCACAGTCCCTGTCTGTTCGATCAACGTTCTTACGTATCGACACACTACTACTACATTATTTAATTGGCCCAATATCGGTCGCGCGCTTGCGACAGCGACTCGATCATTCGTCCTCCGATATTATTTAATCTTCTATCAACGCAGACTTTGCTTATCAACATACACTCCTTTCCAACGTGCTAATATAATACACCAATGTACAAGATCGTAGGACGATGGACGATAGATGCACCGTCTGCATTTACAGAAACTTTTGATTTTAACTAAGGAGAATATTCTGACCTAGAAGTTTGAGAAAATCAATATTTTCTTAATGTATATGTCCATAGAAAATGGTAGTAATTACGTTTTCTAAACATCGTGTAAGAAAGTCTTTCTTTTTGGCCAGAAATTTCTAAAAAAAGGGTTAAAAATTGAGCTTCTAGATCAGGACACCTCCTTAAATTACGGAGACCGACACAACTATTTCGTGAAACTCGTTTGTCTACTCTGGTGCCGTGCAATATCTTATGAACACATTGTACAGTTTGTAGAACGATAGTTGCATCCTCCGTAGTTATAGAAGCGTTTAACATTTGAGCAAACTTATACTTGTCGATGCAGCTATCCGCCAACGTCCTCCGTAAACAAAGATACACGAGATTTGAAATCTACCGGGATTGATCGTGTCCTGTCATGCATAAACTTTGGAAAAGAAGGAACATTCCTTGCCGTTTGAATATCGTTGGACAAACGAAAGGTCGAGCTTCACTAACTACTAATTCATTGAATCACGCGGACGTTCCCCGTGAAAGTTTATGCCCTTTTATTTATACACGCCGTGGCCTTACGATCCTACGATATTCAACGAATCTCCCAGAAGTAAGCGACCAAAGAACCCGGATGTTCCACCCGGCTACAAGCGTCACATCTATCGTTTAATACCGTATGCGTACGCGTGTTGTCTCCTGCGCGCGTATTTGTACATAACCGGCTGTGATCTAATCGCTAAAATCAGTGATCGACCGGTTCTCGGAGATTAATTGTTAAGTGCACGTCGCGATTTACCAACTAATCGTAAGAGTTAGCGTTAAGTAAAGGAATAAACGAATGCACGATTAGGTTATTGACTAGCATAACGGGACGAGCATCATCACGTGACTTTAGTTTTGTTCTTCCTGAACGGCGGGAACTGCGGGAACTTTCTGCGCCTTCGTTTCAGCTCGTCGTTGTCGGTGGTGGAGTTGGAGTCGGTGGAGAGCGTCTCGTCGTCCACGGACATCAAGGTCGGCAGCTCCCTGAGCTGCGTCCTCTTCTGACTGCTCGTCTGCATCGCCGTGGCGGTCTTCTGGTGTCCTGCACGGTCCTGGGCCGACGTGTCCAACGAGTTCTCCGAGTAAGAGGTCTTGGAGAGGAACGCCGAGGTGGTCTTCTCCTCGGCAGCTAGAAGCATATTGGTGTCTTGGCTGTAAGAACGAACGATCCCGGTCTTCTCTTTGCTGAACGACTTCGCGAGATCCTCGGTACCGTCGCCCACGGTGAAGTGCACCACGTTGCTCTCCGGCGGCGTTTCTTTTCCCGTCTCGCTGCTGGACGAGTCGGGCGGCAACGACGATTCCTTCCACGTCAGGCTGTCCAGGGTACCTGCGGATCAGGACGAACGTCATCATGGAGACAGGTACTCTAGGTGGGCGGGTATCTTATGTGTGTGTATTTTTTTTTTTGTTTTTTATCGATTCTTTCTTGACAGATGCGTCGTGAATCTCTTGGAACGGAGTTAATCTACTTCAGGTTTGGTGTTAGTTTCTCTGGGCTACCGTTGATCTATAGATCTAACCGGTTCTTGCAAACAACATGGCCGGCTTCTAGTTTCCAGATATTCTCGCGTTCGCTGTATCAAACTTGTCTCAAAAATATACTTGTTTATTTAATGAAACGTGAAAAGAAGCGGCACGAACTTATGTTCTAAGTTAATATAATAATACATACACAAGGTGGTTATCGTTTCTGAGATATTACGCTTTCAAATTAATACCGATTTATATTTCATCGAGTATAATTGCATGTTCCAGACGCAAATGTAGCATGATCGATAAGACGTCCGCCTGATAATACGGCAGCGCGAGTTCGAGTCTTGTTAAATTAATTTTTCTAAGACTTTTTTTTTAATTGCTATTTTGAATGTACGAAGTACAAGAATCTGGATGGTACCTGGGCCACCTTGTATATGTATGTATATTCTTCGTACATTATATTACATGTAATTGAAAACATTTTTCAGCCGAAAAAAATAAAAATTATAACATTTTTTATTCATACGCTATTGTTAATTTTGCACTGTTTTCTCTTAGAGAAAGAGGTACTACTTATTTATATTATTATTGTTAATTTTGTTAGTGCAACTACTAGTAATTTTCATGCTTTTTTTCGTGAAAACCAATTCCGTGCAAGATTCGAGCTCCACAAAGGCCGGGAGAAGAAGAAAGAAGAAAGAAGAGACCAAGACGAGACACGATGGTCAATGATGGTTTATATAATTCTAATATTTAATTGTATCCTACTTATTTAAAGATCTACTGAAACAACCATACCGAACGGTTTTACATTTACGTATAGTTGTTTACATTAATAGTCTGTATATCCGCCAATGCATGGAAATTACTAGCAAGCATCGGCATTCGAGATCACAGAAATTTTACATACTTAGTTTTACACATTTCTTTTGCGAACAAATTTTCGTTTAAAAAGGTAATACATAATAGAACGATCGATCATAACAGGATGACGTTCTCCGCGGCTTAACTCGTACAAACAAGGCTCAATGATTTCATAATTTCTCGCATATGTTGCTTGATTTATTGACTGCGAACTACAAATTGTACACAATCGTCACGAGGTAATATGTTGCAATAACAGAGACAACGAATACAGGCTCTTCTTTATTGTTTCTGCGTGCAACGTTCGATCGGTAAAATGTTTAGATATACAGTTTAATCGTCAGTCGCAATAGTAATTTCTTTGGGCTTCGTAGAATAACATTACTCGCTTACAAAACGGATTCGACGAGATTGCGTATCGTTCCAGCCAATCTGCCACGAGCGGAAAGACGATAGTACATCGATGCTCGAAAACGTTGGTCCCGGAGTAAAATCCGCGGTCGAATACAGTCGAATCTAATTTTAATTGATTCTAATATTAATCGCGACGCGGCTGAACGCGTGTCCCCGGATAAATAGAATTCGTTTCTTGGCATGATAGGTCGACCGCGATAAACTTAACCAAAGTCCCGGATATCAGAAACTATTGTTAAACGGTCACGCTTAATGATAAAGTTCAAAATTAGTTGAACATCGTCGCGTTCGTTGGGCGTGGAACAGCTCGGAACCGAGACTGATTCACGATCGAAATACTTTAATACTCTGCCAGTTAATTTTAAGTGAAAAATCTAGAGAACGACGCAGCCCTGATTCTTAACGGGTACCGAAATACAACCGTCTTTAACGCTATTTTTACCCGCGGTTTTATGCATACCTATTTCGACCAAAAGGTGTCTCTCGACACCCTTGCATTTGGATGCAAATAACTGTTAACTCCTTGATGTACGACTTAATAACAACTTTAATATCCTGTTATTCCAATAAAAATTTTGAAAGGTGTCAAACGCCTTTGGTAGAAATAGTGTCACACGTACGAGACCGATGACTCAACGCGTGAGTCACGCAACGTATCATTCGTTTAGCCAATGACACACCATGTGAGTCAAAATAAAATTGCAACGAATGTTGCAACTATTGAGGTCTCGTTATAATATGTCGGTGTTATTTGTCCTGAAACGAATTAGCTCATAAGAATTCTTTACAAAATGGGCTCAGACAACATTTTTACAGAACACTTACCGAATATTCAAAGTTGAAAATATTATTTCCGTTCACTTTTATGTAATTTTTCGCAATTTTGTCGACGAAATTCGATATACCTGTACTTCGTAGCATAGAATCATAAGCTAATAACTTAAAAATTTATAATAGGAAAATGACGTACCTAGGGGGTTAAGATATCTTGTATATCGATAACCTTTAAAGAAGATTCTTGAGGAGAGTATCTCGATTACACACCGAGAATCAAATCTATATTAATATGGCATTCTTCGCTCGAAATTATTTCTAGAATTCACTGGCAAAGTGTTTTATTCGTATGTATTTCTCGAGAACCACGCTACACCATCCCACTTCTTACACCACAGTTAGCCAATAATCGATTATTGAAATTGATCGTTACAATCGCACGTAACCCATTATCGGTTAAAACAAAATGGCTATTCTTCGCTGGTACTAAATTAAAATCATTAAATATTCCTTTTTTAGATATTTATAACTTATAACTTTCTCATTGCTTTGAATTAGAAAATAAATTTTCAGAAATATATCCTTAATTTTTTAAAAACGTAAAAAAAGAAATGTTTAATGTTTTCGACGGTTCAGAATAGCAATTAACTGATTCAACGATGGCTGCAAACGACTAACGATTATTTTAATCGACTGTCATCGTGGGCAATTAACGATTAATTTATTCGTCGATCTTCGTTAACGATTAACGACTGATGTAATCGCGACAAGATATTGACGATTATCAATCGTTACATCGATTAAAATTTATCCAACAATATCATATACGCAACGAAATTGCACCTTCGGTGGCAGATGCGAACTACATCGTGCAATTAAGATCGAATTGCGACTCTCTGTTCGCTTTAATTTGAACTATTAATAAAATCGTGTTGTGCAATGGTTTTCAGCTAGCCTGGCAAAATGAATCCATGCAATTCGAGAAATAAGAAAACGTCTGACCATCGGTCGATTCGACAAAAATCACAACAATCCTACTAAAGGAACTAATACGACGATACATTTATGTTTAATACATTAAGTCGACAATGTCGACACTTATCAATAATACAGTAACAATTCGGCGATTATCTTGGCACTTGGGCGGTTTTTATATGTCGCTTATGCGCGAAGATAGAAACTATAAATGAATCTTAGGATTAAACGTTCCCAATTTTGGAGACAACGAACGAACTTAAACCGATCATCTTTCGACGATATGGATCTGGCGATCCAGATCCACGAGGAATCCAAGTCGTGGTCGCGACACGAATTAACCTCTATGTCGACAATTAAACGAAATAATTGTTACTTGGTTTTCAGATCTTCGAACTAGTATAACGTTTGTTTGTTAATTTAATGTCACTAAATTAATCATTCCGAATCAAGCCCCTTCGCTTAAAAAAATTGATTTATAATAGGTTTTTATAATTTATCGTAATACAGGGCTCACACGTTGTCGACTAGAATCTCCGTTTAATTTCAATGCTATTAAACAATCAACATTTTATTTAACGAAAGAACGAAATTTCATTCCCACTTCGAACTATACTAATAATTGATGACAACTTCTGTAAAAATTTCAACAAAATTCCACTCTTATTCGTTTGATTGATACATCATAAAAATTTTAGTTAGAAAAATATGTCATGCTTTTCTCCAAAATGTTATTATCCTAACATCTTATACTCTGTCCAAATACATGGCTGCGTAAAAACCATTTTTAACAATAAGTTAACAATACGTTAAAAGATTTGTCGTCGTTTTTAAAGTCAACATGCTTCTTTCTGAACCTCGACAAATCTCGGATTAGGAAAGGGGAACATTCCAATTATAATCCTCCCTTTTCCTGCACACATCCTAATCAGATAAATTCGAATTCGTAAACACTACCTTAGCATAAAGAACTTTGGTTGCAAACATTGCATTTATGTCACACATTACTTCATTATATACATTTACCTTAATGTATTATAGTCCTCAAATATAATAATTATGCAATAACCGAACAATCAAAACGACTTTCAATCGTTTTTCTACAAATGTTGAAAGATTTAGATTGTGTTGCTTCGTTAATCTTTTTTTCAAACCTCAAAGTAAACTTTCTTCTTTCCCTAAAATGAAATGATACCAAATAACAACATAATGAAAATAATACTAAACGTTGCAATATATGTATAAGTACAATTTGTCAATAAATCTCAGTACCACTATGTTCTACGAAAACTATGTTACAAAAAATTATCATAATTGTCGATCGAACGATTCAAACAATTCTAAAATATTGAAAAATTATATGTTTATACAAATTTATTCTAACTGGACCATAACTAACCGATAATAACATTTTAAACAAGAGGCTACAAAATAATGTATAAAATTATACCTCTAAAAAACTTAAAAGAGAATCTATAATCAGCAATTATTAACCATTAAGGAAATTGTTACAACTAGCAACATAATCCTAATCTACGTTTACATTTTTATCATAAATATATATTTAATAATTAGCAATACGTATGTTTCACCTTCTTCTATTCAAAAGTTTTTTAAAACCTCTATTATTCATAAAATTGTTTCAGGAATAAATGTCTCGTCAATAATGTCTACGTTTCTTCTCATTTTAAATATATACATTTCTATGCATATTTTTCTCCAAATCATTAAATAATAATGTTAGTAACAATCGCCATAGAACTCTTTTTTTTTAATATATTAAAATATAGATCTCATTGTAATGTGTGACATTAGCTATACGTATCTTCAGTAGTATTAATGACCTTCACACACACCCTCGATTACTTCTTTGTAAGAACAATAACTTAACACCGATAACTGGAATTGCATACGCTAATTTTATGGTGCGTTCGCGAAAACGTACGAAAATTACTGGTTTCAAAATCAACTTACTTTCTTTGCGAGACAGAGAAATTTAAGGCAACGCGTGAATTATATTTTGTATAATATTCGTATTTTGAGAAAACCTATACTTCAAAATTTCTTGTAAAAACTTTTCACGGAAACCTGCACGTTATAAAAACTTTCGTAAGTACTCGATAAACTCGTTAAAAGTATGTCAAGAGTTTTCGTAAAAATTAAAAATTTAATCTGTGCAAGAATACGTATAACCATTTAATTTTTCATAAATGTTTCTATCATATGGTGGTCTATTAAAAAGGGAAATTAATTTCACAGAAAAAGCCTAAATCACTACCAGGAAGACAAACGAGTTAGTAGAGATTATCGATGGTATATAAGATACACAGGTATATAAGTGTCATATAAAGTTACAATAGTATGTACAAATTGAGCACTGTTATATATCAATCTATATGCTCGTGGAAATCCGTTTCCAGCTTACCTGCGGCACCGCATGATGAAGACGCGTATACTGAACTTGCTTCGTCGTCCAAGTCATCTTGGCTACTAAGTCGACCTGTAAACATCAATTGCAAACGATTATTTATACATATTTAGCATACTGAGACAGATCTGTGTAATGAAATCAATGGGAAATGTTAATCTATCCAAATGAAAGTATCGCGTTATTAAAATTATTTTTAAGAATAAGAACCACTGAATAATATTAGGGAAAATTATTTTAGAGTTAAATACCTCTGAGTCCAAGACCTCGACCGTTGGGTGTTCCTCTGTAGAGAACCGTTTCTAAATAGCTTAGACCATTGTTATTGATTATGTTAAAGCCACATAGAAGTTCGATTTGCTTCCAACGATGTACTCTCTCCTGCAATTCTGCGGTGACTTCGTTTAGCGCTGTTCTTGCTTCCACTATACTTTTGTCAACTTCGTCGATAGATTTTCCATGAGTGGAAACGAATGCGCCGACCAAGCTCGATCGTTTTTTTCGTAGTTTTTCGCACTGGTGGGCACATTAAATAAAAACAGGTAGTCAATACCTACTTTGTAACAATACGAGTTCAAAATTCGAGAAATGTAATATCTTACTGCTTCTCGTGCTTGCTGCAGCTGTTTTTCTGCCGATATCTTTTTTTTCGTGTACGCCTTATTCTCAATTTCATGTGTTAATTGTAACCAGTGTTGTAGTCCTGGAGGAGGGGACCAACATCTATCTTCGAGTTCACCTTCTGCGCGTTGCAACTCATTTTTTAACATCTACGAGGTAGAAATTAATTAGACCTCTAAGAGAATGATTTTCAATTGCAGTAAAGACAAAATATACAGAGTACTTGCCTCAATTTCTGCTTTTAATTGAGAAACTTCAAGATCGGAATACGAGGCATGCAATCCCATACTTTCGTCTTGTAAGCGTTTCTCTAAATTCTGTTTCTCCGTTGTTGCACTTTCCTGTTCCAATCGTGCCCTCTCTAATTCTTTCTATAAATTTTTAATATGCAATCAAATTCGTACACTGAATAGAACGTAGGTGCATATGAAAAGAAACGCGCAGCAGGGTGACGTACTTGCAAATCTTCAAGCGCCAGTTCTGCTTTATGCAAACCTTCCATGTTCTTCATCATCCGATGCAAATGTTTCTGCGAATTTTTCTTTTGCTGATACGCGTACCAGTACCCAATAAGTGCTCCAAATAATAGCGTAATCAATATCAAGTCTTTGATGCTATGGCCAGTATCTACAACATGGAACATTATTTTGAACGGATGCCATAAAATAAATTAAAGAATGTTAAATACAAAACATTCTTACCTTTTGGAGGTCCAAAAAGTACTACATCCATAGCTTTTAAGGCAATTTTTTGTTTATGAATAGGATCTTTGATCCCCAAAACGTTACTCAGATAGTGCATGTTGTTTACAGCCAACCTGCAGATTAAGCAAACATTTACGCCAACCTTCAATCAATTAGCAAATAAAATATACTTTGTAAAACAAACCTTGGAAGTGTGGCACCAGTTACACGATGTTGTATAAAAGTAGGAACATATTGAGGAAGCTCTACATTAGATGTCAGCCATTCGGACGTCTGTTCTATAGTCCAATTGTGAACCTAGGATGAAAAATTCATTGATGCAATAACTCTCAGTTATAGGAATTTGAGAATAATGCTGGAGAGAAATGTATTTGTTGACAGTACCTCAGATCTCAACCAGGCTTCCCAAAGTTCTCTAACGCTAATGTGCATGTCATCATTATGATGGAAAGCCCTCTGTCTTCTCTCGTACCCAGCTTCATATTGTAACTCTTCCCTCAAAAACTACAAGAAGGATCTCATTTTTTACCGTTTGGAACATAATAAAATTTATATAGAATCGATACACTTACATCGTCTGATTCCGAAAGGTCTACATTTCCATTGGCATCGTCGTCTAGTTGACTGTGAAGCGATTTGATAGCTTCTAAACCTAGTCGATCATGAGAAGCCAGTGTAAGACAAGCTAGGTCATCGTTACAAGTATCGGAACCTGTAATAAATTGAATAGCCTACGTTTGATTGTATGTGTTTATGATTACATTTAGTTTGTTATAACAGGTATCTTTAAACGAAATTGTATCCTGACCTGTTAAACATACATGATAAGCTTTTTATTCAATTGTATCAAAGCAAAAATTACAATGCAATAAATGCATTCTGTTAAATACAAACATGGTATAAGTAACAATGCATATAAATGTTACCATCATTATTGAACAAATACAAGATTGATCCTTGAATAATTATATCGTTTCTACGATTATTTACTTGTTTAAATATGAGTTTTTATCATAAACACATTTATGTTTTTTTTATGTTTTGCAAAACCAACAAAATCAACCAAATAGTACTTCATACTCGAAAACATACAAATAAAACTGTCTTTACAATTTTAGATGCATACTATTACTAATAACAAACAACACAAATACCTTTTTATAAAAATAAATTAATATTTGCTCTATCGAAATGTTATTCTTAAGCATAAATGTACGAATAAAAGCTATATACAGACACATACAGGCATATCTACAAAATCTAAATAAAAACTAGACTTTTATGACGACACACAGTGGCTGACAAGTATTATCTAAGACACGTTTATGTGTTTTCCATTTTGCCATTGACATTCGACACCAGTTGCTGCAAATATATTCTATTAACAGCAAAAGGACTGATAAAGGTGGAACAATACTTCCATCAGTTCAAAACGTGTCCTTCCTTGTCATGGAAGAACATCAAAGCCTGCCATGACAGCATAAGGAAAGAAGAAAAGTAAGATGGTTTTAGCTGGCAAGGAAATGTTTCCGACTGGCCAAAATAGTTGAAAACGACTATATATTCGTCAACCATCAAGCATCTTGACCAAGAAGGCTACTATCAAGCACATTTAGCAGCCCGTTAAGAAATAACGCAACAAATGCGAAGCAAGCAACGTTGACGCAAGGGATAAACATTAATAAATTATTGTAAAGAGTTTTACCAGCTTCATGAGCTACAGCCTGTGCCAACCCATCTGTGAGAGTGGCAGAGAACGCTGAGACTTTGGAATGTGAGCTTCCGGAGGAGCTAGACTGAAAGTTCGGGCTCGCATCGAGGGCCCCGCCGCTAGCATCTACAGTGTTGCAACACCAATACAAAAAGTGCAGCCCGAACAGTACAATCACATCACTAATCACGGATGCTCGCATTTTAAGGTTAGCTGCACCTTGTCACTGACACCTCGCGCCCCCCTTGCGCAGCTGCTACAAGTCAAATAAAGCCGAATACTCTTGGCCCGTTGTCACCTTTGACGTAGACCCGTAATAGTGAATATACTCAAGGTTACAGTTATCAAAACCGGGGTGGCGATATAATTTGACGAGTGCATAACACGCGCGACTGAACCACAATATTACAGCAGCTCCGTAGCTAAGTTGCACACCGTTGTTACTGGTTCCATCAATGCCGACAGGTTGGTCAACGTCCGAGATCTCTTTTTTAAATAAATCGATTGATTTATTAATTAAGTACACTACTCCACCAAGTCGAGTTTTCCTATCAAGGCCACTGCCCACGAACAACGTAGCGAAAAATAATTAATTTAGATTGGAAACAACATTGGTGCACATTTCTATCTACAAACAAATGAGAATTCGCGATTGGCCGGGCGCGCAATCCTTCACGCGATCTCATTGGTTGGACGTTGCACTCGCGGTCGGCATTGCCAGCGCCAATACAGCGCGAAAATTCTTTCTTTGCTTTATTTTTTACACTTTCGTGTTCGATACAAAATGATATTTTTTTTGCAGCTACTTCGACGTCCAATATTTTTAACAACACGTCCAACTTTTACCCGATATGCCTTTATTTTTACGATGACGCACATGAAATGGTCTTTCCAAGCATCATTTCAAACATTTTTTTCATATAAAATAATATTTTATTGATATAATAATGAATCAAACTTAAAAATGAAATAAATTATGTACTATTTGCTACACTTAAAAAGTATACCTTATCGTGTAGATCTATTTAAATATTTTCTTGACAATGTCCAATACGCGACACAATCACTTGAATATTTAAAAGATTCTTGAAATTGCGTCGACTGATGACTTTATGATATCTATTACTGTTCACAATAACGCAATCAACCACTTTCTCGTTTATAAATTTTGTATCATGCAAGTGTTCGATCTGTTCTTAACACGATCGAGACTGTATCGTTTGAAAGATCGCACTGCAAAGTAAATATTATCGTACTAATTCGATAAATGCAATATCGTTGCATCAACTATTTCATGTTCTAATCGCGTGTATAAAATTAAATAGAAATTATTATTTTTTATAGTTGTTGACAACACGAACTTCAAAATTGTGTCTTTACGGCCGTTCGTACGACATGAATGAAACTGCGTCTCAATACAATAATAAATCATTATTATATTCGTTTTACAATCACACGATAGTATCTGTGCAATTTTTACGAATATAATGATACGGGGCGTTGTTATGCGCTATAGATGTGATTTTTGTAATTAGAAAATCTTTACAAAAGCCATATCCAATGCTGAAAATTTGTAAGATTTTAACTACACGAAAAATCGGGACTGAAGACTGTCGCAACAGGTACTTGTGAAAACATTAGAATGGAGAATAATTCAAAAAACGAAGACTATGACAATCAAGGAACTAGTACAGTGATAAAGAAAGATGAAACTTCTACAATGCCCCAAGCTGTACAAAGTTGTTCCGATACAAAGGCACCGATAGATTCTAAAAATACTCAAGTTCGCGTTGTTAGGGGTAATAAAAAAGTGAAATTAGATGTTGGCGATAGTAATAATTCTGAAAAGAAAGGTTTGTCTTTTCTTTATCCATATATTTGCATTTAATCTAATCTTTTAGTTATATAACAACTTTTACGAGATACGATATGCAATGAAATAATAAATAATCTATAGCTGGTTTATTTAACTATGTTTAGATTCTAAAGACGAAGAAAATAATACAGAGATAAAGGTAAAGTCGATCAAAAGATCTTGCGAATTATGGTCTATGGAAGACAAGAACGACTTCTTCAAAGCCTTAAATGAATTTGGAAAAGATTTTGACGCGATGCAAAGTTATTTTCTATGTCAGGGGAAAAAAAAAGGTCTACCAGACGTTATGATAAAGAACAAAGAACAAATAAGACACTTTTATTATAGAACGTGGCTAAAAATTTCAAAACACTTGAAGTTTTCAGAAGGTAACTATTGTGAAACACTTCTGATTTACTTTTACGAACCAACAATAAAATAAATATTTTATTTTGCAGATGTGAAAAAGACTTCTCAGGAGTTATATTGTCTAATTAATTATGGTGAACTCAGAAGAAAATTACCACGAATACATGAAAAAATACAATTAAAATTAAACGAATTAGTTTATTGGGGATATACGCAAGTCAGGCTTAGAGGAAAAACTATGAGAATTAAAACACCTATATGCAGAGCACTCAGAAAGCTCAATCAATTGGAAGGTATGCTTGATATATTAAATAAAATGTAACCTATTGTAGAAAATTAGTAACATATTTAACATTTTTATATTTACATAGATTGGCAGGAAGAAATTAAATTACCACCACGAATAACAATCGAATTGAGACCTCGTAACAATATGGCATGGTGGCAAGTACAAGTATCTGCAATGAATCCAAGAGTACGCATCTTATTACCTATACAAAGACGTTTGTCTAGTTTGTTAATATTTTTGCAACAAAGATGGAGGCCCGCAAAATATAATACAGTATCCTTGCTTCAAAGTACACCATTGATGTTAAGGTTTCTTATTATACGTTTTACAATAAGAAAGTACGAAGAAAGATCCTATACGCATAATGTAGGCTCCTAATCTAGAGAATACTATCATCAGTGAAATGAAGGATATTCGACTGTTACGAGTGGCACCTCCGGACGGGTCCAAAATTACTTTACCAATGGTGAATATTGGAGAATATCTTACCAGTAAGAGCGTCAGTTTAAATTCCTACGAAAAACGTATGGGACTGAAAAGTTCTAAGATGGATATGTTAGGATCGGTGCAATGTTTAAAAGGTGTTGGGAAGAAGGGAATTAAGAAAACAAAGATAGACAAGAAATCTGCAAATCAATTGGAGGATAATTGCACCTTGCCAGATAATAACAGTGATGTGGATGTGATAGAGCCTGGCAATAATGTTTCAGAGAAATCGTCGCTTCCTAACATTTCAGAAAAGTTAACGCTTGAACAACAACAAACGAAACCCAATAGGTTCCCAGGAAGGGAAACGATCGAAAGAATTCGAAAAGGATGGAACGTTGAAGAAGCGAACACTATCACCATAGGAGACCTCTTTTTGATGGTATATGACTTTCTTCAAATTAGCTTTAAAAATGTGGTGTTTCTAATTTTTTGAATTTTCTAGTTTGGTCGCGAATCTAAGATTACTCTAGAGTATGGGTGGGATTGGAATTCACGAGAACAAAATGCTGGAGAGGCTACATCACTCAGTTTACGCGACGATAATTTATGTTTAACTTTGCAAAAGTTATTGTCGATAGCAAAACACAGTTACGGGACGAACAAAGTAAGAGAATGTTACATACTGTAACGTTTTCTAATAAATACTCTGTCCTTTCAAGTGTACTAATTGTTGCTGATATTTAGGTGTACGATAATAGTTCTACAAGTAACGAAACTGTAATTTCATGTCGTATGGTTTCAACAAAGGAATCGACCTTTAGAAGACCGCTTATTCCACAAACTTATCATAAAATTGGTACGCCAGATGCTTTTAAAACACAGTTAGACGTAAGTATTTATGTCTGTGTTTACATTTATTTACTGAAACACAATTATTAATAACGTTACCGTATTTTATGATATACAGAAGTTCAAGACGCGCTTCTCTAAACGAGGTAGGACTGTAAGGCAAAAAAGTCTTGTTGTACAAAGGATGTTGCCAGTAATATCTGCATCAAGTACTTCGCCAGAAGGTTTAACACCTAATTCTCAAGAGACAATTAAACCAAATGATTCTCCTTTCAATAATAATGATCAACAAGACGTTAAACCGCCGATGATAGACGTGAGCGAACCAGAAGAGAAAAACTTTTTAGTTGAACTTGAAGTGGCGAGAGATTCAAAACCTACGAATTCGATCATAACTAGCGCTACACAAATTCTGAAAGAGGGTGATCATCAATGGTTGAACAGCGAAGTCAGTTTTTAATTCTATAATTTGCGATTTTTAAGCAATGCGTAAGTTATACTACGTTTGCTAACACGGAGATTGTATTGCAGGTAGCTGACTTCTCGTTAAGTAGTTTTTTGGGCCAACTTGAATCTCCCATAAAAGTCTCACCAAGAAGCCAAAATGTGGAACATATAGAAGATATTCGACCATCGTCCGATGTAAATACTAAAAACGTATTAAACATTGAATTAATATTCCCCTATATTTACAACATTATATCAACGTTTCAGGTTATATCGCATATGCAGTGTCTGATGGGAGAAAATAGCGTAGATTATCTGGCGAAATTTGCAAATCTCGCATCGCAAATTGCATCGGATGAAAATAAAAAATAAGAATAGAAATAAATTAGTCAAATTTTGTATATCTTTGAACGAGGCGTTTAACAGTTTAAAATCTAAACCCGATCGTATCTTGTAATCGATGTGTATAGCGTTATTAGAATTGATTTACATATTTTACTTTTTGATATTTCATTTACAGACCACATGAAACAATAACAACGAAACTGCATATAACCAATGAATATAAAACTAAGTTGAAATACAACAAATTTAACGGCATATAATTTATATGTACGTATACAAAATACCGTTAAATTTTCTTGTATTTCTTGTAGATTTCATGTTCTTTCGTAATAAACAATTTACAAAACATGTCATGCGTTTCTACGTTAAATACCTAAACAACGCTATTCCAGAAAATATTTTTTATATTTATAAATATTTCATTTTACTTGTGTTGAGAAATATTTATAGGAGCCAGCTTACAAATGTATTAGGAATACATTTGCAGGTGCTATCTCTTATCCTTGTTTAATCCACGAAGATGACGTGGTGTCTGTTTATGGAATCGTTTAGGCAAGTTCTTGACATAACTACGTTCACGACTATGTTACGTGTAGGTAATTACACGAACTGAATGAAGTAAAAGTAAATTTATAATTTTCTTTTACAAGAAGAAATGCAGTCTATTCTAGAAATCTTTTCTCGCTTCTTGGAAACAACGATTGGCTATGCTCGATTCGCAATCGCACAGATGCATATTCATCATAGTAAAAAAAAAAAGAGCAAAATGGACGCAAGTACTTACACGTTAACAAAATTCTGTGAACTGGCACTAAATTACTATCAAACTGTTATCCCGAATTTTTGAAAGCGTTTTAACGCGCTGGTATCTATGAAATGATGATCACAAGTGATGAGAGGGAATTATTCTCGAAGACTGTACAATATGATTCAACGACATAAAAAGAATACTTTGTTTCGATGATAATCTGGGAAACAAAACTTGTTATGATTACGATGATCGTTATTACGATATCGTAACTCGGCACCAAAGTATTTAGAAATGAAAATTCGAATTGAGAAGCAAGACGCTTCGATCGGTATCGATCGAGACGCTAATTTCGATCAGAAATTAGGCATACTTCAGAAAATCGCAAGTACGCGCGCGGAATATGGTGGGAACGATAATGAGTGGAACATCCCGAGGATAGTCGTGTTCTTGGAAACACAGTGCCTACGGTCTTTTCGACGGCGTGTTGCGAAAGACGTAAATGATTCATAGTGCCCGCGTCCACGTGATCTCGTCCGCATGCACCTATCGTGCATCTGTGTTTGCAGATGTGATTTCCTTGGACGTGTCTAAGCACCTTTCGCGGTGAACTGATTTTGCTCGTTTTATCGATCACAAATGCTGAATCGTCGACAAAGATATTATTCCCTCGCGAGAAGAAACGTAACGCTTCGTTTCCCTTGGACCATGTAAACGCTGACAACGTCTTGATCATTCGGTATCATTTTTTCTGATTACCAAGTTTCATCAACATAGATAAACCGTAATTTTGAAAACGTATTAAAAGTTTCACAGGTTTTTCTCGAGAAGAATCGTACGTTAGACGGTCGTTTTGGTTAAGAACTTTCGATTCTAGTTTACTTAAAAAAAAATCGTGAACCTGTTTGACAGTCCGATGTGACCTTTCCCGTTTCGAAACGCATTCAATTACGCAGACGTTCGAGTTACTACGCTGCACGGATAAACATTTTGCCGTAACATGTCGGGAAAAAAAGAAGAAAAAGATACCACTTGGCTTCGTTCTAAATCTTCTTTGCTCCTTTCATTCTTTCTGTGTATGTCGTCTCAAGATACTCGGGGATTTCATTGATGTCTTTTGTTTACGGTACGTGCGCGTTGTCTGAACGGGATTTCATTTTTGTGTTTACGATCTTTCGTATTTTCACTTTGTACGACGTAGACCAATAGATGGACAGTGTGTAATGTTTGCATTTACATTTGCACGTACACGTAATTATCGTTCAATGCACCAATCTATGTATATGTATGTAAATACGTTGCACGTAATCATACAATACTTTAGTTTCTTGTCACACGTAATGATAACGAAAATATTATGTTTATAATATAGACATATTGCATCGAGTGCTGCGACCGTAATGAGAAGAATTAATAAATAGATTCCAATACTTTGGAAGGATATGAATTCAAATGCAATATACAGTTTCGAGAAATTTCAAGGCCGTGCATTGCAATTTGCGCATCAATGCGTTAAAATATTGACTATCGACGCTGAATGACCTGCTTGCGCGCAGCACGAAATTTGCATAGGTTATAGTTTATTCGTAAGTCAATTATGTACTGTTCGTCGCCAAGTAATTTTCTGATTGTATTCGGATAAGAAAATGAAAATTAATGTGGCGACGATGTTCCGCTACCGATTAAAGACGATCACGTGCTAGACAGCATTTATAATTTTATGTTTATAATTCTGCGGAACATTCTTCACGTGGTGCATTATAATTTCGAATGATTCTCGCGCCAAGGTCAAACAGATAAACGTCTCTGGAGATTTGCAATAATTATAACGAATTGTCTCGTGCACATTTGCGTCGATGATGTTAGATCGTGGTCTATTTGTTTATATTTTGAGTTATCGATGTTCCTTAAAATAGGATATTACTTTCTTAAACGCAAGCGACGAGGTTATGTTTTGAATTCTTATAATAGCTGATGACTTTTGAGGGAAGTAACCCAAACCGAGATAGTTAGAAACCATATCTAAAATGATGTGGCCGTAGATAGGCAGAAAGTATTATCTTACGTTTTTGGTTTCCGGTAACGTCGGCATGCAGGAAATAAAATATACCGACACCGAGAAGAACATATGCAGTTTACGAAATTACCGAAAGCATACGTACGAAAACCTGATCGGAAATTTAAATGCAGCTCGAAGCGTCGCGAGTCGCCATGCATCCTTGGAAATTGTACCTACTCGAACGCGGATGGGAAAATTCTGTTTGTTATTTCGAATAAGACTTTATTTTAATTTTTATGAGAGCACGATGATTCACTCGAACGCGTACGAGTCTGGCCAAAAAACAAGATGTATCTCGGACGGGCAAAACAGGTTCGAAAGTTCTGGAATTTTTCAATTCCTCGTCAACGAAAAAAATAAAAGAAATACGAAACTCGGATGCGTAACCGTTGTTCTTTCGTTTCTTGAGATCATTTTATGTTTCGAAATGGCCAGCTAATCGGTGAACCGATATAAAATCGAAGCTTGACGCGTCAACGACGATTGCAGTTCTTTGAATCGGTTATTGGTAATCTTTAGAAGCGTACGGATCGCGATTATGATAAAGACCGTGTCCTTCTCGGTGTGGAAACGGAATAAAAAGAAACTGAAACGATATAATATAAAGTAAAACGTAAGATTATGGTACCACCGATGTTTACAATCCGATGTCGAGACATTGTGGCGCACTATAAATAAACGAGTCCATTGGCGTCGTCAGTAAAAGTACTCCGGGCACTCGTGGCTTACGAAAAACCGAAAGGAAATAAAAATGTCGATTCGCGCGCAATAATTAGGTAGCCATATTGGTAAAAAAACTGTCTCTTGATCGATAATATATATGTATATCGAATTCGATCGGTCGATAAGTGGACGGTGTAGTTTCCGCGTATTTTCGAATTCTATTTTTGAATCGCACGATATCGTATCGCGAACGGAACTCATATTCCAAAAAAATTTGGTATTCGTGTCGAACGTCAAAGCGTTTTATCCGGCGATCGAGATTCATGTGTTCTATTAATAAAATTTAAGAAAAAAGAATGTACCGGCAAATCTCGAAACGTTTTAACGCCATTGTCGTCGGCATTTTCAACGATTTATTTCGTTGCTTATTTCGTAATCTGTCGCTTTCGACGAAAGTTTGCTCAAAATATCGAAACTCGAAAGCGATTTACATCTGTTCGAAGCTAGATAACCCTTAAACTCTTGACTTAAAAATTCCTGATAACGGATACTTGAAAAACTGTATAGTAGTTAATTATGTATTTCTACGATAGTTGATTGCTAATTATTATAGACGAAATAAAAACTATCGAAACAAAATGCCTCGAAGCCTAGATACATTGAGTTTTATGTATTTTCCGCTGTTTTAGATTTTGTAATTCGCGTTGCGGATCGTGTAGACCGTCGCCAATGGAGTGTAGTCGCAATTATTGCGTCAACAATCGCAGTCTGTGTCGTTAGCGATTGGCCAGTCCCGAAGAGCGGGAAATCCCCGTTGAAACCTGCTCTTCCGCGGTTGTCCGTCCCCGCGGTTCTCCCGCTGACGTCTTTCGCGTCACCGCCAACCCCGTGCTTCGTCAGAGACATTCCGACGACTGACGATTAGTATCGCGCTGTACGACTCCGTCGCGACGTCGTGATTTTCCCAAGAACACTTGGTGCCAAGTTGTCCACGACAGTGATGCGCGTTCATGTTTTTCGACGATACGTGTGACACGCGCGTTTAGTGACAGCAACGTTTAAATGAAACGCTCCGTTTGATTCCACGTTACTTATTGTTCAAAGGCAAAGTGAAATCGAAGGGAATGGATCCGTTTGACAGTCTCGACAGGTCCGATCTGTCGGAGGTGAGTCGCAATTCAAGCGGGAAACTTGTTTGCTTGCTTATTCGATCGCACGCGCTATTTAAACAGTTGCTATCCGTGCGGTTAGATTTCCATTGTAAACGCAGCGCGGTTCGCATAATTTTTCGCTTCTTTTATGACGGTGTTTGCTCATATCGTGTAAAATAATTAAATACGAGCTCCACCTGCGCACTTTCATCGTGGAAAAGCATACGGTAATAAGTTGTGAGAAATAACGGTAAATAAAAAATGGCATGTTTTATTTTACCGTGACGCTATTATGGCCGAAAGGCAGACGTCTGCGTAAAATGGCAACAGTCGGAGGTGCGATAATTTCAGCGGCGTAAAACGAGTGCATTTGTAGATTGCATGGAGACCATTTCTAAAAATGTAATCGAATTTGGTGTACAATATTTTTGATTAATATATTTACGCGGTAATCAGCCGTATCGTATGGTACAATACAACGTACGGACGTTAACGAAACTGGCGTGTGGATAAAAGAAAAAAAAGAAAAAAGAAATATTAAAAGCTTTGGACAATATGAGATTTCAGTAACGTCGCTGCTGCGTGAAAAAACAAACGCGTTTACGTTGTAAAGCGACTCTATCGATGTTCGAACATGTTTTAACATATCGTAACGATATCAACGTGCGAATTCAATACGATGAATATCAAATTGCTGTGTTAATTATACGTTATTATGTTGACATTGTATCGCAATATTGTCTGCCTCTAGGCTCGTAGCATACGTTAATAAATTGCACGTTAATTCCAGTATTAACAATGTACCTCGGATGCTAGCGTTGAAACGTTACTGCAACAATTTATTCTTCTCATTACATTGCAATTTATCCGACCGTCGATAGGTAAGTGCTAAAAGAAAGAAAAACCATTGACGAAATGAGACAGAAACAGAGTTGAATTTGTTACGATTTAATTGTTATTCAGTAACCTGTATACGTATATCGATTCTTCGATTAATGATGTCACTATCGTTTGATACACCGCTCGAACATCGTTTAAATAGCCTACGGGCATATGGTACTTGAAAAAAAAAAAAGTTAATAACGTTTGAAAGAAAGAACGAACGGTCTGTGGTTATTTATCGGAAATTGCAAATACCTGTTTCCGTCTATATGTACATATATTCCACTTATAATCACGATGTAAATACGTCTCTATTATGCGCATTCAAACGTTCGAAAACAAGCTTACAACGATCTCGTTTTTCTGTGCCGGCGCGTTAAAAAGAGAGGACACCAAGCGTTCGAAGACTTGTACAAGGTCATTAACGACTTCGTTTCGTGTTCGTTTGTCATACGATATGTTTCGGTTGCAGGTGTATCCGTCGTTCACTAATCTCAATGACCACGATGACGATCACTCTTTATTGGACATGGACGAGGTGCCGAGGAAATGCGAGTTCAACCGAAAGAAATGTAGCTTCGGTATGCCTGAAAAATGATTGTTAACGCGTATTAATATATCTGGATCATATTTCTAGACCGATGTACTTGATATTTCTGTTACACCAACAACGATACGTTGGCCATACGAGATAGTACATATTTACCTTTTAACTTGACCGAATACTTGAAATTCGAACTCGGGTACTCGATCATGGAATAAGAAAGGGACTAGGGGGGATGCTATAATTCGTAGATTTTCCAGTTCTCTTACAAGTTCTTGGTATCGCTTAAATTCGTCCACGATTAATTTTGTTTTGTGATCGTGCATTGGACAGGTGACGATAACAACGAGGTGATCGATGGTACCGGTTGGTCGGATAAACCTATCAGAAACTGGTGTCAAGAGGAGACAATAAATTGGCTAATGTCTGCCGCGTCTTACATCGGGCAACCGTACAGTTTGATTCAGCACAGTCTCGCGGTGCCAGGAAACGAGCTGGTTACCTTCACGAGAAACGATTTTATCAATCACGATCCCATATACGGAGATCGACTTTACGGCCTGCTCCACTCTCAGCCCAACTCGAATCTGCGTATGTAACTACTACTATGCGACTCACCGATAACGAGTGTAGTAGATTACTCGTCGAATAAACGAGCCGTTTATTTTGAAAGTGATCCAACTCCATTTTTCAATTTTATCCGGTTACCATGGTTACACGTACAACTTCATGTTATTTATCAGTAAAGCATTTCAGGTTGCTTATTTTCCGAGCAAATACGATAATTCTTGAGTAATAAGTTTTCAGAGTTGTAGTTTGAAAGTGGCCCAACTCCATCTATACTTAAATCAAGATATTTACTATTGATAATGTCGGTAAGCAGTGCCGAAGGTAATTTTAATTAATTAGTATTTACAAGTTAATCTCGATTTTTGGACAATTGCATTGGTTGAATAACCAGTACGTTTAATTAATACAAAACTTAAAATTTAATATTAAATTTTAGAAATTATTTCACTCATGGGGAAGAACAGAACAAGACTGTTTAGTTCAGGTAGCGAAGAAGAAATGGTAACTAATGATTTAAAAAAAAATTCTGATGGAGAATCAATAAACTGATTTTGATTTGAATCTTGATTTGAATCTTGATTTGAAGATAAATGGACTTAGGCCACTTTCAAAATAAACGGCTCAAATATCGGGTCAAATATTTTTTTTACTATTTTAACACTTTCTCGAAGGAGAAATTTGTTCAAAAAGTAAATAAATAACATTGATTGCAGTTCCATCGTTCGAAACCATTCACCCTCCTTCCAACAACGCATCAGGTAATGAGTTGTTTGAATTTCAATTACGCGTGCAATAAATTTCTATATATATTTAATTTCATTCTATTCGTAGACGCAGAATCAGACAACAGTATCGAAGTCCCAACCAAACAGCTGCTGAGGGTATCAAAACCGAAGAAAAATTGTGAGTATCCGTGAGCGAAAATGTTTCTTTGAACAAATTTCAACAACATTATGTAATTCTGCTTCTAGCCACTAGCCAGGGAAAGCTTTGGGAGTTTATTAGGGATTTATTACGCAACCCCGAAACGTGTCCCAGTTTAATTTGCTGGGAAGACTATTCGCAAGCGAAATTTCGATTCGTTAAAAGCGACGAAGTCGCGAAACGATGGGGCTCGCGAAAAGGAAACACGAAGATGACGTACGAGAAACTTAGCCGAGCCATGAGGTAATTAATAAATTTGGAAAAATACGTACAAAGTGTTACCAAACGTCTGTTCTCTTTTCCAGATACTATTACAAAAGCAAAATCTTTCTACCTGTACTTGGACGAAGGTTGGTCTATCAGTTTGGACCTAATGCAAAGGGCTGGCAGACTGAGAATCCGAATTTTCGATATTAGGATTTTACGGATTCCTTTCAAGTCTCAACCCTTGTAAAAATTGTACAGACACTGAAAATAATATTTGCGATCGATGAATTTCACGTGCAGGATACTTTCAGAAGATTTGTACAGAGAAGAAAGAATATTGAAAATATTTTGATACCGGGGGGAGGAAAAGTGTTAAACGTTGGCTCGATTAAGAATGTTAAAAGACTAAAGAGAACAGATCTAGTATTACAGGTGATACACACGCACACGCACACTGACTAGGTGTAAATAATATAAAGACAGTATGAATGAACAAAAATGTCGAGATTTTTCATATTATTGTACGCATGAATGAGTAAGTCTGTGATAATAAGCGGAAAGCGAAATACGAGTGCGAATTGATTTACTTTTATATAAGGTTTTCATAGTGTATTTAATTTTAAGCATAATAGATCGTTTACTTATGTAAAAGTATACATATAATCAAGAAAGACAATAATTCTCGTGACTTACAATCAAATAAATTTGCTATTACTTATTCTTTTTTTATATCACAGAGTTGTGTTATGTACCTTAATTTGGAAGCATTCGAGTGTCTTTTAAATCGACCCATGGCTAACGGTCAGCTTTAAAAGAGGAAATTAAATTATCTTACGAGTAACAAACGACACAGTACGATCTCGTTTATTTTTCTCCTGGAAGAAGAATATAGTTGAACTCTGTATCGTTTGTTTACAAACTATGGAAGTATGGAATATCAGATTTAATTCGTATCGTATCAATGCACCCTAATTAACAGTTAGTGTCGATAACTGGATACTTATTCCTACAATAGCGCATGCAAAAAAGCTTGCAGATATTTATATTGACAGAAATTTCAAGCGATTCGAGTACTTGTCGGCAAGTATTTAAATACTGCAATTTAAGATACAACGTTGTATCGTGGTCGACAAGATATACAAGCTAAAGGCATGCACAATTTTATTTTAAATCGATTTGTAAAAGATATTTAAGGCTGCTGGATCGCGTTTTGTTTCAGCGAACTCGATTATCGTTGTTTGTATAATAAGACCGTAGTGAAAATACCGACTGCACTCGTACTTGACTCAACTTTGCAATATGCATATTAAACGCTACAAATTGCAGAACCAACGTGTGAAAATATTCAACGTATTCTTATCCAGTTAATGTGACTATACAAACCCATTTTTTACTCGACAATTTCTCATAAACGTTCAACTGCTGCCATTATCCGAATCGATCAAGTATTCATGCAACCGGTAACCGTTACTACTATCGCAATAACTCTTCTTACAAAATTCGACGGAACTGTAAAATAAAATACTATCGCTCACTTTCCTCAAAAAGTGCCTAATTAACCTGGAAAATTTCACTTTTAGCTTAATTATAAATGTAAATTTAATAACTATCGAAAGGCACGAATCGTAAATAACCACTATCATGACGTATATACGTTACTTGAGACGGCATTATGGAGAAGAATGTGCGTTTATGGTCGTATAAAATAACTTACGGAAATAATCGGTATGTATCTTTGGTTATGAGAAATACCATAAAATAACGAAAAAAGAAAATGAATCTTATAAAGATCGTTCGTTTATATTCTTTATCTGGAAATCAGATTACGTGATTTCTACTTTTAAGAAGCTTCGAAATTGTAAAGCGGTAAATATTTTTAAAAAAGTGTGAATACGCGTTGTTGTTATGCTATAGAAATCTTTTAAACCGCGCTCTACCTACCTTATGATAGTCATCAACAACGTTATGACCGACAAGCTGTTCTGGACCCTATGTTTTTTGTATTTGGCACTTACATCTATCGTATGAACATCGAAGCGTGCATCGAAGCCTCATTCCAGATAATAAACTTGGCTAGTATTTTTAATATTGATTGTAATAATAAGCCCTCGAATATCCCTGATATGTCTTCGGCAAATTATCTTACCATTTAAAACCTCACCTATAAAACACACACTTGTAATTTTCTTTTCCTTCGTTTCACACGTTCGAATTTGCAATTAAAAATAATTCTGTTTAATTTACCTTCGGTGATGCTAATAGGCTCGCTCAACGAAAATACTGTTTGCTTCCAATGTGTTGGCGTCGAGTGGGGTCCCGTACTGAAATGAACTGGATTGTCCAAGTCGAAGAAGATATCAAAAAAGCCGACAATTGCTGTCAACGATCCAGTCTTCTTTACCGTTAATTCAAATGGCGATGCAAAATTCACACAATCAGTCGTTACTTTGTACAAATCGAACGCTTGAATTTCAACCGTGCTCGTTATCAATTCGTCGGCGACACAAATTTCAATGTTCGGCTCGCGAACAACTTCTGCTTTCATACAGCTCATTTTAAATCCATACACGTTTGACCAATAGTCAATAAGTTCGACGTACCTTCCTGTAAAATAAAGAATTTTCCTATACAATAAGTTAACAATTTTTTTTCTTATTTCTAGTCATAAGATTGTACAACAAACTCTACACATTTATATTTCTACACAATTAGTACGTACTGGTATCTCCGCTACCAACGATATTGAGTGTACATCTGTTGGGAAGAAGTATTCCATCGGGTGCCAAGTAATGATCCCTAGCATATATGACTGTGTCGAGCATACCTTCGTACAAGAGAAAATATCCCATCCATTCGGACACAATCGCATCAACTTTCTCTTCATCGAGATTAATGTCCTCGAGGCGACCTTTTTTTAAAGTGATAATATCACTCAAATTGTTTTCTCTATATCGTGTTAAAAATGTGAACGCTTGAGTTAAATTCGCAAACACTTGGTTATGCATAAACGTTCTACGTACCTCACTATATCAATAGCATGATAGATTACATCCGATTGATCGACGCTGATAACTTTGCGACAGCCAGTTTTTGCTGCAAACATAGACAGGATACCAGTTCCGCAACCAACATCTAGCACCACGGAGTTACTAAATCTATTTGCATTCGTTAGCAATGCGTCGCGGTAACTTTCTGTTCGTACTTTGTCCTAGAAAAAGATGGTACTCGTACAGCTATAAATTTTGACTTAAAGTAAACACCGTTTACTTACCGTCAACATCTCATGATGTATAGCAAAATGACTGTATGTATTAAAATAGCCTTTGTCAACGTTGTATTTAGGATTACTGGAGGAACTAATACTGTTGTTCCCATCAGCATCGTCGTCTAGTATCAGCTTCCGTATTTTCTCTGACATTTCATCTATTTGCTAAAGTTTAACATTATTAGACATATTTGTCGCTTGTTCTACAGATGGTAAGATCTCTGTACAAGTACCTGTTTTGCCATAAAACATGCTAGTTCACGTTGCTCCAATTGTGCTCTCAGAGTTTGAATTGTTTTTTGCAATTCCACAAAATGTGCCTCGGATAATGTGACACATCCGTTCTCTAAATTTACGGTATACGCTATAGATTTTGTTGTTTTCTCTTCTAAATCTTCGATATCTATAAGCAAACAAACATCGAATCAATTTATTAATTCGAGAACGACTATTCAAACTTACCAAACATCAGCCAAGGGTCATCTTCTATGATAGGCCTTAAATATTCGTCGTTCTCCCATGTTTTAATATTTAATGCATTTAATTGGTCGGGCAAAACATTTTTATGCCGAATAAAGTTGATCAATTTAATATAGGAATAAGTGTCTAAAGAATGTCTTGTTACAAAATTCTTCAAATCGAATCTATGCGATGCAATAAGGTGCTCCAGTGCCGTGGAAAAGTTGTTTGTAACCTCGTTACAAAAAAGGCACGGTATCGATTCAAAATCTTCCGTGATTTCATCCCAATCATCTCCACTGTCGTCGTCGCTCCTTCCATCCATTTCACATTCGTAATCAGTTTTCAATGAAACAGCTAGCAAACAAATGGAATTATAAATAATAGTGTACCTACTATTAACTGAATTTTGTTAAAATAAAAAATTAATGGACTGTACTTATTTTGTCCTTCACACAATTGTTTAAATTAACTCTAAATAGAATTTCCTAACAAGGTATCACAGACTATTGACGTCTAATTAAAAAATATCAATGTTAACGTTAATTGTACAATGACTTTAAGAAAGCAAGAAGAAAACTTTAATTCATACCTTTCTCTGTCATTTTGCAACAATAATCACGTCGAATAATACGTAACAAATATTGATACTCGATTAAGAGTGTTTAAATTTTTTCAAGGTTAGAGATCCGTATTCGTTCGATTCATTCGTACACGTGTAGAAGCAACCGAAGCTTCTTGCTTAATGTTCCGTATCGCCTTGTAGCTCAAGTCAATAAAAAAGCCTTCGTGTTTGTGTAGGTGGTCCTCCTTAAACTAGAATTTAATATTTTATTGATTACACTCGGCACCTGAGAGTACTTGACCTTTCAAAGCTTTTTTTTTTATCCACGTTTTTTGGCTGGCACTGCAAGGGAATTGGAACACTTTCTCCGAAACACGAAAGCACGATACACTGCCAGTGTTCTATTCAATTAAAAATAAACAACAGAACATAAACAGTTCGACGGAATTTATTAAATACCGTCCAAAAAGGTTTTGTTCCTTTTATGCACTATATGTTGTAAACACTTTTCGGGGAATCATACGATTACTATATACGAATAATGATCACGCTATGTACACACACCACAACTACATATTTAAAGTTGCTCGAGATTTGATATCCTCGCCGATATTCTATTAAAAATATAATACATTTTATTGCTTAGCGTAAGATACGAATAAACAATGTTTACAAATATTGCGTCATAAACAATGTTTATTCTGGACTCCAGTTATCGAGAGATATGTTTACTGTTTCGAGCAACCATGGGATTATTTTTCCGCTGATCGGTCAATGCTATTCTGTTTTAACAAAACTTTTAACAAAGAAAATACACCATCGCACACAGGTTTGCAAGGACCAAAGGCGAAACATCACATAAAAATGTATTTCCCTCTCGAAATATGGGAGCATATATTTTTGTATGCCGATCCAGTGACGCTTACAAATTTGAAAACAGTTTCTAAGAATTGGAATGTGATCATTAATAAGATCTTGAAGGTACATCGCGTATTACCTGAAATTACATTTTTACTTTTTCTTTGTTTACGTACACTCGTACACGAAAGTATTCGAGTACTTGCATTTATAATGAAATATACATATATGTATGTATGAGTCTTGTATACATATACCAGACTGGCTCAAAAAAGTAATGATCATTTTGATGTTTATTGTTAATTAATTATAGGAACATGATCATTGGTACAAAATATGTAAAAGAGAAATACCGCAACATTTATGGAGTACGCTGTGCGAGACATTGAACCCAAAAAAGTTCTACACTGAATTCCATGAGAAGTACGATGCCACTATATGGATGGCAATGTACAAACTATGGATTAAATGTAAAAATATAATGAAATGGTCCACGCAAAGCAAGTATTTCGAACCGTTATTGAAAACATGTCCTACAGAAAACATCACGTGTGTAGATACATCAGGTAACAGTATGTATTTTCAAGTAATGCTTAAAATAATATTTAATCATTAAAATTAATATATTTTGTAGGACATTTGTTAGCTATTGGAACGAGCGAGGGATACATTTATTTTTATGATATTAACAAATTATATAAAGGCTCCATATATATAGCTGATCATATGGAATATGTACATAGCGTGCAATTCATTAGAGATGGTATTTATTGTTTTTAATAGGGGTGAAACACTCGAAACCTTGAAACTTTTTGTTATTTTTATGATTCAAAATATTAAAAAACGTAAGTTGTCGGTACTTGTGAAAAATTGTATAGTATTTAGAAACTTAAAGAAAAAATTAGGTTTTGAACGACCTCTAGTTCATAAACGATTAATTTCACGAACAACTTTTAATGAACAATTTGCACCTTTTCAGAAAAAAATGTTGTCTGTATATCTTGTTCTATAAATGATCACATAAGTTTCTGGGACGTTAAATCAAAGAACCTGATTGATAAAACACGAGGAGAACTGATTTGGTACGGCTTAAAGAATATGAAATAATATATGTAAAATAGTTATTCTAGACATTACTAAATATTAAATATTTAATAGTACAAGTTACAGTTATTGCTATATTGCCATGCATAACACCATAGTCACCGAAGGATCGATACCGAGGACAATATACGAATTTAGGACAAATAGTATTGTTGCTATTGGTGCAGATAATAATAAGGTAGTAATTCAGCAATTATTCAAAAATTAAAATTTCAATTAAATTTAATTCAATAAAAATGTTATAATTAAGGTACTTTTCTATACGGAAGAGGGACTTCTTGTAAATTTAAGGTTGAATACAAGCAACCAAAATGATGTAAATTTGACGCACATTCTACCACCAAATATAGAAATTCGTCGATACTACATATTTAAACCGCACACAGTAGTCTGTATCGCAGGTAAAAAGAAACTATTTCCTGTTAATTAAATATTTTAGCACATAAAGTTTATAAAAAATGCTTAACAATTATAGAAAATGGAAACCTAGGTTTTTTAGTGCAAGAGAAAGAATGGATAGTGCATAATTTGTTTCCAATTTTACACGGTACTCCTACTGCGGTATTGGTGTATGCCCATGTTCTTATCGTAGGTTTAGATTCAGGTAATTGACCAATTTTTAATAACCGTTATATCTATAATTTAAGATTATTGCAAGTCGAGCCAAGTATTATTTATTATTTTCAGGAAATGTTCATATATATCATATAAATAATTTTGAAACGATAAATTTCAATACTATAAGGTCGAAAAAATTAACTCTCGATTTCACAGCCGTTATATCATTGAACATAATCGTCCATGTTGAAGAATTTCTAGTAGTTTCTTACGAGAAGAAAATCTACATCGTCAAATTTACATGATACACGCCTCTTATGCAATATAAATAATTATGTATCGTTTTATCGTTTGTTAATTTGAAAGTGTATCGTTTGAAGAAAATTTTCTTCCTAGGACAATAATTTTGTACCAATGTTATTTTAATTTAATATATTTATTACGAAAATAAATGCCCACTATGAAAATATATCGTGTCATTTTCTTATTTTCCTGCGATTTCTTTAGAATTTTGTATCATACCTAACAGTTCTGTGCTATTCCGGTTCCATATATAGCATCCCACTCAACGTAAGCTGTTAAACTCGATTCAGACACGCTAGAACGTACATGTATCAGTGCTTCCTTAAAGTCATCGACTGTTACCTGTCTAACATCTTCTTTCCTAATATTTTCCAATTGACTAAACGAAATACATCTGATCGGTCCCATGCTAGCTTCTTTGCACAAATTACACATATCTGCCCCTGAATATCCTTTCGATTGTTGGGCTACATGGTCAACATCTTCTTCCACAAGATTGTGTGGTATTGTTTGCAGTAAATTGTTTATGATTTGTTTACGGGCTTGTAATTCTGGTAAAGGAACATAGAGCCGTTTAACGAGTCGTCTGCGTGCTGCTTCGTCCAGTTCATGCGGCCTGTTTGTCGCTCCTACGATTAAAATACGATCTTCATCCGCAGTTGCGGCTCCATCCAATTGCACCAAGAACTCCGTTTTCAATCTTCTGGAACTCTCGTGTTCGGTTTCAGATCTCTGAGTGAGCAAAGAATCTATTTCGTCTACGAAAATTACCGATGGTTGATAAACTCTGGCAACAGCGAACAACGCTCTGACCATTTTCTCTCCTTCTCCTATCCATTTCGAAGTTAAAGAACTCGCGGAAATTGAGAAGAACGTCGATTTGCTCTGCGAAGCTATGCATTTCCCTATTAGCGTCTTCCCGGTACCCGGTGGCCCGAATAATAAAATCCCTTTAGGCGGTCTACGTAAACCGGTAAAAATGTCAGGTCTCAACATAGGGTACACGACCACTTCTTTGATGATCTTCTTTGCATATTGTAACCCAGCTATGTCGTCCCAAGAGATGGTCGTCTTGGAGTCCATTATTTCGTTCCTTATTAACTCGACCATTTTAGGATCTATGTTTTTCAGTCTTTCGTCTTCCAGTTCCATCGTGTCAGTCTCGTTATTGTACATGTTGTCTTGAGCATTCGTCGCTTTTTCCTTTTCTCGTTTGAACGGGCAAACAAACTGGGAATTGATCGTTACTTTACCGCCTAAAGATTTTTTCGGAGCTGGCTTGTTAGTTTTCATCTGTTGCACGCTCAATTCGTCCCTAGCTGTTTTGAAATAATTTGACTTGGCTTTCGACACTTCGGAATCTTGTTCGATGTTCTGAACTTGTGATTTTAATTTTACATTGTTTTTATATTTGCTTGGTAGTTCATTATTATTCCTAGGCATATCGAACGAGTCTTCTTTTACATGTTTAAATTTCGTTTTAGGTTCAAACTTAACGAGTCGTTGTTGTGTAAAGTTTTGATGTTTCTGATGTACAGTGTAAGATTTGGGCATCTGCTTTTTAATATGGTTAACTTGCGAATTACTGGTTTCGTCTGTCGAATTGCTCGATGAAAAGGATTGCTCCGCTTCGTATTGAACGTTATCTCTGAGTCTTCCTTTATCATCCGTACTCGAACCTTGATTTAAATTCGATTTTGCTTTAACACTGATTTTCCTATTTCGCTGACACGTCTCTTTATTTTTCCACGCAGTTACAATATTCTCTATATGCCTATCGTTAAAAGCTCTTTCGCTACATGGCATTGTATTGTTGTCTTGACACGGTAAAGGTTTCACAAAATTAAGCGCCGTATCTACATCGTGCAAACCAGATTTCCACGTCAGTGGATTGTTATTGACTTTTGGTATTTCAGCCTTAATCTGTTTCCAATAATTATTTATACCATTCTTGTTTTCCATTAAACTCTGATAATCTTCTAAGCTTTTTCGAAGCAGGCAAGCTGCCATGTCTTCTGATTCGCTATAAGGTGTAATTTATTTATATATTTATCCAAATAGAACAAATATCCTGCAAATGTATTACAAAACTTACAACCGTTTGGCAGTTAAATACTTTACGGCAAGACATCTGCGCTCGATATCTGCAACCTCTGCATCATCTTTGTTGGCTTGTGAAAATTTTAACAGATGATACGCCGCTAAGAAATTATCTTTTCCCTTGTTAACTGCAGCATCCATGGTGGCCGTATCTATTTTTAATACAAAAATTTAATTACATATTTTTTATATAAAACTTTTACAACAAAAAAGAGTTTTCTTACCTTTATGCCATGAAGAATGTGATCAAATACTGTGTTTAACTCTCGCCTAACAGATTCTGGGTTCATTTAAAATTATACACACTGTTTATTTCAAAGTCATGAAGTTGTGGTTTCTAATAAATAATGACTGTTAGAGTAAGTAATAAGTAAAAAATCACTGTTGGAATAACTGGTAGAGTTTGTGTTAAAGCTTCGATGCAAATAACACGGACAATAGTTTATAATAATTCACACATTTCTATACACAAACCAACATAACCTCGCCGGTAACACCTGACGATAACAACAGATAATCGCCAAATGAATCTAAAAGTGGGAGTGGGGGAAAAGCACGTTGCGGATAGCGGTCATTTTTAAATTTCGAAACCTTTCTTTTAAACATTCCTTATGAATGGACACTAATACTTTTAATTTTCAAATAATATCAGTCTTTAAGAATGTTATAAAATGGCGAGTACACCATTTAACTATTGAATATTTATGCTTTTTATGCAAAATTTAAACACATGTTGAATGTATCTTTAGATATGGAAAACAGGCATGACGGTTTACGTGTCAATAAAATTGTATGCTCGACCGACTCATTGGACGGCCCACGACAGTAATTTTAATTTTTGCATTGGGTTTCCCCTGGGAAATTGACCGGGGAAGTACAGTAATTTAATCGTACATACGTTACGAAACAAACGTTGTCGGTTATCTATTTTTTCCTCTTTTTCGACGAGTCACGTGATTAACTGCTACATCTATTCCTCCTAAACATAAAAATCAACGTTAATAAAGATTTGTCGTTCTCGCCAACAGTTACATCGAATTGAAAACATACTTTGTACAAAATTTAGTTTATTTTGGACATATCGAAATTATCCAAAATATAAAGAAAAAGGAACAGAACGATCAAGAGAACTTATTGGATAAATATTACGAAATATAATTTCAATTTATCGAACATTATAAACTCTAAATACGAGATGTCTCATTGGGATTTCTAGAAATACATACTTTGTTTGTAAATAGATAACGCAACAGACATTGCGAAATTTTCCTTATGAAATTTTATAATTGAATAATAATCGACGACGTGACAGAAGTTATCTGCGTTTATCTACGTATGTGACACTGATCACAGCCACCACTTTGTCATTCGGTATTTCCTCGTGCTTGATTAGTATCGTTCGTCGCACACTGTTTTTAACCGACAGTCGAGCGCGAGGTTTCGAGCTCGCAAGTATCGAGAGGTCGAACTCGTTTCGGCTAGAGTGCATCCGATGCATCGTTCGACTACTCGGGACGTATTTAAATTCTGTGCGCCATACGATTCAACATTCGCGATTGTTAAACATTATTCTTCGAGAAAATGACTGTACTTTCACGGTATACCTTGAAGGAAGTAGCTCAACATGATGGTACGGACGAAGCCAGTACCTGGACCATCATCCACGATCTAATATACGATGTCACCAATTATAAGGCCAAGGTACGCAAAAAATGGAAAACATCGAACACTTTGACGTTGTTTGCATTCAAAATACGTTAGTTTGTTTTTGTATTTAAGATGCAGTAAGGAAATAGAGTAGTGGGTGTAGGCAAATGGTATAATCTTTCTTTTAACGAATATTTAACATCGATTTCAGCATCCTGGCGGTGCAGAACTGATCGATGAATACGCGGGCCGAGACGCGACAATCGGATTCGACGATTTTGGACATTCTTCGGACGCGAAACGCATGCTAAAGGACTTCCTCATCGGAGAACTAGTAGACGTAAGAATTCAAACTATATCAAGAAACGTATTCTAACTTTATTCACTAAAAATGTTTCTGTTACCCCTCAGGAAGACAAAATGGCCAACAAAAAGAAGAAAAACACGAGTTTCAATAAAACGAGAAGAAAGTACTATATCCGTTTTTGTACATTTATGAATTAAGATAAATATTGAAACATAACGGGCTTAATTTTGTATTTTTTGTATTGAAGGACGTTCCTGTCAGTATTATGTGGAAGCTGCACGCGGGAAGATCACTGAACGCCCCCAGATTCGTTAAGTTATAGTAATTTATTTCCTTTTTTTTACCACTAACATACATATCGAACTAGTTGTAAACTTCTACGTAGAATAAGAATTTCTATACGTACAAGATGTTTTTAAAAAAAACCGATTTCTAAATCCCTATTGAATAATGGACGCTCGAGAATCGGATAGAGTCGTGAAACGTTGGCAGCGCGTTAATTGTACACGAATAAAAAGATGAATCAATCGATGGATCGATGGGCGAATGGTAATTTATCTCTAAGAGTGTTCAAAAGTATCACCTTGTGTCGACAAAATGGACGACGAAACCAAACACGTTCGCACGCGTCTTTTTTCATTTTTTATCAGATTTCGGCTTGTATATACTTCCATTAATATCTGAAAAAAAAACAAACAAACATTGTAAAGTAAAAATAAAAAGAATAAATATGAAATCGATACATCCTATTATTTATTAATCCTTTGAAGCAGCGTTCCTCAAACTAGGGTTACGCGAGCTCATCGAAGAAAAAAATATTGATTAAAACTTCATTAAGTGTTTGAGAGCCACTGCATCAAAGATCCCGAATAGTTGTGTCGAATCTTTTCAAGGCTATCGGATAATCCGATCTGGATCATTGGTTATCATCGATCGGGACAAGTTGCGTATTATCGTAAAAATAGATACGAGAGTAACAAACATACGTGAACAACGCGACATGCTCTGTAAATCAATATCGATCTCGAAATCGTAAGATCAAATCGTCTAGCGTTCGTTCGACCGATAAAATGAAGAGATACGGTAATACGTGATCGACTTCTATAAGATTTGGTACCCAATAATGAAGGTTAAAAGATTCAGATCCATCCGCCCATTATTTGGCCAGTGGCCTTTGATTTTCCACGTAGCTTCGTAGTGGCGACCGGTACGTTGTCTTCCGGTGGGGCAGATTTTGCCGCTTCACCGCCAGACTCTTTCTTCTCGTCCCCAGCCTTCTTATCCCCACCCTCCTGTTTCTTTTTCTCCTCTTCCTTCTTCTTCTTCTCTTCCTCATCTTTCTTCTTCTTTTCCTCTTCCTTTTTCTTCTCTTCCGCCTCTTTCTTCTTCTTCTCCTCCTCTTCCTTCTTCTTCGCCTCGTCGTTGTCGCCTTTCTTCTCTTCGGTCGGTTTCTTCGCATCTTCCTCCTTCTTCGATGTCTGGCTGGTTTGTTTCGCGGCAGCAGCTTTCCCTTTGGGCGATTTCGCGGCCTCGTCCTCTCTCGGGTCCTCCGGGATCGGGGAGGGCGCCCTCACTTCGATGGACACCGACTTGTCGCCCTTGTCCAAGCTCCCGGTGCTGATCGACTTCAGCAAGCTCTTCTTCAACACCGAAACAGGACGATCTGGTTCTTGAATGCTGACCCTCTGGGTCCGTTCTGTCCCTTCCTCCTTCGCTTCTGGAAAAACAACAAAAATATTACAATATTTATGTGTATTATCTTTTTACGAAATAATTCTCAACGAGTCGGTGATATTTTAACATCTAGCAATCACCTTCTTCGCCTTCTTCCGGGCCTGGTTTAATTCGACTCATCATGAACTTTGCGTACGCGATTCTGGTGGTTGGCGAGACCTCGGTCAGATTTGGATTGTAGTCGACCAGACGATTAGGGTCCAACGAGGCCAGGTCAGAGTTCGTCTGATGCGGCAGTCTACGAATGCTGCGTCGTTTCATCGTCGCCTCGCTGGTGCTACCAATCGGATCCCTCACGATGGTGTTCTTCCGCACGACAGCGTTCCAGTCCTTCTTCTTGCTTCCGCTGCTCTTCCGGCCGATCGCTTTCGCGATTTGACTGAACACGTCCTTTGGCTCCTTCTCGCTCTGGATCACGGCGTTCACGATCCCCTCCACTATACCGATCTGGAAGTCCTTCTGAAGACGACGTTCCATCACTCGACCTTTCTTCCCAGATACTGACGAACAAAAAACAAACAAAATAAGAATAGCGGAATTCCAAATTGTCATGAGGAGATATTAATCATGATTTTTAGTTTTAAAGAATCTATAGTAAGGGTACCTATGGTATCTATGGTAAGGTTCGACCTTTCTTGCCAGATACTGCCCGAACAAAAAACGAAGATAATGTTTGAAAATTTATTTAAAAATAGCGGAACTCCGAATTGTCATGAGGAGACATTAATAATGATTTTTATTTTTAAAGAATCTACAGTAAATAAAACAAAAAATTTACGACAATTACGCAAATGGTAAAAGGCTTTTATTTTCGTATCATTGCGTTTTTATTGTCCGGGCAGTATTTTATCGCCCTTTTGCGTTGCTTGTGTGTCTTAGGGCGGTTAAAGATATCCTTGTAACGGTACACACATCAAGGTAAAACTACATGGTGCACCTTTCTCCGAGATAAACTATTCATGGAACAGTCGTGGTATACAGCGAGGTAAGCCTAAGTGGGACTATCGAGAAAGAAATTACTACGCTATGAAATGTCTACGGAGTATAATATTAAATTAATACAGCAGGTTGAGTGGGTCGTGCGGGAGAAAGGAGCTTACGGGATTAAAATTGTTTTATTAAATGACCGGGCGATTAGACACGAAGCCGAGTCGACGGAGGTCTGTAATATTAAGACTTTCGTAAATGTTGATCGTTCTGTGTACGAAGAAGACTATAAAAACTCGAAGATAACGTAAAGCTCACAAGCTGCTTCCTGTTTGTCAAACTGCGGCGTCCTCATTCCGTTCTGCCGTAGGATATCAATCAGCTCGTAACGCAGGGAGGAAATGTCCTGTCTGATTTCGATTACGTCGTCCTCGGTGATGCCAAAGTCGTCGCGTTTTCTTTGTTCGGCGGTCACGTAGCGTCGTATCAGCAATCGCATCACCGTGTCGTGCCTCGCCAGTGCTTTTTCCCGCGACTTTTTCTACAGATCGGTTTTAAAATATATCAACTAATTTTACAAATAACTGAACCTATACCATATCTATTTGGATCGATAAAATGGGGCACGTACGATCAAAGATCTCGTTTGACGGCCGGTTTTTCCGCACGTTAGAATTTTGTTGAACGTTTTGCCAGTCGGAACCATATTGAATGGAGGAGGCACCGTGTCACCATCTTCGAAGTAGCTCATCCACAGGTGGCTTCTCGCAAACTTCCATTCCGTGTCGGCTCTTTCCTGAAAGTGAAAGTCACATGGATAAAATGCAGATAAAAATGTAGTTGCAACTACAGACACTACTCTGTAATTGGAAAGAACGCTTTGTCTACTCTGAGTGTCGTGTAAATGGTCCTCGTACCGAGATGATCTGATAGGAATTGGACATCATAGCGATCAACATGTTCAGCAGGACGATCACGTTTATCACGGAGTAGGAACCGAACATGAGCAGTGCCCAAAATCTCGTGAAGCTCTTTATCCCTGTCAGATCGAAGGACATTAGGTCTACCATGCCAAAACTGGCCCAAAAGAGCGATTGCGACGTTTCGAACAAGCTGAAAGCGTTTACAGAATTGTTCACCATTTCTGAAACACGTCGCATTATAACTTTAAACTATTTTCAACGACAAGTTTAATACGTACTTTGCGAAACGTCTCCAAATGGAGCAGGCCTTCTCCTGATTGTCAAAGTCCGGCAGATCCGGGAAGCCTTTTATGCTGTAGCATTTCATCTTCTCCAGATCCGCGTAATACCACATCAATTGGTTCATTCCTGAGTTTTATGGAAATAATAAATAATAAATATTTTTAGAAGATAACTGGGTCTCATCGATAACAATTTTGATACGCGTTGGTGATTTCGATGGGACCAGAGCTAGCTACACCCACGAATGTGACGAAAGGTAGCGTCTCCTGGGTTCGAACGGTGCGGCATACTTGAGGGAACATGAACGATGAATAAATGAACGTGGCTGGATACTCACCGCAACCGAAGGCGAACAACACTAGCGTGTAGATGAAGAAGAACTTGATAATGTCTATTATCATTCTCCCAAGGGAAATTTGGAGTGGTCCAAGGTGGGGGTTCACGCTGAATATGTGGACGAGCTTCAAAAAACTGAAAACACAGATCATCGATCTTGAAAATTACGATCTATCGATTCTATCTGTTCCTTTTTCAAAGGTGTGACAAAATGAAGTAGAAAGCGTGAAATAAAAGCGTCTCGTTCCCGAGTTGACTTGACTAAATTGGAGGATGAAGAAGAATGTATTACCTAAAAATCATACCGGCGGCGAAAGCTCCCTCGGAAAGAAGCATAGGATCGAAAGCATGCCATTGATCTCTGGGGTACCAAGGATCTACACCGCCCCAATATTCCCTCTGTTGAGAGTACAGTTTCCATTAGTAGATTGATAACTATGAATCTGTGTCGATTCGTTTCTGTTAAATCACGTTTTTATATGTGTAACAAGAGCTTTTCACATTTTCTTAGTTTTTATTACGAGGCAAAATAGGATCTACGTTACTCCGTAACGGATGAAGCGATCTTGATTCACCTTGGCAAATATTGTATTTATAAAATTAGGAATTAGAAAGCGTACTTGAACTATAATCCAAGCCGTGAGCCTTAACACTACCCAGATTACGTAAAACACGTTTTGAATAAAGTCCACCACGTTCCATAGATCCGATACGTACTCCAACAACCCGTCCGACCATAACGATCTCATTTCGCCCGTGACCAAACCTGGAAAATTGAAACGTGTTACATTACGGTGGATCTTGATTACACTTGCACAAGATTCATTTATCGCGCCCTTTGGCCGTGAGAAAAAAATTTCCGTGAAAATACAAATTGAAAACAACATACGCGTTAACTTAAAACAAATGATTTATATTGATTTTTATATTTTAAGTCAGAGAGAAAAAAAATCAAAGAAAAAATGCAATTATTTTTTTTTTTTTTGGGGGTAAAGAAAGATTTAATTGGGATCTGTTTACTGATTACGTAGATGACGACGCCAGATTCGACGAAACCAGGAATACAGCCGCGTTCTCGTCTCTTCCATTCAGCCAGTATCTCGTGCAACCAGGCGTTCCCGAATAACTCGATTACCAGGTACTCGATACGTTGAGACGCCATCCCGAGCAGCACTAAGGCAAATTTCAATCTGTTCGAATCTCATTGCCCCTCATAACGAAATTACCAGCGACTAATTCTTTGTCTCGCTTCGCGCATAAGAACAGCCAGCCAGCCACGCGAGAAATCGATGGAGAAAACTTTGCGTGAAGGAACAATTCCTTTTTAAAAACCACTAAAAGCGAAGGAAATAAATGGCTGCCCGTTGGCCTATGGCGTCGCGACACGGCGTTTAATTTTCTGAAGAAAAATCAATCGCTCCTCACTCAGAAAGAACGCGTACGACGAAGAGTGGCAGATGAACTTGACGAACGGTTTCTTCATGAACAGACCCATCGGCGACGTGGGCGACAGCATGTAAATCGAGCTGTAAACCGGGAACATGGCGCCCAGTTTTCCGATTTCTATGAACTGCCCGATCATGCTTTTCCTCCTGAAGCCCGGCAGACCGTCGTACCAGATCGCAGCCAGTAATTGTTGCACGTTAGGGTGGGCCACGAACTTCAAATTCAAGTATTCATTCATGAGTTCGTTTACATTCCTCTCGAACGAGATAAAAAGATACGTGCAAACAATGCCCGTAAACAAAGCGTCGGATAAAATAGTATTTAAGAATTTATTTCCCGCGAGAGCGTTGCATTTATTGGAATTCGAAATTCATTGTAAATATTTATTGGCACCGCGGTGATTGGAATTCTCAATTGAAATAATAATTGCGACCAAGGTATCGGAAATAATATTCCCGGTGTTCGAGTCGACGTTGATGCATGATTTCAAATGAGTTATTTTTTCTTTTCCCGCCGCTTGTACCTGTTTCTGTTTGTACTTGATGGCAAGCTTGAGCCGATCCAGCGTTTGTCGTTCACCGGGTTCCCAGTTTTCGCCGTGTGGATTGTAATTCAGCATTATTTCCAGCTCCAGGGACGTGCGTGCGTGGTCCAGCAACGATGTGGCAAAGTTTTGCGTCTGCTCCCGCATCTCCTGCGACCAAACAACGTTCGACGTTCGACAAATTATTTATCAGCCTCGAAAATTAACTATTATTTACAAGAACAACGTGTCGATAGGTAAAAGTCTTTAGTAAAGGTAGATTACATTGTACTCGAAACGAAACTCTTGCTCCATTTTACTCAATCGTCGTAACTCCCAGGACAGTTCGAAGGCCGTTAAAAGGGGGTCCCTCGAGGATAGAGCGATCAAAGATGGCGACGTGAGAGCACGATAAGCGTTTATTCGAGCCTGCGAGTGTCTCAGAGAGTCCTGCTCGCTGGATGTCACGCACTCGTCGCAGCCACATCTACCACACACCCATAAATAACATAAAATATCCGAAATAACAACTATTATCTATGAAAGTTTAACAATTATTATTACAACAGCGAACAATGGGAAATTGGAAAGATTTTACGCTATAAACGTGGCCACGTTGCACGCTCGCACGTTTTGATAGCACGTGCCAGTTTTGCAATAACATAATTAGCACTCTTAATCGAATAACCCCGTTGTAAGCGACGAACGAGTATTGACACGAAGCCAAATAACTTTGAATAAGCCAAATAATTGGTCGTCTTCGATTTAAGGTTTTCGGGTTAACGCAGCTTTAGACGACTATAACAAACGTTTCTTTTTCCAATCTGTACCTGGCGTCGTGAGGGGTGGGGAGCGTCGCGCCACGATCAAGAAGTATTTTCAAGATTTCGTAGTTGTTCTTGTGCGCGGCCAGGATCAACGGTGTTATGTCAGGCGTAAAGTTGGACGACGATCTGTCGACAGCTTCCCAACTCTGAAAGAAATTGCAAACCATCGAGGAACATTTTGTTTTTATTTTTATTTATTTGTAAACGAGAGGGACTTTTTAATTTTCGAGTTTTCATCTCGTTGACCTTTGCTCGACCGATCGAAAAGATGATCCATCGCTACGGTGAACTTGTTAAACTCACGTAAGGCTGCCCAGGCGTGTGTGTCCTTTCTTCCCATTCTAGAAGGATCTCCACAGCTTCCACGTATTCTTCCTTTATGGCGTGTAAGAGTGCATCCTGAAGAAAGAACGAGGAATTATGTCCGGAATGTGCTGTGCTTTTAAAGACGCAGCCTTGGCGGTGGATGCTTTATCGAGAATCCACGTCGCCCCCCCCCCTCCGCTTCCAATACAGGGTGTATCTTGTAACTGGGACGATTTCGTTTCTCGTTATTACGCGTAAACTTCTGTCGATTACCTTCACTTGGATCCCGAGCTCGAGGAGCAGATTAATGAGCTCGACGTTCTCGTTCTCGATGGCGGCGATCAGGGCTGATCGATCCAGCGGATCCACGCAGTTGATGTTCAAGATCTCCGGATGATCCTTATTTTCCTCCAACAACCTGCCACACGATAACGTTTAGCAACACTCGAGCTTAGTATACATCGGTCAAGTCCAAGTACTTGAGTACTCGAAACTCATTATTTTGTTTTAAAACAGTCAAGAGTTATCACTAGACTGCGGATCATGCAAATTCATATTTTTATTAATAAAATTCTCAACCCCTAGATATAATAATACCTTACTTTAAGTATTTCTTATATTCTTGCATATTAACTGAATTCTGTAGTTTGTTGAAAATTAAAATGTTCCCATAAATGCATAAACATCCGCAGTCTAGCTATCACGCTACATAAAAATGATTTCATTCGTTAATCTGTTACGATATTCTGCATCGAACTCAACGATCGAAAGATGTATGTAGAAATGGTTACACGTTGTACAAGATCACTTGATTATTCTATCAACGATCGTGATTAATGATAAAAGTGTAGTCGATATGGTGGGGAAATTTGTGGACAACTCGATCGTCGAGGGATTGATTGTTCGTGGCTCGGGATCAGATCCTCAGCGTCTTCTCTTTTTCGCGATCTTACTGACGATTTATCTTCGCGGCAGCTCGAAGGATTACCTTTTGACAGTGGCACAATCACCTCGTTCCGCGCTTAGCAGGAAGTGCTTCTCAACTGGGCCAAGAGCATAGTCCTGGGGTGGGTTTAAGGATTGCTCCGACGGCGCTCTGGCTTCGTTCGCCAGAAGATTCTGCTGCGACTCGGACGGATTCATTTCCCCTACGGCTGTGTTTATCGACGGGCCCAGCAATTACCGCGGACTTGGTTCATCGATCCTAGGAACACCTACGTACGTCGAACAGACACTAAATCCTAAGCAGTACACGCGTGGGACGGCCGTTAATCTTACGCTATTATTAGGTCGGTACAACCACATCCTTTTTCCCCGCGTTTAAACTATGGCCTATGATTGGCAATTGTTGTACGCCAGGTCCTCGACTCGCGCGATCTTAATTCGTTCAAAGAGTTTTCCACTTAACGCGGGTTAAAAAGATACCGCATATTTTTTCTCAAACTTATTTCTAATAAAGACTAAAACACCCTTGCTCTGATAGAACAAAGTTTTACCGCGCCATTAAGAGATAATGATACAGTTCGTTGGAAATGGCGATACAAAAAAAGTTTGGGAAACAAGTAGAAGTAACTCCAACGAACAGGGCGGACGATACAATAAAATTTTTCCGCCTTTGCTTCACTGAACAACCAACTTCTGGTATAATATAAAATAATTGTAGCAGAAATTGTAAGCAAGACGCTATCTTATTATTTACCACTGTTTAACGCGTCGAACGTGCTCAGCAAGAAGAATTTTTAAATTCATTTGCATTAATAAACGGTTTAATTATAGTATATATATATACACGACGGTATTAACTATAGCTGATAAATTCCTGGAACAAAGCTTTCCGCCAAAATGTCCGCGTCCGGTTCCGAACGTTGTGCGTTTAAGCGGATAACAGTGTAAATAAAATATTACCGCACTAATGTACCGATAACGTTGCTCGATTTGAAAAGGTAATCGTAAATGTTAAACGCGTGGGGACCCTCGAGACCTAGTTTCCGTTGGAAATACCTCGTTACAGGTGTCGTTTAACGGGAACCCATGGCACCGTCCCAGCACTGGTACGCGACGGGACGATCGGGGGAGCTGGATACCCTGGACGAAGCGTTCGTGGCCGGCGGTGAAACTTGGCGTAACGTTCGGGCGAGAATAAAGGGAGAAACGGTGCGTTCACCAGCTCTACATAGTTCGGTGAAACCTTAGGACGTCGGTCAGCTGGGGCATGGGATTAAGCACAAACACGTGGGTCGAATCGAAACGAACGGAGCCGCTCGTGACCGATCGTCTGCCTGGCTGCCATCCTGGGGCATCACATTGCTCATCCACGTGCACCAGAACCGTCCAATCTCTCGCATAAAGCTTCGTTCCCACAGTTGTCCCGAAAGTGATTACAACAGAAGTTAAAACAGTACTTGTCCAGACAAAAGTATCTAATACTGTCAAAATGATAAGTTCTGGAAAAAAAAGAAATAACATTTTACAGTAAATAAATGTTCAATTTTTAGAGGTAATACTGTGTATTATGGATGGCAACAAATTACAGTAGTTATTCGGTTTCTTCATAAATATTTCTGGTTGTTCGCTCATCCGATCCTGAAGGATGAGTTGCAGATGCGGTTGTTCAACGGATGGAGATCATCTTGATACTTGAAAGTTTATTAATTTGGTATGGTTCACAGATGTTATGAGTAGACTGCGGATGTGTATGCATTTATGGGAAATTTTAATTTTCAACAAACTACAGAGTGCACTTGATGTGCAAGAATATAAGGAATACTTCAGCAAGATACGAATTGATATATTTAGGGATTGAAACAACCCTCTACAAAGCTCTTATTTCGTTAATTCTATTAATCAAAATATGAATTTGCATAAAAATCCGCAGTCTAGTTATGAGATATGTACTCACACTAAGACAAATGTTCAACTATTTCAGCTTCTACTCCTAGGTAATGTACTTTGTATAATTTACTTTGTACAATAATTTAAAAAATGTATGATATAACAAGACGTTTATATTGTAGCTCAAACGTATCAGGATTGAAATCAAAGGTGAACAGGTCGAGTCCTTTCCTTATGTACAGTTAAGCAACCGGGTGGCGTCTCCTCGTCGTGTCTGAAACAGAATTACAGTTTTTTTCGTTGAACAATCGTGTCCCTTGAGCGCTAGTAAGAATCAACCATAATTCTTTGGATTAACGGATTGGGTGTAGGAGGGTGGAATGAATCGCGGTCGGCCAGTGTCGTCCCGGCCTCATTATTCTTCGTTTGCTTGGCCAACCCTTAACCGCGTACGACGCGCTGCTGTCCACGTTTTGCCGCGATTTTTTCACGGGTTACACGTTTATTTCGGCCGGGCAGGTAACTTTGTATTACGTGATCGAGGATTGAGCTTCTGGACAGACGGGGACGACATAGTTAAACGGTAACGAGACGAGAACACCGAAGGGACTCGTTTCTTTCAATTTTCTATGGAAAAATGGAGCTGGGAATTGCTATTCGAGGAGCGTTAGCAATTACGTTAGATATGTACAGCTTTTCTGTTAATCTTGGCATTATTTCACCGCGAGGGATTAAGACTAGCTAGCAGGTCTGATTAGTCGTAGTACAATCTCCTTTCTATAAACTTTCGAAGGAGATTATGCACTATGAATAATCAGCTAGTAACATAAGTAGAATTCTTTCCTTTCTGATTCTATATTTATTGGTTTAACGATTATATTTCTCTCATACGTTTCTTTTGATTCGTATAAGTTGTTCAAAGATATTTTTGATACTTTGATACTTTCTTTCTACTTTTGATAGAAAGTAACAGCGTTCTTACAGAAATTTCGTCCACTGTAATATGTATATCGAAATTGGAGTTTATTCGGAAGTCTTGTGGCCAATTTGCTACAAACTTGCGAGAAGGGTTTACGTGTTTCAACTGACGGGAGTAGTCATGGCTCGCGTGGGGTCAGACAATGTATACATATTACTCGTGTAGGGTCGGACTTAAAGTGGACACCTTTGTACGAGACAAAGTAGGATCCGTGGAAATTGTAGGCAAAAGGGAAAAGGTACAGAACGTCTGAACAGGCTCGCATAAACATTTGGTTTCTTTCGTAATACACACAGTGCCAAAATAAACTGAACGAAACTTGGGATTTATTTAATAATAAATTAATTCTTGTTATATTTCTTGTGATATTTAAAAATTTCTTACATTTCTTACTGAGATATTTGTTTTAAGAATATAATTGTTTGAGAAATACTGATCTAAATTACGTTCCATTGTCAGTGGTAGACCCGGGCGCGCGCCGTCTAATTTTCACGTAACTTATCTTTCACCAAATATTGTCGTAATATTCCAAGCCAAGGACTTAAAGCACTTAGCTTTATTAATAGAGTAGCACAACATTTTAATGAGGTAAACACATTAAGAATGCTCCACTATTCTTCGACCTGTCCTAATTTTAAGTATCGTTCGTTGGTCTCGACTTCACCCTCGTATTTATACACCTGTACATCATGCATTTTTCATCCCTCGTTAATAACAGCAATGATCTGTTCTTAAACGGATTATGCAATGCCAAGACAAAAGAAAATGTTCCAGAGCTGTACAAAATAAAAAAAACCTGCCACGATAGAACAATTGGAATTGGTGACAAATTCTAGTTTATCTTATGGTCCAAGGGGCGGGGGAGGGTGGAGAGAGGTTTGTTTTATGGAGAAGGGTAAAACGCGCAGAAACAACAACCACGTTTCCAGCCACTTTTTTTTCCTTTAATTTATACGCGTGTATTAAATTTACATTGATTTTAAGAACGACGTTTAGGTTACAGACAATGCGCAGTACCGTAATACTAACTCTTATCGTAATTGAAGGCTGCAAAGGGAAAGGGGATCGTTCGCGAAAATTGAAACTGTTCTTCCGTCGACGCGTCGACCGCCACGGCAGTTTTTCGTGAAAAATAAAAGTGTTCTATAATTGAATCATGTACATGGTACTTTGCAACATCCCTAACGACAGTAGCGTTATTTACAATTCTACAAGCGTCAAGTTTCTTTCGGTGTAAATGATTTTTCAACGCGTTGCAAGTTCAAAGGGTCGGTCAACAGCGACCACCATGGCGGTCAACCTGTTAAATGAACTATTGATACGTATCGATGACAACGCTACTTCTACAACGATCTTACGCACATCTATTTGCATTTGAACGCAAATAACTTTGAAGACAATTGTCGAGCACACTATTTTTACGAAAAACGATTAAAGTTGGAAACTCGAGCGATCGTGGACCACGCAGCCCCCGTTTCTCTTTGCGTCCAGCAATTTAAAAAATGGAACGACGAGAGGCTCGTAGTCGACGATGACGACGCATCGTCAGCGTCGTCAGCGTCCACCGAGCCAATGATTAAACCTTTATATGTACACTGAATACGCGGTGGAGTAGGTGGATGCACATTAAGGTACCCGGAAGAAATGTCGTGGAGCAACGTTACTCGTTGACCCGATCGATCCGATCAACGAAATCCCCGATACCAATTACGACTGATCTGGTTGTATTTAGTTTAAGGCGAGAAATCGTTGGGCTGCTCGACGTACTCTTAACCCAGACCTAACACCTTCATTTGCGAGAGTGGTACATTTTACTACCACTTTCTTTTATCTTTGTTTAAAAACTTTACTGCTCGCGAAGAAAAAGAAAATGGGCATCGAGCGTAAGACACTGCGTAATAAAATAATAAAAAAATGTTCGTACAAACATACCTATGTCCTACTCGAGTTTCTTTTAATTTTCAATTTTTGGTGTTCGCGTCATTATTAGTCAGCATTTCTTCGTAAATGGCGCTACTAACAACTCACTAGGATGGCAATAAAGAACGGAAAAATCTTCGCTGCCTCGGAAATGCCGCGTTGTCGTAGCGCAATGGCTGAAAAAAAAAGAAAAAAGAGAAATTCCAGCATCGAATCAATTACTCCGAGAAATTGCTAAATGATAAAATAAAGTTACAAGCGTCTACGTGGCTCGACCGCCTCGAGGAAGTCGCGGTCGATGCATTTATTACGGTACGGACGACAAAAAGAAAGGCGAATCGGTCCATTCTATCCGGGACCAGCGATGAAAAAGGAAAAGGTTGATCGAATCAAACGAAAATGTAGAGCGTCTCGGTTCTTGGTAACTCGATACAGATCGGCCGATAATAACGTTGTCCACGGTGATTTCAGATTCTTCGAACCCCGTCGACGCGAATCCCGACGATTTTACTCGTGCTTCGGCTCGACGTCGTTCAGGATGTTGCATAAACGCAGTAACCTCGCCTCGTACGGATGGAACTCCTTCGTCTCGTCGTTCGCCATCAAATCGGAGCACATCGCTGTCATGTCGATCTCCAGCGGATAGACCTGCGTGTTCCGGCCGAATCTGTGGAACAAATTCGTCAGATTCGTTTCGTAATAAGCCCCTTTTTCATTTGCAATGCTTGCCTGATGAAGTTCAAGTCGTTTCTTCCCCGTTTAAACTCCCTGTTGGCGGCCTTGTAGCTGGAACGACCGAACCTGATGACGATGTCCGGCGATTTCCAGCGCGGGTACCTGTTCACCTTCGAGCTGGTGTCGCCTTCGCCGTCCATGACTCTCTCCGTGTTGACGTCGCCGTCGCTGCGACCGAATCTGATGAAGGACGAGCCAGCGTTGCTCCGTCGTTCCTTGGAGTCCGGATCGTCGGAACGACCGCTTGTGCTGTGTCTCTTCAGGACGTACTCGAAGTCGTTGGGCGCGTCCTTGAAAATCTTCAGGTTCCCGTCGGCTCTCAGAGGCGTTAATATCGACGATGACACCAGCATGCAGTTGCAAAGAAAAGGCAGCACGTAGAGTGACGATAACACGCTCTTCGAACAGAAAATTAAACGTTATTTACAGAATTCTTTAAATTCCCAAACAAGTTGTAACAATTTCTTTGAAAAGTCTCTTGAATTATTAATGAGATTTTCTAAATTATTTCCTTGGTATTATATCGGTACAACAGGGACAATCGATGAAATTTAAAGTCGTAATAAAAGTGAAAATAATAAGTACGCCTCTGTAGTCACGGCTGATTACGTAACGTGGTAGAAAATTGATAACGATGCAGTTATATAAGTTTCGAGAGTGCAGAGCTTTCCATTGAACGAGAAGCACAATACAATGTATTCGTCGAGACCCAAAGAATCATCGATCGACTGTTCCTTTTAATCGTCAACTTTAAGACCAAGTATTCCGTATCCTTGGAACAACATCCAAACTAATTTTATTTAATTGTCCATTGTTTTTCTCTGATAAAAAATTAAGTGTCTTCCAAGGTTGCACCGATGTAGCTCAATGGCTCTCGAAGATCCTGCAACAGGTTTGGTTACAGGTTCCTCGAGATTATTGGACACGACACAGTACGCGCCGCGGTAAATAATATTGGCGTGTTATTAGCAGTCTTAACAGGATGTTTAGTAACGCCACGGTATACCGAGCAAGATTAATATAGTGCGTTACGTTACTTTAATTAACCCCGTGCACGGTCACCCTTTATAATGGTCGCCTCGCCTACGAACTGGCCACCCGTTTCTGCTAAGAAACAGATTTACGATGTCAACCGCGAAAAACCATATTAATCTTTTTGTTATTGTTCTTTGCCACCAACGACTTCTTCAGAGACGATTACATTATATTAGAATATCAACGGACAAACTATTGGTCATTGTATCCGGATGATATTATACAGACAAAAGAAAAGGGGCGCGAGAATGAGGTGCGAAATCTATTATATTTTCCTTTCAGTTCCTTTCACGAGCATTTTTTCCAGATTGTTCTCTCTATCGTTTTCCCCTCCCACCTTATTCTTGCCCATCCCCTCTTCTAATCTCTTTGCAATTTAGCAGAATAAATCGTAAGTAGAAACAGCGAGGTATGGTCAGACGAATGGGGAACGAGTCACACAATCACTGAAACTTCCACATTCACCGTAACGTATGCATTTCTTGCTCGTATCGTTCTAATTCTAATCTCGTTTCCCCCGTTCGTAATTTCAACGAGATGATACAATAACATCGGTAAGAGCTATTCAAACAACGAAAGAATAACGTCACACTTCGAAAGACAAGTATCGTTAACGGCGTAGCGGTAATTTCAAATTTAATCATTCCGCGAATTTCCTCTGCTCTTCGCTAATTGCACGGGTTAGATTTCCGCGACGTATTCTCCGCCGTGGATCGTATTAATCGCGTTTCGTTCGCAAATTAGACGATCGTTTCCTTTCTTCCGCGTTCTGTTCGAAGTGAAATAGTTAAAAATTCTCCTCAGCGGCTCCACACCCCGTTTTCTGTCTCTTACTCGTAACTTTGTCGAATAAATTACGTGGAAGAAGAGTCGTGCGAGTAACGCTATTTGCCAAGTCAATTTTCTTCTTTTAATTGCGTTTCATACATCTACAGAGCATAACACCTTTTCTTTAAAACTTTACCCTGAACCACGACTCGATACAAATTCATTATGAATTGTTCGTAACGAGAATGTCCGTTTCTAATAAATTACCCGAAAATCAGTTCGATTAAGATCGAATTAAATCGTAAATGGAAAACAACGTCGATTAATGCCGTCGTGTTCGAGCGCGCGATGTTTTAATCGAATCGTATTAATTCCTTCGATGTACATACGCGTTATCGGAGCGAACAAATGTAACGAAACGATTTTTATTTTCATTAATCGTCGAAATCGGGTGAAAGGAAAACAAGATAATTAAAAACAGTACGGCGTGACGTTAACAACGCGAGGTACGAGGATACGATTTGGTTACCTTACGGTGTTGTTCATTTTCAATGTCTCCTCGTCGCCTACTATCATCTGGCAAATATTTACCTATATTGATTTTAGTTTTGTTCCCTTCTACACCCTGATCCACGTGAAAACAACCAGAGGCAACGTAATACGGTACAAGGAGACCCAAAAGGTCACGAAAATTTGATTGGAAGCTGAAACGAGACGAATCGTTCAGATCCTCAGATCCCTGCAATGCTCACCCACTACCATCACTATTTTATCTCAGTTATGTATTTCTAGTTGAAAAATTCTCAACATACGAGAGAGCTAGTTGCATACTATTTCTTATTCGGTTATTTGTTTAATTCTAACATTGCATCTTTGTTCACAAAACCGATTAACGCGATAAATCTGTTCGGAACTACCGAACGATAGAAGCACGGTGGTTAATCCGCGGAATGGTGGGCGAAAATGTACGAGAGAAGAAAGTACCACACGCGTCGTAACTTGGAATTTCGAAGAGAAAGCGTGGAGAAATGTAACTGCGAGACTATCGTCGTCACCAGCGTCGGAAGGTCGGCGTGGCCGACGCGGAAGATTGTAGCACTCACCATGTCTCAAGTGTTTTTGGGGTTTTGTGCGTGGACGAGTGGAGCTGGGGGGCGGCTGGTGCCCGGACCGGATCTCGAGTTCCTCTCGCGAGTTCCGACTGGTAGCGAAAACAGGGACTAAATACGCGGGACGACGACGCGGCGTCGACGACGTTTGCGGCCTGTTGGTGGTGGAACGAGTGTCCGGGGTTAGAGATGACACCCTTTATATAGAGGGAACGTCGGCGCATCCCCCGTACCTCTCGTCCACGGCACAGAGAGACGAGATAGCCTCACCTGAGTTATGATTGGCCGAGCGTACAACACGATACCTCTACATTATTTTGATTCAATTACACCGTCAGGCTACCGACCTACGTAATCTCCTTTATTATTTACGATGCCCGGCGAATAATAATCATCATCGGGCCACGAATTAGCGACGTCGGCGCCTTACCGACGATGATTTCTTCTTAAGCGGTTTCGGGATCCTCGACGATGCAAGGTCCAACGATACTTTCTTCTTAATGGCCGCTTCAAACCTGAAATGATATTTCTTGTTTAAACCAAATCGATCTATTCCGTGTGTATGGAACAAGGGACATTGCCACGTTGTATGGTTTGACTCTAGCGAGATCGTAATGGTTACATCGTCGGAATAAACTCACGACTAAAACCTTTATTTACGACTCCGTGGTTTCTTCCTATTAATAAAATAACTTAGACGCAATGGTAGCTTTGACAGAGGATGTCGAGAGGGCTAGTAATTCTGGGTGTTTACCCCTTGGTGTGGAGCAGCCAAGGGTAGATTAAATGCTTATAATCTTCGGATCATGGTGGTATAGGCGCGAAGCTCGGGGTACGTCGAAGCGTCGAGACGCGAAGCAACGCTAATTGCCTTTCCTACGACGATGCTTATAATCCATTCGCGCCTTAACAATCCCTGAGGAGAACATCTGGCTACTGTGCGTCGACTAGAATTCCACAATTATGCGTATGTATCTATGTATACCGCTCGCCAACTCTAAAAGTTGGCCAAGATTTAAAATTAGTAAGCAATTTCTCAATATTTAGCAAGTGCTAAATTGACTAAAAATTCGTATACAATGTTGAACCTACTAAACACCATACTGCGTGCGAAAAACTGTACGCTCGGTGAAATAGTCTTTCGTGACTCGGGGACGAAGTGCAACAGGTAGAAGCACTTGTTTTCTACGAGCTAATCTAGGTCACTCGTTTCCCATTGCGAGACAACGATCGCGTCACAGCTGCTAAGATTTCGTTGTTTATTTATTATACAAGATTTCTAAGACTTGTTTTATAAATTATATATATAAACAATTTACAGATATTTAGAATTACATACCGTACATCTCCTTATCTCGCAAAGATAACACGTACTATCCCAGACGAAGTATACGAATACATCTTTCGTGGACCAATCTGACTGCCATATCGACCTGACAATTCAACATAAAAAATCATAACTCCTGAACGGATGGGAGGATTTTAATGTTTCAAAAGGCAAACTACGCGTACTGTGGTGAAGAATATGTAGAAATTCCAAAACTTTTTTAAAAAAAAATTTTTAAGAAAAATCGACAAGGGGTAGGTGCCTTAATTTTTCGGCGAAAAAAAAAATTTCAAATCGTTCTAAAAAAATTATTTTCAATTCCGGGGGACAATTACAATCATTTTTGGTGAATAGACATATCCCCGAAATCCTACCCACTTTCGAGAAAAAAATTCGAATAGGTACCTAAATTTTTCGGCGAAAAAAAAAATTTCAAATCGTTCTAAAAAAATTATTTTCAGTTGCGGGGGTTAATTACAATCATTTTTGGTGAATAGACATATCCCCGAAATCTTACGCATTTTCGAGAAAAAAATTCTTTTCCGAAAATATAATGTTGGGCCAGAGATATTTCCTCGGAATTTCATGCGTATGTTTAAAACATCATAACTTTCGAACGGATCGAAGAATATCAATGTTTCAAAATGCAAACAACGCGTATTTTAATGAAGAATATTTAAAAATTCCAAGAATGCTCGAGAAGTTGTTTCCTAACCTCGTAAAGTGAAAAAAAGGTGTCATTAAAATGGTTCAATTTTCAAACGACTATAATCCCTACAATAGTGAATGTATTTCATTGGACCTACCTCTTGGCATTTCCTTGGTCTTCGCTAGATTGTTAACCTTAATGTCAACCTCATTGTTGACCACCTGTGACCATAATCCGACCATTGTTGACCATCGAATAACCAATGACTCATTAAGACCATCATGCAGTCGATGATTAAAGCCTTCTTACAAGAAGCCCCTTACAATTCGATGCACGATCTTCTTAACATTTTGTTCCACTTTGAAAGAGCGTATCTGAAAACGAGGAAATAAAAGAATAAATGTTAATCGGCACATACGCGTAATTTTACTTGAAAATGGTAATGGAGGGTTCTAGAGCCCCAGAAAAATGGACCGAAAACATCGAATATAAGATCTACTCGTATACTTCGTCTGTGGTACTACAGGTTTTCCATATTTCGTTAATACAATCCGGAAATCGTTCCCCATATTGTTTTATATACTAATTATGCGACGAAGAAGTGAAAATTTAAAAGAGATCGAAAAAATGTTCAAATTGATGTACTAAAATTAAACATGAAATCTAACGATGAAGTTTCCGGCGTTACCGTATACTACAGATATCGTGTATTAATATAATCGTTGTACTTGTTGCATAACTTGAATACAATAAGGCTCGTTTCTCTCTCTAGCTCAAAAGAGTACGTCGTATAAAGGAGTGTATTGTCGATGAAAGAGATATAAGTAATAAACTCGTAAAAGCAGTAAATCTAACTCGGTAAATTCTGCAGCATTATTGCTGGTCAGCGATCACGAGAAACAAAATTAACAAGTTTCCCTTTTCAAGAGGATTTCTTGTATTCGATCACGTTTGCTAAAGTCTGAATAACTTGAGGCATGCGAAAAATACCTTTTTCTCCCATAGAAAAAAATTCAGGGTTAGGTCTGGGTTCATATCTATATTTAAAACGTCATAAAGAAAATTAAGCAAAAATTAAGTGGTACATTAATTATTATATATTAGTAGTAAGCTTAAAAATAGGGAATCTTACACATAGAAGGAGAATTGGCTATGCTTAACGGTCACGAACGAACATCCCGCCATAATTGGCAGATACTGTTTCGACGATGATCGACGATTAACGAAGGGCAAGTAATCTCGTGTATCTTCTAATAATTCTTTAGAAATGTTCAGCAAGAAAAATGTAAAAGCTCCAGTAACTTTTAACCACTTAAAGGCTATTATACCTCGCGTTTTTTCGTATACGTTAGTCGACTTTTATTCGTTAGTCCGCTGCGTACGTGGCGCCGCCTTACGTAGGCGTGCAACGTACAACAGTAGAACAATATAGTATACTTTATCTTGAAAAATGTTTGGTTTCCCGGAGTCGCCTACAAATATCGCTGAAAGTATATAATCCTGTGTTAAACCAGTGAACTTTGCAGAGTCGTTGTCTTGACCACCCTACACAATCGTAGACAATCCAATTGTCATCCATGGATCTCAGTAATCCCCATAAAATTAAGCGTTAACGAATATTTCACAGTTTTATTGTTCCTTTAGGTGGATTTCATTTAAAACAGTGACACAAATAATATAATAATATAAATATAACGATAAGGATTGTTCAATAAACATCAAACGGACAATTTGTGCAAAAGAGAACTGTTTTTTACATTTTTAGGAATGTTAACCTCCACACTAGGCATTTTTTTCCCAACTAATATACCACACAGACAAAAGTAAAAAATCATTCGATATAAAAATATTCACGTGCATAGATCTCACGAGTAAATTATCTATATACATGGAATATATTTATTTTACTGACAATGGTGGGAGAAAAATGTAGAAGTTTTCTTGGTTTTGCTTCAGGTCTTTTTCATTTCCATCAAGCACAGATTCTTCCGACCATTCTTCTTTAGACAGTACAAAGAGAGGATACAAGAAAAATGATACAAGTTAAATTCTGAAAAATCTACTTGTACAATCAACTAACATTTAATTCACTAATTTACGCATATCGGATTTGTACTTATCACATTGAAAATAACACTTTGTTCCTTTGGAATCGTGTAATCTGTCAAGGGGATTTTCATCATTTTTCTTCTTGTTTCTGCTGAAAGAACCATTCAAATTTAAGAAAAAAAAAAAAACATCTTTCTTTGTTTTATATCAATATTTTGTAGTAAGGTAACTGCTTCATTTTACACAATTGGAAAACGTTTTCAAAGTTTTGCGGATTCCTCTTCTCTCGACGATGGTGAGAATATCTTCAACATAAGAGCTAAACTTCTTCTTACAGACACCCATTTAAAATCGGCTCGTAAACGACACTTGTATTACACAAGCTGCAAGTTCCTTCTTTATTATTTCACTAGCACGTAATCACTTATAAAATAGTATCTGTAAATTGTTTTAAATTCAGTCTTTGTTAATCGTCTTATGATCTATTTCTTGTTTCATTTGTTTTTTGTTTTGTTTGAAATACGAGAACTTTACACAAATAAGAATAACGATTCCCGTTATTTCCCGTATCGTTGCTCGTATTTACTGTACTGTTCTAGCAGATACACGAAATCCCTCGCGGACAGGCTAACGTACAAAGGTAATGTGCTGAAAATAAAAAGAGTGCATCGTTGAATAGAAAATCCTGGGGGCATAGAAAAAAAAGATGTATCAAATTGTAAAAGTATAAAAAATATATGAGTAAACAAGCTAGAAACGTACAGAAATTCCGTTATTCGCGTTTGCCATGGCAAAACACCATATGTGGTACAAACGCGACCATATATTAACCCCAAGTCAGGGTCAGGAACCCCTCGTGAATTTAATTTTTCATTAAGCAAGTCAGTATCTATCTCTTCTGACTTAATTGTTCCCGTAACAACGGCTTCAGCCAGCTTCTTGGTTAGTGTTACTATTTCTTCTTTCCCATTTGAAGCGGATAACAAAGATATCCGCGTTTTCGGCTTAGTTCCTGCAAGTAATGAACAATGATTAGTCGTATGTAACATATACCTACATTCTTTTAATATACGTTACATGTACAAAAAATATCTTCTCGCTAAAACGTACCGGTTACTCCGTTTTGCGTAAATCCAACGTTTGGTTTGCTCCAACTGATATGCTCCAAAATATCGGGTCTTCTTTTTGCAATTTCATATTTTAGGAAACTTTCGTTTCTGACTAAAAAACCTACAACAAACATAACAATTGCATAAAAATTTAAACGTCATGTGCTTTTCCGACGTAATTATGCAAATTGTTAATAACACATATTTATACTATATACTTTAAATACAATTTGAAAGAAATACAAGTTACTCCGGTTGTTTCCAAGAGTGATAAATTTAATAGTACAATATCGGAGTTTAGCATAAATGATAATACGCAACACCCATGAATATTCAGTTTATCTTTGACTGCAGATAGTAACATGTGTCAAACGTAACACCACACTGTTCCAAATACATAAAAACAATGTTAATAATTTCATACTTTTCTTTAGTAAGATAATTTGAAGAATTTCTTAACAATTATGGTATATGCATTTTATAGAGCATCGAAGATAGATCAAAGAATGATTTGAAAGTATGCAAAAAATGCAAATATTGTTTTAACAAAAGGATTATCAGTTCATTATACATTCCAATGCTACGCAATAATGAAAATGCATTTAAACAATGTTTTTCTCATTAAATAAAAAAAATGCTGAGACTTGCATAAAAAAATGAAACGGAATGAGAAATATAAACACAATTCTTTGCATAATATAATCAAACTAATTCAAGATTAAGGTTAGAATAAACGAAACATGACAAACATATTTCTGCAAGGTATAAATGGTACCAATATGTTGCCGAGTTATTACATGATTATCACTTTTACCATAATCATAAACAACAACATTTTTGAGAGCAAAGTTATGTTATAAACGTTTCAAAATTTATAAATAAAGCTATTACTTATCGTCAAAAAGAATACAACGAACATACATTTTCATTAAGCATTTTTAGATTTCTTCGAGCTGGAGTTCTTTAAAATTATGACTTAAACTGATAATCCTTGAACCTCTGCTACAAAATGCATAACCCTTTTATGCTTGAATATAAAATTCAGCAACCAATGGAAGATATTTATTGCTATGCAAAACCTGTTTGATACAGATACAACATCATGTTCAATATTATCAGACATGTGTTAGAGCTAGAATGGAAACGACATTTTATAAAAGTGATTGCATTATCGACAGCAATTAGAGTAAACAAACGAACAACAATCAACGTTACCACTGATATCAACGAAACTGATGTACGGTATACCGAGGGTGATGCACCAGCCGATTATTCGCACACAGTCTAATATAGTGTCCTCCTTCGCGCCGAAAATAATCACTATGTGCCTCGGCAATTTTTTCATTCTGCTCGCAGCACGCACCAGCCATTCGACTTCTGTCCTTAGATTTTCGCCGTACCAAATCTCGATACACTTACGATGAAGGAACATGCAGCAGTTAGAAACCGCGGTAAAAACATCGCAGAAAAAATGCGTGAGTACCAGTAACGTGCGAAATACTGTGAACATAGTGTCTTCCTACGACCGTCGTTGATCTATGTAACATAATCACGCGGAAATGACAAGAAAGAGAAAATTTTCAAAACTACCCGGTGAACGTCACAAGAAAGCTCGTATACTTCGCCGCTGACTCGTCTAGCAGACAATCGTCTCACGTGCACCTACCTACACAAGATAAGTAACGTACCTACATACGCACGCACTCTTTCGTCGAGTAGAAACACTAAATTCTACGACTTCATTTACACCGTAGTTGCTGTTAGTAGTAGAACTTTTAATCACTGCGTTTTGTTTCGAATTTTAGTGTGCGTTGCGATCCAATCAAAACTGGTATTTTATTCCGAATAACTATTACGAAAAACCAAAATTTTCAAGCATATCGATTACGATTTTGGTTTCCCAGAAGCATCAGAAGTAGTGACTCGAACTATTATATCAGTTCAATAACTGTTACTTTTTCGTTTCTAATACGATACTATATCTGTTCTGTAAATATTGCTTTTAAGCCTTCAACAAAATAATCTATACTAGAATGTTCTTCAATTTAGTTGTAAAAGTTTTTTGTTGTGAAATTGTAAAAGACTAACCGTCAATCAAATTTATTACCGATCAAAAAGAAATTAGGATTCGAATCACAGTATGGTATTATCTGATGCTGAAGAAAAAAATTTTCGTATGTAACTATTCGATTGATTTTATTTACGACGTGAAACCTTGAACGAAAAGGTTAGAACAGGACATTGTTATCTGGTATACCACCGAACCTGTTATTAGTTTACTCAAAACAACGAGTTTTACGTTTATCTAAATAGTAGGAGGACCATAATTGCATCACTTATGGATATTACATAGGTAATTTATCTACTTCGCTTTTCGAAAGAGGTCAAATGATAAAAGATTTTATCAGTTAAGGTGGCATGTTTACCATATAGATAAATACATATTGCCATATAATATGTATAAATAAAATAAAATGTTCCATGTTAATGTGTAGCAAGGAACAAAAAATAGTTATAATATTTACCGTTGCTTTAGAACTTAAAATATTATAATAGTGAGTGTAACAACATTCTGGAATAGTTGATTCATTAACCCATACATTTTTAAGTTAACGTCATCTAAAAAATCTTTGTTCATGCTACTATTTAATCAAACACAAAATTAAATTAAAATTATCTGTTTCAATTTTTTATAAGGGACCCAAAAAGTATTGAATTTGTCGTAAACGTAACATTTTCTGATTGGTGGAATGATATCGGTGTCTTCCAATTGGTAGAATGTGGCGTTTACAGTATCATTCCACCAATCATTTCGAAGAAAATCCGTCTGTGGATAATAATGGCAAGCAAAACTTATTTTCTCACGTATTTTCAACGATTAATAATTCATCATTCTTGAGTTTGTTTTTATTTTAGCGTAAAATAACCGTATATTGAAAACATTACTCATTTTTCTCTTTAGAATGTTTTCTAGTGATTTTCTTTTTCAAAGCCTAGTAATGTCCTTTATTCCTCTCTCTCTCTCTTCATTACGACGTTATCTATGTCTGATTCTCGCACGTGTTCCTTTTGAATTTTTCACTTATCGAAATGCATTGAATTAATGGATTACTGCCCATTAATCTAATTTTTTTGTTTTTGCTAATAACGTCACACAGTGATAGTTCTTTTCTGCATTTTTTCTTTTTTTTCTGAAAATATCGGATTTCCGCGTCTCGTTCAATTCCCGCGCAATTTTATTGCAAGCAATGCGATATGTGAATCATAATTTTCTTCTCCATGACCGCTAATTTATACGACCGAACTTCTTTCAAGAAATTTGGAAAAGGAATAAGAATTTTTCAGGTATCTGGCTTTATTTCACAAACATCAAAAGTAGTATAAATGGATAATCTTCAATTGTTGTAATAAATACGTTAATCTATTGTGAAGTCAAAAGAAGCACCATCTAACGTTGCAATCGTGCTACACTGAAAGTTGTTGAGAGTGTCTAAAGGAAAAGATGACGCATTTCATTATTTGTACGATATGAATGGTATCTGCGTCAAGTTTAATGAATTAATTCCGTTGATTGTACAAATTTGTATCAACACACAATTTTAAATATGTCACTAATGGCTAATTGATTCGTAATTTGTACGATTTTATATGTGACGAACTTGTGAAGAAATTATTCGTAACAATTGAGAAGTAATGTCGTTATCAGTGAGAATACGTACGAAGTAATTTCTTTTCTGATGGATTGTGAACATTGTGACGAATGTAGTATTTTCATAATATCGTAAACTAAACAAAAAAGTTATTGATTGACGATTAACGTTACTTAAACTGACTTCACGGTCATGTAAGTACGCCATTAATATTATCGTACAATGCACTTGTACATTTTCTTCAAACATTGTTACACTTTAATGGAACAGTATATATTTATAATTATTTTGAACGATTATGCAAATGCATAATATTTAACGACATAGTTATATTGAACAAAAATGACAGATTCTATTGATAAAGCATTGTATATGAATTCTGATGAAGAAATATTCGATACATATTTTCTTGGCTTTGAATCTTCTAATAAGAATAAAGTAAGCATGCCATTGACACCAAAAAAGCAAAGATCTAACGATATGGACATGCTTATAAATGCAACAGAACATAAATCTTGTGTTCAAAGAACACGATCCAAGTTGATTGCAAACAAGAGTCAATTAACGAATAAAAACAGTATTGTAGATTCATTATACAAGTTATGTAAGCCAGTATCTATAAGACTTACAAAATTATCCGAGTCAGAAATAATGAAAGCCTGTAATCCAAGTTTGTCTAAAAAATGTTCAAGTGAAATTCATAATAGACATAAACATGAATGGAAGAAGAAAGAGAATGTCTTGAGAGCAAGAAGAAAAAATACTTGCTATAATCAGATGTCAAATCCATGTGGCTCGAATAATAATGTTCGGGCTCAAATTGTAGCAGTTAATAAGAGACAGACATTTAGTAGACATAAACGACATACGACGAATATATTGAAAAGCATTAGACAGCCACAGATAAGACTACATAAAATAGACAGGGTGATTGATAAAATAACAAAGTCACTTGCAAACACAACTTCGAATAAAGTATTCATTGCAAATGATCAGACACAACAGTTATCATTATGTAACAATAGGGATACAAATCCTAAAAACGAGACAACCGAAAGTTCAATACTCAACCCATGTTTATGCAAAGACACGCAAACCAGTCATCAGATCCAGGACAATAGTAATAAAGTGCACAAGATTAATGATAAGCAGACATTGAAACGTAAACCTGAGATTGTACACGATATACATTATAATAGATGTAGCGATGAAAATGTAAATAAGGACGTATTTAACGTTACTCTAAGAAGAACAAAAAGATTCAAGTTAAATTCGTTAAAGGAGAATTTGGACACTTTTGTATCCACTGAAGAGCATGAATCGATTAGCAAATCACAGGAAAGTATCAACAAGTTACAGACGGAATCGAACCAAAAAGAGAATGTTCCCAACAAATCAAATAACTTTTTAAGCAATCAAGCGAAGAACATTTCGGAGGATACATTCCAAGAAAATGTTCACAATGTTGCGGTTGAAAGAATGGAGGGAGATTGTGTTTCCAGGTATGTGCCTTTAGAGATAGATTTTGTACATACCACAGAAAATAATGTTTATTCAAAATTGCAAGAAAACAATACTGTAAATGAGGAAGTACCAATACTAGAAAGCAATGAAATCCAAAATCAAGAGTATCAACTATGTACTTCGTACAAAGATTTAATACAAAAATACAAATTATTCACAGACTTAAAGGTCTGTTTGATAAAATTTGATTTTCTGGAAACTTCGTTTAATAATAAATACTCAGTCACAGAAATTGAGCAATTAATGAAAAAATATATTAAGTCTTTAGTTTTTAAGAATTCTAATGTTGTACATACAACTGAACGACCTTTATTGTTTGACTCGATCGAGTTTGAAGATTTTATCATTAAATCTGAAAAACCTGATGATTTTAGTGTAACTGAAAGTATTGCACCTGTACCAGTTAGTGCAAATAATTGTCAGAATGAAAGTGGCTCGATCACCGAAGATTCAAATTTAAATAATAAGATGGAAGCACAGCAGGATAGATGTCCAAAAAATCAAAGTGTTTCCAAAAATCATACAACATCCTGCAAAGATGTTCTTTCCGAAGAAGAATATTCTACAAACGCATCGTCTTCTCCAGCAAATATTTCTACCAAAGGACCTGAAACTTCTACTCTGATCGAAGATGCTGTTTATACAACAACATCAGAAGGTGTATCTAATAAATATTCTTTTACAAAATCCGCTAACAAGATATTAAGTTCTTGGACAGAAAAATTACAGAACACATGGTCTCGCAATGATAAGTTTGAAAAATTACTTAGCACTGTTAGACTTTTAGAAAATACAGATGTCAATAAACCGAAATTTGGCATTGGCAAAATTAGCGCTTTTAGAGATGATAGCTTTATTTCAGGAAATAAGATCTCTCGATCTAAATTGCATTCTAAAAGTATGAGTTCCGCGAATTACGAAATGAATCTGAACGAAAAAACTAATTCCACTAAAATTTTTCCAAGAAAGTGCAGGGAATTTATAGACAAGGCAGATAATGATAAAAACAATATATTTTCTGGTATGTATAAATGCATATTTTGCGATAAAAATTTTAAAAAGTATCCTGTTCTGCAACAACATCTATCTGAACATACACCAAAACAGAAAACCATTTCCGCTGGAAAACCAAAAGAAACAGAATTATTGCACTCTTCTAAAATTACTCCGCAAGTGGTATCAGCGATTAGTAAAAATAAACATAAGAAAAGGTTACAGTGGAGGAAACTTAAATCTTTGAAGGAGACGAACGAGTGTGAGGATACTGTTTGTACTATTTGTTTGCAGAAATTTGCATCAAGAGCTGCATTGGCAGCTCACATTTATACGCATACAGAGAGCGAACTGCAAGAAGCGTATAAAGTTCAGAAAGAAAAACTGGAAAAATTACAAGAAAAGCAAGAGGATAAAAATGGTAGAGAATCAGCTATCGCGAAAGAGAAGAAAACTAGAAACAACGCAAATGGTAGCATTAAAAGATGCTCAAAAATTGAGAACAAAAAGGATAAGAATTGTTCAGAATTGTCGGTTAAATATGTGCAAGATAGTTCGGTAACGGCACATTCGGAGAATAAAATTCTCGAGCCAGAAAAGCTAACTGATAAGGATGAAACGAGCGAACCGATCATCTTAATTGAAAATGAATCGAGAACAGTTCAGACGTTTCCTCTGCAAAATAAGTCGGAGAAAGAGAAAATTAATAAAGTGGCTAACGTTAAGAAGAAATTCACAGTATGCCAATGTCACAACAAATCAGAAGTTAGTTTAAGTTATTTGCAGATCGAAGTAATTCTTCTTTGTCATGTTTGCAGAGTATTATTTCGAACGCTGGAGTGTTTTGAGACACATTATCGTCTTCCCGAATACGTAGCTTGTAATAAGAACTGTGTGGACAGTGGTCGATCTCCAAACCTGTTCTGTGCTAGTTGCGGTATGTCTTGCAGTTCGGCCGAAGACGTGCGCAATCATCTAGAAACACACTTTCGTTTTAAGCAAAATTGTACGATGGACTTTCGATGCAACATTTGCAAGGTTATGTTCATCGGAGTTGGATCCCTTTTTTATACCCATTGGTCAAAACATGCAAAGGATCCATTTTGGATAGCCAGCGAACATTCGTTCCCAAAAGCTTCGGTGATACATTTGAAATCAAAGAAAGATACGTTTATTCAAGTGGCAGAAAACATCTGTTGCAAATGTAGGTTACCTTTTATTACCGAAAGTGATTTAAAGGAACATGAACTGGTATGCAAGATACTTAACTCGATTACGAATACGTGTACTGTACAGAAGCAACCAACGTTACGCTTGATTTGTAGTTTATGCGGTGGTATTTATTTTGATAAGGTAGAATTATATAAACACATGAGAACCAAACACAAGTTTGGCTTCACGCCTCAATTCATATGTCTGACTGTCGCGATGTCAAAGAAAATATACATTTGCAGTATTTGTATGGAAGCAAACAACAATATGAACAATTTCGAAGAACATTGGGTTGTACATAATACGAATCACCCATATTTCCTTTGTACGTATTGCGAAACGAATTTTAATACTTTGGACTCTTACCTAGAACACGCCAAAGGACACGAATCCAAAATGAAAGAAGACATGCTCTCTTGTAGAATAAACTATCGGAAATGCGAATTTATTTGCGAACCCTGTATTATTGGTTTCGGGTCTAAAAAAAGCTTGACCGATCACCAGCAAGCTCATAAAGTATCGCGTCAGTCAATGAAACCTATGAATAACGAGACATTAGGTCAGAGAAGTTCTGCATCGACTCCAGAAACAAACAATGTTTCTAATGAAAAGGAAGAAGAGAAATCTAAGAAGAATGAAGTAAACGTAGTTGCTGAGAAATCCAGCAGAGATATCGATAAGGAAAGATTAGTTAATATATTGGAAGGAAACGAAGAGGATTCCGAGAATGAACTAATAATAGACTTGACGGACAATTCAACAGAAGTTTGTGACAAATTGACGAGGAAAGACAAAACGAAAGAAAAACAAATTGCGTCTACTCCTGCATTAAACGTGTTATCCGATCCGCGAACATGTATGATTTCTAAAGATACCGAAGTTGGTGCATTAGTTAAAAACACAGTAAAGCAGAAACCTTTGCAGAATGTTGTAACAACTTCAGCAGTCTCCGACCAAGTAACCCAGAGCTTAACAAACGTGACAGGTGTTTTACCTTCCAAAGATACAGTAACTTCAACATCTTCACAGAACATTGCTTCGAATCAGAAAACATCCGAAAGTAATGCTCAAGTAAACGATACCAATAATTTACAATCTGTTACACCGGTGAACAAAGATAGTTCGTTAACGACGGATGCTCCCTTAAAACCAAAGCAAGGTCTCTTACGCGTGAAAACTATCGCGGAACTTACAGAGAAAACAAATCCTATATATTCGTGTTACTCTTGTAATTGTTCTTTTAAATGTTCCGACGATATTATGCAACATTTGATCATGCACGCGACCCAAAGTCAACAAATCGAACAGAAGAAAGCTAGGAAAAGCAATCCAATTCCTTTGCAAATAGTAAACGAACCAGGCGGAACCAGTAACTTGGTTAAAATTGCATCGACGCATCAAAATCGTCCAGTTTATCAAATACCAGTAACCAGCGCCCTGGAATCTACAAAATCTCACAACGCAACAATAATCGAGAACCAACAGTTGCAATTGCAATCGAACACGAATCGAAAGGAATATTCGCACTCTTCTGTGCAAACTTTGCCACCGGCGTATCATAAAAACTTACCACCTTGTAACATTGTCCAAAGAATGGTCGTACCGCGGTCTTCGATTCAGAAGAAAGGAGTTACCATAAGAGCAGTAACACAAATACCGCCTTCGGCAACTTGTTCCGACATTCAATATCAAAACAGTCAGAAGCACCAAGAAACATCCAGAAGCAAACCTAATTTAAACTCGACTACCTTGGCATTGCCACAGTTGCAAGCAGTGTCTATGATCACTTCAAATAATAGTAAATACCAAAACAAATGCCAAGTCCGTCCTGAATACAATGCAAACAATGTAACAAGAGTGTTTCTACATAAATCACAATTTCCTCGCAAAGAACAGCAAATGAAGAACGAGGCGGTAGTAAGTAAACGCTACGTTGGCAATCCGGTAACAACGAACAAAGTTAATTTCACGAGTAACGGGCAAACCTTGAAACAAGGTCTACTGCAACCTACTCTGAATCAGTCAAGAGCAAACACAGTTACCACAACAGTTTTACACGAAAGTCCCAGCTTTGCTACAAACGATCCGAATAACTACAATCAAATGCCTGTACAAAGCCAACAAATGGTACGTGATCGATCGGTAGTGGAAAATACTACCACTTCTCAACAGTATAAAAATTCCACGTCTGGCGGAGTGTTGATAGTTCAAACTGCACCTTCTATATCAAATATATCAACGATCAATGTATTGCAGCAACAAGTACAACAACATCAACAACAACAACAACAAACATATCAACCAGTGGTTTATAATAATTCTATAGTAACTATGGATCCATACATGCAACAATCGCAGGTATATTGGATGATGCAAACCAGTGTTTCTCAAACTTTACCTTATACAGACCTCCAACTTGAAAACTACTATTGGCAACTTAACTAGAGTGTTGCATAGAAATTGAAATTTTATCGCGCTTTAGGTGCGAAGATCATTTTATGTTTAACGCAGAATCTGAAAATGAGACTCGCACCAGGAACGGGTGATATCTCTTGAATCTAAGTTTGACGTAATTGAGTTATTTCAAACACGTCATCGATGAACGCAGGACACGACAGTTAAAAATTAAACAAAGCCGACCCCACAATATTGGGTTTTACAATCAGAAAATATATGGATTCTCGCCAAAAAGGCAAAATAGGGATATTATATAATGTCAGTTTTTTTTTTCAATTTTATAAGAATGAATTTCAGTTTGAGAAACATTGGCGTAAGCAATTGCACTTAATCAAATTACTCGTTTCATTTAACATTGATATATTATTCTGTATTTACAGAGCGTAATTAATTATACCGGATCGAACAATTACGAGGTGGTGTCTAATCGGTATGTGGCTCCAACTGACGAAGACATTGTAATCTATGACGCTAGGGAACAACTTTCAAGGCAGTTGATTTGTTCTTATTGCCCTACACCTGTTTCCTTTGTTTCTAAAGAATCGTTTAATCTACATATAAATCAGTACCATAAAATTGTATGCGATATTTGTGGTGTGACTTTGTATAGCTTCAACGAACTGAATATTCATAGATCTAAACATCAGTTTATCTAAGAGACGCATAAATTGTAGAGTATAGAAACAGATTGCGATAGAACCGATATACAGTGCTTCCGCGTTAAATGTGCGTTACTCGGGACCGAAGAGGTACATTTATCGGAAGGGCACAACGTTCTTCGTGTTTTGCTGCTCGTGCTGCGGGGCTGAATCCAAAAAGAGATTATCGTTAGGAATCTTATTTTTATCTGTTTTTATTGGAGCTCGTAAGGTGAAAATTTTGTCTGTTAAATGTCCCATAACTTATGTTTTAAATAGAACTTGTTTAAAAGTTTCAGACTTTTCGAACGCGACTTTATTGCGCAGACGCGAACGAGAGTGGATGTGGTGGGAGTAGTTGGACGATAGAGGGAGCAGCGCGTGGCGCATTAGTCCGACAGCTCTGCAGCGGTAAGGTTGTGTCGATGAGGTGTGCGAGGTGTGTGTGAAAATGGTTCAGGCTCGTCTTATTTTAAAGGTAAATAAAGAATTATTGCTATTTGCCTTATACGGAAATACAATACTTGCGGAGAACTGAAAATTTACCATACTTTCATAACCGCGGCACTTCGGTCCCGAGTTTCGTTCAATTGTTCAATCATTGCTGTATAGTCGTACCCTGATTTAAATTTTCGCGGCTTAGTAGCGACACACTAGACATTTGTTCGAATAATCAGATTCTTATTCACGTGCTTCGTTGTATATATATTTAACTATAATTATAACTATACGCTAAACTTTAGCTCCCTAGTCGCTTTTACTATGGAAAACCTATTTACCTCGTGTGAAATGTTTATCTCAACTTAAGTTAGCTATTCTGGAACTATTTAGTACGTAAATTCGGGGTACGACTGTACTTGAAAAGAAGAAACGTTTCAAATTGGTATGTTTTAACAGAAATTGCTCTGCTCTTTAAATACGGTTCTCGTCTCCAACCGAATGCGATTCAAAAAGTTAACTTTAATATTAACGTATTCATATATGAACATAGTTACGTATTCATAAGCGCCATATACACGAATAATGTAGTTCATGTAGTTATTTGGATAGAATCTCTTATACGGGTTGTTCAGTAATTCGTGTAAATACTCGAGTAGTTGAATCTAAAGTAACTAAGTGTGATATTGTTTATAGATTCAGCTCTTTAAGTATTTGCATGTATTTATAAAATACCTTGTATATCCTGCTATGTTTCTACGCAAGAGAACCACGATAGAAATTTGTATAAACTTGTGGCCTATTTGACCTTGTTTTTAAGTTGTTCATTGAATCTTGTATTTTAATTCTTTAAATGCTTCCTGTGAACATCGGAGTACTAGGTGATAGATTATTGACAAATAGAAGATGAGACAGCCACTGGTAGGACGTCTTCAGGCTTACGTTTAGATGCAAGGTGGTCATTGAAAACCCATTGTGAAGGTAAATAGGTACAATGTGTTCAAGAAGAAACTAGCTATAGCATTTGTTACTTTTTTTTTTTTTTTTTTTGTAGAACCTTCTCTGTTACGATATATCGAATGAAGTGTGTTTTGCATACGTATGATGTGCGTGTGTGATTATCGTTTACATTACGAATTAAGTAATATAATAAGTAACGTATGCAATAATTTTTGTACATATTTAGTAAGAAAAAGTCACACGACCTGGGTGGTCTCTCTGTTTGTTTAATCGTCGATTCTCTTTTACTGTTTCTATTTTAAGATAATTTTAGTTACGCAAAGAGTAATTTTTTAAATTCGTTTGAAACGTTTTCCTGAATTTACGAAACCCATTGGTATTGCCTATGTTTGTTTTAAAACATATTTAATGAGTAATCGAACAATAAATAGGACGTGTAAATAGTATGCGTTGATCGAAAACGAAGTACTGTTGCGTAATATCTGCGATGGATATTTTTGTATTATACTAAAGTGTTCGTACAGTGATTGTTATCATGTTCACTCATTAACTTGTATCTGTCAGCACTCGATAGGCTGTCTTGCGCGATCAAACCGTTCAAAGAATTTCGCAACAGACTACGACACTCAAAAGTATTCCTGCTAAGATTTTATACAAACCATGTGTCTATTGTTTATGTTCCCATTTTAATTATAAGTAACAATTATTTGCATTATCTTATATGCGATTTTAAAATCTTTCAGAATTCAATTAACACGTTAAACGACGTACTGGACATATACAGGTTTTTCACTCCAAATTGCCTTTTTATCTTTTATCTTAATTTTATATTATGTTTTGTCTAAGTATTACTACATACATGAAATACAATTTTTATTAAGAATAATAATAATTTTACATTGAATTTTATATTAGGATAGCTTAAAGAAACAAATTTTTATAAAAAAATTTGGATTAATTTAAAGAAAAAAACCTGTACTATTAAAAAATATGTTAACGCTATATATTGATTTTATTGAAACATTTTCTGTACTCCCACATGCTTAAGTAGAACGTGTAACAAAATTATGTCGGTGTTTTACGTGTCAATAATCGTTTAATTAGCTGAGAACCGATGTTACTGAAAGTATCCTATATGCGAAGCTCTGGGACTTTGCAAGATTAAATGTTTCCTTTATATACTGAATTATATAAATGAATAAATATTTATCAACACCATTTCTCTGCGTTTTTAGTCTTAAGTGGAGCTGAGTCGAAACGTAATATTTAAACACATACTTTTTCCTTGTGTTCCTAAAAGTTATCAATAGTGACATTTTGAAATTTGAAAGGGTTAATAGAGCGTAGAATATTATTTTCTTCTTCTTCTTTATTTATTGCTCAGCCATTATCGACGATAATGGAGACAGGGAAAAAACAACTTCTCCCTTAATTTTCATATAATAAATCGGCAATTAAAAAATTCAGCCGCCAGGTTTTATTCGTAATTAAATGAAATGCCAATAACAATAAATATTTACGATACACGTGTACGCTTGTCTCTTTTATTCGGCACTTTGAGCGTTTTATCATTTTTTTTATATTTTTTTCTTTTTTTTTACAGTGATTGCCGTCTCGATGAGAAATACATTCAATAATCGTGACGATCGTTACGAGCGACGAGAAGAAATGGACTTTGTTAAGATTAGACGTCGTTCTTTCCGGTATATTCGTTGCTCGTAATGGTCGCGCGAATGGGACGAAATGTTTTCGACGCGTATTATCAAAAACATCGATTAGAATTTCACACAACGCTCGCGTTATCGGACGAAAATCGATTGTTCACGACGTCGTAGAATATTGCTAGAGAAAGATCGCGTGACTTTGTAGATACCCAACGTATAAAACCCGAACGACGACGCGAAATATTCGATTTTGTCCGTAATGCGTATTAGCGTTTCAAGCCCCATATTTGTTAGAATAACGCGACGCCAAGGGCTAGACGATTGTTAGAAAAATTAAAAACTTGTAACTCTATGCGACTCGCGGAACATCCGATCCAAATTAAATCGTAAACTCTTTGTAAACGGATATCGGGACCATTAGTTTCGGTGAAAAAGTTGTGTTTTTGATAGGTCGTTGACATTTAAGAAAATATCGACGATAATATTTTGTACATTGATACGAAGAATCGTTAAAAAGAGAGAGTAAAACCTCTAGGTACTATGGATCGTATGGACCCACGGTTAAATATTTCTCGTCTACCATCGTAAACATGTGTACGCCCCTATAATTTTCGACGTTTCTTTCGGATCACCCTGTATCGAATAACGTCGTCTTCAAAGAGCGAACGGATTCGTGTAAAAATGAAAATACAGTCTCCCGATGAAACGGACGAGAGTGTTTACGACACGTTCTAGTATTGGATTATTCTAAGTCTGCAATTGTCAATTATAATTATTAGCGACTAGACGTGATCCAAGTGTTGAACTTTACGCATACTGTACAATCAATGGCGGATCTAGAAGAGCTCAAACTAAGAGGGGATACAAAATAGATTTCACGGATTCGAATTTCCCATGTTTAGAAATTAGAAATAAAAATATATAAAAGTTTTCGTGATTATTCAACGATGGTATATCCCTATTTGTTTTTTTATGAATAAAAAGGGGCTAAAACTCTTACGCTTAAGACCTCCCCCTTGCATCCGCCATTGCGTACAACCCCGTGTGAGCGATCGAACAACGCACTTGTAAATGATTTTTATAGTTTCGAATGAATGGCGGACGTAAAATATTTGCCAGGAAACGAATCTTTGTGTTTTTATTCAACGAATGGATCAATTTACTGTAAAAAAGAAAATTTGTCACGGTTCTAATCGTACTCCTAACAATGCGGATAGCTTTTAGGAACATAAGGAAAAACTAAGCGTTTAGATTGATCGTTGCGTTGTTCGATTGACTATCGTTTAACTATGCTCGTCGTGGGTTGTATTCGATTAATCTTATCCGTAATGAACGGTCCTTAAGTTAAAGTAAGCCTACACAATCGCTCCGCGCATTCCTGTCGCGAACTTATAATACATTTCTCGTTTATCCTATAATTTGGCACGTGATTCACGTAACACAATTCACCATTGTGTCTTAACTCGAAGAACGAAAGTTTCTCGTACTCGTTACAAATGCAGTACGCGATACATGTACAAAGCTGCAACTTTATTGGAATTTACTTGCTTAGAAACGAAAAGAAAGATGGCTACTCGTGGTCGCGACTATGTATTCGCGCGAAATAGAACGGAATATGCCAATTGATCTACGGTCGAATGAAACTGTAAACTTTTCACTTTTAAATTAAGTTTGTACATTAACACTTTCATTTTGCCATTAAAGTTCAATTTTAACAGTTATTTTATGTTTGATCGCTACTATACAGAGTATTCGACCACCACTGGGAAAAATTTTAATGGCCAAATTCTAGAGGCCAAAATTTTTATGTTAGCCTCTGGAATCTCTCATTAAAATTTTCCCCAGGGGTGGTTGAACACCCTTGTATACTTGGAAAAAGGTGTCCGTATGTTTCTACAGTCTCTCATTAAAAAATTAATATCTCAAAAGAACGAAGTCTTCGTTATAACTCGGAAAAAAATCACGCTTGTAGATTAGTTCGTAAATGGTGCATCGTATCCACGAAGATTCTTTCGTATAAAGTGTACGAGTCGCAAAATACATAGTCGGAACAATGTACTATAATTAATCCTACCTTATCGGTTAAGTATCACTATGAAAGTCCGTAGCGGCCATTCACGAGGCTTGCCCTCCAGGAAACGATTGCTACGTCTCGAATCCTTTTCGTAAGTGTTAACAATACTGATATAGGTCTTCGACGTTTGTCTCGCGATTACAATTGTTTTTATAATTATTATTCGTACAAAATTTGTGGAAAAATCGACGTCCTGGACGCGTGGAGTCGACCACCGATCGCGAAAAGATAAAGACACGGGGACTAAGAAAAATCGGGCACGTTTCGAACATCTACGCATAGTAGTGCCTCGCTTATTAATCGTTCTCATCGCTGTTTACAAATTGGACAAATTTTTCATTCGTATCTTAGCGTTCGCCAACAAATTTTTCAAATTGAAATGATTTGATCGTAAATAGCGAGGCAGTACCGCAATTTCTTTTTTTTTTACACTTCATAAAAAGAAAATTACACGATTCTTGATTATTCTCGGAAGTATGTACAACGTGTTCGATGTAAGTTGAACGAAGAAGGCGCGAGGTGAAATTATTGCACGGGAATTAATTATGTTGGAAGTCCACTTTGTACGATTTCGTTGATCCAGTCGATCGAGATCCACGATTAAATTATTTCACATAACGGGTGTCGAGAGACGGACAAACTTAGGAATATATTCGTGTAATTGATATTTTTGTTTGTTGTTGGAAATTTTGCAAATATTTCTAATGGACATTGTAAATGTAAACTGTTTATTTACACCTCGACTCGTGGATCGAGCGATCGACCGGATGCGTGGGCGTCCATTTACGCTAAGAAAAATCTTTATCCGGTGGTATTTGAGCCGACGGAGGTACCAGCGATTTTATTGTTTCTCGCTATCGTTACACCGATTAATTTCGAGACCTCCGTATATACGTAACTACGTTTACAGTAACCCTACAGACTAGACGTATTATCGGTGGAAAAATATCGTATTTTGTTGTCGGAATATCATAATTTAGCACGTAATACATTGGACGTTCTATATCCAGCAGCTTAACCCTATCCTCGCGAGTACGAGAAAGTAGGTTGAGCGACGGAAACCCTTGACCCACCCTCTGACGCGTTTCCGGTCGGAAGAAACAATCAGTTTCGTTCGAGTACTTCTCTTCGATGGCAGACATTAAAATCTTACGTATTGTGTTTCAGAGTTTCGGTGGGAAGTGGAACACACGACCGAGAGATCGCAGGGAACTCGAAATCTTTCTTCTGGCCGGAAACGAAACCAAAATGGCTTCGAGTAAGCGAAGCTCGTGCTGCTGCTTTTATTTCTCACAGCTAAAACGTTGTTATCAACTCCGTATATCTTCTCTCCCTTAAACTGGACATCGGAAGTGGTGGCGTTAAACATTGCACACCATCTAATCACCTAAACTACCTCGTACATAATTACCTAATGCTTAATCGTGTCCTTTAACGGTATCGTTGACGCGTACACGACGAACTGGCCAAAGGTCCTCGATCTCTTTCGCGAATCGATCGTTCTATCTACACGGAGTCACGCGAAACGATGACGTCCGTTCGTGATTTGTACAAAAATTAATTACTTTCTGAACAGGTTATCGGTCCGAAGAAGATTGATCTAACCGGAAGAAAACAAAACGACCATCGAGGCTGTATCCATTCTACCGTGGATGCCGCATCGAATCTCTGTTTTTGATCAGGTTACTTGACTCGAAGTAGGGAGAAATTTGAGACAATTAATTTGGTAGAAGGATACAGACTTGGTCTCTCTTCTACAGAGCCTACAGGATGCACGGTTATCGAGAACCTCGGTGTAAGATTATTATTACGACTCGAAAACGCGATTTGTCGCTTATCGTTAGATCGAAATTACATTGGCAGTTTTGTGTTTCAGAACGCGATGATGGAAAATGGATTCTTCTCTCGAAAGCACTCTGAAAAATGCAACGAACAAGGATGATCCTCGAATAAAAATTCCGTGGTAATTGTACGTGTAAAAAATCAAAATTGTCCACTTTTATGTTTGTCTAATACGACGGTTTGAATAACTTGACCGAGCAAACCGAGACTGGACAAACAAACGCTGTATGTATTGTTTCACGATCACGTTAATGGCTACGAGTTTCCGATCATCCGCTAACTAAAATCTTACGCTACCTTAATCGTAAGTTTATGCAAGTTTGCCGAAAGTTTTCAGGGACAAACGCCGACCAGCTGTTTGTAATTGGACGGGCAAGTAACCGACACTGCAACTCGTACGGTTTCATGATTCCTTAGCGAGTCATTCTGCGTTTCAACAAGTTCCAATCTCCTCTAAATTTGTACACGTATGCTTAACAAGTGCTCGGAGAATGATTAATCCTTGCCCGTGGCCAAGATGGCGCCGCAAACAGAGCGACGCTCGTTCGCGATAGTCCCGAAAAGTCCCAACGATTCCTTCCTCTCCAGTGATCAGGGTTGTCGTACCAAACATAAGTAAATCTAGTACGAGATAAAAAACGGGTAGTGGTGTAATTGTGCGACGGTTAAAATGTAATAAAAAAGGGTCGGAGTTGTAACTGATCAGGCGGGATTCGATTGTCCTCGGTTCATGGTCCTCGAACGTTGTCCTGTTGTTCTCAAAACCTACTGACCGCTTCGTCGTCGGTCACGAAGTAGTTCGAACTCTTCACGGCCGAGCTGTACATGTTGTACGTGGGACTGCAAACGACCAAACCGGTCGTGCAACCGCCGAGCTCTTTCTCGTTGGTCACGGAACCGTGACGGGCGATCGTCGATGTCCTTCTATCCTTCTTCGCGAGTGTCATGCGACAGTCCTCGGGACGCAGCGGCATCGAGGGATAGGTTGGCTGCCTGGCCAATGTCGTCAGGGCTCGGTCACCCGTGTCGTTGAAGCTGCGCAAACGTTTGAAAGCAAAATCGGAGAGAGTGTTCGTAGAGTCGCTAACGAGGCCAGGAAACCTCTAGGTTCTAATCCATCAGGTGAACGGAATAGAATATGCTACCAAAGTGGGACCATTTGCTTTGGTACCGGCTTCTTCTCGAGCAAAACCGTTTATTGACGTAGCCAATTTGTTTATTATAGATACCTGTGGTGCCTGACGATGCCTCTCTTTATTCTACAGTGCTCGTTTCCACCCTGACCCTCCAGCGCCGTCCCGTGGGTCTTGCAGGCCTCCACCCCCATGGGAACGGGGGATAGCGAGCCAGGCCCGTAGGAACCGCTGCTCTGTCTCCTGTCCAAAATGTGAACGAGCTCCACCGACGGTGTCGGCGAGAACGTGCCCTACGGACACGGTAATGGAACAAACGTGGTTCCCCGTTACCACGGAACTACGTCACCATTTGCTGACAAACGAAATACAAACGCGCAAAACGGTAACGAAAAATAGGCAGGAACAGTGTTGCCAAGGGCATCCACCGTGGGTCAGGAAGTTGACAAACTTAAAAAAAACATCGTTTACTAGCACAGTTTAATAAAACAACGGTACAAACAAAGGTAACAGGATGGATACAAAATCATAAAGAATCAAAATTTTCTGTGTAAATAAAACTATTCGTTGTACTGTTCTTAGAAGAAAACCCTGAAAGGAATACGCCTTAGCGACGCTCACGGCTTTTATGCGTTACATGTTGGGTAAATATTGTCTCAAATAACGAATAGAATTCGAGCCAGAGTCGCTAAGACGGTCCATCGTCCGAGGGTTGCAGAATAATCGTTCATTTTGTTTTTAAACGTTACAGACACGTCACGTCCGGCTCGCTCACCTGCAACGACGGTCTCCGCAGTGTCCCACCTTCCATACCAACCAACTTGACGCCCTTGACGTTCTTCTTTACCCCGATGGTGGTCAGCATGCTGTCCGGGGCGTTTTGGAACTCGGCGTTGCTCCTCTCCACGATGCCGATCCTGTCGATTTCCCTGGTCTTCTCGACGCCCATCGGTACGTCGGTGGTCCTGGTGTAATGAGGACCCGGAGTGAGAGGGACAGCCACCGTGGAGCTCAACGGAACGGCGGTCATGGCCACGTTGTTGCCTGTGGCGACGACTGGCCGATCGGTAGGCAACATCATCGAGCCACGCAGGTTTCGAACGCCGAGAATTTGCCCCCGGGCCATCTCGTTGCTCTGTAACTGGGTGTAGTGAGTCGGCGTGGGAATGGGTCTGATGCTCATGGGCCCAGGATGCATCGAGTTGCGAAGGGTCTGCAAATGCTGGAGGCTTTGGTTCGCCTTCTGAACGGCGGACCCGACGTTGTTCATCCTCGTCATCTCTTTGTCGTAAGGATCGCCGCCTACGGTCCCGGTGTCCCCGCGATCGGTCATGTCCTCGACCGAGTTCGTGGTCGTACGGTCGTCCTCGTAGCTCCCGGGACCGACGCCGTCGCAGGAATCCATTCCTGAGGTCGATTTCTGAGGAACGATAACGTGTAAAGAATGTTTTAAAAGTTCACAGTAATAACAACGGTTCGAAATTTCTATCCAGGTAACAATTTTGACCATCTCTGGTATCTCGAGGTATCGTTAAAAATGGCGGCTCACATTGACGGAAGAAGTTTCCATCAGAGCAGCACCCGAGCTGCTTTGCACGACCCCCGATTGGTCCTTGGATTTCCCAGGCGAGTAAACACTGAGGACGTCGCAGCATCGAGGAAAGTAGCCCTTCCCGAGAAGATTTCTGGTAAAAAAACTGGTGATCAGCTGCGTGAACAGAGCCGCCAACATGGCGCCCGTGCGAAACGGAAACTTTTGTGTCTGCGTTTCCGTGTCGTAGAACGGGTACTCGATCAATGCTGGCACGCCTAAACCCTTTTCTCCTCCTGGAACAACCGAGTTATTAATTGTCATCAAATTATATTAAAATGTTCGTTTTTCTTACCGCAGAGGCGCAAGACAACGGCCACGAAGTATCCGGCGAGGCAGCCATAAGTGTCGACCAGAGATGGCCAGTGGATCACCGTTAACAGTTGTGGGAAGAGCACCACGTAAATAAGATCGGAGCACAAGTACCTGAAACGAACGAAATCGTGTTAATTGGTGGTGTTGAACAATAATAGTTGGAAACTTGCAAGAACTCACGACAGATAATAAACGCTGTCCACCGTGAGCGCGATTGCGGTTGATAGACCCGTGAACACGATCACAGAGATCCTGAGTATCCAGCCCAGTTCCCGTTCGGTCGCCTGAAACGCAACACGACCAGGAAAGAACAACGATCTCGTTAAATTCCTTTCAATGGATGTTCCTGGCACTCACCTTCGGTCTCAAACTGAGTCTGTAGACGTTCCTGGAAAACATAGAACTACTGGCCAATATACCCGAATCTGCTGACGACATCACCGCGGCGGAAATTGCTCCCAGACCTGACAATCGATCGCGAAATACAAAAGGTGATTAGATTATTATTGTTATTGTCATTGTAAATATATTAGTAAGAGGTTTGACCCTTTGCACTCCGAATTGTATTTCAATTTTGTTACCAGCAGCTCCCCAACGCCTTTAAGTGTTTTATTTGAAATTTACCTGTTAAAATATCTGTTTTATTTACACTGTTGTTGTGTTTTGTAATTTTCAAGTGTACGGATATCTCTTTGGTATGGACATGAAACAATGTCGAGTGCATAGGGTTAACGACATGCTTGATAATCCCTGAAATATTTTTAAAAAAGAATCAACTTATACAGAGAATGGTAAATGCTGGGTGTCACGGGTCACTAAGAATTCTGCGTTCGTTCGTGGGGCTCATTCACTCTTCTCCACGCGCATATGCGTCTCGAGCTTTGCTCTTTACAGTCACTCGACCTGGTTTTTCAAACAATCTAAAATACAAGGTGCGGTGTAATTCATGGTAGAACGCGGAAAGAGGATGATTGTTCGCGACGGAATGCGCTGAATTACTTTTGTAATCGCGATGGAACAGTCCGCGGAGAACCATAGTGACCGGGACGTAGCAATGTTAAACAATTATTCTTATTTGCCGAACGACAAGGGTTGATACAAGAGGAGAATGTATAGAAATATTTTAATCGCGAAACGAGCCATTTTAGGGATGCAACTCACCCACGAAGGAGACCCATTGAGGTGTCAGGTATCGAAGAACCATCGGTAACGCCGCGTTTCCATCGTTCACCAGCAAACTCATGTTAAATCCTTCGATCAACGACCAGTCCGTAGCACGGGCCACCACGCCAATTAACGCCGACGGGAAAGCAAGGATTATGCATCCGAACATCGACGCTATTGAGAGCGTCGTGGCGACCGACGTGCTCCTCATGCTTAAGATTCGTTGAAAATAGCTCTGAAAACAACATGTAGCCATAAATAAATAATGGCTCCAACGATTATTCTTTGAATAATTTATTTAAAACTTTACAATTTTAATCGAACAATGATTATAAATAATCTGACAATAATCTTTTTTCAGGCGTGCAATTGAGAAGCAAAGAATAATTGCGATGGCATCCGGTATACATTGTGCAACATCGAAATCATCCATGAACGTTCGATACCTGCCAAGAGATTCCACCGAATACCAGCAACAGCATTCCATCCACCCATTCGCCCAGGTCTTCGTTCCTTATTTCCCCCAACCATTCGCCCGGCGCTAAATTCTTCTCGAAGGAAACCGCGGGATGCAGAAGAGAGAACGGAGCAGCCACCCCTAAGCCGATTACGATGCAGGCCAACTGCAAAGCATCCGTGCACGCGACTGAATATAATCCACCGAACATAGTGTACCTGCAATTGAGGCGACACTGAACCCATTCGCCTTGGAATTTCAAACCAAACTGTACGTACACGCTATACGGTATTATAGCAAATGGAGGAAAAAATTAGTTCTCGCGTCGATTGTGCAGGCTTTGACTGCTCGAATAATTCGTAAATCAGAGTTAGAGTCCGCTGAACAGGTGTTAAACCAACGTCCAACTTTTAACCCTCTGCACCCCGAATTATATTTAAATCTTGTTACCAGATGCTCCCAATGCTTTTAAGTGTTTTATTTGAAATTTAAGTGTATATCTCTTTGGTTTGGACTTGAAAAAATGTCGAGTCACATTCGACATAGGAGTGCAGAGGGTTAAGCAAACGTTCGAAAGTTGGTCCAAGCAGGAATTTAAAATTCTCGAATAAAATTTGTACTCACACGCCCGCCAACAGCGCGGACGCACAGACGCTGACGTTCGGATCGACGCCGGCGACGACGGCCAACGAGCTGCCCAGGGCCCTCAAAATGGCCGCGCACCAAAACAGATCGCCGCAGAGCGTCGGAAGGAACAGCAAGCCGCCCACACCGGCGCCGTATCTTTCTTGAAACGGATCCAACATGGTCACGTGCTCGGCCTTCCTCATTGGCCGCACGAACAGCACAGCACCTACGATTCACGTTTAAAATCGCTGCTGAAAGGACGACCTTTCGACACCCTCGAACCCTTTAATCGCCACGCTCTCCTGGAGGAATTATTCGAATGGAAATAATATCCAAAAAACAGCCTTCCGCTGTTAATTATACAGAGTTTTCCGTTCTTGGTAATACCTCGTGAAAAAAATAATTTACGCGCTGCTGAGAATCGTCCCCTCGACTTGACCTAATACTATTATTCTTGGCTGTCGGTCCTAGACACCGCGTCAGCGTCAGCTGCTTGCAGACGCGGCACGAGAGCAATTTCGATCGATTTCGATCGTATCGCGGGTGGCTGCCTTCGGAGAAACGTTGTTCGCGTATTTAGATGCGCGCTGGTTAGAAAAATAAAGTAAAGGCCTCGATCGAGGTCTGGAAGGACGGGATATATTTATCTCGCGATGTCCTCGGCCTTGACAATTTCAAAGCGTCCGTGTCTTGATCGATTTGTCACCGTGGTCCCCTTTGCACCCTCCAGGTGCGTGGCAGTTAAAGGGTTAAGGTTACACCAGACGCTAATGCGTGTTCCGATGGTCTACCGATGGCGTACCGAACAGCAGGCTGAGGCTGTAACCGAAGGGCACTTGACACCAGGCCAATCCTCTCGTGAACATGACTTCCGCGGTCCCGTTCACGTAGGCGCCGCCTACCCACGTGGCTTCGCATGAAAAGCACGGTGGTTTTTTCGATTAGTGCTTCGATCGAGCGAGACGATCGCTCTTTCGAGGGAAAATGTTACGCGCGGGTCGAGGCCGGTGATCTGGAAACGCTTCGTGAATTATCAGTGGACAAAGGTCGAGCAGCCGATGGCTGGGACAGTGTATTGGGGAAAAACATTGGGTTTTTTCTTCTTTTTTTTTTATGGGTCATATAAAGGATCTTTCAATCTTCATCAACGATTTTGATCTGCAATTTGAACTGCAGATTATTTATGTGTATCTAGACACAGCGTCATTCCGTCCCGGCCATTGGTTGTTTGAATAATGAAGAAATAAATGAAACGAAAGAGATATTTATGTTAGCTATTGGACACAAGTATCAGGATAATATTTGCAAAATTTCAACTCGATCCAACAGTGTTACTTGTGTCTAATATCTATTAAGATGTTATCTTCGAAACTGAACTCCAACATAAATATCTCTTTCGTTTCATTTGTTTCTTGCATGCGTTCGAACACTCGTGAGCCACTGTACGTGTATGAAAAGAGAAAAGGGAAAATGGGACGCGATAACGATCACGAAAAGCGTATCTGTAGGCGTGTCGCGGCAAAGCTTGTTTCGACGATCCCGTGGATTTTTTTCCCCAACCGCGGGGCGTCTCTAATGCTGACCGAGCGTCGCGGGTAACGCGAGTAAACGGCGAAACGCGTGCTCCGCGAACCCTTCCATCGTGGGTGGAGCCTTTCGCCCATTCAGAGTCGAGAGCAGAGAGACGCGGAGACGAGCGTCCCGTAGAATAGAGATAATTATGCCTCGGTAGCGTATTTTCCGTGCCGCGTTTTCACCGCCACCCGTTGGGGTAGGGGTTGAGACCGGGGGCGTCCATTAAGGTAATGGAGGGACGCGGAAAATGATTTTCACCGCAGAAATGGGGCACGGTTGAATCGTAAGACGAATCGTTGGGTGACGCCGCGGACGGGCACGTCCGACGGAATGAAAGCGCGTAAGCGAAAGGAATAAACGGGACAAAGGGATGACGAACTATGAATAAACGTCCGATGCGAAGGGAACGGCCGACCGAGAAATGCAATTGACGCGGCGAGACAGCGGGATTTCCCCGGTGTCCTACTGCCTGCTGGTCCGCCGATAAAAAAACACACAAAAAAAAGGGGCTGAAAGAAGAGAAGGCGTCCTGGCGGATTTTCCTCGTTAAGTTGAAACGTTCCACATCGAATTCGACGATCGTTCGCGCGGTTAACGTAATTGCGTGGTTCACAATTACGACGATCCGGGAATTGTGTTATTGTACATCGAGAGGGTGTCTGTGACTAGGATTTTTTTTGTTACGTCGATCGAGACGAAGATGGGGTGGAAATGTTTTGGAAAATATTTACCAAGAAATCTCGAGAACTTATTGTATCGTGTCATAAGTAATTGCCCGGTTCTTCAACCCTTTGCGGTCCGAATTATATTTCAATCTTGTTACCAGATGCTCCCAATGCTTTTAAGTGTTTTATTTGAAATTTACGTTAATTAAAAAATATTGTATTTTGTAATTTTTAAGTGTATATCTCTTTGGTTTGGACTTGATAAAATGTCGAGTGGGACTCGACACAGGAGTGCGGAGGGTTAAAAGAGTTACGGAACGAGTAATTAATCGAAGGAGTAAATTGATTTAAAAATCACGCTCGAACGATCCTCGTTACGTAGATCCGCAATGAGGACATTTGTTGTTTCAATAGGATGGGTAGGATTTCAGAACGATAATCTCATAATCCTGGCTGGGAATATTTGCGTTGAATCGAGTTCCTCTTTGCATGGATTAGTAGACTTATAGTTTCAGAAAGAATAATTCGATTCTGGAATCAAATTCTGATAATCCTAGCCGGAGTAGATCTATTTTAAACTCGACCCTCTCCTAATAACTGGAATATCTGAACCGTATATAGATTTATGATCGAAACTATTTCCATGGATCTTGATTCGATAAACCACGCGATTTAAACACTGATCCAGCAATGGAAAGCAATGTATTTATAAAATGAAAAATATGTAATATTTTCAATGGTGATATCAAAACTTATGCAAAAAGAAAATGCATAAATTTAAAAAACAAGTGGAAGCGCATATTGCATTTGCATAGAATGCAAATATACCTGCTTGTCCCAGTTGCTATAATCACCTAGTATAACGAAGAACGTCCGTCGAGTATCCATCCCCAATTTTGTGGAAATAAATTTTGGAAAATTTCACGGATCAACCATTAAACCGATTCTATCAATTAGTTTCTAGAGAAGCCATTTTTGGGACAGTTACTCTTGTTCAAGTTTTTCTCGCGTATAATTTAAAAAACGAAAGATTTTACCCGAAGCTGATGTTTCTTTCCGCAGTACGGTCCGCGTTTAGCGTTGTAAATGAAAAATGTGCGGAGCAAAGGGGTAAAAGGCGTTTCTTTGCTTACCAATTAGGGTGAAAACACCAAGAAGCGGGCCGAGGCCACGATTCGCTAGCATCATGGCATCCTGGCCTTGTTGATTCTTCTTCTCCTTGATGACGGCCGCCCATATGCCGACACCCAGCACAGCCACGTAAAACACGATCACGCCAACTATACCTACCACGTACACCCCCATCTTCGCGCCTTTACTTTTGTCCTCTTCTGGGATAATCGTGCGCTCCCCTGCAATTAAATCGCTTCGAACGTTATCCATAATCTCTGTGTTGCACGCTTGCAATTGCCCTTCGCCACATAAACGATACAACCGGTATAACAGAATTACAAGAGTTTGATCAAGATAAATAAAAATTAAAATGTATCTAATTTCATAAGGGAAAGCTCTAAAAAATGCTTAAGCCGTTGGCCAAGAAGATTCATTAATTAACAGGGTGGGGGGGGACGGACGACCGCTAATTGCATGCGTGTTTCGAGGCGTGCAAAGCTGGGGTGCGAGCATCTCTTCGTTCACAAAGACCCATTCAACGCTGGAATCTGTTCGACACTAATTTTCCGGCCCCCTTAATCAGTATCGACAGAACAATCCTGACACTCTTGATTGTTCTCCCTTTCAGGCCTCTTGTACCGCGGAAATGACGATTCGTTCTCGGTTACTTATCAACGAACCGGTTTCAGACTTTGACGCTTACGACAACGACAAAAGAGTTTGCAAAGATCGAAGAAAAAACAAAACTTAACGAAGAATAGAGTCAATAAAATCATTCCGTAGTATCGTCTACTTGTATCGCGTTTCTTCCTTTATGTAAATAAAAATGGGAAATAATAATGGTGAATCGAGTGGGAGGGAGATATAATAATAAAGGGACAAGACAGGAGAGGAAACTTGAAATTTAATAGTGTAGAAGGTACAGAACCATATTCATGGTAGATTCATTAAACTGTTCTGGTAGATATCTTGATTATTCAACGATTTCTACTAATATTATTCTGTTAATAATATTCTACGGCAATGGATTCGTCTTTGATATTCGTTAAAGAGTCCAACTCGAATCTTCTCTATCGACGAGCAAGAATAAATGCCAAGTTGAAAGAAATATATTCTACGGGGCGTATCGAAGTTTAACTTGTTCTGATTTTGCTTTTCACAGGCTTCTGGATGTCTTGAATAGGGTTGGTAAGAGCCCCCGGTGCTGGATAAAATACAAGAACTCAAGATTCGTCGATAAAATCATCTTATCCTGTTCGTCTAAAGGAAATAATATTGGTACGCTTCGAGGATCTATATTTGAACGTTTGCAGATTGAACAGACTTTTAAAAAGAGAATTTAATTTTCAGAATGGTGAACGGAATCCGGGAAAAAAGCTGTGTAAGCGCGTTATTGTATCGCTAGTTGGCCGATTTTCGCGATCGTCGGTGGCGCTTGAGGTATTGATCGTACGGCAGAACTGTATCCAATAAAATTCGCGCAGTTTGGTTATCGTTTTGAGGGGAAGGTTCGCGGAGAGCAAGCAACCAGGCAGTCAGGCACGGGGACACGTAGCAAAAGTTAAAGCTCGGTAAACTCGTTCGGGGCAAACGGTGGAAGAGAGCTAATCGACCGCGGTGGCAATTGCAGCATGGATTAAAATTCAAGTGTGGCCCAGATATCGGACACGTTGGGTCGTCGGGTCATGACCCGGCCGGGACGGTGTACTCACATAAAGTTCAGCCGATCCTCCGCGCTCCTCTCGCACGGCATCATTAATTCGTATCGGCGGGCTGCTCTTTTTTCGGGTATATCTGAAAACCGTACGCGAGAACGGGGAAAATTGAGAAAACCACGCGTCGGCGTTGTTCCAGTTCGCGTGACCGAGAGCGGCACACGGTCTGGGCTCTCGATGCACTCGATTTAATCGAAAGACGAAACACGAAACCCGAAACACGTACACGCGTCGACATTTTCTCTTTCTTTCCCATCACAGTTCGATATTTCCGTTCCATTTCGTGCGGCAAAGCCTTCCGTCGCCCACAAAAGCAACCGACCGAACTCCACGTTTTAGAAATCCTTATATCTCTAAACACTATTGATTTTAAATCAATTTATGGGGGCTTGAATGATAATTATTTAATTGAATAAAACTGTTCGAGGCTTCCTTCGTTTGTATATTTATTAGAAAATAATTTCTCGTCGCGGCAACGTTTACATTTCGTTGGTAATGGGAAAAATTTAGTTATTCCATCGAATACCGGTTAAATTGAATCTGAATTCGATTCCGCGGGACGGGTTCGATTCTTTTTCTTTCTCTTCCGCTATCCCCTTTCGCGAACCAATTAAAACAAGTATATCCGGCATTTACATATTCTACCCAATCAGAAACATCGCATTAGAGCTTTCGAAATACCTAAAACCAGCAATCGATAAATTTACCATTCGATGCTGCAACCAATCCGCGGAGGACGCGCGTTTTTCCCCCATTGATTGATGGAAGGAAAATTTAAAAAAATAATGCTTTTCTCCAATATTCATACCCTCGTAATTATTGTGCTCGGACGATCAATGTTTTTTAACCAGACACATTTCATACTAAAATGTTTAATTGTGAAACATTTAACAGGGTAAAGAGTAATTAGCTAGATAAATTCGAAACGATCGTAGCTACCGATTTCTTCGGAACGTAACGCTAAATAAACATTTGGAAAAGTGTCGAAACGAAAAATTCTGGAGTAACGCGGTTACCCTTAATGAGTACGCGAATCGGTCCCATCGCCGATCCGAGAACAGAGAGTGTCGTTCGTTACCCGAAATTGCTTACTAATTACGTATAACGAAAAAATAATTAACGAGCGGAAAACGAGCCCGGGCTCGAGGATAAATAGTCCGGGTAGCTCGTTACGAATTTGTTCCTGTCGAAAAACGCGAATGAATCGGCACGGATGAAAAGCGTTTTACAGAGTCTGCAGCCCCGACGCGCCCGCGGACCGGGTTCTGAAGAGATCGAGCAGAATAAAGAAACGAGACGACGAAGAAATACACGAGAGCCGGAGGTTTAAACGACTCGACCGAGGTTAGATGTTTAAGGGCTTGTCGGGGCTGCTTTCTCGCCCGGGAAATTCGTTGCTCCATTGCTTGAATATTTTCAGGTCGAGGTATAGCTGATCAAGTGATCACGGATGTTGTTACCGCGAGGCGACGAGAATAAAGGCCACGGAAGAGGGGGAAGAGACCGAATCAAGGGAGAGATTGTTTATGACACCGTGGCATAGAATGCTCTTTAAGCTCGTGAAATGGTCGAGCGGTAATCGAGTCTCTTGAAACAACCAACGCTCCGGAGATAAAAGGCTAAAAAGAGCTATCATTTTCTAGACAGATGTTTGCGACGATGTATATCGGAATTTGCTTGTTCCTCGAGGTCATGGTTTTCAGCGTGTATTTAAGGTATACGGTATAGAACGAAGGTTTAAGACTATCCTTTTATTTTCAATTATAATTAGCAACGACTCTGATTGTTCTTTCGTAAACCACAAACGGGGAATTATAATCGACTCGATCGAAAGTAGATAGTATAAAGTTATTTTATCGAATATTAGGGTGTCGTTCAAATATTTTCTCCGCCATTTCTTTCCGCTTTCAACCGGAGAAAGGACACACAATCCACCCCGAATGCGTGACTCACCCTTCGTACCTTCGTTGATCCTATCCTTAACGCATTCTGTACTCGCGGAACTGTCAGCGTGCATCGCAATCGACGGAATGGACATTTCAACGAAACGGAAATTATCGATTGCGCTAAATGTAGTTCGACAGCAGACCTTAGCCAATTTTCAAATACCGTTAGCTAAAATACTGTTTAAAAAAGGCACGCGTTTGCCTTCCGAACAAGATATTATTAGCATCTAGATAATAGATCCTAAGATGTCCTTTTACCAAACTTTTTATATCAAAGAAAGTAATCTACTCTGATTACACTGGTCAATAAATCGTAAACAATAATTCGTACACTTTACGATCGTCTTCCTGTTTTCTATCGTCATAGACATTATCAAAGTAAAACTTTCAGACAGAATAATAACCACGTTTCAATTTATTCCTCACAGGACCAACGATCTCTCGGATCAACCAAAATATTAAATATCGTTAATTGATAAAAACTGGAGGCACGTTTGCGCTCTTGAAATTAGTAATCAGAGCCCCGGAGCCATTTTCTAGAGCAATTACCCGTTCAGTTTAAATTCATCACGAGGTAAAAACAACAAACTATTCAATAACCCATACATATTCGATTCTAACACGGATTACCGGCCACGATAAGCACACGATGCTGATTCGAACAAAAGGAACGCGTCGTGGAGTGTACGATTTAAAAATGAAAAATTTTTCCAGCTCTGACGGACAGTCATCCCCCGTTGTTAACATCCCCAAAAGCAAACCTATCCAAGCTCGATCCTACGGAGCCAACAGAGTCCCCGATTTACCCTCCGATCGAGGGAAGGAAGAAACGTAACGATGGCGACTTACCCCGGAACACGCCTCTCACGTGAGAATCCTCATGCTGGCCTCGACTCGATTCTCGAACTCGAAGGAACTCGAGGAACGGAATCCTACGAGATGGATGGTTCTCGTAGGGAAGAGGACACGACGGACGAACGCTGGCAAAGTGGAAATCGTCGCCTCTGACGGCACGCGGATGCTTTTAACGGCAAGCGTACGCGAACAGACGGCGGCGTCGGGAGGGAGCCAAGCGTACGACTGAATCTACTCCAGACTCAGCATCCCGTACGGCTGACACGATCTGCGCGCTGGACCCGCCACCTTGCCAGGGGGTCGTGCCGCAGAGGGAGAAAGATAAAGATAGAAGCTGTCGAGGAGGGTAACGTTCGGCGGAGGAACGGGACGAGGAAGACCAACGACTCGCGATATAGACAAACCGAGAAAAATTATAGACCAAAACACCCACTCTCTTCCAACAAAACGATACCACATGCTCCACTATATTTTATTCAATCATCATCGTTTTAATGAAATACCAAATATTGTTGTAGCTATTTTACCTTGAATTCTGCAAAGAGACCGAGCGTCGGATAAAAAGAGAACGGAGAAAGTTGGGAAAACTTGTGGCGTACGGACCCATGAATAGAAACGAGAAAAAGCTTCGAACGCGGTAGGAAGAATTATACGATGCAACGAGATGGAGAGACGCATGGATACAAGAATGGAGCAGTGGTACTTGAATGTTATTTTCAACCAACTACTTGCTAGCTTCTGAGGATAGCAAATGTTTTCAAGCCTCTGTAACTTGGTTGTTTTTCAGAATCGAAGTGAACGAGTTTGTACTCATATTTTCGAAGCCTGTTCCCCCGGAAGGAAACGAAATAAAAAAGAATCAGAACTCCGAAGCGGCGGTGGCGGATGGATCGAGGATAGAGGATCGTACGAGCAGAAGGGGCGGTATAGAGGCGGCACGAATTAAGAGGGCCAGGTAGAACTGCAAACACAGAGAGACACGACAAAGGGAAAGATCAAGGGAAACTGCGACAGAGGAGAGCCGCGTTTAAACAGAGAAGAAGGTACGAGAGAACGCGTAATAGAAGCGACGACGGGAGGTCTAGGAGCGCGAACGGGACGGAGACCGAGAGCATTGTGTGTGCAGAAAGAAGCGGGGTGATCGCGAGTTGAACGAGGGGTTGGAAACCAAAGGACAGAGACACCGAGGGAGGGATAGAGAAACCGCGCGCAGAAACAGGAAGAGGAACTGCTAGGAACAGCGGGGTAAAACGATAGTCGAAAGTCTAGGTAGAGAGAGAGAATGGTAGAGACAAAGCATGCCGGGATAGAGTCTAGCGAGAGCAAAGAGAAAACTGGAGAGATTCTAGGAAGTGGGGGGATGGACGTTGAATCGAAGCAAGACGGAGACGGAAGTAGGAACAGGCTGCTGGATGGGACAAAGACAGGCTGAACGAAGGAAAACAGAGATACTAGGCTAGGGGTAGCACGGAGAGGGTGAAAGAGGGTCGAACGCGGAGAAAGATAAAAGGAAGACCGGGGGAGGTTACGATGATGCAAATAGAGAAGGGTCGTACGTTGCGATAGAGGGAGAGAGAGGGCCCGAAGGGACGCGTGCACGCATCGACGAACAAGTGGAAGGATGAAAGTAGCCAGACCAGGCTCGAACAGATTTTAGAGCGAGGCTAGCACCTCGCTGAGCGAAAACTGCTGCGAGGAGAGTGGAGAAAGCGCAACGACCGCGTGCACGGACAACACAGTGTGCTAAAACGTCTGAAAGACGGACAAACTACTAGTAATATACGAGGGATCCATCGATTAATGCCGTTTCAAGGTAGAATACCGATGGATCTACTAGCAAACATAGGTCGAAACCGCCATTATCCCCCCGTCCTTTTTCTTCGCTCGTCTCTCGTGTAGAAAAAAGAATCTAGAACTCCAATTCCTTTTGATGAAAGTAGAGAACAAAATTTATTTAATTCCGTGCACGACCTGAGAGATTATAGATCCTTTAATTTATGGAAGAGTTGTATAATTCTCCAATGCGATGCGATGATCCATATCTGGGAAAAGAGTCCTCGAAATTGGAAATGTGTATTTTTTAATGACAAATTTAACTAGACTTGATCCCTCCAGACTCTTAGATACCATGTTTCATCCCCTAGATATGGACCGTTGCGGATAAGAAAGACACGCTTAGAATATATTTAAATGATATCTCGTGTTAGACAGTTTCTCTTGAACATCCTTTTACCGGCGAACGAATGAATCGCCACGTTCTCGTTGGTAATCCCGTAACTCGTATAAAATGTTGTTCGATCTCTTCAGGTCGGAGCCTCGGATGAAACACGACGTTGACCCGTGCCGTGAGTCGAAGAAAGAGCCGTGGACGCGATACAGTACGGCGGAGAGGGGTTGGACGGGGATTGAAGACGAGGAGGAAAGACGACTCGCGGCCAAGAAGCATCTCCGGCGTAAGACGGGGGGCATATGTACCTATGGCGGAGCGCGCGCGCAAAGATCCCCTCGGCCCCGGAAACGGGAGCCTCGTCGCGAGCGTGTTGGCGCAAAGGCGCAGAGGGCACGAGGGTGAGAAAGCGAGGAGAGGAATTAATCGGCGCGTTAGCGACGATCGGCTGGACGCTGGAGAAAAGAGAGGAAGAGCGCGGAAAGGACGACGGAAGTCGAGGATACGAGATTAGAGAAGTAGAAAAAGAAACGGGAAGACGAGAACGCCTGAGAAGAGGATAGGTCGGGGAGAGGGGTGGTTCGGAGGATAAAGGACGACGACGACGACACGGGGTTAGACGTGAGATTTTTTTAGGGAAAGAGACGCGAAACGGACGAGGACCGGGATGGCGGGTGGGAGGGTGAGAGGGCGAGAGGGCGAGAGGGTAGGGGGTTGGCAGCGAGAGCACGGTGAAAATAGAGAGGGGGCAGATCCACGTGCGGGGGCAGTATTGATCTGTTCGCGCAAACTCCTAACTCCTGGGTACGCTCCACGGCCAGTAACGCCGACTCCCACTCTATTTCCACTTCCGCCCTCGCCTGCGACCGTCGGCCCTATTCGCGGCTTCCCGAATACCCGTCGACGCTGAAAGTGCTCCACCGAGTTCGACTATGACCCTGGTCATCGTCCTCCGCAACCTACGCGAACCGACGCACACACAGACCACGGTGTTCCATTCGCCGCGTAAACCAGCGGTGGTCACGATGCCAAACAATCTCGCGCGAACCCGGGGGCCTCTCCAGCGACGCTCGGTGACCAAATCTTTCGCGTACAGGCGAATCGAATTATGTCCAATCATTATTTCACTGTAGAAATTCGAAAAGATAAACCTTGCTTTCATATACCGTTATCTTCCATCTCCAACGAACCGAAGCGTGATTCTAACGCATTTGATCAAACTGTATCGAAGCTGGGCAAAATTTATATCTGGATAAAAATTTTAATCATGGAATGAAAGTCGAGTAATCCTTTTGGATGTTACTCGTCGAACAGAGACTTGATTAATAAACGACTGTCAAGAATTTCTATAGAAATACTCTTTCCATTGTGATGCTACAGCCGGATGCTTAGGAATTGAACGTGTCGGTATTAATGGAAGTATATCATTGGATTAACTTCGTCGCTGGTAGTAGGGGTCATGGTACACGTAGGACATTTATAGTAATGATCTAGATCAGCCGTGGACGGAGCCTGTACCGCTATTTTGACCATCCATTTGGCTTGTAACGACGCAATTCCACGCCAAGGGGATTTCATAGTGGTAGGCCAATGGTGTTGGCAACAACATCCGTTTCAATGTTATTTTATAACCGTGAGAAGATCGAATCGTCCAAACAGCTGGAGATCAGCGTACGTTATAACTAATTGCACCTCTCAAGACCGCCAAAGAATTACCCTCTGGCCATATCGTTTTTCACTTGTCAGCGACACTGTGTATTTTGATGTAGTCGAGAACGATTTAGAAAACAATAGAATATTTCACAGTACGTGTTTGTAATACCGATTTACGTGAAAATGGAAGACACGCGACAACACCAGCTGGCGTTCTTCCGGATTCCGGCCGAAGAAACACAACGCGAATGATAGATCGGACACGCTTTATTAGTCGCTCGCGAAGGAACGTAGAAACCTACATTGGGGATAAGTCTGCGAGGATATGTTTGTCAAGCGGCTTTGCAAACTCGATGGCGAATGCTCGGCTAGAACATTCGATTTTCTTGAGTTCGAACCGTTCCGTAGAAGCTTTGATTTTAAACGGCTTATAACGACTTATACAAATAAGAATTTTCCCCAACTCTGGTAGACTACGTCGATACAGTTTGATCAAAGGGATTCATCAAAGATGGAAGATAATGGTAGAGGAAAAAAAGAGTCTTTTCGCTATTTTGCGCGTAAAAGTATCGGGGGAAGATGTTCGAAAAATGAATACATAATAAGGCGTATGCTTCTTTATTCAAAGAGATATTTAAACATTCTGCCATCCAATAACCATTCTCCGAGCCGTCCCTGCATTTAAAATATCTCATCAAGTATTCACTTTCCGAACACCTTCCTTTAATGCTTTTATTCTCGAAACGGAGAGAAGAATCGACCTACCCGAAAAGAAATATACGGATTCCATCTAAAAAAAGAAGAAATTGCAACTCCATTGCACAGTTTTATATGATTCAGTTGAGCAAAAACTAAAGCTGGTTGAAATTTATTAAACGTCGCCTCGATTTTACCGGAAATGCATATGTATAAGAGCTTCGATGTAATTTTAAGCCACGACGCAACTGCAAAATGTGTGAAGTAAATTAGTCGATGGAAAATTTTGTTTATAAGACCTTCGATGACCTAAATCGACGCTTTGTTTTTGACCCCGATGAGGGTGAAGCGAAGGAATTTTATAACGGATAAGGTCCAAGGTTCCGTCGCTTTTTCCTCGTGCTCTAATTATTTTTATTATCGAGACAAAGTTTTTGAAAAGGTCAGGTTGTTAACACGCATTTTTATGGGATTTTCTGTTTGGAAAACCAATCGATTTCCATGTTAGAATACCCATCGGGTACGAAGCGAATGCCTAGCTAATCGCTGCAATTACGTTGCGTCTGCGTTTAACCAATTTTCATTGTCTACAAGGGGAACAATTTGAATCAGTTCGACGGTGATGATCGTTGTCTATTACGAGAATAGCCTTGTCTGGAAATACGATCCGGAGACGTCTGAGCCATGACACTGATCGAAGAAATCTCGAGTGAATCCCAAACGTTCTAGTCCATTTTAAATGATTTCCAAAATCACAAATCTCTTTTCTAAAACTACTCTCTGTCTCTGGCCATATGTCATCCAAGTATTACCAAGCATTGGTTCACGGTTTCCCGTGAAGGAGGATTTTTTTTAGCCTAACAGTAATTGGTGGCACATCGCTATCGCTTGTTTAAAGTTAACGAGCAGTTCGGTGCCGAGAGCCAATTATACATATGTATACTGATGGAAGAACCTTTAGGGACAAGTAGTCGAGAGATTCACGGGAAATGTTACGCGAAACGAAGATCGGAAAAAACGGAAGAGAGAACAGGAACAGAAGATAGGCATGAAATTGTAGATCAAGATGAAGTGGCACCGCCGGGATGTTCAAGAGAAACGATGAAACGATGAAACGATCTTTAGAGAAACGCTGAAGAGGAGGAAAAAGAAGATTCGTCCATCGGTGTAGAAATATTCCGCGAGTTAAATAATTCCGGTCGCTGAGAACACTTTACGAGTATCTTCCAATTTGTAAGATCATTTCCACGCGTTTAAAGGAAACTTCTGATATCAGAAAACAATCGCTTCATTTTGTTTTTTTCTTAAAAATGTTTATTTAATTAGTCTTTGATTTTCGATATTAAACTTTAACGATTGAATTAACGAATCAAAATAAGAAGTAAAAATGGTAAATCGTCGTCGTAGTTAACAAAAACAAAAATAGTACGATTATCGATAATAATGTTATAAAAATTGTATCTGCCGCGCTCTGCTTTTAAACGCTTCGTACGAAAATTAAACAGATAATATTAATTTAACGTAATATACATACACGCACAGTCGAATTACGATTATCCTAACAAATGTATAATAAATTAGCTATTAATAACGAGAGCCAGGATTATCTACTTAAAATAGCGCGCGACAACGTGGGCCGATGCTGAGAAGATTGAGCCATCAATGCGTTTTCATCCATTTATCACAATTAAACGACCCACGTGGCCGAAGAAGCGTTTCGAACGAACAAACTATTTTCTGCGCATTAAAGCACAGAACCTACGAATAATTGAGCACATAATTTGTTCGCTTATTCGCGTCGTCGTTTGGTATCAACGGTTCGTATAAAATTAAAAAAAGAAACAGAGATCTCAAAAGAATTACTTCATCGTACACTGTCATTGAACGTTAATTATTTTTTTGTTTTAGCGAAGAAGACCTCTCTGGTCAACGTGGACGTCAATGAAGGCATTTGCTTCTGATTGTTCTTGGCTGGATTAGTGTGACTGGACGTGCAATCGTTGGCGACCGTACGCGCCGTTATCGTCAACATTTTCAGCAAATCGGTGGTCTCCCAATATTCCTGTATAACTTTGCACAAACACTGTATGTACCATGTGCCGTACTCCGCGTCTCGCCACGAAGAGAAACCTGAAAACACCGATAACGCAAACGTTATAAATTGTTCGTTACGCGAACGTCGCAAGCCCATTTATCTTTGCCTCTGATACGCGGAAAGTTTAGCATTTCAATCGACTGAAAAATATTTGTAAACGTTAAAATGATTCGTTGTACGCTTTCGACGTTCACCGATATGTAAATTCGTCAGTTTGTTAAGCTCGTATACGACTGGTAACTTTACCTTCCACTGTACTGTAAGCGAAAAGGAAGTCCGCGTGCGTAGGGATTTTGTAAGGTATTGTAGCCGCCGAATCTGTTTGCGATGTATTACCACTTGCGTAAACCATTGTACCACCGTCGTATTTTGAGCCTCGACAAGCCTGCAAACGATCGAAACAATCATTCAACGTTAGATCTACCAAGAGACTCAAAACCGCTTGTTTTCTCATCATTTTCAGTACATTTATTTCTTGGAAAAATTTCCTCGAGTTTCGAGAGTTTCGAACGATAAAAATAAGAAGACGTTTCAAGGTTTCGAGCGTCCCCCGTCCTCGCTTTAAATATGACGTTTAATCGGGACAGCAAAGGAGAAATATTGATTTACCTGGATGAAGAAAAGCTTCGGTTTTCCAGCAAGCGAGGCACATTTATCCGTGGTGAATGGCGCCCAGAGTTTCACTAACGAGAAAGCATAGTCTCTCGCGTGTATCAGTCCGTTGGTCCTCCCGTGCGTCAGTATGAAGATGCAAATACAATCGCTGTCGTTGTGATCGTCCTTGCTCACTACCATCGAAAGAAAAAGAACGACAGAAAGTTACCGTACTACAAAACGGATAATTTCAAATTCTTTTTTTTTAGGAGAGACGCCTTCCAATGAATTTTAATAACGCTTACGTTCTATCATCTTCGTTTCGATGTCGTCGTAAGGAAGGTTCGAATGATCTATCACTGTGAAGCCTAGATTTTTGAAGGTCTCCGCTATCGTTTCCACGTCGATCGTAGATCCTTTTCGTGGCTGAAGCATCTCCGAATCGAAGGTATCGTGATTCAGTATCACGCATTTTCCACGCATTTTGTGATCCATTTTGTAGAAAATCGCGTCTTTGCTAACCGGTAACTTAACGATGACCGGCGACTTGCTGCAATAAAAAAAAAAAAATAAACATTGTGTTTATTCGCAAATTTTATGTCTATAACGTTTCTTTCTCTTTTTCGCGCGCAAACAAATTTAAACAAAATAAAATAATAACGCGTTACTCGTTCGCTAGTAGAGTTCAGTTTCAAAGGGATGAGATCAACCTTTGTAGATCGCGTTACGTTTCGTTTTCGTTTCATTCTTTGTTAATTCGATCAAGAAACTGTTTGTTGTTTGGATAGTTTTCAAGATTCGCCGTGATCAATGAAGACAGGAAGATCGTTACCCGGCGCCGATCAAACGGAATTGATCAATTGTCGTGCTCACGGTGGAACAAAGGGTTCGCGGGATCCGTTTGATCCGTTCATTAATCTCTTCAGGCCTGCTGTACATTGTATTGTACCTTTAATAACGCCATTTACCGGACAACCCTATGTTATTACATCGATTAAATTCAACGTAAATTCTAACAAATTATTTTTTATAATTCTGTTACTTTATACTCGAACGACTTAAGTTTGTTTATTGATTAACGATGCGAACGACGCTTTTACCCTATAGTGTACTCCTTGTGATCGTCATCTTCGTATGTACCAGGCATGTAGATAACATCGGTGGAGTGCTTGCGTTTCGCCATCTTTGTAGCCCGTGGTCTTGCTAAACAGGAGGAAGAGCCCTAAAAGTAAAAAAGATATTTCTGAAAACATTAAATTCTTACGAATATGGTCATAGGAATACAACTGTGTTTTCGTTACTTTCCAAGAATTAATTTATTCACCGATGACTAATGTTATCGTTTGTTTCAGATATGTTATATCCGTGACTCGATCGACGCAACGGGGAAACGCATCTACTCTCGCTGACCGTGACCCGATTTCCTACGATGCGGTGTAATCAGACGGCTTGGTCTAATCTGCTGAGGATCATCGATTGCCGATGGATCATAAAATTTCGCAAAAATCGGATAAACGTTGAACGAACAACGTGTCAAATCAGATCGATAAAACTAGGTTTTTCCCGAGTTTACCATCGAGCAATGAAAATCGAGACAGAATTCTTCTATGTATAGATGAAAATTTCGATCGAGGTATAAATGATAGCGAAGGGTTCGTCCGTATATCGACACCTTTGATAGAAGTAGCGTTGATTGAACTTTTCTGTTTTCTTTGTTCCATGATTCACCGACCGTTTTTCCTTTCTGTCGTTATCTTTCTAGGTCGTTTCCTTATCTGGATGAAACTGCTTTGTTTAACCGCGACGTGCATCCTGCGTTCCCCCTCGGATTTTTCTTCGGGGATTCGCGAGTTTCTTGACAGCAACGTGGCCGATAACGGCGTAAGAAAACTCGGATGAAGTGCAGGTAGTTCTAGATCTAGAAGCTTCGGGTCGCGATAACGAAGAATTAGATCACGGAAGAACAAAGGACGCTCATCTTACTCACGCTGATATCTTTGTCGATGATCGGGAAACACGAAACCGCGGACAAAATGGACTCTAACTGCGGGAATACAATTTCGATATAAAATCTATTCCAATAGAATACAAGGCGGACACTATAATTACTGTACGACTTATTTTCACAAAGTTACGATGGTCCAAATATTGGCAACACTTATGACCGACAGTGTACACCGAGTCATTTGCTTACATTAGAGTTTAATGACTTTACAAGCGACGAGACAATTTCCAACGTGAAGGCTCTTCCGCTAGCTTGTACGAAAGAGCTCTTAATTCTCGATACCGACTCTCGAGAGTAAAACTGTCAAGTGAACACTGTGCATAATGATTAAGCGCACGACGCACCCTTTGCAAGAACGATCGAGTATTCTTAAGAGATTGACGCTCGATCATCAGGGACATCTCCCTCAGTGTACCACGCAGAATTATGCACTTACAACACAAACAACAAGCGTATTTATATCAATTCTAAAGGACCTAAGATCAAGTACAACTTTAACAAACTAGATAGGAGCCAATTTACTCGAAATGTGAAACTTTTCTTTTTTGGCATAAGGGGAACAATATGTTCCCATTAATTGGACTATTTCAACAGAAGGCAACGCGTTACCTGATTGTCCACTGCGTCGAAATTGCCCATAGTGTGGAACCATCGGTTCGAAATATAGACTATAGTGGTCCGGGTTAAAGTTAGTATACAGAACAGAAGACCGATCATCGTATACACTCGGTTTTGCTAACTGATTCGGATATCTGACCGTCGACTAAGGGGACACGAAACACACCGCAGTTTTATCAGTTATTATCGTGCCTCCGATATTTATCAGAACGCGTTGCCTAGAGAAGCATTTTCTGCTCATAGTCTCAGTTAGGTATCATTTTTTAACGGACTCAGGATGTGGTAAGCGAGTAACGAGTCGAAAGTCGCTCCCTTTTTACTTTTCCTTCTTTTTAAAATAATGCATACATGTAAGATAAAAATTTTGTAACAACCCTAAAGGGTGATAAACTGATGGTGCTAATTTGGAAGTATTCATCCAGAAAAGAACAAAATTTTATCTTTATTGCCTGATATATACGTATATTAATCTTGCGCGCGGTTTTGTCAAAACATTTTTAAACTCTCTATACTAAATTAGCTAGCATAGAGTTCTATGGTCGTTACTACTTTAATTTAAAGTATAGATATTGGTAAAATGAAATCTGGTATTCTGATGAATGTTAGGGGACATTGCAATATTACACAATATTTAGATTAGATATTTTTATATTTTCCACTTGAGATTCTTCCATTCTAGCTACATCTCATATTCATCAAAATGTAATGTAAATAAATACACATTCTGACGTCATAGATAGAGACTGCCATATTTATGACGTAGATCCATTTCAGCGGGAGTTCAAATTCCTGGATTTCAATATTGTTTTATTACCAGCACTTTTAATTAAAAAGTTTTCTGTCGTTAACAGTAAAAATAGGAACAAATTAATTGTATGCATAATCGTCATTGTGCAATTTGGCACAAAGAACTTATACAGGTCACACTCGTCATTGTACGACAAGGAGTTTAAGTAGTTTTAAAATATACTAAAAAAGCTAATTTCATTTTATTTTAAGGGGTCCGTCAAAAGTTTGTCTCTCTTGGAAAAGTTCTTGCAAAGTTGGAAAACATTGGAATACAACAAGCTTTCGAATTCGGCATGTGTAAGTACGTATATCTACCACTACTACGAAACGCAACGAAATATCGCTACATCCGTCATGTTTCACGCACAATATAACGTTCGATAAGTAATTGTTCGTTTTACGCTTAAATTATGCAATTGCATCATTCGGGGCTGCGCATTTAACGATACTACATAAATTACATTGTTTTCCAAATAACTCGCGCTACATTCTCTCATTTGTTTCAAATACAAGGCGGCTGCGCTAGGTGCGTTCGTCGTATGTGTGTTGTTTGTCTTTGTTGATCCGTAGCGATCAAAACATTTCGTTTAATCACGTCCTGTGATTGAACAATCGTCATTGTGTCTATTTGAACGTGAACACAGAAAAAGTTTAATTGCTCGTGTATTTTGTTAAAGTGTCTCGTTAATGCCAAATACACGGGAAAAAGAAGAAGAAAATCATACACTCGATTACGTGACAGCGTTCCTAATTGATGGCGAGATAAATTTTATGCGAGGTCAAATCCATAATCTCAAAGAAAATCAAAACACATATGTCGTTGCTATAGAAAATATTCTTTTGGAGCTTTAATTTTCCATTTTAATTTTAATGTTTGTATTGTAAGACTATTGTCAGCCAATATATCACATATATTTTTCTTTTTTCAGTTTGACCTAAATAATTAATGAAAATAAGGTATATACGTTTGGACATATATCTGTCAAGATGTTAAACTTGACTCTCGAGCCTTGCATCGATGCAAATGCTACACTTGGAATAGACCAAGCTTGTTTTTATATCTTAAATTTGTACAAATACCCTGTTCTCTTTTATTCGATAGCATGGGAAGCTTATTGGGTATGCAGTCACATTCTTTTAATGAAATTACTGCATTTTATAAAGTCTATGCATACTGTTAAATTATTTATAGGGCAATGGCATGCTACATGCTACCTTACCACCACAGAAAAACACAAGTGTAGTGGTATCAACAAAGTACCCGTTACATATATATTATGGAGTTAACGAATCGTCATCCGGATACCTAGAATATTGTCAGTAAGCATCTTGTCTTTTAAAATGTCTAATAAAGTATATGTTAGACTCGTACAAGATTTCTGTCATCTTTGCTGTCGTGTATCGATAAACAAGGCATAATTACCTTCCCCTAACAATTACAATAATCTAATGTATTTATTTATAACATTTCCCAGCACAACATATTCTTTCATAGAGCATGGTAGTTATGGATGGAATATATCTTCCGGAAATAACTGTTCCGATATTTATGTAATACGCGAATCAACAGGGACCTATCTTCGTACGTTATATTTTATAATAATAGCCTTCCGTGGTTATGATTAATCGTGAAATATTAATAATTAATTGCTGTTACAGCAATCTTTGCAGCGTTCATGATGTATACCCTACTAGCTATTCTGTGGACAACATCAAAGGTCATTGTGCGAATGATAAGGGGGAAATTGTCGCCTGATAATGTACACGACGTAGGTATCCAGTAATGGATTTAGTCGTAGCAGACTTTAATCGTTTCGTTTGTTTTTACCAACAGGATTTAGATAGACTTCAAGAAACAGAAAATACAACGCATTCAGTAATTAGAACAACAAAATCTAGTACTAGAATACATTCTGTGGATACATTTAGAGGGTAATCGTATATTCTTGTTCGTATCCCATATAATTAGTTTCTTTCAGCTATGATATTACCTTCATTGTTACAGAATATGTGTACTGTTGATGATATTTGTTAACAATGGTGGTGGAAAGTATGTCATGTTCAATCACAGTGCATGGTTTGGGCTCACTGTGGCAGACTTGGTGCTTCCTTGGTGAGTTATTGCATGCTCGAAAGATAATTGTTGGAAACCGTTGTAGAAAAATTCTAGTCGAATATGTTTCAAGAACCTAAACTTGTATCGTAACAATTTTCAAGCCCTAGTTGCTTGCAGGTTTGCATGGATTATGGGACTGACGATAGCAATATCAAAACGCGCAGAACTTCGCATAGTGGCTTCGCGTACAAAAATATCCTTACGTTGTCTTCTACGATCGGCGATATTAATACTAATCGGGTTAATGTTGAATTCGGTGCAGAATTTGCATTCGAAGGGTACGATGGCCTCTTTATCCAATCTTCGTTTCCCTGGTGTCCTCCAATTGTTAGCTGTATCATACTTCGTGTGCGCCACGCTGGAAACAATCTTCATGAAACCTTATTCTCAGGTTTCTATAAAAATTATTTTCATAACATATAGATTTTTATATTTGCCCGACGAGTATCTGCAAAAATAACTTATTTAGGATACGTTGCTTCAGTTTGGCCGCTTCGCGTGGCTTCGAGATATTCTGGGAAGCTGGCCGCAGTGGTTGATTATGGCTAGCATTTTGACTATTCACACTTTACTAACGTTCTTCCTACCTGTACCCGGTTGCCCAACGGGATACCTCGGACCTGGTGGAAAATACGACCATCGCGGAAAATACGAAAACTGTACCGCAGGCGCAGCTGGTTACATAGACAGAATGATCTTTGGAAATCATATGTACTCCAAGCAGAAAAATATTATCTATGATTACATTTCACCTTACGATCCGGAAGGTATGTTGCAACAGTTAGGCATTAAGTAAAGATAGAATTTTTAATACATATTAATGTCGACAATTACAGGACTAATGAACACCATATCGGCTATATTGATTGTTTACTTTGGTGTTCATGCTGGCAAGATTTTAATGTTTTACTATCAGTGTAATTCCAAAGTAATTAGATGGTTGCTGTGGGCAATTGTTACAGTAAGTAATTTTCTTTCTAATTGAAAATAGAAAAATAAAAAGCATTAACGAAGAAACCCTTTCATCGAGTCGGTAAAATAAAAAACTTATTCCCAGGGTGTCGTTGCTGGAGTTTTATGCAACTTTAAGACGCAAGGAGGAGTAATTCCAGTCAGCAAGAAAATGATGTCGTTGTCGTTTGTTCTGACAAGCTCTAGCCTTGCTTTCTTATTGTACGCAGTTCTGTATATTCTTATCGATTATAGACAGTACTGGAGTGGAGCTCCGTTTATTTATGCTGGTATGTAATATTACGTAAAGTAATTTTAAATATTTCTTTTCCAAAAACTTGCATGCACGCGTCACGTATACCGTTTGTTAAAGGAACAAATCCAATTTTTCTCTACGTGGGTGATACATTAACGAAAGGCTTATTTCCGTGGTCATGGAACGTACCTTATCACAGTCACTCATCCTTTCTGTTTATGAATTTATGGACGACAACATTATGGGGAATAATTGCATATTTTCTTTATTGGAAAGATATCATTATAACTGTATAAAAGTACATGCACCCGTATGGTATTATAACGCACGAATATAAAGGTATTCTGATATAATAATTCTCTTAGCTGAAACGCTTATTTTCAACATTGTATTTTACGTTTATAAATAAAAGTAATAAATAGTGTAATCTTTGTGTCGATTGATTTTAATAGTTGGGTAAAAAGAAACGTAGTAGTGTAATTAATAAATTATAAAAATATATACACATAATTTATGCGTTTCTGTCCTTTGGTTCTTTGTACGGTAACTCCAAAATTCGAAAAATGTCTTCTTCGGATGTAATTTTTTCTGCCTTTCCAGGTACTCCTGTAATTAACTTGTAGCTTATCAATGTATCCATATACGTTATCATACTATGATCATGTAATAAATTAACGTACCTTCGGGTGTGAGATGTTTCAATGTATATTCGTTCAGGGTGTATTTTTTTTCCAAAGCATGTGCCCTCATATTTTTGTTGAAAAGGTCGCTTCCAGTGAAATAAAGTACAGCACAATAATACTGATCATAAGGCGCCAATATAATATCAAGCCTTCTAAATGGTTTCCTGTTATCGTCCGGAACGCGACAAACACCCTAGAAAAACCTCATTTTTAAATACAACGGAAGGCAAGTATTATTATCGAAAATTAGACCCTGCCAGCTCGAATACATTGTGTATCTAACTAGAAATTTTTATGTTTCAAACTAACAGCAGATAAGTTCTGCAACAACAAAATCAACGTACCATAAATTTTGTTGATCCAAGAGACAGCGTATCGACAATTAATTCTTTTTTCTTGAGGCATTCGACAACGTTCTTTAAAATTGAAACTTTTGTCTTTGATTCTTTTTCTTTAGAAGTATACGTCGGATGCGTCAATAAAACATCAATATCGCCGCTTTCTTCTTTATTACGCCTATAACTTCCACATATCGTTACAATATATTCATTGCTCAGTTCCGTAATAGCATCTTTCATAAGTTTTTCGAGTTTCTCGATTTCCTTTCTCGGAATTCTTTTCTCAAAGTCTTCGAAATACCTGTACGAAAAATTTATTATCATAGAACGAATAATCCCGAACGATTAATTCCGTATACATTATTTTATCGTTTCATCGTACTTGAGACCTAATTTTTGATGATGATTAAGTTTGTCCGAGGACTTTTTTAAATCATCCAAAGACTTGATACCAGCATCCACTAGTTCCTTTGCTTTTGCAGGCCCGATACCAGATACGCGTGTTAGCAAATTAATTGCAACATTGGTTTCGTCCTTATTGATCTAACGAATGAAATACGAAATATAAGAATTTATGCAGTAGCAATCTATACATTACGTATTATTTACCAGAAAAAGTTTGTACTTACAGTTTTCTATCAAAGTTTAATTCAAGTAAATTTAATTAATAGTAAAGTAATTCTTTACGATTAAAATTATTATATTGCAAACAAGTTGTAGCCGTTCTAAGCATGTAGTATAAATTTGTACAAACTTTTTCCAATGGCTAATATTACATTAATAAACGAATGAATTAGGATAAATACAGTTTCCAGTTTTTGTAATTTTCCAGTGCTAAGAAACTCGTCGATCTTTTTCCCAATTTTGTCTCCAATTCCGGGTAATTTTTTTGCTGCATCGCCACTTTCTATTCTATGAGGCAAACTGCTTAAACTGCCAGCTGCTTTGCGATAGGCATTGTATTTATAAATATTTTTGCTGACATTTCGTTCATAATTTGCCAATTCTGTAATATAATTTTATTATATATTTTTACATGTTTGTTATAAAATTAATAAGAAATTAACAATCCTAATATTTAGCCACATCGAACGATTTTAAATTGTAAATTGATAGAATGAAGATCAGAGATTTCCTAACATTTATTATTACGAGTACCTGTGTACCCACATATTTTTATTAAAACTAGCATTAAAGGAAGAAAAATAAGGGTAAAAGATTTATGATAGAAAATAATAGAAAATAATAGAAAATGCAATGATATATACCCATCAAAAATTCACATAAATCTTGATTTGGATTTTTTACATTATCACTGGCTTTTCGTTTCCCCATCGTACATAATAAAATTACACGAAATCTCCGCAAAAAAACCCCATTTTATATATCACTCGCTACTGATTAATTTCTTTTGACATTACGCTTCATTTCATCATCAATAACAATCGAATCAGTATTGCGACGTTCTTGTTTGTCAACAAACAATTATTATTTACGCTGAAAAAGTGCAAACAAACGGTATCGCCATCTAATATCAGGAATTCTAACTGCTAAAGTGCATATATATATACGAGCTCACGTACGTGAATGATCTATCATTGTGTTAAAATCTGCAAAGAAACAGTGTCGCCATCTAATATCAGTGTTTCGAAGTCAAAAAATCGTCCCAGGATCACAGAATGTTAGTGGAGGTATCCGGAGTACAGCTACCCCCACTCCTCCTACTCCTGACACGCACTACCTTGATTATTCGTTAATTACTCCTTTCCTGGGATTAAAATAGGAACTTTTAGAATTGAAGAATGTAGTATAGACCCTTGGCTAGATTCAAGGATAGTTTTTAGAACCATTCCGCCAGTAATTAAGACGTTATTAACGAATATCGGAAGTCGTGACATTTACGGCTGTATCACTGCCTGCTTTAATCGATGAATTATCAATTTTTCAATTATAATAGCCATATTTTGACTATTAGGGAACCAAGTAGACATCCCTAGCAACATTCAAGGACCGATTTTGTAACGCTCCATGCTCTAATTAATTAGTTATTAGCGATAAATGTCTGAGATGTCGCGTTAAAAGGTGAAAAACAGTGGTTCGACTTCCGATATTCGTTAATAACTATTTAATGAGGCATAGCATGGTTCTGAAAACTATCCTTAAATCTTACCAAGGGTTTAGACTATATTCTTGAACTCTAAAAGTTCATAGTTTGTTCCCAGGAAAGGCGTAATTAGTAAATTAACGAGCAACAATTCATTACGAAGCCGAGAAGCCCATAGTACGCTGTTTTCGCCACTAGTTGGCGCCACTATCCAACAATCGATAATTCTCCGCTTGTCATGAATTACTACTCGTTAATTTACTAATTACGCCTTTCCTGGGAACAAATTATGAACTTGTAGGGTTTAAGAATATAGTGTAGACCCTTGGCAACATTCAAGAATAGTTTTTAGAACCATGCTATGCCTCATTAAATAGTTATTAACGAATATCGGAAATCGAGTCACGGTTTTTAACCTTTTCACGCGACACCTTAGGCATCTATCGCTAATAACTAATTAATTAGAGCATGGAGCGCTACAAAATCGGTCCCTGAATGTTGCCAGGGATGTCGACTTGGTTCTCTAATAGCCAAAATATGGGTATTATAGTTAAAAAATTGATAATTCATCGATTAAAGCAGACGGTGACACAGCCGTAAATATCCCGACTTCCGATATTCGTTAATAACGTCTTAATTACTGGCGGAATGGTTCTAAAAACTATCCTTGAATCTAGTCAAGGGTCTATACTACATTCTTCAATTCTAATAGTTCCTATTTTAATCCCAGGAAAGGAGTAATTAACGAATAATCAAGGTAGTGCGTGTCAGGAGTAGGAGGAGTGGGGGTAGCTGTACTCCGGATACCTCCACTAACATTCTGTGATCCTGGGACGATTTTTTGACTTCGAAACACTGATATTAGATGGCGACACTGTTTCTTTGCAGATTTTAACACAATGATAGGTCATTCACGTACGTGAGCTCGTATATATATATGCACTTTAGCAGTTCGAATTCCTGATATTAGATGGCGATACCGTTTCTTTGCAGATTTTTGCGCTATATTTAAATAAATACCGCTTCCAGTAATTCGTTTATAACTAATTAATTACATTAAATAATGTATAGAGAAATGGTTGAATAGCTTAATTAGATTTGAATAATATTTTTAACTTTAAAATTTACAAATATTAAGGAATTACTGGGGTAGGTAGAGGACAATGTAAATAAAAAACGTGGAAAATATGTACTATCATCTTCATTTTTTATTAATGTAAACATAACGAATGTTTTACATTGTTCTAACTCTATTACATAAAAGCATGCCTCGAAATCTTAATAACACGTTTTATAAATAAATTAAATCGATGAGTAATTGTATTTTGCACAAGATTATTCTAAAACATTTGTGGTATACGTTTTTAATATGATTTAGTATGTATGCAATATATAAAATATTATGTTGATTTAACAATTTCTGTTGTATTTTACATTTTTCGATTACTAAACATGTTAGTTCGATGTATCCTTTTATGCATCGTTTTATAAGTTGTAATTATTATTTATTAATGCAAAAAATAATAGGTCAAACTTCAACGTGTAACATTTATTTCTGGCAAACAGATATATATATATAAATAGTTCCTTTTAAACGGAATCTTCCTCAACAATATTAAGTACTATATTTTAGTATACGACTATTATCTGTCATCTTTTTACAACAAAATACCGAAACTTAGCACCGTCAAATTAACTCAGAATTGCGTCAAACTTGATGTATCGATTTGTTTTTAAATATGGATACCAACCACAACAATATTACTCTTCAGTTTTGCGCCCAAAGTTAAAAAAAAGGTGGTTGCTGATTCAAATCCCTGTAGAACTAATTTTTTTTACACAATGTATGCAAAGTTTGACGCAATTTTTAAGGGTGGCAAGTCTCGATGTTCCACTGATAGATAAACAGTTAAACTATAGCAAAGTTGTTATTATATCAATCTTATAAACGATTCAAAAGAATACTATGTTATAAAGTACGACTTGCAAAAAAAAAAAAGAGAGTAAATTATACAGAAGCAATACTGTATCAATTGTATAGATATATCATAAATAAAAATTTACATACAAGTTTGGCATCACTTCACGTCTAAACTGTACTAAAAGTTAATCAAAAATGATTTTCGGTGTAAAGTTTGTATGGATTTACTAAAAATTTTAATTGTTCATTCTTTAAATGTCGACCTCGATAAGACTGCGACATTTAGGAACACGTTCTAAGTACTTTTATTTATGTACGGGTAGTTAAGTCTTGTTCGTTTTTAAGAGTCGAACCATCAAGTAATCGTCGCATTACTTTTTTTTTAAACTTGACACAGATGGTAACAGAATCACATGTATTGGACGGATCTTTGTACCTCATTTCTAATGCCAAGTTATCGTAGATATTAAATTTTAAAAGCTCGAATTGTACGTATGCCCTCTATTATATCGAAGACATACGGCTATAAACCGCGTGACTTTTTAAACAATAACTGGAAATGAAAACGAAAATGCTGAAGGCAAGAATGAATATTCCAACAAAAACATAAATCCACAGTTGCGGAAATCTTCCTGGTAACCATAATATCGTGAATTCTACTGTTTTCTCTTGAGTATCTAAAAACAAGGAAAGGATTAATAAAACATTAACAAGTTCATAGTCGAGTACGAGATCACAATTTTTCTACCAATATAAGCTAGTCCATATCCTGTATGAGGTGTACCCATTCTGTACGAACAGGTAGGCATTTGCACTTCGTGAATGTCGCCAACATCCATTCTTAATTGATATAATGGTGTCTCGTAGGGGGGTAAAATCCAAATCTCGCTTAACTGGTCTGTTGCAGTGTCCAAGCTGATATGCATTGCTTTATGCTCGTGTCCGGTAAAAATAATTTGAGGAGACAATTCTTTCAGTACCTATTACCAGCAATGTAATTATTAACGAAAACGAACGTCAAAACTACGAGACTAATCTTATAGAAAAATCAGCTTACATTTTGGACAAAAGTACCTGGCATGAATAGTAAAGGCATATGACTGAACACTATATTTGTTGTATTTCTCTCCGCGTAATCGTTCAGAAAGGCATCTTTCGGAGCTTCCGGCATGCTGTGTGTCAATCTGTTCACCTGATAAATTAAATAAATACGTTACAATTTGTCGGTACAATTTCGGTTACCATATAAATTTAATTACCTTGAAAAATGTCACCGACTTATAAACTAACGTGTCCGGTTGAGAATACGCAAAGTTGAATCTATTATGAATATTAAACGAGACTGCATCCTCTTCGCCTCCGATATCATTATCACCGGGTAAATAAATTTTCTGAGAAGAAAAACATGTCTGAGTATAGCATAGCAATGACCATGCATACTGAACAAGTTTCATGATAATTACAAGTATACCATAATATGATCAGGCATTTCAAATATGGAATCTAATCTTTGTTTGTATTCCGTAAACGATTCCTCGTTGGCAATGTGACCTTCGTCCATAAGGTCTCCCAGGAATGCGACGACGTGAGGCTGAGAATGGTCCAAAGCTCTTGAAAACGTTTTCTTCAAGTACCTGGAAATAAGACACTGTGGAACAAAACCGAGGTGAATGTTTAAAGTTTTTAGAACAAAGTCAGGATTTAAACATAGTTGATAGTTTAATCAACTAATTCATTCGTACCTATCGCTATCCCATCGTGCTACCAATGCACCAAAATAATTTTCAGACGTTTTACCCAAGACCTGTGGGTCGGCAACAAGTAACACTTTAACGCATTCCGAACACTCTCGAACGGACCATTTAAACTTCTGTACATCGTAGACTAGAAGTTCGTTATATGCTACGGTAACCATTACTAGAAAGCCAATGGCAATTGTCCTATTCTTCAATCTGTAGAATAAAATTTATTAACGAGATCTTAACAACTGTCTGCCGGTTAACCAGTTTTAAAATTGTTGTTGCAACTAAAATATAGTGTCTAAAAACTATTAAAGAAAGCGAGGAAGAATAAAAACAATAATGAATCGCTTTCTTTCTCACCATTTATATAAAATTAGGTAAAAAGCAATATACATGTTATAACGGAATAAGTTTGTTTCACCTGTTTCGTCGTAACATTTCGAAGATTTTTAGTGTCGTCTAATAACATTAATTATGTTATAGCCGAAGTAGATCAGTACATCTTTCGGCATATCGTTCGAAGAACAACGAACCGTTGACATCGTTCCGTTTTTCTATGGCATGCGATAATCTAATTAATTAAAGGTTGCACGATTAGAACAAACAGATTCTCTGGTATCTTATACTTGCAATTGTTTTAAAACAATTCGAACAACTACGTCGCGACAATCATTCGATCTTGGGTTTTATATAACCTTAGAAAAGTTGAAAAGTTACATACGAATCTTGTTTGAATCATGCATCATGCTTGGTTTAAAAGAAAATCGATATTTATGAAGCGCTGCATATTCACTATAGATGGAGATAAATACTATGACGCAACGATTGGTTTTTTAAAAATAGAATCTTACAACATTTTAAACTCGAATGATAGACCGATCGTCTATAATTTCACTCCACTGATTTTATTATTTATTTATCAGAAATTCAATGCCCTTACTGGTGAAACAAAAACAACACAGTAACGCAGACGTATATATCGTTTGTGATACGACTCTAAAAATCTTTGTTTTTGTTTACAAATTCGATAATTAAGAAAGAACAATGGGGAAACTATTAATACCACTCCTAATCAAATTACTGGCATCCCAATTATTGTAGTAGAATTCTGAATATTCAAAATTATTTAAAAGTAAAATACATTACTACGTGTATTCTTAAGAGTCAGCTGAAGAAATAAGAGATTAGAAAAGAATTATTTACTATAATTATATTATGTTATGCAATTATACATATGGATTAGAACAAATGATAGTAAGGGTATATTTGCATTTAAGCTGACGATTCAGATGACGCGTACAAAGAACAAATTCTGCTTTCTTACTAGTTCGAAGGGATCACGAAAAATTACGAATCACTGTGAAAAATCATTGCGATTAGAAATAAACGTGATCGAATCACTCGTAATTCTCAAGTAGCGATTCCAACCATCTCTAACGTGTGACCGAAGTGAACTGTAGTTTGCACTACAGTCTCTGTAGTCTGTCTGCAGTCTGCACTGTTTGTATTGTCTATCAAAATTGTTACACGGTGAAACGTTCGTGTGATCTAGACTTAAACCGAACGTATTGGAAATAGTTTCCTATCGCAATGAAGAATCGCTGATTTCGATCAGGACCTTAAGAAAATCGATGGAAGTGCCATCTAATGTGACAATGAGCGAACCATTCTTAACATCTAGCGCGTATTAATGCTTACGAGTGTCACCATTGAATTTTAATACGTGTCTACTGGTGTCTGTCCGTCCGGTGTTTCTGCTACGTTGATCACGTTTCGTGAATCTATGGAGTGTTTGTATTGTCGGATATCATTAAATTTCTGTCTGTAGTAGCATAAGGCGCCTAGTGCGCCTTCCCGTCACGATGAACATGTGTCGGGTACGATGGTTATTCCACTTTGTGGCGCTTAGCCTACTCCCCTTTGCCCATTCTGACGAGCATACTCACATCGTAAGTATTCCGAATTTACATATTTTTCAAATGTTTAAGTTGCAAAGATATTGTAACCACATCCTTGTCGGCATTACGACACTTGTATTCTTTATCGTCGCGATTTATCTTTCCGATACCATTCCATGAAGAGTAATCACATATTTCTATGTCTAATTTATGCTATCTTTAAAGTAAAACATTGTTAATCACTCATTAATTTCGAACCTTATTATCCAATAATTTATCCTTTTCTTTTTCGTTAGTACGAAGATAACGACGAGGTTGTACTATGGATGAGTACGGTAGGACCATATCATAATCGTCAAGAAACTTATTCGTACTATTCGTTACCTTTTTGTATGGGCACCAAAAATGTCATCAATCATTATCACGAAACCTTTTCCGAAGCATTACAAGGCATCGAACTTAAATTCAGCGGCTTGGAAATTGAATTTAAGGGTACTTAATGGTTTTATTAATTGACATTAAATATTGGTTTCATTTTTACGTATGTTCTAGTAATACTTTATATTTGCTATATCTACAGCCGATGTTGCAAAAATGGAATATTGTCAAATAAGATTATCCGAGGAGAGTGAAAAAGCTTTTATATATGCAGTGAAGAATCAGTATTGGTATAAGATGTATATGGATGATCTACCAATTTGGGGTAAATGCTAAAGTTCATTTCCTTCTCTCTAACATTTTACCATTATTTGAACCGATGTTTCTTTTAACGATATTCATTAGGAGTTGTGGGAGAGCCAGAAGAAAATAACGGGGTTGTATCTTACCACATTTGGACGCATAAAAAATTCGATATAGGATACAATGGAAAGCAAATAGTCGATGTAAATTTAACCAGTGAAAATAAAGTAAAATTGGTGCCAGGTGCAGCTATTTCTTTTAGTTATGAAATTAATTGGAAAAAGAGTAATGTTAAGTTCGAAGACAGATTTGATAAATATTTGGATCCTAACTTTTTCCAACACAGAGTAAGCATCTTTGTAATTTCAAAAATGTTGGTAACAAATTCTAAGGTTCGCATTTAAATCCTGCCATAAAAATGATTTTTTATTTATTAGATTCACTGGTTCAGCATCTTCAATAGTTTCATGATGGTGATGTTCCTAGTTGGACTCGTTTCGATGATTTTAATGCGTACCTTAAGAAAAGACTATGCTAGGTACAGTAGAGACGAAGAAATGGATGATATGGAACGAGATTTAGGCGATGAATATGGCTGGAAACAAGTTCATGGGGATGTATTTAGACCAGCTAGCCATGCGATGCTTTTTTCAGCTCTTATAGGTGCAGGCTATCAGGTAATTAATTTCATTAAAATAATCAAAATTATATTCAATTTTCGTAAAGAAAAATTGTTCAATTAATTTGATAATTGAACGTTTACGTTTCATAGAACGATTTGAATAATATCTTAGTAATTTATTTCATCGCAGGTGACAGTTGTTGTACTTAGCGTTATTATTTTTGCTATCCTCGGAGAGTTATATACGGAAAGAGGATCAATGCTATCTACAGCAATTTTTGTGTACGCTGCTACATCACCCATAAACGGTTATGCTGGAGGAGGTTTGTATGCTCGCATGGGAGGACGTATTTGGATTAAACAGATGATACTCAGTGCCTTTATGTTACCTCTCATCGTCTGTGGCACTGCATTCTTTATTAACTTTATCGCGATGTATTATCATGCTAGCCGCGCTATACCTTTCGGCTCTATGGTAAGTGATATAAAACTTTCATTTGTACGTATTGTACATGAAAGTATTCAACTATTGAAATATGTATATTAATACTTTGTATGTTTTCCTGAAACGATAACAAAAATAATTTTATTTACAGGTGGCAGTTACATGTATTTGTATATTTGTTATATTACCATTAACATTAGTCGGAACCATTTTGGGTCGCAATTTAGCTGGAACACCGGACGCGCCATGTAGAGTTAATGCAGTACCTCGACCTATTCCTGAAAAAAAATGGTTTATGGAACCACTGATCATCATAATGCTTGGTGGTATCTTGCCTTTTGGTTCAATATTCATTGAAATGTAGGTTTCATCGCTTACGCGGTAAAGCATCATGGATCAAATAAAATGATACTTTTGTGTTGTTTCTTTTTTCAGGTACTTCATTTTTACCTCATTTTGGGCATATAAAATCTATTACGTTTACGGTTTTATGTTATTAGTATTCGTTATTTTAATGATAGTAACCGTTTGTGTTACTATCGTATGTACATACTTTTTGCTAAATGCTGAAGATTATCGATGGTAAGAATTTTCTGATTACTAATTATCGAACATCGCTAAATAATGTTCTTTTTTTAATTCACTTGTATTTGTTCCTTTTCATAGGCAGTGGACAAGTTTTTTAGCGGCAGCCTCAACTGCTGAATATGTCTACGTGTATTCCTTTTATTATTTCTTTTTCAAAACTAAGTACGTTTTTACCACATTTGCCTCATTACAATACGATAAATATAAATTTATTAAAAATTTAATCACATTACGATTTATTTTCAGAATGTATGGTCTCTTCCAAACAGCATTTTACTTCGGTTATATGGCATTATTTAGCCTTGCCTTAGGTATAATGTGTGGAACAGTCGGTTACGTCGGCACTAATGCATTTGTACGAAAGATCTATTCCACGGTCAAAATAGACTAAAGCATAACTCTAGTGTAATGTCTACGCTGTGGATTTAAAAAAATTTGAAGCGTACCGGGTACTGCTACTCCTTCAGAAGTAGGACTCTTCTTCTTCCGGTAGTTTTAATTATCTACATCGATCATGGCCCGCGAATCACCCCCCATAAAAGAAAACCTTTAAATCGACATCAACCAATATCATTAGAATGAATATTTTAAAGAATATTTCAAATATTTCGTCATTGAGCATCGATGTAAACGTATCGTAACGACATTTTCAATTTAAGCAGACAATTTATTTCTTCGAAGTTGAGTCCTATAACAGATAGTGCGCGTCTCTGAAACGAATTGTTTGCCAATTCAAACAGTCGCGTATATTATTCGTCTCACGAGTCACAGTTCCATATTATGTAAAATGCAGGTTTCAATGATTATGCAACTCTAGGATCACTATTTTACTTACAACTAACTATAAATATTGCTCAATTTTGCTGGACACTGCTGGAAAAATCGCAAACTTTTTTTCAGCACGTGAATTCGTGCATAGAAAAATACAACAGAATTCTGAGTTTAGAGACATTATGAAAGTTTCGGTGTGCTAACCGCTTGATACGTTTCTCATGCCACAAATATTAACAATTTCGTTGGAATTATTCAAAACATGAAGGTTAAACTTACGTATTGTAACAAAAAGTAAGAGAAAAAAATTAAAAATAAATTCAATTTGTACATGAATTGTATATTATAATTTCGAAAAAAAAGAAAAAGAAAATATGTATTCAAAGTGTGAGTACTTTAATGCTAGTAGAACAGTGCCTCGGTTGTGTGACTCTAGACTGGAATTTTTGATAGTATAAAGAACGACGCTCGATTTCGACGATTAATAATAACATGAATTTTTAGATAAGCTAGATGTTAGATCGAAGTAAGAACGTGAATATAAGAAATTTTTTTACCATTGGCTTTCGTACTATACGCCACAAACATTTCGTTCAGGTGGATTTCCTTCGTTACGAACTTGTGAGTGCATTGGTAAAATGTAAAAATATCGTGAGCCTATATCCAGGAAAAAAAAAAATGATTCTTTTGATAGTGATCCTCTTTGTGCGGATAAATGTCTTAAGTTCACATTAATCGACACAGAAGCATCAATATTTGAACGAAGGGGATTGAAATTTGAGGATCACAGTGAACATCAGTGAGGATATTCAAATGAATATACAGTTTGTTGTTAGTCATAGCAATTCTAAGAAATATAAAATTTCTACGTACAACAAGTTTACTGTCTTTTATTAGTTCATTGATCCTGACATTATAAAATTTTATTCAATTATTTCGCACACATACTTTGGACAATTTTTACGATTAAAACGTTACTGTATGATAATGGAAAAATCTGAAATTCGTATATTATTCCTAAGTGAGTGAAAAATTCCATACTATGAGGTGTTTATTATACAATTGTAAACACTTAATCAAAGCATATAAAATTTCATATACTAATGCACTCAATTCTTCTATTGTTTTGATGTATAGAATTTTATATTATCTTACAACAAAATCAGTATTTATCTATTTAATAATGTAAGTTTCTTTTCTAGTAATTCTAAATGTAATCGTTAAAATTAATTGCTGTATACTTCTGCTACGACTGCCGTTCCGCGTTTTAACATTACACTTCGTTTTTAGATACATTACGATCATTTTGGGATTCAGCGGGCCTCGTCGCTATTTCTACCCTGTATATCGATTATAATCATTACTTTTTCTTTTAAAAGATATCGTAATCGAAACGACGGACTGTAAATAAAACACTCGTGCACAGAAATTTCAAATTCAAAGTTACAATTTTCATTCTACAATGTTGTAAATAAAATGCATGCTTGAGAGTGTGAACAAAATACGTTTGGAGTTTTTAATGTTTATTTCTTTTGTATTTTAAAGAAATGGAAAATTATATATTATAAGGAAATAATAATCACAACTTGATTATTTTAAAAAAAGTGTAATTATTTGCCGTACCTAAAAATGCCGAATTTTGAAGCAAGCAAATTTAGCTATCATATTGGAAACGATTGTTACTAAATATTGACAAACCTAAGCAAAGTAGTAGATATAATACAAATGACGGTGAACAGTACAACTAACTAAAAAATTAATAAATAATATTAATAATGATTTCGTACTAGCTTCCAATAAATTTGAAGAAACTTCAAGGTATTTCTAGACCACTATGGAACATTTCAATTATTGTGTCGTAAAATATGAAAGTACTACGTTGCTCAACATTCTGTCGCGTAAATTGTTACATATATTAATTAAATATATCCTTATAACGTGTATAAGGCTATATAAAAACGACGTAAAATTACAAAACAATGCAATATGTATATTGTTGCTTTGTATAGTTTCGTAAGAAATTGTATAGTTACCGAATTGACTTAAATGGTGCCACTGTGGCACTAAAAGCCATTCTGTCGAACAATGTGAGTTATTCACGTGTCAAAGCGCACACGTTGACGCAGGCAGAGAGCCAAGCGTGCTGTGAACATACACACCTGTTCACTGCTCCGAAAACTTGACATATTGAAGAGCAAATACAGCGACAAAAGTAGCATTTCAACTGTTGACCGCTTTCTTCCTAATTTTCTTCGAGCACCTTCGGCGAACGAAAGTAGCAGAAATGGCACCGAAACAGAGAATGCGCATTGCTAACGAAAAAGCCACGAAAAACATTATGCTTCGCGGAAACGTTCCGAAGTCGTCGGTAAGTTATTCAACTTAATCTTTGATAGAATTCGTTTAATTAATTATCGATCAAACGGAATAACCGAAAGATGTAAGTCATATAAATATATGTAATTGTCAATTTTTTAATTTGAGGTTATAAACTTCGTTACCTGTAACAAGTTTTAGTCGCTTGTTACGGTAACATTTAACACAGTATTGTCACATCATATTTCTCAGTTCTCCACATTGCACACAGTTTTAGATTGATCATTCCGATAACGTACAAGTCTGAAAAAATTATTTAACAATTTCGAACATAATGATGCAATAAAATAATATTTGTACCATATGTAATGTAAACACATGGAACAGTCTTTGAATTAGTTTCCTAATAAATCCGAGTATTGTATATTTCGTTCATTGATAACAAACTTAAAGTAAAAAACTAAATAAATGATTATCAAAATTCTTGCATCGTAGAAACCTCAAGATGAAGGATCTCCGGTCGGACCATGTCTACTAGCACTTTTCCTTTTTGTTGTATGCGGTTCTGGTAAGTTCCACCGTACAACTGTTTTTTTTTTAATTTGTTTTTCTTTTTAAATTTATTTCGAGTGTATAAATGAAATTTTTTAATTTTCAGCTGTATTTCAAATAATTCAAAGTATTAGAATGGCTTAAGAAAAATTACAAGCACACAAAGTTAAGAAAATATTGCCGTTACTGTTAATATGAAAAAACTGTCTGCAATGTATTGGTATACAAGCGAGATTAACAGACTGTTTTATTGCATATTTGTAAAAATGTAGGCATTGTAATGCTGTTGACACAAATTGAATTCAAATTGTCACCGAATATTATTTTTCATTTGCTACAACTTGAGGGATTTATTTATAAAAATTTAGCATTTATAAACATTTTTACTTCGATTGCATTATGTATCGATTGTGTCGATGAAAGAAGAATGCATTTAATGAATTTTGTTTAAAAATTTCAGATGAAATATTGCATATTAAGTGCAGTCATTCAACGATTTTAATTTTATCAATTTGCACAGTGATTTTCATGTAGCTTTCCATAAGAAATGTGAATTCTTCCATCGATACATATTATAGTAAATAATTGTATATACATATAATCAATTTATCGTATGGATTCATTAATCAAAGCATTCCACTGTAAGCAGTTGGTAGCTTTTGGTTGCTATGTATTTTAGAGGCCTTAAGAACATGATAGGTCCTTATATACATGTAAAAATATATATAATGTCAATGTAATTTATCCTAATGAAATATTTGCTACTGACAGTTCATTGTCTCTTTTAATAAATTATATTATGAATAAATATTAACTATGTGACTTTTATTGTTTGATAATAATGATTAGTCTACAGAAGAAATATTCGACTGAAATGAATTTAATTATAAAGATCTATAAATGTTCGTTTTCCATGTAAGTAAAATCAGATTGTGAAAATCTAAGCAAGGTAAGTGTATTTTTCGTGGACTACGAGAAAATGAAGTTTAAGAAATACTGTTTTAAAATACCAGTGTTGCCAATAAAATTCCCTAGTTTCGTAAACGTTTGATTGTCGTTTGGTTCAAATTGAAAACCTGCGATGAAAGAAACTGACAAGATTGATTTTCTAAGGACGAAAGCATTATTAAATAGTCCCATTTTATACACAAAATACGTGCTGAATATTTTAGAAACATATTTTTGAGGAAAGTTTTGCTGAAATGGCTGGTATATTTAACTTATTTGGCGGAATTTCGGATCTTGATAAAGGTACAAATAAAAGCTGGAGGTTACATCTTTGCTGTTATTGTTTTTATGATATTATGTTTAAGTATCTAATAAATTTTATTTAGTACTAAATAAAAAACAAAATTTAGAAGAGTTATTCTTATAGGTCAGGTAACAAAGTCATTATCAAGATCAAAAACTTCTCTTGGAGTAAGCGAAACTTCTGTAAAGAGTTTTAATCAATTAAAACCAAAAGGATTATCGATTAGATCTAGCTCGGATATAAATGTGTCAGCTAGTCTGTGTTTGAACAATTCGAATCAAGATGTATCTAATAAACAACAAGATTGTTTAAAACTAAAACCAACACAGTCAAATAATGGTAGCTGTTCATTGTCACCTCGAAAAGAATTTCCAGCAAAGGTATAAATAGTTGATTTTATATATTTTAAATAAAATTTAATATATTATTTTTTCTTGCAGAAGCAAAATGATAATCCTATCGAAATTAAAAGAAATGTAAAACATTTAACATCACAGAAAACATTTAACGATCATATCTTCAAGAAACCATTAACACCAAAAAAGTTAATCACAAAGTCGTATCCTGAACCAGAACGTCTGGCCCCGTATTATGATGAACAGTCTGAATTTGGTATGAAAATTAATGTTAATAGTTTAAGAGAACAAAGAATTAAAATTTGTATGCAAAATGTGTATGACTTTTTTTACAGATAATGTCTACAGAAGAACCATAGAGAATGATTTTAAGGAATTATTTTTGAAGAAGGAAAACGAGATGTTATTGCACGAAGATGAAGGATTTGAATCAGGTATAAGTGGAAGAATAGTATACTGTGTGTCCCATCTAACTTTATCGTCTGATATAATTTGCTTGTTGTTGTATAAAAAACAAGCGTGTTATTCCCAGTGATACAGTTAGGTGGGACATCCTATATATTAATATACCAAATATCAATTTTGAATATAGATCCGGAACCGCTTGAACTCGAATTACCAAAATTGCATCTGTCGTCTGAATCAATTGAAGAAGAATATAAGAAATGTTGGATTCCTGATTTACCAAATATATCAGACGACAATGACATATAATACCAATACTATAATGATTTTTTAACCGACTTAATACTACTTTAAAATTTTTTGCAGACAGATTATAAGTAATATAAGTTTAAATTATGTTTATTGTGTACACATAATTGAAGTATCATTATGAATATAAATTAAGAATTAAGATAAATGATAATGTGCCTTAATAAATATATTATACATAAATAAATTATTCTGTATATCTAATTATATGGTGTTGCTTTTTTCCATTACTAGACACGTTCGAAAGTCTTCAAAGAGTTGGCAGTTTACTCGAGCATCCTTCAATTGTTAAATATAAAAAATATGTCAGCAGAGAGATGCATGGTTACGATAGCTGGCATTTTAGAAGACCATGTTTTCAATCATATATGTTTTATAGCCGAAAGTTTGTCTACAATATTACCTAACTTTTGTTTCAGGAAAATTTGTAAAACATCAATCGAATGGAAAGTAAGTTTGACATCATCCCTTTCAGAGATAATACGCAGTATAAAATTTAATTTCTAGGTATGGTTAAAAAAGATTTGTGCACATCACGGCTGGTCTCATACTAAATCTCCTTTAATATGGAGAGAAATTGGATTGACTTGTACCCATATTTATTATATCGGAGGTAGCTATCAGTTTTGGGAATTGTTGGATAAATATTACAACGTCACGTCGTATTTAACTAGAGAAGATCTTGATGCTTTGCAAACTGATTTTATATTTGTAAATAATTTGTAATATTATCCGTAGAAGAATTTTGCAAATTAATTATTCCAATTGGATTTATTAAATTTCCTTCACACAGGCTTATGAAGCGGAGAATAATAAATGTAAGTGTTTGGATGTACAAACAAAACGTCGTCGAATAATGATAATTGGCGCGGGAAGATCGATGTGCCCAGATTTGGTTTCCGAATTGATAATGACGAAAGAACTTTGGTTAACTCACGGGGTTGTTATTAATTTATACGATGAGCCAGGTTGTTTTTTTAAATTGAGAAGAATTCTTAAAGATTCGGAAGGAATTGGCGGGGGTTTAAATGCAGTGAAAGTTTTGGACAATATACCCGATGGTTTAAACGACTGTGACACACTGATTTATCTTGATACATTATCAAGGTAAATAGGGAAATTAAGTATTTTAATATAATCTTATTTTCATATTATTGATTGCTATTAAAATACTGTTTAATGATATCGTACACGTTTTATTTAGAGAAGAATTTGAAAGAACAGACAGCTGGTTGCAACGAAATTATACGTGCATAAAAGAATTATCTATGCAAATAAATCAGTATGCACCCTTACACATGAAAGTAATTTTCTGTTCAATGGGACCTACGTGTTTTTACGTTAATATCATGCATGAGCTTGTTAAAAAATTACCGAAAACAAATATTGTTGCTGTCAGTTCTCATTACGGATTGGAACTTGTATATCCGTTTGTTAGTTCATTAGGTTTCACCTTACGAAATTTTGGTTGTCCACCTGTTTGGGGATATTTAGGTCGGTTTGCACTTTATCACAAAGAAATTAATATTTCGTTCTACACACGTGATAATGAATTAAATTTAATTGTAGGAATTAATCAGTTTGTAGATGTTCATCATATGATTCAAAAATGCGATATTTATCGACCCAACAAGAGAGCTATAGATTCAAATGAAAATGTAACGTTACCAGTGGGAGTACAGCGTTCAGAATTAAGATGGTTCTTCTATTTAGCGCAAGACAAAATAGATCCTTATGAGAATCATTATGAACGTAAGGTAAACAAATTCGAACACTTTTCACTGTACAATTATAATATAATACAAATGCCTGTACTCATTTATACGTATATGTTTAGTCACTCCTTCAGTATCAAGTTGGTAGATCGGAAGATTTTCAAAAGTGTAGAGCGATCTGTGATCTTTTGAAATTATGGTACAGCAAGGAAGAATATATCGGGGATGAAATTATATCGCTAGGGATTTCTTCCGATGGTAATTGTAGGAACTAAAAATTTATAATAAACGCAAGCATACCTTTTTTCTTTTGTAGGTTCTTTTGGCATTCCAAAGGGATTAGCATTTTCACAACCGGTCTATTTAAAAGTATCAGGAGATCATTCGCGAGTATGGACACCTTTCACAGATTTTCCAATGCCACACATGCCGATCGAAATATTTCAAAATCTTATAGACACTGCTATTATCGTGAAGGGAAAAATAACGAAACTGAAAGATAAGTTGAAAGAATAATATTTCATTTATTTTACATCGGGCATTTTTTTCCGCGTTCCCTTCGATTACGAGGCCCCCCTCCCCCCGTCCTCCATTTCGAAAAGCATCGGTACATACATGCATATTTCTCTCGACTGAATATACGCCCATTTTTGAATAGAAAGTATCAATTTTATTATATTATTTAAATACATAAATACCACAAAATTATTCAATTTTAACTTAAGTATTCCAGCTGCCTGTTATAATATACATGTATAAACTATTGAAATTGCACATTGTTGGTAATTGGTGATTTGCTACTTAAATTTTATTTAAAGTCTGAGCAATTGAAGCAAAAGAAAAATTGTATAACTTACACTGAAATATAAGTTCGTTAAAAAACGTTATAATTAATCTTAATAAATATGAGTATTTTTACATTCCTATTGAACGGATTAGAAGAATAGTGATAACAGAGCTTCTTAAGATAATTTTATTACCTAGTAAATACAATTGAATAAATTAGCTAAGAGATGTTACCATTATAATTGGTTGAAAAAATTATTACACTTTACCATGATATTTCTCTAAAAACATAGTTAGTTATGGGAATAATACTTTTTGCCATACATAATAATGTACTTGAATTTAATGTTATAATTTTTTTTTTTTTTGTATACAGAAAATGATATAACAAATTATTATTACCTGCTTAAATCTATTGTTAACAACTGGTAATCCATACCATTTTCCACTTATTTGATAAATTCTTTATACAGGATTTCACGTCACAATGGTAGACAAATGGATAAGCAATGCATTTCGTATTAGAGTGTCATTGTTTATATCATTATTATTCAAATCGTGACTATAGATTATTATGTTTCTTGAAAATTATTACATATCAGTCCTGCAACGGAGAGTGCGTAAAAACTTCGAATTCAATTAAATCATAAAACTTCTTTTACGTTTATTTCAGAACGAATGGTATGTTAGAAATTTTGAAACCAAAAACGACAAATTGAAAAATTTTAGAGATCAAAATTGTAAATACTAAAAATCTTGCTAAGGAAAATTGTAGAAAAAACTTTGCTAAGACATAATTTTCACGTAATATCTTTTTGTCTGTGAAGATCGATGATAAAAAACACATTGTATATTGCATATTTCACAATCACTTTTTAAAACTGACGTTGATCAATTCGTACGAGTAAAAATAGGTGTTTGGATTGCACGCCGTTACAATAGGTACAGTAAAAACAGTATTCTAACACAAAAAACTCTGACAATTTGAAAATTATGCTACAAAATTGATAGGTGGGACAATGAAAAATTTGTTTAGGCAGTTTTTGCTCGAATAGCAGCACGTTTTCCAGTGACGGCCTGAAAGAAAAAATTCATTGTTATAACACGCGAATAAATTAATAATCTTTAGCTACGAGTTAACTTCGTAGGCGGAAGTAAATGTGTTCAAGTGTTAGAAACACTTACCTGGAAGCCAGATTTTATGCTAGCTACTGAACATCTTGATCCACAGGTTTCACACTGTAAGAAAAATAGTCGAGTATCTTTTTGGAGAATGGTATCTGGCGAACGACAGGTGTGACAGGTAACATATTCTTTAATGTATCTCCTAAGAACATTTTCTATTTGTTTTTGTTGAAAACGGCCCTTAATAATAAGTTGACTATTTCCATCAACAGAACCACTAGTTCCTAATTCAGCAAGTAAAAAATCAAGTAAATGTTTTTGTTGCCTATGAAGCGTTCTGCATATCTGAAATAAAAAGTTGCAATATCAATTGGAAAAACAAGTTCGCGATTTAAATATAGTTGGTAGATCGTTGTAACAAGTACTTACTTCGGTGAAATTAGCAAAAGATGTTTTCTTGGTACCTATACGTACTACTTGAGGGGGACGCATAACGAATTTCTGTTTCTTTCCAGCAACCATATCAGGGTTTTTTTCCTTCATAATGTTGAATACTCTTATCAGTAATTCATCATACGTATAATCTCTATCCGATCCGAACCATAAACTTGTTTCTTCTAATAGAAAATATGATACTTATTTAGTGCATGTTCAGGATATAATAAAATTAATGGCAGATTTATTAATGAGATTTGTGTTTTGCTTCATTAGACGAACTACACTTTCCTTCGGACTTCTTTTAGTTTTATATTAATTTTAAACATTAAAGCAACACCAAACAGTTTATCAAACGTAGGTTGTTACTTATGAAATATTATGCTTCATTTCCATAACATATATTATTATTTCCATAACATAGAAAAATTGTTCTGTCGTTTAAAATGCATATACAAATACAGTAATGCCTTGGATATATTATTGGTACAGAGATATATACCACTTTTTCTACCAGAACGAGACTTTCGAAAGTATAGAAACAATGTATATACTTGTGATTGTTATATGATATGTATAGGAAACAGCAGACATATCCCTTACCATACTCTGCACTTCGCTCAGATTCAGTGCAGCATGTTAACAAATAATGAGTAACATAAAATTAGTTACCCGAAGCTATGACATTCTTTTACTATATAATATTTACCATTTTCTTTATCTTCAATTTCTTTATGCTCTTCTTCCGCTACTAGTTCATCGAGATCTTTCTTTTTCTTTTTCTTCTTTTTAGTTTTCGAGAAGTCCATATCCAAATCAAAGGTATCATCCACTGCAACTTCTTCTGTTTGTTGTTCGATAACATCCTATCAAGATAACAGCATACATTTATGTAAGTATATATTTACTTCGCGTATTTAAACATTACTCTGTATATACTTTTTTTTACCTCTTTTTTAGTATCTGGCAAAGCTGCGTCCAGTTCATCTAAATTAAATGCTTTTTTCTTCTTCCTTTTTTTCCTTCCAAAATTTTCTAAGTCCAATGTATCATCATCTTCCACCAATGCAGGAGGATCTGGCTCCTGGTTTTCTTTGTCACCAGTGATTTCTGATGCATACCCCATATTACCACCTTCATTGAATGCAGCATCAAGGTCAAAGTTAGTTTTCTTTTTCTTCTTTTTCTTTTTCAAGGTAGGATCGAATACCTAGACATTTTTTAAATAATTCATGTAACTTTATTCGATCGATAAAAATTATGACTGACTGACCGACTGACATCGAATTAAAGTAATTATATGTACTAATTTCATTGATTTTTTTTATAAAAATGCAATATATAAAACTTAACAGTTGACACATTTTTGTACCGATATTCGGTAATAAGTATCAAAAATTTTATGTATATTAATTAGAACGTTGCATCAACTTTACCACAGATTGCTTCATTTTATAAAATGTATCAAAAATATTGCAATGCGATACAAAAAACATTAAATTCATAATACATAAAGGAAAGACATAGGAGGTGTGATATGTCAGAAGGTATTACATAGAAGATAAATGTATAATTCTCTTGAATACTATCCACATGGCTTTGAGGTTGGAATCCGTAAAGCCGCATTATTTTTATGTTATGACAATTTCGCTGGAGAATGTTTTTTTATGTGGGTGGGAGCTTTATTCCCTTATATGTGGATTATGGGGTATTGTCAAAAAATTGAAAAGTATGTCAAGATGACCACGCTCCCATGCTTTTCCAATACGACATGGATACCTCTCTAAAGACATTTTCCAATATTCGTACGTACCGAATCTTCTTCAGTCATTTTGGATATCGCTTTAAATACTTTGGCGTTTATGAGAAACTTATCAATTTGTTGGGTTTTCTAAACACGGATGAACATTTTAATTGCACGAATCCTCAATCCTTTCGTTTGTACCACCTATACAGTGCATTCACGTCTTGTTAACGAATATTGCATCAGAAATTCGACTTTTAAGTCCAAAGTGTAATTCACACTCCCGAAAGGTTCAACGAAGCTAATGTTTCGTTGTGTGCCTTGATAAGCTTTCCTATTGGTCGATCGTGGATTCACGCTAATGAAACACGATGCAACTGCATTAGGTCATTAAACTCCATCGAGTAATTATTCCATATCTTTGCACAAATTTTCAATCGTTATCGTATTCTACCGGCCAACAAAAACAAATTTTTCAAATACTTAGCGCCAACTTTCCAAACATAGGGATATGTTGTTTCTTAAAATTTTCAACCGTCTATAAATATGTTTTGTTTAACAATCCTTAGATTTATCGTATTGTAAATTAAAACACATATATAAATAAGTGCCATTATCTGGTTTGTTTTGCTGTAATTATCTAAACGTACTCGACCTATCCTTATCTGCTGTTTCGACTACGTATGTCAATTCGAATAACCAACATATATGTACAAACGATGCACATAGAACACCAGGAATACAGGTTATGGATCGAATGGTAGTTTATCGTAATTCGTACTACCGGTGTTGCTACAATGCTATTGAATAAAATATGCATGCGTGTACGTTAAATATTTCGTTCGGTTAAATTCTACGATGATCGAGGCGGTTGATTATGGCTGTAAATGTACGATGAGCAAAGTGTCGCGTCGAGTCTCGATTGTCAATGTGCTTGGGGGAAAATTAATATGATCCATGTCAGAAGCTGCGAGCGGAAAGTTCGATGTGAAAGATCACTCGTGCGTGAAACGATTTTTCACTCCGTCCAAAATAGTTATACGAGTGTGTCTACGAAACGATGAACAAAAAGTGATGTGGTGAAAATCTCGTCGCACGTTTCGTTGAAGATCATACATGTCAACCGCCTAAATAACCAAAAGTACGTATCGTATTCGAATAATACATTTCGATAAATTTCGTTTTAGTTTTGATTTATTTATAATCCGCGTAGTTTTTGCACGGTTCAAATCGATCGATGAATCAATTAAAATATTTTCCAATACGTTGAAAACCGTTATCGGTGGTATTCGAAGTAATACTGCAATGCGAAAAAACTTATTCCGAACGGAAACCAGTTGCAAGCAGTCATTCGGTTTAAAGAAAGTTAAATAAGAAAATGTTTTGAGAAATGTTTCATGCCGCTAAACGATCACTTAATATGTTATTAATACATGCAATCGGTGAATCGAATCGATATATTTTTATCTTTACATAAAATTGTTAATTATTTATGTTAACTAATTAGGCACGTTTCGTGAAATTTCATGTAGCAACACGAGCTTGTGTACCTATTCTAAAAGGTATACTACAAGTGAGTGATATAAATATGAACAGTTAACCTTGAACTGTATCACAGAACTTTTGCTTTATTGATCGTTTTTTATGTGCAAAATATAAGATAGAAAGTCAAAGAAGTGATTGATAAATCCAATGGATTATTTGGGGTATCGCGGAATAATATTCTGAAAGGTTGCACGAAATTCTAGTTCAGGTGTAACCGATACCTTTGTCAAAGAAGCAAAATGCACGTTTACGCATGATACGGCTATCCTATGTCGAATTATCGTATCTTATTGTCTACAATTTTTCATTTATGTGCTAATAACGTGCACGTATGCACATGATCGATACTTTGGACCGACGCATCTAGATTTTTGTTCATTTACAAGGACGAATATAGAAATAACTATTGACAATGCAATTGAACACGATTTTGGTTCGCTTCCTTGCAATTAATATCATACGATATTCTGTTTCTTTTCTTCTTTCGAAGTCGGTTGTGCGGAAAAGAATATTTAATTACAAATATCGAAATTTTTACGAAATCGAACAAAATTTGCCCGAATTACAAAAATAAACGTGAGAATAAAGGAGTTTCCAAGTAGATTAGATAAAGAGTTTATCAGTAACTATTCGCATTTTTGTCGGTTTCGTCAGTTTTCATGTATTTTTAAATAGTTCAACTCGTTGGTAAAGGGGGCGTACGGTGATCACGATATATGTACAATGACTATTATATCTCTTAGTACTTGTCGCTGTTGTTGAATGCGTGACGACAGATAGTAATAAATATTTATCTGGATTGTATGTAACACTTAAGAGCATCGAGGATAAAGAAAGATACATCAGTCAGCTCGGTTTCGTTTAATTCGAAGTACGTGCGTGAACTGATACCTATGGTCGTCGATTAGGATAATCCTGTAGTATTCGAGGAATCGTGAAGGTTTATTTACGCGGGAAACGATGTCACTCGACACACGTCAAAAATAAAAAGGCGGGAAAGGAAAAGTAAATGAATTTACGTACATTTTTGTCTTTTGCATTAAAGATTGTTACAAAGATCGACTGTTAGTGCTCGAAGATCGTGTAAAAGTTTTAAAGAAGGTAGATCTACCTTGTACATAACCCTACGCCGTTCGAGGAACCGTGAAGGTTTATTTACGCGGGAAACGATATCGTGCCGACACACGTTAAAAATAAAATGGCGGGAAAGGAAAAATAAACGTATTTACGTACCTTTTGTGTCTTTTGCATTAAAAATTGTTACAAAGCTCGACTGTCAGTGCTTGAAACTTTCTTTTAAACTTGTTTTCTATTCTTTGCCTCGTATTATTAGTTCAATTAATTTCTTCGATGACTTCATCAATTGTACCGTTAATCTTATCGTTTTCGGGTCAATTCTTTATGTCATTTTCGTAAGAATTTTTAGCCTGTTATATTTGTCCTGTAGTGTGCTATCAGTACATGCTAGTTATTTATTAGGCATTAACAAATGAAAACCAATATATTGTTCTGTTTTTGTATATAAACAAGTATTGTATTTTAAATAAAAATACATACAGAAAGAAGTAGTACAGGCAATTGTTGTAAATTCGAGTTTAAATTTTTGGTTCGATTTCTTTTCTGGTTTTTAAAGAAAGATATTTTGATGGATATTGACAGATAAAATGACGACGCACGAAAAAAGCTCGACGTCGTACGATGACGACATTGAAGTCTCGGACGACGAAAAGAAAATTACCGAAAGTACCGAGGAGGATGAAGAAAGAACAACGAAGAGATCGAAGTGTAAGCTTGATGCCAATGGCCGGCTGAATTTGAAGGATATTTTATTATCGTTCAATGGACCGGTCAGCCAGGAACAGGCATGGGCATTGTGTTATCAAACGGCCAAAAGTTTATCGCGTCTACCGGACAGCAATTTCTATGAACTCTCGGAGTTATCTCAGATCGTCCTTCACAAGGATGGTGATGTTTGGCTCGGCGATCTAATCGGTAAGATCATTTAATCTTGATCTTTCCAACAATAAGGTTTCCTTATCGCTGTATTATTTATTTTCGTCAAATGATTCAAGATATTAAGTACACATGCGCTGTGTGTATTACTCAATCTGGTATATTGTTTGTAAACTATAATGATCGTATTATACAATATACACAGAATGTTTCTTTTAATCCTTGGACGTTCGACTCGAGGTTTCTCAATTTCACGAGCTTACTTCCTATTAATATTGTTATTTATTAAAAATCAGAACTTTACCAACTCTGAAATAAAGTCTGCATGGGTTCAAAGGTATGTACCTTGGAGCTGGTAAACTGTTAACTTTGGTATCTATGATATCTCTTGGTTTTTCTTTTTTTTTTGTCAAAGACACGACAAGAGCCAAAGATAAGTGTTCATTTCCAAGGAGCACATATTCTGATAAGCAACAGTTTATTTGTAGAGTTATATTTTACATTCTTTCAAGGTTGTTGAACATTTTTTCGAAATGAAATTGACATATCGCGACCTTGAATAACAGATATCACGTTTATATTATATTTTATTTCAGAAGATGTTAAATAAAAATAAATATCGCTGATCTTTGAGTCGCGTAAAATATGATGAAGAAAAAAATTTTTTATCAGAGTATTTGCCTGTATACAGTAGTTGCAATATAGTTGAACTATATACCTTAACTATATTCACAGCATAGGCATAATATAATTGCTTAATAAAAATATGTGGCATAGTAAACTGTAGCGTAGTAATTTGTACAGTATACTTGTATATATTACAATACATTTTATTATAAACGTTTTAATTAATTGTGTTAATAACGTAGTATAATGTATTGTATATATGTGCATGATGTGTAAAATTTAAAACTGTCGCAATACGATGTTAATAATTTTGTTAAAATTTGTTGAAAAAGTGTGGCATAGATGTATAAATCCTATAACTCGTCTAATATTTGCAAATGGCTTGAGACACGCGTTTTGTCAAGTTTGAATGTTTGAACAACGATACGAATTAATTGTTTGCACGACAAAGTTTTTGATAAGACTATTAATACTACATTTTGCGATATTTTGTTAAAAAAAAAAGAGTAATTTGAAGTTATCGAACTTGGCGTAAAATTTATAATTTAAAGTATATATAAATTGTAAGTTAATATAAAGTTTATTTATAAATCGTCCAATAGTTACAAGAAATATCGATACGTGTTGAGTTTTTTTAATTGTGTTTGTGTTACAGAATCGAAGCAACCCCTGGTATCCGAGGAAAAGGTAAGCAATGAAAAGTAGAATCTTTACAGGAACACCGATCATCGATATTCAACGAGAAAAAATACGTTTCCGTTTGTTGCAGGCAATGTTCTCGTTAGGTATGATGATCTTCAAAGCGCTTGATTTCGGCCTAGACGAACAAGAAGAAAGGCCTTTATCACCAGACCTAGAAGGTCTTATAACGTTAATGACTAGCTCAAATGGAGGTAAAATGAACTATCTAATGGTGAATAAATTACCTGTTCAGATCCATTAAATCTCTTGGTTAAAGTTTATTCATTCTACTTTGTCTTCGTCCAATAATTAAATTATTTCGTTTGGACCGTAGAATGCGAAGGGGAAACCGAAGAACGTCCGCAGGAAACAGACGACGAAGGCATCGAACGAGATTCTAGCGATGCCGATGTAGATGATTTTTTGTCGCAAAAAACTAGCGACACGTACGAGGAGAAGGTGTCGATGTATTCGTTGAAAAATGTAATGCAAGTACGTGATGGAAATTCTGCATACGAAATGTACATATTTCTTATAGATAAATGTCCGTGTAATAACTCGTATATTAATTTATAGTTATGTACCAGGCATATGCAAACTACTGTCGAGTCTGCCGAAGCTCATTATAAGGCCGTGATACGGGCGTTTGTAGCAGAGGCTTTAGAACTGTCGCAATTTTTGGACACAGTGGCAACCGACAAACTGCAAGCGAGCCAAAGGGAATCCATCAACAACGATGGCAATAAACAAAACTCGATGTCCGTCCAGAATCTCGATACGCTGGATTTCATTGACTGGGTAAGGTTCAAATAATAACGACACAAAAAAATGTATGTCGTTAAACTTGAATTTGCATTTTGCGAAATTGAAATAAGCTCCGCGACCGAGAATTAATCGTTCCGCCATAAATTGAAGGCACATTAAACGAATTATCGTACAAGTACGTGAAAGTACGCGTGATGGTTCGTCTAAATGGATCGACCAACATTACTCTGTCGTATAAAGTCATTTATCATTTTGCAGAGATAAGATATTTGAGATTTATTGACTTGACTCTCTACCGTTATAGACTGACATTAGGATCTGGCGGGCTATACAAGTATGTCATCGTCAATAATTATTTGCGCATGTGAAACGAAACTGTTATAATTTAGCGATGATTATTACCACGAAGCATGTAGCACGATTAGCGATAATTTTTAGCACTGTTTTGAAACGTTTGTTTTTAAAATCCTCAAACAATATTATTGCACCCGCTATTTTATAAATGCATGCATTTTCACTGACTTTCGTTACAAGTAGGCTAATGGGGGTAGGGTATCTTAAAGAGTTGCTCGACTTTAGTTGACAGTTTACTATTATTTATCACTATTATTCTACCCGAAGTAACATAATTATTGAATTATTTTAGATAATAGTTCTTATTGACGCACCCTGTATGTATAATAGGTACCGATTGTGCTTAACGTGTTTAAAGACACCAGAGATGTTTAAAAAGATTTATGCAAATCACTTGTTTACGTTGTATATAGATATTTACTGTTTCTGAACGCTTGGTCGTAACCGATAGGCACGATTTTGGGTACAAGTGATCCAAGAGTTAAGGAAAGGAGTAAAACTGAAAAAGGTAGAGGCCAACTTGGGTTCGAAGAGCACGACTCGTGGACGCGGAAAGGGGGCTGAGTTTGAGTTAACGCCGTACGAAATCTTAATGGACGATATTCGAGAGAGGAGGTACCGTCTTAGGAAAACACCGTCGCCGACGCCACATTTGCGAAAAGACGCTCACGCTATTATTCTGGAATTTATTCGAAGCAGGCCTCCTTTGAAAAAGGTAATATTTAATTCCCAATTCCGTCGACGAGAATTCTTCTTTCTCCCCCATAAAGAAACGCGTTGCTCGTGCGTAAAATGATGCACAGAAACGATTGTACGATACGTAACATTTTTTCGATAGACTTTAGTGATATGATTCTACGCAGGCCTCCGAGAGACAACTGCCACCGCTACAGAAGAAGTGGACTTTACGAGAATTACTTATGGAGAGCATAAAAAAGCCACCGAATTTAAGATCATCGCGGAACCGATACGTTCCCAAGAACGAAAGAACATACCCGCAAAGTGGTAAGTTACGTTCTCTGTTCACTCGCACGACAACGATATCTGCATGCGTTACGTGTCCCGCTGCTTTATAAAATACATCTTCGTTCGTGTACGAATGTTCAATAAATTAATATAAACCGACCTATTAACATTTACATTTTGTGCATCGACGACTGCGGCCAACGCACGCCGAGAAATCATTCGCAAACATTAATTGCCGAACGACGTGGTACCTCAGTAAGTCTTCCCGAGCTGATTGTGCTATGCTGTAAGTTGCAAATAAAAGTGTCGACAAACATTTTCAACCATTTTTAAGCCAAGATTCGAACAGCCCAAACGCTAGTCGTCTCTTTATGTTCTAATTTTGTCAGAGACCGTAACTGTTATTACCTAAATTTTAAAAGTTATGGCATAAGAATTAATATCTTTCTTTAAATGATTTTGGTTACTGATAACCATTATTGTAAACGGAAATATTTTTTGGTTACTGATAACCATTATCGAGGACCAGAATATTTTTTTGGTGACCAAAAAATATTTCCGTTTTCAATAACGGTTATCAGTAACCAAAACAGATAAATATTAATATTTTTTAATCATTTAATTTTTCGGAAAATTTATGCAGTATTTAACGAAGACTGACATTCGTTTAAATAAAGATTAACTTTTTCTCAATGATTTTTTTCAAAAAAATTTAAAAAATAACTGTTATTTCTGGTCTCTGAATTTGATATATCTGTAAAGATAAAGAACACCTAGACAGAGTTTCGCGAACTATTGTCTTGTTTCCTCGGTGTTGCTCGATACATGTATTTTTCATCGGACGGTAAAGAAAATGTCCGACCATAGCCGAGGGTCAACAGTGCACGCGTACACTCGAAACGTTATGGACCAATGGCTCATACACAGCCACGCGGCGCACACGTGCGGCTACATTTTCAACGAAAATATATCTAACGACGAGTAACCATGCGCGGGGACGCGAAGCATGCGCCCGATTCCGCTACAAGCCTCCGACGTTCAAGCGTCCCTTTCACCCCCTAATCTCGAGAGTACAGCTTGGAAATTCCACGCAGCGCGACCAGAACACCCGGTATCTGTGTCTTTATATTTTTATAACGATACTCCCTCTCCAATGCTTGCATCCCGACATTCCCATAGAGTCGTCCGAATACTCAATTTACGTTCGTCGATCGGACGAATCCGAGCTTGTTACGACAGTGTATACCAGTGGTGCACAAAGTCCGGTCCACGAGTCGATTCGATCCTCCCTTCGAGTTCGTAATTAAAATATTTCAATGCACAATTCTCGACTCTTCAGTCTTCTCATACATTTTAAACAACCGTGACACTGTTCTTAAATTGGAAATACATTTACGGTACTTCCGGTCCCCTTACTCGTTATTTTATTCGATCTCAGAAAGATTGTGCGTCGCTGGTGTACACCGGATTCGATCGTATACGTCTGTCCCTATCCCGAGGAAAACAAAAGACTGTTTTCTTAAGTTATCTTTCTCGTGCGTCTCCGCCGGTGTCTCGATCGGTGTTTCCATAAAGGGGTTGGGTTTGAATGAATCATGTTTCGCAGTAGGCAGGCTTAGAGCGTGGTGCGAGCCCCAGACCGACCGCGATCAATAACCGAAAGGCGCGCAAAGGCCGAGCCTGACGTCGGGCCGGAGAGTAACGTCATCGTCGAACAACGAGGCGGATGCGGGTGATTCTTCGCTCTTTCGTCGCGCGTTGTTCCCTGCACGCATCCCTGCACGCGGCGCGGGGTGAGGGGAGGGTGAACAAAAAAACGTAAGATTCGGCACTCGAGGCGTGAAATCGTACGGGGCGTCGAACGGCGTGTCGTCGCCTGGTAAAGTCGAGTGCGTCGAGAAAGAGGATAGGGACACTAACGAGCACGTGTACTTGATGTACAGTCTGTACGCGAGGATCCACGAGCCATCACGGCCGCACCAGCTATCTACGAGATGATCGAAAACACGAACGGATGAACGTGGGTAGACGGCAGCCCCGGTGAACGCTGGTAAAACCGCGTGAGAATCTATCTGACATCGACATTTTTATTTTTCGCTTCGTGGACGACCGGATACCGTTCACCGAATCGTCGTTGACAAACCGAACGATGTTGGTTCGCAGGCCACGGGCCGTCGACGAGTCGGGGCTGAGGATCGCGAGAGATACCACCAGCCACCCGTTCGGTTCGTAATCGCTGGAAAATTTACCCGCCCCGTAAAGTAATCGTGCAAGACGAGAGAAACATGTGTTGAGAGAAGGTGGGGAAAGGAGGAAGGAGCGAGTAAGAGGTTGTAACTGTTGGGTGGTAGCTGGCGAGTGTTGGTCTGGGATTATCCCGCATGATAGTCTTGGGTGAAGTTCCACCGTCGAAGCCGGAGCAGGAACAGGAATCCGCGCAGGATGTGGCGGCTCAGTGGTTGCAGACAGAGGACCAGACCAACGCTACGAGCACGTCGACGACCGCCACGGCGATCACAACAACGTCACACGCGGCGAACGTGCCTGTTACGATGAGCAGAAGCAGAACGAACGTGCCGCCGGTCCCGTTGCCCAGGCAAAGAATCGGCAAGCTTGAGATCAGGATACCGGGAAACAGGAATCGTAAGTCGCGTAGAAGGCGCGTTACGGTCGCAGGTAATCATACCATTCATCTTCTCTTCGACCATCGCGACACGGGTAATACGTAATGAATGTTGCCCGATCGACGGTATCTTGCTACGGTAGAGTTATGGAATACCCGAATAATCGGCATATTTATCTCGATTTTTGCCAATCTCGAGTTTCAAATCGTTCTGGGAAAATTATTTTTAGTTACAGGGATCGATTGTAATTATTTTTGGTCGATAGACATACCCCCGAAATCCTACCCAATTACGAGAAAAAAATTCAAAAAGTGGATGAATTTTTCGACAAAATTAAAACATTTCAAATCGTTTTAAAAAAAATATTTTCAGTTGCGTGGGACAATTATAATCAGTTTTGGTCAATAGACATACCCCCGAAATCCTATCCACTTTCGAGAAAAAAATTCAAAAAGTGAATGAATATTTCGACAAAATTAAAACATTTCAAATCGTTTAAAAAAAATTATTTTCAGTTGCAGGGGTTAATTACAATCATTTTTGGTCAATAGACATACCCCTGAAATCCTATCCACTTTCGAGAAAAAAATTCTTTACCGAAAATACAATGTCTGACCATACCGTTGATCTATTCCACTGAAATTTCATGCATATCTTTAAAAAATCATAACTCCTGAACGGATTGAAGGATTTTCATTTTTCAAAAAGCAATCAACGCGTATTTTGGTCAAGAATATGTAGAAATTCCAAGAATATTCGAAAAGTTATTCCTTAACCCCGTAAAATTAGAAAAACCCCATAGGTAGGGTCCAATTTGCAAACTACCATAACTCCTACAATAGTGAACGTATCTCATTGAAATTTAGTGTGGAAGTAGAGCTCATGGGTACCTACAGAAAAGTATTAAACAAAATTTCCGTAGCGCGTCAAACAAATTTATTAAAAATGAAAAACGAATCTTTAAGAAAAATCGACGGAGGGTGGGTGCCTAAATTTTTCGGCGAAAAAAAAAAATTTCAAATCGTTCTAAAAAAATTATTTTCAGTTGCGGGGGTCAATTACAATACTTTTTGGTGAATAGTAATACCCCCGAAATCCTACCCACTTTTGAGAAAAAAATTCGAGTAGGTGTGAAATTTTTCGACGGAAAAAAAAAATTTCAAATCGTTTTGGAAAAATTATTTTCAGTTGCGGGGGTTAATTACAATCATTTTTGGTGAATAGACATACCCCCGAAATCCTACCCACTTTCCAGAAAAAAATTCGAGTAGGTGCTAACTCCGACTTTTTAAAAAATGAGTAAACAGTAACATTGTTTCTGTGCAAAATTTTCAATCGAAGAAAGTTCAAGGTCGCAACTGCGGATAGGATAATTCTCTATATTTAGCTTTATGCGCACGGGCGCCACGTACGGTTATGCATGACTCAAGATTTATTGAGGTACCATCACTTTGCAAAATGTATTTTTTCCCTCGCGGAAGAATAAATCAATCATATGCCATATTCACCGATCATCGGCATACATATGGTTGTCCTTTTTAACAATAATAATCTATCTGGTTAAAGTCTTTTCGCACGAATGAAATTTTTAGATCAAACCCAAAGTAGCGCCGAGGTCAAAGAAAACGAATCACCTACAGCAGCACCAAAACCACCTCGGAGGGATCTAGATAGTTCAAATTCTACAACAAGCAGACGGAAAGTGATACCTGTGGATTTTGACTTAAAGGTTTGTGACTTTTACATCTTAAACAGATCTTTCCTCTAAAAAGTACTGCTCCGGACTAACGTTCTTCCTCCTAATAAACAGCTCGACGCAGAAGACGAGGACGATGACGAAGATTACAATGAGGAATTTACGGTAACAAGATTCGAAGAGGAGGACGAAGCAACGAATTACTGGCAACTTAAAGAGGACTACTCGTTCGCAGATAGAGGCAGTGCTCGCAACAGGCATAAAGATCAGAGAGATGATGACGAAGTAGGTTCTGCTAATCCCTGGCGAAAGACGGGAGGACTTCGTCTGACGAGAAACGAGTATCACCGATTCTGCGACGCTCAACTCGAATGTAATTGTCATTTGGCTAAAAAACTGTACCACGAATTCCACAGAATGTTATCGCGCAAGGGATCAATATTTGACACTTGATATTTTTAAACCACCGGCAATTTTATTTCGCAGCTTACGACCTTGCAACGCAATGCCCATCCAGAAGAGCGTCGGCTCGAAAACACGCGGCCAAACGCAGCATAGCTCTAACAGCACTGACCGGTACCACTTCCCTTCCTCATTCGAGGCCGCAGAGTCGTCAACACGTAGGTGTAACAGAGTCGACGTTGAGTCAGGGCCCGAGTCCTAATATCAGCTTGAATCCTAGTCCAAGTCTGAGTCCTCAACCAAGAGCGAGACAGCCGCGACGTTCCCAAACAATTGCCGTAGATACAAAAGATACAGAGGAACAACCTGAAGACTGGCAAGATGATAAAGGACAGGTAGGAAATACGTTGCGACTATCTTGATCGGTGATGGAAGGAGAAAGACTAGAAATAGTCTCCTGAGGGAATGTTTCATTTTCTAGAAACCTACGTTGCGTGACATGTTCCTGGATGAAAGACTTTCTCTGACTCTTGAGGAGATCGTGCACATACGTAGCGTACTTACAAAAGCTGAATTGGAATCTCTACCTGTAGAAGGTCGCGTGAAAGAAGACGTGGAAAAAAGACGCGTCTGTTTCCTTTGCCTAAAGACTAGATTCGGACTGTTGGGTCCTTGGGGGCAACGTTGTCGTTTATGCGAGAGGACCGTATGCGTAAAGTGTTATTCAAAAGTAAGTTCACGATTTAACTGGCTGAATTACCTATGTTTTAATCAAACGTTTAATATTTTAGATGCGAATTCCAACGGAACATTTTGCACACGTTCCTGTGGTTCTACTGTCACCTGGTCTTCTTCTTTCTCCGTCATCCTCGGAACCGGATACCAGTAAGAGTTCCTGGCTTAGAGGCAACGGAGCAGCTGGATCTGCACCGGCATCACCAGCCTCTAGACGCAAAGACTCGTCGCTGAAGAGCGTGACACCTTCATCCACGCCGACTACTACACCTGTTTTGATACTTACACCGACCTCGACGCCGCCTTCTCATGCCCGCAGAGAAATGGACAACCACGATAAGAGGTGATTAATTCGTTACCGATATTTCAATGAACATTCATTTCTTTACATTAGCGTGGGAAGGCCGCACAAGTGCGTACAAAATTTGGAAGTCTCGTCTGACATTTTAACACCGTTTCTACCGCGATTTTGTGCATACTTCCAGCGAAGAGCATAACTGTACCGATAACCAGGGAAGTCACGTAGAGACTCGCGCCCCACTCCTCAATATTTCTCGTGCTGTGCCGACAGAAATACCCTTCCGTTCACACCATCCAGAGCTCATCTACCCGTAGGAATTCTAAAAATTTAAGTTAACTTCAAATTCTGTGACGCAGGAGTTACAAAAGCAGCGGTAGTCCAGCCAATGTACCGTCGCCAAAAGCGTTCTCCAGTTTCACTAGTCACAGCCCGGAACAACGATTGGCCGCGGAACGATTGCGAGGGGTCTCCATGGTCGTGTGTCACGATTGTCGCATAATGGTGATACAGATAATTAAAAGTTCAAGAACAACACGGGCTACGATACGCAACAATGTCATTTCGCGACTTACTTTGAACCTTTCGCCAGCCTACGTTTGAAATTCTTCCCACTATTCCCATTCTCCCCCCGCCCCGAGAAACCGGATGTTCCATGCACCAGATTTCTATTGGAAGAAGGCGCGTCATCTCGTTTTTAATTCTGATAAATGGGTATAAAATGCTACAATGCCAGTAAGTGAGGCACGTAGATTAGATTCCTTCTCCTTGTACCAATGTCTTGTTCTCGTTGTACTGTTAATATTCTATGAATAGTTGTCAGCATCTCTCTAATACAACGAGCATATCAGTTGCTATGAATTGTGATCGTACTTCAAAGGGTCAACTGTTATATTGGTTCTAAAAAATCATTATGCAACGATGATAAAGCATTATATACAATCATTTACGTTTAACGCGGCTCTGAAGCAGAGTTCTTTACAAGTAATTCGTTTCGTTCCTGCTGTGCAGTTATCTGAAATGATGATTAAAAAATTAACACTCAAAGTAGTATTTTTTTATGAAACAGATAGCATCCAATTATCGTTTATAACAAAATTTGTTACTATTAAAGAAAGTGGGCCAGGAAGCTTTGTTTGAAAATTGAAGATAGAAAATGTTGGAGGTAGAGTGAGCAAAACAAGAGAAAAAGAACAAAAAAATAGGTCTATAATATTTCATTAATAAATGGTGGAACTTGAAACACGAGGAATCTAGTACGAGAAACCGGCATACAGTGGCATCTAATATAGTCTACGTACCTACATACAGGCTTATATCTAAGTAGTATCGTTAATGCATGCAAATTTGAAAAAAAATTATATAATTAGAGTCGAATATTTCATTATGAATGGCTAAGGCTCCATTTTGGTTCGCAACGGTGGTGAACTACTTTTGCTTCCTAATTCAATGATAATTACTATAGCGATAATCTTAATAATAAAAATAATTCTAATGCGCTATGTGCATTCCCAGCTCATAAAAGTTGGGAATCCTTGTTTAAGTTGATCGATTATTTCAGGCACGAATATTATGTATGTTTGCTTCCACATTGTTGTGAACGTTAAATTTAAGTAATATCGCCTTTAAATTAAAATTCAGTTGAGGGAATTTTCTGACGGGGATCAGTGAGAAAAATAAGTAAAAATGTTGATACGCTAACGTATTCAATAAATATACACGTGCCAGAACATCTATTTCATGCTATTATGTTCAAGCGATTGCAAGTTTTAAATCAGTACCATTATAATTTTTTTGAATTTCGATTTAGAAACGTAAATGTTTGCATCGTCCCACATTTTTTGGTGTTTAATTTTTATGCAACGTATGACTGTTTATTCTGTCTAATTGTTAACATCTTTACTTTCGTTAATAATCCAATTAAGGCGAGAGGTATGCGTACATAAGTCCACGTATTTATCTAGTTAGAGAATTAATCAAATACTCTAATAACACCCAAAGATATTTTTCTTTGCGTCCGTGTGACCATCAGTTTTACAACCTAAGAAATATTATTTAATTTACAGAGTCAAAGTCGGATGCACAATTGTATAATATGTCTGTGGTGATAAAATTCGTTAATTTAAATTTTTGTATAATCGTGATATTAATTTATTATTTTATATGTTCGATATTTATTATAATTATTTATTCAATGGAGGTATTTCTCTTTAGACTGTATATATAATTGTGGATATATTTTGTGGGTTTAGTATGAATGTGTAGTGTAATCTCCTTACTTTATCGTTTGTTATTATTATTTATAATATTACTCATTTGTACAAAGTTTAATATTAAGTGCTGAAAGATACTTTGTTCCCTTCTGTATTTAATTATGATTTTTGAATGAATTAATTGTACGCTGAAACCAAGTCGTGAGGCGGAAAGGGAATGCATTATGAAGTGGCTCTTGTTGCAGTCACATTTATAGGGAATTAGTACAATGAAGTGGCTGTTCGCTTGTACAGATTAGTGCTGTTAAAGAGGAAATGTACAAACGTAAACCGATAACGATTCAGAGTACAAACGAAGAATGCAAATTGCGCTATGATTAAATGCTGGGTACGGTCTAGCACTGAATTGTATATGTAACAGTGAAAACTATAAATTTGTTGATATGTAATGTACATTGGTGAATTCTACAAATGAGCGGATTGTTTCGGTTGAAATGGAATTAATTTATTTTTTTAGTCGCAGGTAGATTCCCAATGATTTTCAGCAAAAATCAAAATAATATACTTCATAGTACCTTGAAATAATGTATAATAATAGATTACTGAAAAACGAAAGCTATGTAATGAAGTATCCCTCAAACATTTTGTGTGGATATGAACACGAACCCGTAGAACATTACTGTAATAAAATTAAAACTAGAACTTGTCACAACAGAGTCACAACGGCATGACATTACAACAAGGTGTAAGAGGATTTAATATGGAAAATTATTGATTATATTAATTTATCGTTTTTTATGTGCAATGTATATGTATACCAATGAATGATCATTAGAAATCTTGTTTTTATGATGAAAGTGACCAAAATATATTTTATTCCAATCCATTACTCAAAGTGTTATCTCCAAACAAAAGTTTTACACTTTATTATTTTTTACTCTATTGTAATTCTTAAAATGATTACTCTTTTATGTACAAGATGATTTTTATAAAATGACCGACGTAAATATCTAAATGTCTAAATATCTAAATTGGTCTATTTATAAATATCCTCCTGTACATTGTAATATACCATTCGTAAAAATCAACATTGAAATATAACGATTAAATTATAAAACACTTTTAAAAAATGATGAAGACTGTCAACGAGTTATTTTTTTTTTATAATATATACCGTTCAAACTGGAGTCGCCGTATGTATATCTATAATAATTGTCAGTATAAAAGTCGATTCGAATATCCTGCGGATAAAAGCAAAGAATGTCAAATAACACATCGGTACAGATTATAATTATTATTGTATAAAATGAGATCCCGTAAAATGTATGAGATCATCAGTATTAACATTTCTACATCTTCTTATTATTAATATTTAGTTATCAATTCCTTGAATGATCGAGACTCCAAAATATTCGAATCGATTGTTCGAAAATATTCCGTATGCCTTTTATTCTTTTATTGCCATCGAAGCGCCATCGAATTTAATTTAAATCAGTCGAAATCTTAATTAATTAGAAAATAAAAAACCTACATCGTTACCTATCGTTAAAAAATCTTATTTCGAAGATCGTACAGTATCAATCATTCTTTTGAAACGGATGTTTGCTGCGCATCATCTATAAAATCACGGTAAAAAAAAACGAAATGTTTCGTGTATGTAACTTACATGTGTAATTAAAGCAACAGTTCATCGACAATTGATTATTTAAATTCGCATTATTATCTTTATAACGAAATTTAATCAAATCTCGCACTATATCTTGCAAAACTTGCTTACCAATTAATTAATATAACGCACACACTAAGCCTAATTTCGTACGATGCATATAAAAAATAATATTTACATGTAATACTGACACGTCACAAAATTTTCAATGGATTTATTGAAAGAATTGAAACTTATGCTGGTAAACAATTACAATATTGCATAGCGGAAATTCCAGTGAGAAACATTATCACAGCCGTTAAATTCTATTAGATGCGTACGAGAAAATAGAAAATCACATTGATAAAAAAAAATGTCGATAGTGTTTGTTCAAAATATAAGAATATAAGAGAAGTTACAAGAAAACAAGATTATGCAAACAAATGCATAAAGTATTGTATACATTATTAAAATTCGAATGTAATACAAATACGCTTTAAAACACGTAAACATTAATTCATAGATATAAAAGTACTTGAACGCTTGCAATAAAAATGTTTTAATAGACAAGATTAAGATTATAGATTGTATTTACAAAATTTGAAGAATATAATAATGTAATAATGTGTGTTGCCGCTTGTAAAACATTTATTGAGAATCTAAGCTAATTTGCTACTTGAATGCGTTTCTGACTTCCATAAAGCTTAGTTTTACAATAACTGTTGTATTGATTTTCTTCAAACTTTGCCAATGTAATCTTGGTAATTGTGTCGTTCAGTTACGGTACAATATCGTCTCTAAAATTCAGTATAACTTACATATTCTGTTCCTTACAGTGGTCGGCTGCAAGAGTTAGAATACTAGTGGAATTACCCATTCTATGAAGAACGATTGCTTTCTCAATGATTCAAGTATTACGCTGCGAAGCAAATTTTTATGGTAAGTCTCTGCTTTATCACGTTAATATTTACTCATAATTCTCGTAACGAAGCTCGGAAAGCAATGAAAATAATGTCATGGTTTTAAAAGGAATACTCACAATCTGACTTAATGCTACTTTTTAATTTCAGCACTTTTAAATATAGAATATCTTTGTACATACACGTAAGTGGCTATTGCTGTTTTCGACAGGTAATATGTTATCGTTTAAAGTACGAATTCAGTGCGCGTTAACGTTGCATCGCGATGCAGAAAGGAGTTTGTAGGTAGCAGAAGTGCCGTGCAAACTGCATCGGAGATATTAGCATTGACGTTTCCGTTTCTGCTCGATCACCACATGCCCGCAACGCTCACGATCGCAAAATCCGCACTTTAGTCATCCACGTACACTGCGCATATTAAACGAATTTACACATTAAACGAATATGATTTTATTTACATTTGAGCGACAAATACACAATAGTTTTCTATCGAATTCGCAATAATACTACTTGTCTTTATCGATGATTCCAAATTAAACATATCGATACGAAAATTCAATGATACGCGCGTGAACGTAACTCTCGTCGTTATGCGTTGGATTGAAAATGGTGATGATATTGTATAACGTGTAATTAACTCCTTTCTAGCGAAATACGATCATGTTAATTATGCTTATGACAGACACAACGATCGTGATCCAGTATTCGACTACCAGTTGCATAAGAAAATAATACGACAGATTTAGATCCTTGCGAGTCTGTCCATTAGGTAAAGAGGAGTCGTACAACTCGCGATAATGTCTGATAAACATACTTGAAAAAATGATTGTTCGAAATGTGAATTATATACATAATGCAATCTCGGTCGTGGAACTGTGACTGGTTTACTTTTTCTTTTTTTTTTTTTTTAATGTGTTCTATATCTCACTCGTGACGTTTAATTTCACACTAACGCGAAGCAAATATAACGTATCCGATACTATCTTAGAGAACTGTTTACAACGTAGTGAGAGGTAAAGCTAAAATACGTAAACTCTACACTTTAATATCTAATCAGATTTTGTCATTGTTGGCAATAGATTAATAATAATAATAATAACCATCGATATTCATCCAAAGATATTCCTGTACAGAATGTTCTATAGCAACTTGTTCGTGACGAATAGAAATCTGTTCGCCGTATTAAGAGATAAACGATTGCAAGAGAGCATGTAAGAATAATTTTTCGATATTTTCAATAAGTTCCAGGCCACTGTATACAGAAATATCTTCCACGTAATAAGAATAAACTTAATTTTCGTTAATAAATAAATAGTAAAGACGCGTATTAAAGAATGTGATGTTTACTGGAAGACGGTATTAGAGTCTGACTGTAAGAGATTTATCTTTATCTTATTAGACAAAAGGACGCGAGAATACAGTTGCAACATTTCAATCACTAAGATAACCAAGGTATCCGCTACCTTTTATTCCCTAAAAGAACTATCGATTAAAAATCATTTATAAAAACGATCAAAAACATCGTTCGGTCAAAAATAATTCTGTTAAAAAAAAAAAAGAAACAAATACAATAAAATGATACACAGCAAAGATATAAAAAAGTTCTTGTACACGATAAAACACCGATCAATACTGACAAATGATCACCAAATTAAAACGATTAAAAGAATTTCTAAATAATTGCAACTATATTCATCGATCCTCTCAACTACGCAAACCACCGTTCACGCTAAAGTGCTGGACAACAAACTCGGCTGAAACATGAAATCTCATCTATTTGAAATTCATGCATATATATATACATATATATATATATATATTCACGGTTTTCAATTCTTATTTTTTTTTTACAGTTTTTTCTTTTTTAATAAAGATCCGAAGAAACAACGACGCCTCTAATATCTGCCTCTATTTCCGTAATTTGATACTCAGCACTCTCGTCGCACGGCTCTAAATTTATACATAAACAATCGGTGAACAATGATTAACGTATCAGACAGGTAGCACAAATACGTTGAGGCCCAATACAGTCGTCGTGACAAAAGGCGCCGCACTGCCGGCATATTACCATAGCACCTCGCATGTTACACTCGCAGGGGGGTGGTGGATCTCCGCCCATTATCATACCGGGTGCTCCAGGTTCGGCGCCACCACCTCCTCTGCCATCGGCTCCCCTCGCTTTCAAAGTTACGGCTTGATGCGAACCCTCTCCAGCGCTGGCTGGTCTACCGCGCACTAAATGCACCCCGACTCCCATTCCAGCAATCTGCGGAGGCAGAGGCGGAGCGGAAGACGCCCTCGGGGCACTATCTCCGACGCCTGTCCTTTGCACGAGTATGTATTGCCCTAATCCACCCGTAGTCGTGGATCCTAACTGCGCTACGGTATTGCTCTCTGGAACCTAAAAATTTCGTCGTGTTAACAACTAGCAGAGCTCCTCCTTCTTTGTTTTTTTTTGAGTAAATTTATAACTTTGTTCACATTGCAATTTAACACGTTGACCACCGTTTTTATGAAATAGCGAGAATATTTTAGAGTAAAGCAACGACATACTGATTCGGGCTGGGTCATCAACGTGTTAATATTGCTACAATCATAACGGAAAACACATGACTTTCATGTTCGATAGACCCTAATAAATTACAGTTAACACTTTAACGGCCACTGTCACGTGTACGTGATTTTGCTGTTTCAGTCGCCATATCATACTCATTATAATATCTTTACATTTATAATTCCTTATAATGATTCGCAATACTCTTCGCATGAGACGTGTAGCTATCAAAGTGTTAACGATAAGCCTTCTTCCGTTACCCTTACATTTTATTATCAAACGTAAGTATGCGAAACGCATCGGTCGAATATATTTTTTTCGTTTCACTTGTTGTTCAGTTTCATAATACTATCCTCTCTGAAACTGAAGATCGTAATATCGTCCTCACTATTATTAGAAACTCAAAACTAGTAAGAAGAGTTATTTATTTGGGTACCTGTATGATACAGTGATCATCACAAACCAACCGCAAGATTAGCACTGTACACACAGAAAAATATGAAATAGTACATGATACAAGCTTGAGTTTCTATTTTATACGAGCGATTTGTATGAAAATTGCAAGAATAAATAAATGGAAATAAGCATGTTTGTGTTTGTCTAACGCGGTGTTTCTCAACGGGACTTATATGGCCCCCAATGAGCCATGCCATTTTTTTTTGTTGGGAGCCATAAGTAAGAGATATGCAAATGAGATGCCATAAAAATGTCTAAGTAGCTCATAAAAAACATTATCAAATTTTATAACATTATAGCTTGATAAATATATGACGTCACTTGTTAATAATTAATATTCTTATTCGAATTTGACTTTATCAAGTTCTTCGCCTATTATTAAAAACTTGTAACCATTTCGACATTATGATTAGAGATGAATTTCAACATGTACCGAAAGTTTTTTATTCTACGTTTTGAATTGTTGTATTTTCTTATATATTTATAGTAAATATATGATTTTTACTAACGAAAAGAAACCACAATGGAAGGGGGAGAGGGGGACAGAAATAAATAATACTTAGAAGTGGGGCATACATAAACCAAAAAAAAAGATTAAAAAACACTGTTCTAACTTACTATTTTATCCAAATTTGCATTGCGTTGAAATGTTCCGAATGTTATGAAATCCTTCATAAACTTTTCAGCTTAATAGCTTTTGCATACGCTTCTAACTTATGGCAGTTTAATATCAGTAACAAGGTACTTGATAAAAAACAAAGTTGTAAATATGCTCAAATTGAAAGTTCTTACATATCTATGAATTTTTTAATAGTCTTTTAATTGATGAAATTAGCATTTACGACGATTTATGCGAACTATACAGTTTTAAAACGAGAATAAAACAGAAGAAAAATAGTGCAAGCTACTACAATATGAAATTTTTAAAGATATGTGTCGTACCTCTGCTGACGTAGCTTGCCGCGCTGTAGCGAACACATGTCTCAGCATGACCGCTTGCGTTTTATTTTGAGTTTGTTTGTTGTGTTGTATTGTTTGTGGTGGTTTTTGAGTTTTGACAGTCGTAATTGTACGACCGCCAGATTTATTGGTAGTAAATGCTCCATCACCTCGGGCAAGTAAGCTAGGCGGAGGTTTTAAATGAGCTTTCAACTGATCTCTATTTGGTGAGCTTTGTATAACCTGTAAAGATAAAAAAACGTTTACGTTTACTGGAATAGTGAAAATTACACGTGTTACTAATTTTGTTTTTTTTTTTTTGGAAAATCCAAAGAAGAGGAATTGAAACATTGAATGAAATTTTCAAATATTATATCTTTTGAGCTTTGAAAATAAGTATCGTTGTTTTACTCTCCAGGTTCTTAAAACATTGTATGATATAAATGTGTCTTGAATTACCGCTTGACATATTTGGTAACTACGTTCCAAATTAACAGCACCGGGTGGTTCTTTCGTGGTACTACGAGATCTGCCCCCTCCTTGTTCCTTATTATTATTTCTAGAACCTCTCTGACTGCCTTGATTGGTAGAACGCGACGATCTCGAGGATACCGCGACCGTTGCTCCAGGATATTGTTGTTGTTGTATGGTCGCTACGACTTGTCGCGGTTGTGCGGGTGTCGATGCCTGGTGTTGAATAACGATAGTGTTTTGAGGACGATTCTGAGGCTGGACACCGATCGTGGCCGGCACGGTATTCGGTACTTGATTTTGCGTCACGTTGCTCCTAACATTCCGTGCATTGTTGTTTTGTGGATTTAATTGGACCTCTTCTTGCGTTCTCATTATGTTCACTTGCGAATTTGTATTTTGTTGATTCGGAAGTTGAGCAGATATCGGTGACGTGCTATTCAAGGGCGGGGCAACGTTTTGATCAGAATGAAAACTAGTTTGGACGAATCTGATAGATTGCAATTGCGGGAAAGCAATGATGGGTGAACTCTGAGACTGAAAGTTCTTCATAATACAACTTGTGCCCGGCGTACCGATTGCGAGACTTTCTGACTGAAACGGGGTCCCTTGAACAACTGGTAATTGGATACAGTTGACCGATTCCACGTTTGAATCCGCATTGATAAACTGTTGTGATTGATTCGTTGAATCAGTTGTAGTAGGCGTGTCGTTACATTCGTCCTGAGTAGTCACGGTAATGTTAGCAGCCACAGATCCATCTAGAGCTGCAGCAACTAATGGCCACGGAACTTGAAGCTCTTCCTGTGTCTTCGCAAAGTAAACAAAACTTCCATTAATATTCTCTTCTCGTAGTTTAGTTAATATATACACTCATACACACGAAAGTATGCCCAAACAAATATGTCCTAAATGGTTAAAGTTACACGGTTTCAAGTCAGCTACAAACGTTCGAATACTTTCGTGTATGAGAATGCGTGTGTTTATATATACGTATATACTTACTCTATTGTTATTATTAATATTATTAACCGTTGGATCTACCGACCAACTACACTCTAGCATTTCAGAACAAACATAATTATTAGCCTCTCGAAGAGCTTCGTCTTCATTTCCGCCGTTAACATCTTGCTGATCTCTAGTGGTCTCTGGCTGTACCGAAACTACTTGCGTTTCAGTCTCTTCTCTATTGTTTGCACCCATCTCCATTCCATCAAGAATAGGATACATTATTTCTTCGGGGCATCCCGAAATTTCTTCATACGCTTCGCGCATTTCGCCCCTCACCTAACAAAAAAAAAACGCATTAACATTTTTGTACGATCGATTGAACTTATGGTTTTCATTTTTGTACAGACAGTATAAGTTTTCACCTCCAATTCATGAATCCGTTGCAACGTTTCACTATCGATCTCCATTCCTTCGGGGATCTGTGATTCGCCGTCTGTTGGATTCTCATGAGAAACCTGAGGTGTTTCAGTCTGATTGTTGCTAATCAACGTAGAATCTTCTATAACAATTTCTGTCGATCTAACTTGATCGTGCGACGGTGACGTTTCGAGCATTGTTGTTGTTTCACAATCAGAGATTGGATAGATTTGTTCCTCGGATATTTGAGACATTTGTTCCTTTGATATTTGAGGTATTTGATCTATTGGAGTTTGAGGCGTGCATTCTGTCGATATTTGAGGTGCTGTTTCGCTAGGCGTGTGCGATACTCGTTCTATTTGTTCACTGGGTATCGACAATGTACTTTCCTCGGGTAAAAGTTTTGTATTTTCTTCTGTAACTTCAAGTATATGGTCTTTCATTGACTGGAGATCCTTTTCGCTTTCGGGTAAGTGAATTTCCTCTTCGTACGTGTTCGATATATTTTCCTGACAAACTTCCGTTATTATTTCACTCTCCTCGACCATATCTTCCTTCTCTGGATGCGCAATAACTTTTTCATCCTCTTCCGCTTTATCCGGTTGCATTTCGGTATCCATTATTGTTTCTACAGAGCTCATGTTTACGGATTCTAAATGTTTTTCATCTATTAATGTATGCGTTGTATCATTATATTCTGCCGGTAGTAATTCTTGTATTCGTGCAGTTTCATTCATTTCGTCTCTATTATCTATGCTAGTTTCAATTTTACAATTATCTTCTTCGACTTTATCTTCCGACATAATAATAGGACAAGGAGTATCCAATGTAGGTGTATCCACATTGGATTCCAAACGAAGTCTTAAACTTGAACGCGTTACAGCACCGCTAGATCTTGATTCCGAAATACAGTGGAGACCCGATCTAAGTTTCGGCTCGCGTTTCTCACCCCATATTGGTTCGAAATGTTTCACTTTCCACGGATCTAATTTATTCTTGTCTCTTTCAGCTTCCATCTTCAATCGTTGTTGATTTTCTGGAGTAAATTCTCCTTCCGCCAAGCGTTTACGCCATTCCAGACATGCTCGCGCAAAGAATTCATTGTTTAATCCGGATGTGGCGGCATCCTAACAGCAACAGACAAAGTATACACTCACAAAAATCATATTCGTTTTGAAGACTCGAAAGAAGAACATAAATATCGATATGCTATAAAGAAAACATATTGTCAACGCTACCTGTCTATCTACAGCAGGCAAAAGTTGCGCAAGTTTTCTTTGATACAGAGGTGGTAAACCTTGAAAGGTATGCCTATTTAAAAGAGCACGTAAACTTGTGCTTGCTAGAATACTCGCCGGAGACTCGAGATCTACAAGACCAGCCTCCAGCTGCGCAGTCGCTGACAATCTCTTCGTCGATCGTCTACGCCCAGACTTTAAACTAAATCCTGGCAAACTAGCCAGGACTTCTCTCATTGTGGCAGCAGGCTCTTCTGTAGCTATATTTATTTAAAGGTACGTTAAAATATATAACACGAATACATGCATATAGATACACACAGATAGATTTTTATCAGAGTGTCAGTTTTTAATGTAATTTACATACACGTATCTATTCGTAAACAATGTTTTGTATCAGTCAAAACAACCGACTCACTGTTGTTAATGTGCTGTACATTGTTGACCGGAGATGGTGGATCGTTCGGTGGAGGTGGTGGTAATGGTTTAACGACAATCCTTGGCAGAGTACGAGAATTGCCAGCTGCTATGGTTGTGTTTTTCCTACGTCTTTTGGCCTGTTGTCGTAGTGCATGTTTGATAACTTTTTTACTGTGCACCATGCTAGAATAGCCAGAACAACCTGGACTAGTTTCACACCCTTCACTTTTGGCAAGTTCTACATCTGTGTCCATGACAGTACCTATACTTCAGACATTGCCGAGCGAAATGCCGGTGAATCGAACATAAACCCACGGTACCGCTCTGTTCGACGAAACGATTTCGTAATGATTTATTTCATATTGCGGCAGAAGGTTCAACAATACGATTATTTTCTCTCCCTCAAGAAATAAACAATCTTCAATAACAGCACCTTCGTGACATTTCGAAGCAATCGAAAATGAGTGTAAACGTTTCACGCAATATCTTTTAATTCATGTCGTTTGAACGGCAATGTACACACAAAACCCCAGCGAACATACAAATTTCGCTGTTTCTCAATCAATTGGCAAAGTGCCATTCGGAAAAACTCGCAATGTTCCGCTTCTATCAGCCATATTGTATTTACATATTTATACCATAGAACACCATAGTACCATAGATATTAAACTTGATTTTGATAGTTTTTACTATTCGTGTTAAAGTTATCTTTAAGAAAATATTAAGTTAAATTAAAAATGACGGGGAATCTATTATGCATGAGAATATGTAAAACCATATTGGATAGATGATTTACAGTACTTGAACCAGAACGATACTTTTGGAAAGAACGAATTAATTCTTGCATAGAAAACATTTTACTTTCCGTGAGATATGTGTGCAAAGTACATTTCCTTTTTGCAAATGATAAAAGTGGACAAGCATACTGATCGAATATCGCAAGGCCAATGAAAAACGAACATTTTAAATATGTAGCGAGGACGAAGAACTAGATTTTTGATTGGACAGTTTACCCCCTCCGAATAAAAGTTCCGTACATTCTACCAACGAAATATCAACTTACTTCCTAATTTTGTTCATTTCATCATACACGCGAGTACGTGTATAAATAGTAAAACACATATAACGTTGCTTCGAAGTATAAAAACTATTCTTAAAAATTATACCGGCCGTTCTAATGCCATTGTTTCGAAGATCAGAAAATTCATTGTATTGGTCGGTACCCAGATTCTTTTCAACTGAAAATTTTCATATTCCATCCATACGCAAAAATGTTTCGACTGATTTTTCATAACGGGTTATCGTAAGGAGGATGTAATTGCCGGAGAGACAACTATTTTCGTGCAAGATTGACCTAAGGATTTTTTTCTTATAATTGCCGTTCTACATTTCCCGCCAACATGGCAAATATGGCGGAGCTCGTGTCGTTTCCCGCCAAACCTTCGCGGAGCTCTCGTATGGCGCACCTCGGTTCGGTATAGCGGTATAAGTTGGTCGTGTTTTCCTACGGTTTTCCATCAGTTTCCCGACAAAAATGGGGCAGTCGGACGACATTGAAGACTCTACTTACAGTAGGCATCAAGATTTGTGTCAGAAATTGAATATGGATGCGACTGCTGCGTCCGAGGCCTGGAAATCCTACGAGTCTATTCGACAAAATTATACTCTCGAGGTACTTTTTTGTATTGCCCCGCTGCAGTGGCTATTTCAAACTGTGTTTGCCTGGCCGGATTACGCGGTAGAATTTCTTGATATTTCAACCACGAATCGCGAATGCAACGCTTTTCGGCATTTATTTACGACGTGTCGGTAGCTTTGACTTTTCAGAACAATGTACGACATTGTTGAATTCCACAATTTGTTTTAGTCCAACGGCCGGGCCGGACCAATTTAAAATAATAAAAGAGAACGTTCATTGAACGTATCGGTTTTCAAATGCAATAAACGTCTTTACGTAACAAGAACGAATTCACGAAAAGACTACAAATAACTGTTTGTACCCCTATTATTTATACTTTGTACGGCTTTGATCGTTCTAAGTATCATGAATTGTTTTCTTCATAAAAATCTTGCTATACAGTTTATTTATGAGAATGTACTTTGTAATTTGTGTGAAATATTTAGGAAAATATTGTTTGTATGTACGTATGATTATACTTGGATATGTATTTATGTACTAAAGGTTGTATTGTAATTGTTTTTAGGGTGATCAGTTACATTGGATAGGCTGCGCATTGTATGTAGCATGCCGCAAGTCTTCTATACCTACTGTTGGAAAAACAGGCGCTAACGTAGAAGGCAATTGCGTGTCATTGACACGTCTGTTGCAATTGTGCAACCTTCCGTTAATACAGTTTTTCACAAAAAGCAAATCTTGGGCAGACATGGCCAACATGTCGCAAGACTTTCGCTCAAAGATCGAGAAGCTGGAAGGAAACTTTTCCGTTTCTATGGTCATATTTAAAAAGTATCAACCGATCTTTACGGATATATTCAAAGATCCAGCGGATGATATTTCACGACCACCGAGATCCAGACGGCACAAAGCAATGCCTTGTACTCCCGCCAGAGTATTTGAATTCTGTTGGACATTATTTATTTGCATAAAGGGAGCATTTCCAGATATCTCGGACGATTTGGTTAATTCTTATCATTTACTTTTAGTTTGTTGTGATCTTATATATAACAATGCTCTGTTGGCTAATAGGAAAGACCTCTTAAATCCTAACTTTCCAGGTAATAATATATGACTTTCGAGTCGAATAATTCAACGTTATTGTTTTTATTCGTTTATTTATTTATTTATTTATTCATCGACAGGTCTACCTCATAATTTTAACGATGAAAATTATACCCCGCCACAAACAGAAAATTGTATAGTTAGTTTATTGTGCGAACGTCACGAAGCTATTGCGGTTGAAGCTAAAGTCATTAAGGAGTATTACCTGAAAAATCATATCAATCAACTGTTCAAGGAAAGAGTATTGCGCGGAGATCAGTCGAATTTTTCTGGTATTTTAGAAGCTTTAAATTTTGATGGTAACAACAAAGCTATCAATAAAGTGTACGAACAACATGTACTAAGTGTTGGAGACTTTGATGAAAGAATTTTCTTAGGTATATATATTTTTTTAACTACTTTACGTCTATAGATTATCCAGCTTTTAACGTTACTTATTATTAACGGATTGATGCTTGTAAATAAAACAAAGTAATGCTATAAATTGCATGCTCGTATGCTTTTGATTTTTATTATTTTCTGCTTTGAAAACTAATAATATAAACTGCTTTCAAATTATGAATTCAAATATTCTGTGCACAACTTCATAGTATGTTCTATATTCTTTAAATTATTCTACATTGGTCAGCTAATATCAAACCAACGATATACATAAAATTAGAATATGTATAAACCGTAGTTTTATTCTGTTACGTATAAATTGGTATTTATCGATACAGAATGTTTTTTTATTCGTGTAAATTAATTTCTATAATATTCGATCAAGGTTATCTTATAGATCTGCTTTTGTTTCTTGATTTGCATTTTTTAATAAAGGATAGAGTATTTAGCAATGTTTATTTTGTCTGTTAATAATTTTTATTTCTTGCTGTTAACCATTTTGTATTCGCTTTGCCTTGGCTATGGTTTAAAGCTGATTGGAGACGAATCAGACTAAATGGAATATCAAGCTTGGAAATAGTGGGAGAAGATATTACTTATGCTAAATTATTCAAACGTATTTTTTTGAAAGGTAGGTCTATAACAAATAGGATGCTTAACTATGCTGTGATAAATAGTAGTAACATTCATCGAGAACATCAATGCGAACACAACCTTATATGTAAAAATTCGCATAAATCGAGGATTTATATTTTACTATAGCAATGTACGGTTTCATTTTGTTTCAGGTCAAGATGCTAGTAATAATATTGGCTCCCCTACGCAGATGATGAATATTAGCGACCTTCAGGAACAATTTCAATTAAAAAGAGAACAATACAGTGGGGTAAGCGTTGAAAATTTGTATCCATCCGTTCTATTCGAGAGTTAAATTTCTACTTGTGGACATTTTTGTAGCAGATACAGCATTTGGCTCCACCCACTCCATTGACTGGTCGCGGTTATCTTAGACCAAAAGATATTACCAACGTGACACCGGTATCTACTGCAACGCAAAGTGTAATTCGACTGCAAGCGATGCTGGCGGGTCAAACATCGCCGAGTGAAAACTTGTTGCAAATTTTGAACAGCTGCTCTCAAGATGTAAAATCACTCGTCGAGGTGAAAGTTAAAGAAATTGGGGAACAGTTTTGTGCTAATTACAACAACAGTACGAACGCTAGTGAAAGTACTTCAGACTTTGGAAAGAAGAGACTTTACTTGGGTCAGACTCTGTTCTATAGACTGCTAGAAATGATTTTAAACGACGAGAAACGCAAGAAACCAAATTACGATGTAACGGTACGTTGAACGATTGCTTAGAACATGTTTTAACATACAAATATTATACCAGATTCTTAACAAGTAAGCGAAAACGTACTAAAACGAACATTACGCGTATAAATAATATTTATATTTATATGTTACAGAATCTTCTCATGAACGAGGTATTTATTCAGTGCTTATTTGCTTGTTGCTTAGAAATTGTTATTTACTCGTATAAGAGTAACGACAAAGTGTTCCCGTGGATCCTGAATGCATTGAATTTGGACGCTTACTACTTTTATAAAGTAATAGAGATCATAGTCAGGGCCGAGGATCAGCTGTCGCGCGATGTCGTGAAACACTTGAATCAAATAGAGGAGAAGATTTTAGAGTCGCTGGCGTGGCAGAGCGACAGCCCTTTGTGGGGTGCGATTCAGTCGACGACAGAAGGTGTTCCAAGCTGCGAAGAGGTTTCATTGCCAGGCACGTTGGAGACCGTTGACCCGAATATACCTGGACAGCCGGTATTGAGGAGAATCGCATTAGATCGCGGTACTCATCACGACGTGCAACAAAGTCCCATCTCGTCCGCCTCGGAAAGATTTCAGTCCCCCGTCGCGGCGTCCGGTATAGCAAAGAAACGTCTGTTCCCCGACACCAGAATTGGCGGACAGAGCGTGTTACGGGTAGGGGGCCAAAATGTCCTACCATCGAAAGTTTTAACCATCTTCGGCAACTCGCGGATACTTCAGCTACCTGAACAAATCACGGTGCCGAGGTCATCGAACGCGCCTACCACGAGTACACCGATACAAACCGTAACGATGAACAGGGAACCAGCGAAACCGAAACGAACCGGTTCCGTGGCATTGTTCTTTAGAAAATTTTACAATCTCGCGAGCGTGCGAATGCTAGACTTGTGCAGCTCGCTGGAAATAATGGACATCGACCTGAAGAAAAAGATATGGACGATCTTCGAGTACTCCGTGAAAGAGCGAACGGATCTGATGAAGGACCGACACCTCGATCAAATTTTAATGTGTGCAATTTATGTAATATGCAAGTTAGCCAAAGTAGAAAAGAATACATTCACGGAGATCATGCGGTGTTATCGATTGCAACCGCAAGCGGAGTCGCATATTTATAGATCAGTGCTTATCGTTAAAACGCCGTTCAACGAGCCGCAAGTCAACAACGACGAACCTGGCCCCAGAGACGTCTCCGATCAGGAAATGAATGTGGCGCCACCTACGCCCACGAACATGGCTGGAACGTCGCAGAATTTCGGCGAGGAGACGCGCGGCGACCTGATCAAATTTTACAATACCGTATACGTGCCGCAGGTTAAAGAGGTGGCGAACAGATTGGGGCTGTCGCGCGGAAGCGTGATGAATTTGTCGCTGAGCCCGTTGCCAAAGGGGAAACCTCTGGCGAGTTCTCCCGTGAGACGCGTCACCGGTAGTATTAAGACGCGTACACTGGACCCGAAAGCTATTTCGGCCTCTCCGGCGCCGCAACTTAGTTATTGCTTCAGTCGTAGTCCGGCCAAGGTAAATCAGAATTACATTTTTACCTCATAAAATCCAGAGAGAAATGTTTCTGCACAGAATCGAAAAATTATATACAATATATTAATTTGTTAAGTAAAATTTAAGCGATCTTTCAGTACAAGAAGTCATTTTCTTGCTTCACTTATTATACGTAGAAACTTGTATAGATTTTTATTGTTTTAGGATTTGGAAGCTATTAATAGGATGATGATCTCTGTTGACCCGAAGCGATCGGTCGGCAAGCGATTATTATCGGACGACACCGACGTAGAAATGACAGAGGGAAGATCTCCCATAAAAAAGACAACTGCGTTCGTCGCACGCAAATTGGAGAACATCATTGGAGAACGACGTACACAAAATCAATAAGAAACACGATCGAGCATCGAATTTGATTATCGAGAATCGTAAATATATGGGTAACGGAAAGAAAATGATTAGAAAACAAGTCGCGTTGTTTCCGTTTGGATATAATTTTTCTTTAAAAAAAAAACAACAAACGAGTAAACGAAACATGTTTAAAGTTGAATTTTTTTTTTTATTTCTTCTTGGCTGTGTAGCTTAAAATAAATGAAATATTTGCTTCTCAGGTATGATTACGTAAGAGACAGAGAAAAGGCCTGTATAATACCTAATCGTATGTAAGGGTACGATATTGTTATATTGAGTAAAGCCAGAATTTTATTTCCAGTTTTTAACTTTTAGTAAACGTAAGAAAATAGAACGAACTGGGCATTTTTTTTTTCTTTTTTTTCTTTGATTTTGATATTATTTGATGACGTTTAATTTTAAAATATATTCTATTCGCGCCGTGTAAGCGATTCGTTGTTACTTGATAAGAGGTAGAGTTTTAATATCACAGTCGTAAAGGAAAGTGCAAACAAAACTTCGAAGCTGGTTTAAATTGCACAGAATTACAAGGGACTGCGAAGGTGTTGCTAAGAGTCATTGTTTGCGTTTCACTGGAAATGATTCTGACTTTTATTGATATCACTGGATCAATGATATTTTGATCGAGTTCTGTACTCTCTCTATATATATATATATGTATGATGAGTTTGTAAAAGTTACGGCCATAGATGGTAAAAAGACTCTATTTTACCAGTAGATTTAAGCATGCTGAAAGACGACACAAGCTCTTGAAGCATGCAAATACGATTTGGGTGATATTTAATTAAATTTACTAGGCATAAGTTTGAAGCTACAAAATTTCAACGTTTGATCGTCCAATGTATTCTTGGTCTTGAATGTAATAAGTTATTAGTGTCTTTCGAGATATTTCGTTCGTTCGAGAACTGAGACTATTTCAGATCTCGGTTGCACGTAATGCGTGTATTAGGTATAAGTGTTTTTCAAATTTGTCTTTTGATCTCATTAATCTGTCTTTTATTACCAAACAATATATATATATATATATATATATATATCGTATGTATGTATATATATATATATAAAAATTACCATTATTATTATTATTATTATTATTATTATTATTATTATTATTATTATTATTAAGACAAAAAAATGACATTCAAACGACTTAGAATCGAGAAGGAGGTTTCTTCGCATTTCTTTAAGAAATCTTGTACAGTACAGAGCAAATTAAATAACAAAGTTATAAGTAAAAATTAATTCCCTCGGACAGAACGTCATAGCATATTATTCATCTTCAAATTCTTTCCAATATCATCGTCGATCGCATAACAATTCCCTAACTATACATTCGCAAAATTTTCAATTCGGCGAGGAAGCACTATTACTGAGACTATGTTCTCCGTTACGCAATTATGGCAGTTCCTCTAACAATATTTCTTTTTAAATGAAACGAAAGTGTAAAGAGTTTTATTGGCTTATAATAACTACTAAATAGTCTATATGTACATAGTATTGTAATTCGAAAGTAAATTAGAAAGAATAAAAGTCGAAAATTTTATATATTACACCTGCTCTAATATAATGTTAACAATAATATGTATATTGATAAATAATTTAATAATTTCTTAATTTTTACAAATTCTAAAGGTTTATCATCCCTTATAACTGCTCCATAATATTATTCGAATCTAATTAATAAATAATTAAGTTCTCCAAACATTTTTCTACGTATTTTTCACGCAATTAATTAGTTATAAACGATTACTGGAAGCGATAGTTATCTAATATCAGGGATTCGTACTGCTAAAATCGTGCCAGGATCACATAATGCTGATAGAGCTATGCTGCTACTCCTGGTACGTACTACCTTCGTTATTTAATGTAATTAATTAGTTATAAACGAATTACTGGAAGCGGTATTTATTTAAATATTGCGCAAAAATCTGCAAAGAAACGGTATCGCCATCTAATATCAGGAATTCGAACTGCTAAAGTGCATATATATATACGAGCTCACGTACGTGAATGATCTATCATTGTGTTAAAATCTGCAAAGAAACAGTGTCGCCATCTAATATCAGTGTTTCGAAGTCAAAAAATCGTCCCAGGATCACAGAATGTTAGTGGAGGTATCCGGAGTACAGCTACCCCCACTCCTCCTACTCCTAATACGCAGTACCTTGATTATTCATTAATTACTCCTTTCCTGGGATTAAAATATGAACTTTTAGAATCGAAGAATGTAGTATAGACCCTTGGCTAGATTCAAGGATAGTTTTTAGAACCATTCCGCCAATAATTAAGACGTTATTAATGAATATCGGAAGTCTTGATATTTACGGCTGTGTCCCAGTCTGCTTTAATCGATGAATTATCCATTTTTCAACTATAATACCCATATTTTGGCTATTAGAGAACCAAGTAGACATCCCTGGCAACATTCGAGGACCGATTTTGTAGCGCTCCATGCTCTAATTAATTAGTTATTAGCGATAGATCCCTAAGGTGTCGCGTGAAAAGGTTAAAAACCGTGACCCGACTTCCGATATTCGTTAATAACTATTTAATGAGGCATAGCATGGTTCTAAAAACTATCCCTGAATGTTGCCAAGGGTCTACACTATATTCTTAAACCCTAAGAGTTCACAATTTGTTCCCAGGAAAGGCGTAATTAGTAAATTAACGAGCAGTAATTCATGACAAGCGGAGAATTATCGATTGTTGGATAGTGGCGCCAACTAGTGGCGAAAACAGCGTACTATGGGCTTCTCGGCTTCGTAATGAATTGTTGCTCGTTAATTTACTAATTACGCCTTTCCTGGGAACAAACTATGAAATTTTAGAGTTTAAGAATATAGTCTACACCCTTGGCAAGATTCAAGGATACTTTTTAGGATCATGCTATGCCTCATTAAATAGTTATTAACGAATATCGGAAGTCGGCCCACTGTTTTTCTCCTTTTAACGCGACATCTTAGGCATCTATCGCTAATAACTAATTAATTAGAGCATGGAGCGCTACAAAATCGGTCCTCGAATGTTGCCAGGGATGTCTACTTGGTTCCCTAATAGCCAAAATATGGGTATTATAGTTGAAAAATTGATATTTCATCGATTAAAGCAGGCGGTGATACAGTCGTAAATGTCACGACTTCCGATATTCGTTAATAACGTCTTAATTACTGGCGGAATGGTTCTAAAAACTATCCTTGAATCTAGCCAAGGGTCTATACTACATTCTTCAATTCTAAAAGTTCCTATTTTAATCCCAGGAAAGGAGTAATTAACGAATAATCAAGGTATTGCGTATCAAGAGTAGGAGGAGTGGGGGTAGCTGTACTCCGGATACCTCCACTAACATTCTGTGATCCTGGGACGATTTTTTGACTTCGAAACACTGATATTAGATGGCGATACTGTTTGTTTGCAGATTTTCACGCAATGATAGATTTTAACAGTACGAATCCCTGACGTTAGATGGCGACACTAGTTCAAACGCTGTTGAGGGCTTTGTCCGGCATTAGTCATATGCGGCGTGTGAGTGCATGTGTAACAAGTATGTATTTTTGTACCAAACTACAAAGCGCGCGTTTATTTACAATAAATATAATAAATAGACATTTGTTTACCAGTAGCAGAAAAGAGAACAATCCGTCGAAGCAAAGTAGATTGATAAACAAATTATTACAGAAAAGTAAATATGTTAAGTAAGTAAGAACTAGAAATATACTCCTTAACCTATACGTAAGTTTTGTTTTTGTTTTTATTTCGTTTACGAATTGTTTGAAACTTACAAAGTAACTATTATTACATAAATCAACAAATTGTAGAGTTGGTAAAGACGCTTTTAGCGTTGGTGAAACGGCAGAAAGGGGACCTTCCATACATACAACACGAAGGATGAATGTTTTGAATAAAATTTTTATGCAACACGTTACCGATTTAATGTCAACCGGAGAAATGAATTCTGCTCTTGTAGAGAAAAGTATAGAAATTACAGATTTAAAAATAACCGCAGATTTCAAACTCGTTAATGTATTTTGGATCGATAATAGTACGGATACATCCGATACGGAAGAAGTATTACGTAGTTGTGCGTTTCGATTAAGGCACGAGTTAAGTCAACTTCGTATTATGGGCAATGTACCTCCTATACAGTTTGTAAGGTGTAAGCATTACAATAAATTATTAGAGCTAGAAAAGAGATTTGCGACTGCAGATTACGGAGAAGATTATATACCTAATATATATCCGTTTGCTGTAAACCATATTGTTACGTCTAAAACGTCTGCTAACAAAAATGACAGTGAAACGTCGAGTACAAACTTAGATAGTACGGACGATGCCTTCTACATAACTTTACCAGTAATGAAACACGATGTATTCGGATTGGATCATTCTAGAATAATGACAAAGGTATATCGTGTGGTCGAGAGCTATCAATATTTATAACAATTTAAAGCTACATTTTCCTCTACAGATTAAGGCATCGTTACTTCAGTCGAAGAAGTTCAAGTTAAAACAAGCAACGTGTGTACAATCGGACGTGACTTCTTCTGAATCTCGTGTACAAAATAGTTCAGATTACCTTACCGAAAAACAACAACAAGAACAATTTTCAAAATTCTTAAAAGCAAAACGAAAAGAACAAAAAATGAAGCATAAAAAGCGTCTTGATAATAATGTTATTTATGATCTTAACGAAGAAAATGAAGATGATTCTGATTATGACTTTGATATAGATTATAACGAAGATGAATATGAAGAGAAATTTTAAATGTCTGCAAAGAATCTGTCGTGTATAAAATAATTATGTATTATTTAATACACACGTATACATGGAAATAGTATATATTATGAGTAAAACATTGATGACTAAGTGTATTGCATAATGGTTTTTTATTGTAATGTACACTTCTATGAACAGAAAACGAAATATGAACGCTGTCTACGTATCTACATTAAAGATTTCTTTTATTTTATGCTTAACTATACATAATGTACAACTCAACTTCTCTTTATTACACTTACGTAACGTAATTTACATACCAAATTTATGTAAATTGTTGATCCCACGATTTCGTTTGATTTTATTTGTGATCAGCAAGTATCGCAATTACCGTTTTCTAAAGTATTCGTGTAACTTAAGAATTTAGATTTATTTGCTACTAGTCATTCTCCCCGCCTCGAAATTTATATTACAATATTTATAGCCATATTTCTTCGAAACAAATCGAGCTCTATAAAATAAAATCGAAATCTCAACGTATCGATTAACGCTTGAAAAAATGTTTGTAAAGTCAACAGGACTAAAGTACGAATTGATTGCTTTTGTCCCCAAAAGCGGTTAAGAAGTTATAGACAATAGAACTAATATGCTACGATATAAATTAGAAATTAAATTATAATATTAGTGATATAAATATTAATTAATATGCGTTGGTATGTTGCAGTTCATGTACTAGTTTAGATCACACAGAATATGCAGTCCGTTCGACTGCACGATGACATCAATAAATTCGAATTAACGGAAATATTTTATAATAAACTTCAACTAGATCGTGTCTGTGACGTATTTATTTCTTGTTCTTCTTCGGTTTTCGAATTAACTGGTTCGTTCGCTACAATGAGCGAGATATCTTCTTCATTTAAAGGTTTACTATTTAGACGAACATTCGATGCTGATAATTGGGGTATTGTGTCACTTAAATTACATGCTTCTAATACATATTTATTGAAAATTTCACTTTTATCCGCATAAACATGATGACCTGCTCCTGTTATCGCCTAGAATTAATCAACATATGTATTTTATGCGATGTAATATTTACAATGTTATTAACTTTTTCCTTCAGTACCTGGACATTAATGTAAGACGATGATTTGGCTTGTTTCAGTGTTTCCCAAGATGAATTGTCTACCCATGACCGACTACCATATAACAAAGTTATTGGAATTTTTGAACTCATTTTATCCATTCTCCTTACGATAGGATTTTTGGCCCAGCCAAAACCTTGCATCATTGCGTGAAATGCACTTTCACCCCTATTTCGAAGAACATATCATTTAAATTTAGCATAAATTTATTATATGCTTCGATCAATCTCATATTTTATAAACTTAAAACTTACGATGGTGTTTGGGCATTGCACTGATGTATGTACTGTGAAATTACGGCGGTATCATCCTTTAACATAGGTGCAAATTTCTTTACAATGTCTGGTCTAGTTTTCTCAATTAGCCACTGTCCTAGAAAAGACAATATTTCAATTACAACTAGAACCGTATTATCCAGTACAGAGGGGTACGTTGCAAATGTTACGAACCAAATGGACCAGCTACTCTGACTGCCCACAGTGGATTTAATGGTTGCACAACGTATGCTATAACTTTCACCCATAATGGTATAGGTTGTCTCGAAGCTGGTTCTACCGGTCTTTCAGGGAAACCCCATGGATCCGCAAGAATAAGATGTTTGATCCTTTCAGGATGCTGAATAGAATACGATGCCGCGAGGAAGCCACCCATAGAGTGACCTAACAATACAAACTTTTCTAATTGCATTTCCCTCCTCCACTCTTCGATGGATCGGACTAGTTGGTTTTCAGCTTCTTGTGCTTCATTACTAAAGACGGGACGACTACTTCTACCGAAACCTGTATCGTGGAAAATCGACGATAAGAAGAAAGGAAATCAGCGAGAGTGATATTCGTTTTGCATAGGTATGGTACGTAGAAAAATAAAAAGTTACTAATGAGAATATATCTGGAATTAGGCACGATACTAAAATAATTAATTTATGCAAAAAGCGTTTGGTAGTACTTTCGATTTTTTGTCATCTTTGTTTTTGCAGTGTTCTTCAATTTTTGATCTTTCCTAAATATACTTGAAAATATAGAAATCTAAACAAAATTAATGATACATAAATTATGAACTTGGAAAGACAACGGACGCAAAAAAATATTGCAATTATATACCGTAAGAGATAGAAATCTTATAACAAAAGCATATAAAATATGCCGATAATGAATTGCAAAAATGATTTTCAGAACATACTACATCATCTATTTTAAAGATTGTAGATGATTCCAAAGTCCAATCTTAATCATCTATGAGTCATGCTTGATAATTGCATTCTCGAACAAAGTGTATCTCTATACACAACCTGTATAATATCATTTAATTGTTGCATTACCATAATCAAGGTATTGGAAAGTAAAATAATTTATACAGAGAAATACTCTTTATGTTTTATAAGTAGCAATGAAATATTATCTGCAGATCCTTTGTTACTACTTATTAATTCCAAGAGTTTCAAAGAAAATTTTATTCTTTTCATTTACCTAATATATCGATAGCATATACTGGTCTTTGGGAAGCCAATGCATCCAAATTTAAACACCATAATGCTACTCCAGCTCCCAAACCATGTAACAAAACAATTGGTGTTTTTGGTGATTCCTCGTTCAAAGAAATAGTCCATATTTTATCTGCTGTTCCTACAACTGGTCCTATATCCACATACCACCCACGATACGTAGTCTTTAAACCTGTAATTTAGTAAAAATATAATCAGAAAAACTATGGTATCTATGTTGCATTCCAAGTTGTTTTTTTAAAGTGGTAAAAATATTTAAACTAAACTTACAGGAAAGAATTTTTTTCTCTGCAGCACGTAACATACTTGACGATGAAACAGACCACCTAATCCATCCCCAAATCCAGCTAAAAAAGATACAGATATTATCTATAACATTCTGAACAATAATAACAAATCGCTTAACTGTACATTTTGCATGTTAATAAACTCACACACTTAGGGTAATCATTTTCATTCTTACACGGACAATTAATTATTAATTTAATTATCCATACATTTGATTTAACAAATTGTTTGATATATACAGTATATGTCATTAACATGTATCGTTATATTATGTAGCTTGATAATGTTACCACGTTATTTTGTTACGAATTAAATCATAGAACTTGAAAATTGCCTTGCATTGCACAATAATGCTGATAAGCATGATAAATATGAAATGTGCGTATGAACGATCAATTTACGAAACTTTTGATGCACGAATTTAGAAAAAAACGGTTACCTACGTACAAGCGCTTAAAACAAATATGAAATTGCCTTGACTACAGATTTTTATTGGTTAAGATTCTTCGTGCTAAAATTGTTTCGGTGTATGACCTTGAAATACGATCACATGCAGTATATCACTCCTTTTCTTCCATAATAATTTTTGTATCTAACACATATATTTACGTGTTAAAATCATCTTACGACACTTGTAATTATTATCTGCAATATAAATCTACTCTTCATACTGACTTGGCTATACGATTTGAAAACGTCAAAAATAAATTTATTCTTAACAAAGAAGAACGTTAAATCGTATTAACGTGGTGCGATGAAAACGTGTGCGGTGACAGTGATGTAAATTAAACTTGAAAAATAATGAAAAATCGATAAGAAATGTGAATAGAAGGAACAGGTACAAATGACAGTTACCAAACGATTGATTTAACACGTACCTTTGCGATTTGACAATTTCATGATCTGCCATTAGCTTTAGAAGTATTTTGGTTATTCTTTTACTATGATTTCTTTGTTGACAACGTGGAAAAACAGTACGTCGTCGTACCTAGTTGATTCTATTATCTAGTCAGTGTCGATTCGAGTATACCGATTGCTGAAAAATATATGAAAGGGTGGGAGAATCAGCTGATACACAAACGAACTGGTGAACTTGTGGTTGTCTTTTGTAAAATTGTTGTACTATACACTGTTACTCTTATGTGCTCCAAGAACAGATAACACTTTACTACGTTAATTTTGTTTCATTGCACCACGTCGTTCCAGTATATGGAGTATTAGATTTAGTAACGTTAACATAACCTAACATTACTGCGGTAAACTTATACTATAATTGTTTTGTATTTGTATTACTCTAATGTATTTTAAACTTATTTATTAACTTATAAGACACGACAGTTTATGAGAATAATAACTGTTATCAGGTAATTATTATAGTACGTTTGTATGCTACATATTACCAGTATTCATTTTATAAAAGTATGTAATTTATTTATATTTACGCGTACTGATAAATATGAATGTTACAGAGAAACAGAAAAAAGACTATTATTTTTATAAATCTTTTTTACTTTAGAAGAACGACGATAAAGAATCTTTCATCCATTATTGTCGGGAAATGATTTGAGGTTAAAGGTCTATGCATTTGACAGTAATTAGATTACAGTGATAAAAGTATACGTAAATAATAATTTAAAAACTGATTTCAGTCATTTCAATTTGATTTTCTGCTTAATACAACGATTTAAATATTTCTAATGTAGTTGCATTATTCACAAAATTAGTGTTTCTTCTCATAGTTTCGAGCCATAAATTCGAAGGCATCCGATACGTTTTATCTTCGTAACATGTAACAAATAAAGTGTAAGTGTAACACAATGAAGAAAAGAATGCCAGACAAGGCATTTTATAATGATCAGAGAGCCTCTGTATACAGGGCTCTGGGTGCTTTTGGCTCTCCCGACAATATGAGCTATTCATCCCAATCAGCACATCCTCATTGCACTCATGCATGATTCTCATTACTCGGTCCAATTGTTTCGGGAATTCAAAGTTACACGATAGCCGACGGATTGCACTTCCACTCTTCTATCTTTCAAAAACGATTCGTGAACGAAATAGAGGATAACATTGACATTTAGAGGAGATTATTACCGAGTATTTGTTTTTTGGGAACATTTAAAACAAACAACGGTGCGTTACAAACATGTAGAAACAGATCGATCGTACAAAGAGTGTGAAGTGTTTGATCAGTCGATAAATAGAAATCGATAATTTTGTTTGATAACGAAAATATGTTTTAAAGTCGTAAATTCTTCTTTATGTCGAAGAGAATTCTTGAATTACGATCCTACGAAGTAATAAGAGGTTATATAAAAAATCTATGATAAACTTATTTGGTTATACAGAGACGAACAATCAAAAGGATGTTCGCTTCTGTACTTTTCCCAAGAGTAAGACTATTATTTTTATCTCGTAGACAAAACGTATCGGAGATGTAGGAAGAGTAGTGAGCGTTTACATTTCGAAAGGCGCGTTCAAGGAAAGGCAGGATGTGAACGGTGCTTGTGTGTATATTACGATATGACGCATAGCATGCGTGGCGTAAGGATACACGTGCAGTTCGGGCGTCGTCTGCTGACACTACTTTTCTCTCTGCCAGTCAGAGGAGAGAATTCTAAACGAAACGGGCAATTTCAGAACCAAGATTGCATGTTACATTACGTTACTGCGTATTCCTTTAACACTGAATAAATTAAACGAGTTTTTCTTTATAAATAAACGATTTGAATTTTTATCGATACCGCTGTCAACAAATTTTTATATCGTTTACTTATCATACAGATATAACGTACGTATTAAATATAATTTCAGTCTCTTCTTAATATTCTTGTACGAATGGTATTCCGTTGATCGTTGTCCTTTCAGTTATTTTTGTAATACAATGAAATTGATGCCAAAACCCGATCGATAATATTCATACACAATTCGAACATTGTTTACCAAGATTGCTAATGCACGAGTATGTGTATCGGACATTCTCCATTGTTCTTCAACGACGACGCAATTAGCTATCAGCAGCAAAGAAACAAACCATTTTTCTTCGATGTATTCATACTAAATAATGATTCATAACGCAAAGGCGTGTCCGAATTCCACATTTTCTCGTTGCTTCGGATTCATTTTTACACGTATGTATCTTTCTAAAGTTTTGATTGCAATTAATAGTTACTAGTTTTGTATAATTCATTTGTATAACTTCATTACATATGATACAATGCATATGTTTTGTTAGTAGAAATCGCAGAGGTTATATCACACTGTAATTAATAATATTATTAAAACTGTGTAATCGTTTAAGAAAAATGACACCAACCATCAGCTACACATACGTGCCTTTAATAATCAGTTATGATATACGATATCCTTTAAGAGTGACCTCGATATTGCGATCAACGAGGAAAAATCAGTTCATTCGTGCTTGACTGTTCCTTTTTCTTAACTTTTCACAGTTACATTTGTTGCGTTAGAAAGCTCTGAAATTCGAAATCATATTTTAACGACGTAAGATTATGATATATCGTAATTGAATGCAAAATAATAGTTGCACTATACCACGTATATACATTATTTAGTTTCGATTACGAGATGTCAGTTGTTTATTTAGTACATAAATATATTCTAGAAACTCAAATGATTTATTGTCCGATCGACAATGATTCAACATATTGACTCTGTCTGGGAAGATACCCAATGTATTTCGGAACTACTTTTCGTGGAATAACGTGTTAAAGTAACGAATGCCGTTTAAAATGCATAAAGAATATCGGAGTGTCGATCGATCGTTGAAAATCGCAGTCGAAGATGCGTAAGTTAATACAGATTTAACAAGAGAGGGAGGGGACTATTTTTTAATCGCGAAGAGCAATGTTCCACGACTCGCGGCACCTGTCGTACTATGCGCGATGTAGTTTAGCGTGGCGGCGAACGGTGGGGCGGAGAGCGACGCTCCTATTGGTCGAGTGAAAGGGGCGCGCGGTTGCTAAGCAACGGCAACACCGCGCGCGTCACCGGCCGGCATAGCCGGCACGAAGCGTTCCTGGCACTGTGGCGGAAAATTGCGCAGAACGACGTTGACTCTCGTCGGGTGCGAACGCGCTACGGTTTAGATACGCGGTAGGATAGAGACACACACCACATACGTACGCACACACACACACACGCGCCGAGGCTTTTTTCCTTCCTCCTTTTTATCGTCGACCAGAGAGAGAGAGAGAGAGAGAGAGAAAGAGAGAGAGAGAGAGAGAAGGAGACTCATTTTAGCTTTGTTTTCGGGCATTATCGGAACGACCTAAGAACAAAGGGGAGAAGGCAATTTTGAGCAGTCGTTCGAACACAGTAAAAAAGAAACCGAGAAGAAAAATGGCAGAGGACAAGAACGAGACCAGCCCGAGCGCGGAGGGTGAAAAGTCACCGCAGGAAGCGGCACCGGCTGAGAAGCAAGAAAAAGAAGAGCCAAAAGAAAGCAAAGAGGAACAGAAGAAAGTCGAGGAGAATGGCGACGGTGAGAAACCCAAGGAGAACGGCGAAGAGAAACCCACGCCAGAGCCGAAGGACATGCGGGCTATAGTACTGAACGGTTTCGGCGGACTGAAAAGTGTCAAGGCTCTTAGGAAGCCTGAGCCCACCCTTGCCGAGGGAGAGGTCCTCATTCGAATCAAGGCATGGTAAGTAATTTATTATTCTTGTTCGTTTTTCGCATCGAACGATCCAGCAGTTTCTCGCGGCACCGGACGATTTTCATAAAGTGATGTTGATTATTAAACCGATGGAACCGTCGAGCCGTCGCATCAAATTGTGACAGCCATATTACCGATCTCTTTGATCTTCCGGTATTGCTGGTGACTTTATTAATTATCGTCAATGGATTCTGTCGTTTTGCCAGTGAAATCTGACCGGAAAGAAAAGAGGAAGTTAATTAAGATGGACGTAACCTTAACGGAATCGAGTCAAGTTCTGATAGAGTCTCGTCCTATTTCGATATCGAGTAATTAGTGCATACTGTATATTAATAAGGTTATATATGTATATAAATATCATGAATTTCGTACAAATTATTGATAAAATTAATAATCGATACACGCGTTCGATTGAAACGATTTGAAAAGTGTACGCTCGCTGAAGCTGCTCGATCTGGTTCGATTATCCGTTATTCGTTTCGACGAAGGTGAATCGCCGGGAAGAAAATAAATAGAAAATACATCGGGGTTTCGACCCGAGCAAACAGACCGTTACAACACCATTGCATCTTTGAAATTTAAGGCGTGGTATCTGTTCCGAGACGCACTGTAATTAGAATTTTATTTCTATGTTACGAGACGGATGAGTAACTTTGTAACGGACGCGAAGGTATTTTAATAAAAACATTTATATCGTACGTATGAATAACTAATTCGCTATTTTTCGTACGAACGGTTACTATTCATAGAAAATTATAGTCGGTTCTTTAAACGAAATTTCAAACGAAAAGGTTACATTTCGTACGATTTAATACAGAATTTAATACGTTATTCGTTAATAGAGAAAGCATTATTAAATCTGTGTGGTAAATAGGCGGTTACATTTATAGAATACTTATCCATGCGTTTAATGTTCGTGGATGCGTTCGCAGGTACGCAAAACGAAGTTTGATAAGTCGTTTAACTGCGTCTCCAACGCACTGCGTACATTATTGAGCGTCTGTGTGATATTTTTCTGCCTCTTCGTCTCTAATGTGGATCTTGGATCGTGCCTATATGCACGATACACGCATGTGAAAGTTAATTGAATAAAATTAAAGCGTTATTATGATTATGGATATATATTACATCGGATGTTCCAGAGCTTCGGTAAACCGCGTCTGATGGCTCTACGTGCTATCCATTAATTTAGACGTGGGAAAAAGGATTATTAGGTAGACGAGTATGCTGTTAATGCATGTACTTTGAACAATATTAGGGATCACTATATTTAATGCATTATATTCACTCGCTGTGTCGTTCGTGTAATTTATTGCAGCAAATGATAGTTTTTTAACCTGATTTTAGGGTATTTAAATATTTGCGATAATAAATTTCGTGGCCCTTTTTTCGTAAATATCGAAGGAAGAAAAGTAGTTAAAAAGTTTCTTGATATCTTGGTCCTAGTATAGACGAAATGATGTTTTCAGTTATAAAGCATTGACCTTGTCTCGAAGCTTTTGCTTTTAGAAAGCCATGTGTATTCGTGAAATCCGTATCGCGAGCTGCTTGCTCGCTTTGCGCAGGACTCTCTTCAACAGTTATGTTACGAGACGCAAAAACTATTCGACATATGTTCTGTGAATCCTGCGTCTCTCGGTGTTTCTGGAACGTTACCTCTACATGTAACAGTTCCATGAATTAAACACTTGAAACAGTTCGTCGAACGAATCCTTTAAACACACTTTATTTCGTTCGAATAAAATAATTACTTTATGTTGCGTAAACGAACGTACCTCGTCGCGCCATCTACGTTTCAATTTCGACATTGTCGTCGTACCGAGCGCAACTTGCTAGAATAAAATGAATGCCAATAAAAAGAAATGCCCACTTTTACTAGGCATAGAAATTCTTTTGTAGAGGTCTCTGGTGTCTGTTCGAAGAGGGATTTTTTTTCTTTTTTCTTTTTTCTCGTCGAAGAGATCGGGCTACGAGCGAGGGAAAGAGAGAAAATGCGTGTGCCGGGGGAGCATCGAATTCGCCAAAGGCGTGCGGACCTTTTCACGCGTGAGTCACGTTTCATAAAAGCGATTGGGATTGATGAGAAAATAGCCCCCATAGAAAGATATCACGCTGCCAATGCTGGCTCGAATGAATTTGTCTGCACGACTACAGAGGCGTTCGTTACGCTGGCACCCCTGCTCTATACACGACGCGCCCAGAGAAGTGCCCCGTTTCGACGTGGACATTAGCGAGCGGTACTTTGACCGATTCAATTGACGTTTGAAAATTTTTTGACGAAACGAAGTAACAACTTTCTTTTTTTTTCCCCCTCTTTATTTTTGCGCCCGCAATGTAATCAGCAAAGTCGGGCAAAATTTATTCCTGAACAACGGATGAGTACGTTGGATTAATTGGTAAACCAGCTTGTCAATAACGTGTTTCTTTTTTAATTACAATACTTTCCTCCTTTATAGGTGGGAAAGGAAAAATTGCGGGAAGAGTAAAAGACAAGACCGAGTACCCTTCTCGAGTAAAAATAAATTCTTCTAAAGGTTTCTTGCACAAAATATTCTTCTAAAGGATTTATTTTTCGATTTATATACGCGTACTTTGTTAATTTTAGTTTTATCGCAAGTTGGAAGAATTGATTGTCGCGGTAGATAACTACACAGGGCAATAAAACATCAAAAATACGGTAATACGAGGTTAGTTTACAAATGTGCGTCATCCCTATAGAATTTATGAAGCACGATGATGGCAGCTTGAACACTTTTCTTCGTTAAAGCCATTCTGGTGATTGCTGTTTGAAAAAAGTAGAAAACTGTTTCTATATCGTATCGATTGGGTAAATAGAATAATTTTATCGCGCAACAGATGTAATCTCCCACGTTTCCCTCGATTTTCACTCGACTCGTGAAATTCATTTCCACAATAATCTGCATTAAAAGTAAACAGAGTACTTTTTCGCAAAAGTTTAATTAATTGCACGCTCGTTACACGCGAAGAGGCAATATCCTTTCCCTGTCTCTTGTTTTCAAATAATCGATAACGCGGCGAAGGAACTTTTATCGTTTATCGCCTCGTACTTTTTTTCTTCTTCTTCGTACTTTACTCGTATTACACTTTTAAGATTCTTCGTTATAGATCGCGATATCACGCAGTAAAAACAGATTTTACTTATCGCCTCGCTATGCTTGTAAAGCCTATTCACCGCGGCGAAAGTTCCAGAAACTCTATCGGACCACACAGCAAACCGAATCGAGTGTCGAGTCTGTGTTTAATCGACAATAAATCTTTTTTGTTTGAGGAAATATTGTAAAGGTTCCTAGTAATCGATGCTTGAAGGATCAAGAGTATCCCGTGAATAGTGTCTACGCTGCAAGATAAGCAGTGAAAATAAATAATTCTCGAGCGGTATCGATGGCTGGAACTGAATAGAATATTGTAGTACCAACAATACAAAAGTAAAAAAGTAATCGACAAACAATGGATGGATAGTAAGCACACTACCGTTTCAGGGAAAAAACAATTTCGATATTTTCAATTTTTTTTTATTTATTGAAATGTTATTCAGAATAAAAATTCTCCGTACCTGTTTCAGGAATCGAAACCTACATATTAAAGCAGTTTTCAAGTCCTGCTGTAACCCCACAAGGACGAATGCACGATTTTCGTGCGAAAGTACTTGCTTTCGCCAGCGATCGTGCTTTTCGTTAAGAAAATCGTAGTCGATTCGTGCGCAAGATGAAAATCTACGCGATTTTCACGGTGAACGTTGCACGTGAGTCAGTATGTAACACGATAATTCATCCGCGTGCTTTTCTAAGATGCAATTTTCCACACGTTGGCCACACGGTTCGCGCTCGTTCCAGCTAGATTGTGTGTCACAAGTGAAGCGTGTGATTCACGCAACGAGACTGATTCTTGATATCCCACCTCGAAACATAGCCAGGCAAAATTCTTATTTAATTGCTTTCCAAATTTTCTATAAACAAATATTATTATATAATTTATATATAACTATACAATATATATAACTTTTAAAGTAGAATTAAAGCGTTAATATAGAAGCTTAACTTTAAACAAAAAATAAATAATTAAAAAATTTGTTAAATAACTTTCATTCATAAAAGTTTATCGTTTCGTTCGATGCTTGGTTCGAAACACTCGAGTACGGCCATTATAAAAATTAGCAAGGTATTTTCCATTGGAATATTTTTAAAAGTACATTCTGGTCATCCCTGTGCAGAATTAACGTGAGTCAGTGACACGTCCGATTAGATTAAAGTACGTTCAACTTCATTTATAATCGGCACGAAATTGACCTCGTTTCACCAGTTATTTATAAAATATATATTTCACTGTGTAAATTGAAAGAGTCGCTAACAAAAATTGTGATGTATTCGAAACGTTTCTGTTGCGTAGGATTGATCGCTCGAGCTGTGTTTCAAGATTATCAACAATTTTTAAGTCCCCGTGGAGCGAAAGGGGCAAAAGCTTAGCAGATGTCTGGCAGGGAAAGCGTTATTTTTATACTGATACCTATAGGACGGTGTTGTGCGCGTCTTGTACAGAAAAATTGGTAGTAAAATCCCCGGTCTGAAATGGGGCTTGGGCCGAGATGAGATTACGGTATATCGACTGTTGAATGGTATCCGTTCAGTTTCCCATAGCCGCGATATTAAGACCTCGTTAACGTGATAAACCCGTCCAGTCAGATATACTATAATGCTGCCTTTCATTAAGCACGCTGAAAGGTTGCCTGGTAAACTTGAGCCATTAATGCCGAATATCCCTCGGTGCTTCCTACACGTGCATACATATGTACGTAGAATTCAGAATGCATTCTGATGCGCTAATCTTCTATCTAATGTACAGCAGAAAATCGAATTACATTTCTATGGAATGTTCAGATAACTCGAAGTTTGTTGTTTGTTAAAATAACGAAAGCTAGGTGTTCCTTGTGTCACTATACACGTAGTCGAAGCTGGCGCTAGAAGAAATTG